CGCTGAACAACGCATCGTCCGCGGTCCACAGTCGGGGTCCAGTCCACACCAAAATAAATCTGCATGAGCGGCGAACACAGCGGAGGCTAAACAGGGGTATCCTGAGCTCTTATTACATACAACTGCATAGTTAATACAAGAACCGACAATCCAATCACATACAAAGGAAAGATACGTCGAGGTCATGCGGAACCTCGTCGCCAGCCGATGACCATGTCGATTACCTCGACGCTCCCTCACCAGCCCGATTGTCATCCGAAGGGCTGCTGGACCTTTCCGGCTGCGGAGTCATCGCGGGGCTGCGATCTGGTGTTGCACGTTGCGACACCGAGGCAAGCTCCCGAATGAGTCTGTCCGGTGTGTTAGTTCAGCCCTCACAAGAGAAACCAGGTCAACCTACCGTTGGTGCTCGTCATACCAGTCATCGTTGGCCGTGCGGATGTGCTTAAGCTGTTCCTGAATGCTTGCTATCTGCAACAACCGTCCAATTAGTACTCCTGCCTGCCGAGGGAACGGACCATGTGATGTTACGTGAAGGGGTGACATTCGGGGATTTCTGAAGGGTAGGTCGATGATAAACGGGGAGGTCCCACCGTTCCCTCAATGGATGAACCAAGGTCCTCACCTTCCGCTGTGGCCGGACCGGCGTTTCCTCCAGCAGGGGACTTCTCGCCTTCGGCCGCCCACCGGCTGCTCTCAAGCCCGGCGCCCTTGCCCTCGGCCTTCAGGGCCGCCACCTCCGCCTCGAGCTCACGAATGCGCTTGCGGCTGCTCGAGATCGCCGAGTCGACCTCGCCCAACTGGTTGAGCAGCGACATGTTCTTGTCAATCTGATCGTTCAGGTCCCTCTCGCCTTGCACGAGCTTCTCGTCCATCGCCCGGTTCTGTGTCCTCAGCTCGTCGAGTTCAATGTGGATGGCTTCCTGCTTGCTCTTGAGCTGCGACAGCTCCTCCTGAGACGCGGACAGCTGCTGCTGCACGGTCTCGGCTTCCGACTTGGAGCTGGCAGACGCCGCCACAAGCTCTTCGAGCTCCTGCGCCCGGCTGCTCACGGCCTGGTGCTTTTGTTCCCACTCATTCTTCTCGGCCTCGATCTTGGAAAGCTCAGCACCCTGCTTGCTGGCGATCTCTTTCGACTCCACAACGGACTGCTCAGCAGCAGACAGCTTCTTCTCCATGTCCGCAATGGTGGCCTTCAAGGCATCCAAAACAGAGTGGTCCTGGGCAGCGGCCTGGGCGTGGGAAAGCTGCTCGTGAACCTCCGCAAGAGCCGCCTCGTGTGCCTTCTGAAGCTCCTCAACCTTCGCCTTGTTGGAGGATTCCAGATCAGCGCGGACGCTCGAGAGCTTCTCTTCGTGGACAGTAAGGAGTTCTTCAATGGCCTTGCTGTGCTCGGCCTCGGTCTCAGCAGCCTTAGACTCCCGAAGAGCTTCCAGCTCGGTGTGCAACTGAGCCTTGGTCTCGCTGTACTCCTTGTGGACACCAGCCAGCTCCTTTTCGTGAGACTCGGTGTGCGAGGCAAGCTCGCCGGCGTGGCGTTCAAGGGCGGCCTTGAGCTCTGCCTCGAGAGTCTCGATCTTCTGCGCGTGGCTGGTCTCCAGCTCGCGGTTGGTAGATGTCAATGCATCGAGCTTGGCCTGGACTTCACTGAGAGCTTCTTCATGGGATCCAGTGGCGTCCGCCTTGGCCTTCTCCAGCTCAGCAGCGTGTTGCGCCTTCAGCTCTTCGAGGGCCTGGGAGTGTTTGTCGGCAGTAGCCACTGCCTCCTTGAGGTGCTCCTCCAGTGCTTTCTCGGCCACAGCGGCCTTCTCCTCAAGGGCCTGGGCGTGCTTGTCAGCATTGGCAGAAGCTTCCTTCAAGTGCTCCTCAAGAGCCTTCTCAGCTGCGGCAGCCTTCTCCTCGAGCGCTCTCAGCTGGCTTTCCTGCTCGGCATCCTTGGCCTTGGTTTTACTCTCGAATTCAACGAGGCTTTGCTGCAGCGCCTCGGCCTCTTGCCGCTTGCTGTGAACCTCATCATGGAGAGACTTGATTGCGTCCTGTTCGGTCGACAACTGGGACTCTAGCGCGCCAACCTTCTCTTTCAGTTCCTCAATTTCTTGGACTGCAACAGCCTGCGCGGAGTTAGCACCCTCCTCCGCGGCCTGTCGTGCTTCGTTGAGAGCGTGCTCTGCTGCTTCCAGTTTCTGCTGGAGGGCCTGCAGCTCCGCCTGGTGAGCGGTATCCCGTTCGCTGACAGCCTCTTCCCGACCCTTCTTTGCCGCAGCCTCGGCGGCCTCCAGAGCATCCCGGAGTTCTTGGAGCTGCTGGGTATGAGTGGTACCGGCTGATTCGACGGCTTCCTTGGCAACCGCGAGTTCTTGGGCATGGGCCGTGGATGCGGAGGCGAGGGCTTCCTCATGCTCCGCCTTGAGCTTCGCAACGGCAGCTTCATGAGTCGCTTCCAACTCCTTGATCTTCTCATCCCGTGCATTCGCGGCGGACTCGCGCGCCTCCAGGAATTCAGCCTCCATCTTCTTCATCGCCTCCTTCAGCTCTGCGATTTCCTGGACCTTTTCAGCGACAACTTCAGGGGTCTCCTCATTACCCTTCGCAGCCGACTCCGCCTCGGCCAGCTTGGCAGTCAGAGAAGCAACCTGTTCCTCGAGGGTGGAAACCTCCTGTTTGGCAGACTCCTCCGCCGCGCGAACTCCCTGCTCCTTGGCTTGATTCAACTTTTCCATCTCGATATTGAGATTGGCGATTACTTGATCACGGCCATTCAATTCCCGTTCGAGGCTATCCAGAGCCAAGGCCTTCTCCTCCTGGAGTCCTTTGGTGACCGTTTCGAGGTTGGCTTTCTGCGACTCCAATTCCGCCTTGAGAGACTCGATCTGCTCTGCATATGCAGCGGTAGAAGCCTTCTGTTCCGCAAGTTCTTTCTCCAGGGCCTCCAGTTGCGCTTGGTGGGACTCCTTCAGCTCCTCCAAGGCTGCAGCAGTCTGGTCATCTCCCTGGGCAGAAGCGGACTTGGCTGCTTCATCCAGATCCTTCAGAGACTTCTCTTCCAGCTCTTTCCGCGTCGCCTCGGCCTCTTCCAGCTGGACCCGCAAGGCTTGCAATTGCTCCGCATGGTCTGCGGCCAGCCGTTCGAGCTCGGCTGCGTGCTGTTCCCGAAGGGTCTTGAGAGCCTCTTCTTGGTCCTTGGAGCTGTCCTCCGTCTGAGACACCGACAGCTGGGCCAGCTTCTCATTCACGGCGTCTAGCTCCGCTTTGAGGCTCGTCACGGTCGTCTCACTTTCGGACAGCTTACTCTGGAGAGCATTCAGCTTCGCCGCGTCCTCCTCTGAGGTCTTGGTCACGGTGCTCAACCTTTTCGTCGTAGTCGACGTGGGCCGGGTGGCCGTCGAGGGCCGGGTGACGGGCCGCATAGCACTCGTGGAGGAACTCGAAGGGCGAACGGTCGATGTAGTCGTAGGCTTCGTCGCGGTCCTCGCCGAAGCGGTGCTGGTACGCGATACCGAGGACACAGAGTTCCTCTTCTCGGTTGTGGTGGTGCTTGCAATGCTCGACCGCCGGTCGTGAATGGAGCTCGGCCTGGGTGCCCGGGTGGTAGGGGTCCCGACGAGAGACATCCGCTTCGCCGTCCCAGAGATCCCCCGCCTCTCATCGGAAGAGCTCACAGCCCCTCGGGATTTCTCATCGGCGGAGCTACTGATCGAGGCACGGGATCTGTGCGAGGCCGTCGTGGACGTACTCAGGGGCTTCCGGACGGTCGAAGTCGTGGTCGGGCGGGTAGGCGGCTTGCTCAAGGTGCTGCCATTCATCGACGCACGCGTGGTGGACGTGGTCTTGGGTGGACCAGACATGGAGCTGGGCCTTTTTGTAGTTGTTCCCGAGACGGGCTGCTTGGCCGTAGTCGATGTTGGGCGGCTCTTGACCGGCGAGGCCTTGGTATTCTCTTTGTCCTTGGAGACGTCCGGGCTGGTCAAAGGTCCTTCGCTACCGGACATGACGGTCGACTCAATTGGGGTCGCGGGGGGTGCATTTTCAGAGTCGACCTCGACGGGCGCGGCAACCGGGACCGGTTCCTCAGTAGAAGCCATTGTGAGTGGGTGGGAGTCGGGATTGCTTCCAGGATCGGTAGGAACTCAGGTACGGAACAAGCGATGGGTCTTCAATGGCGGTCTAGCGAATTGAGACAGTCCACGTTAGTCTCGGTGGGCAACCAACAAATTGGGTGATTGGGCCATGAACCCATGAAATGCTCAACCAGGAGCTTCCCGCAATGCAGCTTCTGCGGGAGGTTAGGTGCATGTGGCATGCAGAGACGATCCATGATTCTGGTTGAGGCAGCGGCGGTACAGGTTCCCTCGGGGCGGTTCTCCTTTTCAGTCCTTCCGAGGTTCCCCTGAAGATGAAACAAAACAGCAAAGCACTTACTCAACAATGCACTTGACCGTCAATTGAAAGGAGACCAAGTAGAAAGTACCGGGACTCGCTGAATCGGTACCGTGCCGACGCGTGTTTTGTCCTTTATCCCGAAAGTGACGATGCAAACAAAAAAGACAATGCAACCCACTCACCACACGGGGACGGTGAGAAGAACAGAAGGGGGATTAAAGAGAATATACTATTAAACAAATTAAAATGGTACAAGAAAAGGAAGAGATAGGGGGGAAAGGGTGAGAGTGAGGTGGAAAGGTGAGAACCAAAAAAAAAGTTGATGCGGGAGAAAGAGTAAGTAGTAAGTTAAGTAAGTTCAAGTAGTCCGGGAAAAGGGACAAAGCAAAGTAAAGTAAAGAATGTCAGGAGGGGGAAAGCGGGAGCGGTGCCTCAGGATCTCAGGGACTCCCACTCCACCGCGAAACCTCAGGCGACGATCCCCACAGGATCGCCCAATCGATCCCTCAGGCGGTGATGGTCTTTGTCATGCGACCAGCCACTTCATCCATTGATGAACTTAATGGATACAGAGTTCACTTTAGCCATGATTGTGTCCTCACAGGGCCCTTGGATTGGTTCAACGGGTCATAAACTATTGTTGACGTGGTCGCGTCTCCAAAACAGTGGTTCCATGGTTCACCGCAAGAGGATGCGTGGGTTTGCTTTTACGGAACTGAACAAGACTCCAAGAGAAATCACAATAAACCAGAGGGGTATAAAACATCAGCCATAAAACGCCCATCCTACATCATTGGAAATAGAAAGACAAAAAAAAAATTAAAAAAAAAGAGCCATCAATCCTCCCGCACGCTCAGGAGCCAGTACCACTGTTGCCGTCCTTCCTCCGTCTGGAGGACCTCGGGGTTGACCACCGTCGACAGAAGCTTGTCATGCAACTGTCTCGCTTTTTCGCGCGTACCCCGGATCGTCCGCCCGCGGAGCCGATCCCCGAAATGTTTTAAGATTCGAGCGTAGCGATCCCGACCTGAAGTAGTGAGCATTCGCATCCCTCTTTCATTGTTGATGTGGATGAAGATAGACCTACCCTGGTAACGCTGCAATCCATCGAGAAGAGCACACCCCTCGTCGTCGGTCCATCTCCGCCCATGCTTGATGGACATGGCTGGCACAGGCTCCGGTTGCGGCGCGCTGCCCTTAAATAAGTCCTTCTCTAACGCAATGATGAGTTTCTTGAGCGGGAGCTGCAGACTATGGCTACGGTTCTCAGAGTCCACGTAACCCGCATCGACTACACAGTAGATCTTGTAGCATAGTCGTAAAAACACATCTAGCACCCGGTGCAGGTGTTCGTAGGCTTTGGGAAAGAGCCCGTCTTCCTTGCAGTAAGCTTCGAAACAGGCGAGCAACACGCCCATCATTCCTGATACCAGACAGGCTTCAAATTCGTCCAGCGTCTCTTCACTGCTGGGTCGGCCTATTTCTGGTTCGTCGTCTTTATGTTCGACGATATAGTCCACTGAAGTGGTCCCATCACTGCGAATTGCGTTCAGGAGCTCATCGCATTCACGCACGGTCGCGTGGCGAGGTCCACGCCCGGCGTTTAAGTAGCCTACAATCTCCATATATTTCTGTTGTAATGTGGAAGTTAGATCCCCAAAGTCATCAAAGTATTCGGCCATAGAAGGGTTGTCGGTTTTTTGCACGTGGTGAGCTTGAACCACCAAAGCGTCCCAGTTGTTCTTCTGGCCAGCCATTTTGAGTGCCTGGTGCAACCATGCCTCTTCCTCGTCGAAATCATCCTCGGAGTAATCGTCGGACATATCCTCAGCATATTGTTCGGTGTCGTTTGGGCTGTGACGGGGTTGTAGAGGCTCGGTCTGGTCTTCATGATTGTTCGAGGTGACAGCTCGAGACGTCTCAATGCTTCTTCGACGAATCCGTCCTTGACGTTCTGAGACTGGCTGTTGATTCGAGGTTTGACGTCTTTTGCTTGGCGGCGTAGACAGATCCTCTGGGTCGCTTTCGTACCTAAACAACCCAGGTCGTATGGGTCGATCTCTCACGCTGCCCTCGTCATCTGTTGGACCATGAACCGAAGACTTGTCCCCGACGGCGATGCTTGTGTGGTCTTCTCGGTCGCCCCCATCCTCTGCCTCATCGAGCTCCACTCCATCAGCCAAGCCCCCTGATTCTCCTTGTACATGCGAATGCTGCGAGGTGTCCTCCGGTAGAGTATTCTCTCTGGAGGACTCTGGCGAACGAGCTGACGATTCTGCCCTGCCCACAGAGCTCCGGACGTCCGTAGCAGGATTTACGATAGCGACGGCGGGAGAGCTTCTCTGATGTTCGTGAGCACTGACAGCATCATCAGAGCCAGAGCGTGGCTCATCTGGCTGCTCGGGTGATCGATCGCCACTCTCATCCGTTCTCCCATGTAGAGCTAATCCTAGATCTGACACCCGTTTTGGAATATCAAAGGGAGAAAGTCGGTTCGACTGAGGGACGTTATGAGGCGAATCGAGCACAGGTTGGGGAAACCCATTGTCTCCGTGGTCCTCTACAACATCCACATAATTCGCGTCACTTTCACCACTCCCGTGGTCTTCCTCAACCGGATTGGTGTATTCCTCCGCTTCTTTGTCAGGGTGATTCTCAGAGCCCCCTCCAAACTCTTGCTGAGGCTCAGGACCAGACTTCACCTTCGCGCGACGCGTAGCCTTCCTCAAGGACGTAGTTTTCCCACCCGATTTCGCCAGCAACCTAGTCGACGATCGACGGGGAGTCAAGGGCTCCGGCGCAGGGACGTGTTCAGATCGATCATGATTTGTATCATCGGGGACTTCCCAGATATCATCACTCTGGGGAAACGGTACGTCGTCGATCTTGCGGCGACGGGACGAGCGGGCGCGGGCACGGGTACGGGCGCTGGACTTTGGCTGGCGAGTGACGTTGTTGTTGTTGTTGGCGTTTAAGTTGTTTAGAAGGTCCAGCGCGTGGGACGTCGAGACAACTTTTCTCCGTCGTGGGGTTGATCGGGAGCTCATTTGGATTGATCTTTGGTCGGAGAGTACATTTGGGATTATTTGGAGGGGCGACGACGACGACCTGAGGTCGTTGGGTGAATGGAACCCTTTGTTGCGGTCATAAAGCAAACATTTAATGGTGAGTTAAGCGGAAAAACAAACGCTGCGGGTTTGACGGACAGGTCTAGCCCTTTGCACTTTCTGTATCCTTGGGGTTTGAGATACTTATATGGTACTAGTTTATAGTGAGGTTTATACTCTGGAGCGTAATATAATGTCCTTGAAATGCATTGGAAATTAGTATTTCGTTGATTCAAGAAAATTATATACTAACAATGGGGGAATATATTGGATCCAGGGATTTTTTACATTATCTATTCGCCATCAGTTTATTTATGTATCACATTCATTACAAATAAGGGGAAAGACAAAAAGTAAATATATTCTCGTTCCACTAAAATTATAAAACAAAAGTAGCACTTGAAGTAAGCTAGCCCTCTCAATGTTCAATAGAGCCATGTAAATTCATGAATATTTGTTTAAATCACTTTCTAGCCTGCAATAAATATGAAGTAGCCTTATCTAGTACCAAAATCAACAAAGTAGCTAGTAGAGATGAGTATAAAATTCAGACCTGATAATAGTATTCTACTGCTGAATCCCCATGAAGAGCCTTGGCCTCTTTGAGCTCTTCCCATATGTCTTTACCCAAAGAAAGTGATTCAACCTCCCCATTCATTTCACCTTCACGTGTACTCAGGATGACGGTGGTCTATGTCCATTGTCAGTACGTGCTCACATTCGACTATATTCTACTCCTTTTTCTGTATCTTTCCTTTAGACTGGTGTGAGATGATAGGAAGGAAGACTTACAGTAAGGTCGGATATTATAAGACGGTTCAAACGACACCCTCTCTTGTGTCGTTCAATCAAGTCCCAAATCTTGCGGGGAGTCCCTTCTGGCATAGAAAAATATGGATATGCGACACACAATTCCAGTTCATAGAGGTACGGAAGCGACGGGCAGACTCTCTGGAGGCTGCGGTCGTCCAGGACCTCGGCAGCGGAGTTCGGTGTATAAATAGTCAGCGATTCGAGAATCGGACATTGATTCTGGATCGTACGAAACACTTCTGAGTCGACCGTTGTAATTTCATTCCATGGGCCAGTACTGCGCAAGAGAGGGTATAAGTCCAGTTTTCGCAGTGTCGGTCCGTGACGATGAAAGAGTTTATCAAGTATAGATACCGGAAAACACCCTCGAAGGCTAAACTCCTTAAGGGGGATTAACTGTTCTAGGAGACACTCCAGGGCATAAAGAAGCTGTTCGTTGGCATTATGGTTCAGATATACTGCCAGGCCTAGAAGATCAAGAGACATGGACTTGACACTCTGCGTTAAGTGTTCGAATACTTGGGGATCCGACACACCCCCAAGTCTCAGATAGCGTATCTTGGACATGTCAGTGCAATTAGACCATTTTGCAATGTCCTCCACTGATACACCGGATCTCCCGAAATACGAAAGTGAGACAAGAGCCCCTTTATATGAATGATTTGGAGGTGGCACGAATCCTTTCCATGATGACGGCGTCCTGTCCCGTAACCTGCGATATGGGACATAAATCACATTGAGGTGCTTGATATTGGGGGCCAGAGTAATGACCTCGAATATGGCCTTTTCATTGTCACCTGGCTTTTGGTGCAGCTCACTACGGACAGTTGTCATAGTGATGCTGTGCAGACAGCGAGATTGAACCAGATCTAGCTCATGTGGGGTGGTGGCGGCATCTCTTAGACTTCGGAGAAGGAAAAACCGCATGTCGAGATGACACGCTGGATGACACTGTTGAACGGCCTTTAATATACACGGCGGAAGCTGATTAGGACAGACCCAGATCAACTCTCTAAGATGCTGACATTTCTGAATCATCTCGGCGAGAGGGGTCCAGGCTTTGGATATATCCTCTTCCGACCCATCACTCGAATCCTTTCCGAGGTATTCATTGACTGCATCATGGCGTTTTCTGTGATTGTCATCGTAGACAGGGATCCATTGAGAATTATACCCACTCGTGCTCAAATGCATACAACCCAAGATTCTGAGGTGGCGCACATATTTTGTCAATCCTTTGCGACGAGGGCTTTCTTCAATTTTTGCCAAATCTTCGAGGAGCTTCGGTGGCGAGGAGATGTTGATCTCCAGATTCCCATAAAGGAATGGGGCAACGAAATTATTGCAGGCCTGATTCACTAAAGCCAGACTGCATAGAGTCTTCGCTGATGCACGAATCTGCAGCATATCAGTAACAGACTAACATATACTGGGAAAGTTCCTTAGCCGGTACATAATCAAAGACTAGGTATAGAACGAGTAGAGGCAGCTTATCGAATCTGAGAGGCATCTTGATCGATATTCAAGAGAAACAGGTTTTGACCAGTAGAACCTGGTTCACAGATACTAGGCACATGAGATATGAGGGAGATTCAGGTCTAAATATGCGAAAGCCTTCCTATCACAAAGGCTATACCCCGCGAAACACTTGTATAAAGGGGAGGGAAGACTTTAGAGAGTCAGATGTGCCCACTCTTTGTTTCAATGATGGTGATTCCGTCCACAGCTGCGTATCATATCTCGGTATTATCGAGAATCGATACGTAGTCAATGAAACGGAATGAATCGAATCGGTCTTCATTGTGCCTCTATCAGCTTGGATGATTTCATCGTAAAGTTGCGATGTATGAGTGTGAGTTGAGAGTTGATATGTACATCGCGCCTTCCGTTAAGGGAACACTTGGTGACTCAAAAAAAAGCCTTGATGTCCAAACGAGGCACGACGAGAAAAGAGTGGTAGAGCACTTATAATATTGAGAAAGTGACCTCAGTAGTAGAAGTAGAATACTTCAATAGTCAGGTTAATAGCAACGATGTTACCTCATTCTAGAGTGACACAGCCGAGTGAAACGAGTGTTTAGGGCTAGATCTAACAGGTCCTAAAATTCTCAAACAGCAATCTCTATTATATTAAAGCTCATATATGGTTTGATTCACAGCTTATTTCCCAAATATGCACCGCGACTGCTCTTAAGTTTGTCTTTTCTGAACTGTCAGATATTACTAGGTATCGTTATTGAGTGCTTACTTTGATTGATCGTGATGAGTTCGATGTTGTTTATCGTCTTACATACAGCCCGACTTGTGGCTGTGTATCGGGCTTCTGTTACTCGGAGGCAGACCATCAAGCTATTCTACCTGGATTTTTCAGTTGAGGATGGACAGGGTCGTATGCCATACTACGCGCCTGGAGTCTGGCGGGGCTGAGCAATCTGGTGGGGTTTCCTGTAAGCCCGGCGGCTATTATAACAGCCTGATAGGGTGAAGAGAATATATGCGAGGCATTGGGCACCGGCCACGACGCATTATATGAATTATTAGCTATAATCAAGATGCAGATTATTCGCAGTTATGGGTGCCGAGTCAATTGAGAACTCTGTTTCTAACCAAAGTATTGAATTATTGTCCGATAGTCCAACAAAATATCCAGACGCCAACCACGTCGAACCACCGCCGCCTGACGGTACGCTATGATATACAAAACATAACGATGGGTCACTCATTACCGCAACTGGACAATTCAGAGTATGCCGTCGGCTGGATCGCTGCTTTGCCTCATGAAAGAGCAGCTGCCAAGGCAATGCTTGATACAGTGCATGCGCCGCCGCGGTACAAACATGCCAAAGATCATAATAGCTATATGCTAGGTTCTATAAATGGCCCAAATGGGGAACATAACGTGGTTATTGCCAGTCTTCCATCCGGTCGATATGGAACCGTCACTGCGGCTATGTCTGCTAAGCAGATGCTTTCTAGTTTTCCCAGTATCAAGTTCGGGCTAATGGTTGGCATTGGTGGTGGTATTCCGAGTGAGGATCATGACATCCGCCTGGGCGATGTTTTGGTTAGTCAACCAACAGGCGCCTTCGGAGGCGTACGACAATATGATTGCGGCAAGGTCACTGCGCATAGGTTCGAAGAGTGTGGTGCACTGAACTGCCCTCCTGAGGCCCTTCTCAATGCGATGGGTGAGCTGCAAAGCAACCATGAAATGATGGGAGGCACATCCATACCCGACATACTGGAGTCTATGTACACAGCTTATCCAGCAATGGCAGACTCACGCAGAGGACCAGGATATATTTACCAGGGTGCGAACTATGATCGATTGTTCTACTCTGATTGTATACATAAGAATGGCACAAAAGATTGTGGTGGGTGTGATCCTGAGAAAGAAATCAAACGGCCTGAACGACTGGACCAGGATCCTTGCATCCACTATGGCACTATCGCATCAGGTAATAAAGTAATCAAGGATGCGAAGGTGCGTGATTTGCTAGCAAAGAACTGCCTTTGCTTTGAAATGGAAGCCGCGGGGTTGATGAACCAATTCCCATGTCTCGTCATTCGTGGAATATGTGACTATTGTGATACCCATAAGAACGATCGATGGCAGAAGTATGCTGCAGCTACTGCTGCTGCGTATGCAAAAGAGCTTCTTCAGGTTACTGACGCCTCGGACATCCAAAACACACCAGAAGCCCGCAGTATTGTTATGGATAATCGTGAGTTGCAACTCTTCCATCTTACTGTGGATCATTTATCCTCAATGTTGGCCAAAATATGACGCAATCACCTATTCTCAATATTATGACGGATACATTCACTCATTTCGAAAGTGTTGATTACAGATTTTTCAGGCCAGTCTTGCTAACTTGTCTATCCAGTTTCGGAGATCAAAACGATCGTCAAGAGCCTCGCCCAAAATCAGGAACAGAAGGACTTATTCAGATGGCTGTCACCACTCAGCCCCTCAGCCAGGCATCTTGAAAATCAAAAAAGACGGGCTGAAGATACTGGAAGGTGGATCTTTGAAGACCCAAACTTTCTCAATTGGTCATCAGAAAGGCCCGGTTTTCGAACCCTCTGCTGCTACGGCGACCCAGGCGCGGGAAAAACAATCGTCTCGTTAGTAGAATACATTCTCTTTTCATTACCATGTTTAAGAGCTAAAGGATCAGGACAGGTCTATCGTAATCGACAGACTACGAGAGCTAATGCCCCTTGGTTCAATCGGACTAGCGTACCTTTATGGCGATTATCGTGACCAGAGAGCACAGTCTGTAGAAAATATTCTTGGGGCAATCGTGAAGCAATTATTAGCACACTTGTCCGAGACACCTCAGGGAATCCTGGAGATTTACGAAACACGCGTCAAGCAGGAGAATCCCTTGAGTATACCTGATGCAGAAAGGTTTCTGGACATTGCATGTGAGCAATTCAGCAGAGTCTACATCTGCCTGGATGCACTAGATGAACTGCGGGACCAGAGGAGCCTCTTAATATCCTTGCAGGCCAGATCATCTTCAGTACAGCTATATATTACTGGTCGGCCTCACGTTCAAGTACAAGTTGAGAGACATCTGAAGGAGAAACGTGAGATTCTCATCGAAGCACATGATGACGATATTCGACGGTTCATCGACCTTGAGATTGGTGGACCGAACGATATTGAGCCGGACACCATGGACGAGAAGCTGAGAATGGACATTCAGAACAAAGTTATAGAGTCAGCTAAGGGCCTGTTAGTGCAGCCAGGTATTTTATTTTCCAGAGCGCTAACTTTATGACTTAGATTCCTGTTGCCTGTTTTACAGGTTCATGCTATCTTGCAAGCTACAACGATACGGCGTCGTGAGGAGGCCTTGAAAACATTGCCGTCTGATCTCGGGGATGCTTTCGCGGGTACAATGATGCGAATAGAGGAACAGCCATGTGCACAATCTGAGCAGGCAAGAAAGATTCTTGCTTGGGTTTATCTAGCAGAACGACCAGTTGCCATCGATGAGCTTCTGTGCTCACTTGCGATCGAAGACAACGATACAGCTTTCAACTTGAGAGGCATACCTGTTAGAAGCACATTGATCAACTGTTGTCATGGGTTAGTGCTGATTGATCAGGAAACTTCCACTGTACGGTTGGTTCACTATTCTTTTCAAGAATACCTCTGTCAGCAAGACCAGTTATTTGGGGTCAGCAAAGTACAGTGGCACAATCAAATTGCACGGACATGCCTTACTTTCCTAAGCTTCCCTTCAACGAGTACAGAAGATAATAGTATGACAACCGCTCTTATGCCTTACGCTGCTACCAAATGGGGTCACCACCTTCGGAAGAGTGAACACCTGCAGGACGCACCGTTGGAACTTGCCCGCGAATATCTCCGCACCGTGTCAACTCATAATAGGGCAGGCCTGCATTTATTATACCGAGAAATGTACGAAGCTCAGTACAACGACAATGAGTTGTGCCTTGTGGCCTTCCCTGCTCATATAGCAGCTTTCTTTGGTATTTATGCGCTTGTACTTCATCTATGCTTGACAGAAAATGAAGTAGACTTGAGGGATATTAAAGGCCAAACACCATTATCATGGGCTGCGAGGCGGGGCCACAAGGTTGTGGCCAAGCTACTGATCGAGAATGGTGCTGCATTAGACCCTCAAGATGATGCTGGTAGGACACCGCTGTTACTGGCATTAGACTCCAGACACGAAGCAGTAGCTTTGTTACTCATCGAAAATGGTGCAGCAGTTGATGCGGCGGACAAGTTCAACAATGCAGCACTGTCAATGGCTGCCCAAAGCAGATGTGAAGCAGTAGTAAAACTATTAATTGAAAAGGGTGCTTCAATGAACACCAAAAATCAGTCTGGTCGAACACCTCTCTCGCTCGCTGTACTAGGTGGCTTCAAGGAGATTGTTAAGCTGCTTCTTGACAATGGCGCCGCAGTTGAGGCAACGGATCGATATGGCCGGACACCACTTTTGTTTGCCGTATCGAGTGGACTTGAGGAAATTGTGAAGCTACTCCTAGACAAGGAGGTTAATGTGGAGGCATTTGACTATAAGTATGGCCGTACACCACTCATTTGGGCTGCAGCGGAAGGATATGAGACCATTGCGAGGCTACTGATTGAGAAAGGCGCCGAAGTAAATTCAGTAGATTCTGGCTTTAGTTGGACACCACTTGCATGGGCAGCAGTCAATGGGTTTGAAGGAATATCAAGGCTACTCCTAGAGAACGGCGCCGAGATGGAGTCCGTGGAAGTGAATGGTTATGGCCGGACGCCGTTACTGTTGGCGTTGGAAGCCAGAAATGAGCCGATAGTCAAGCTTTTGGTTGGAAAGCTTGCTGACGTAGAGTCGAATACTCTACGACGCACTGAGCTGGTGTTATGTGTTGAAGAGAAGGGACTCGATGCCTTGATGGACCTTCTGGGATTCACGACTGACCACCGTGGTCATCGGTCGAAACGAAAGCCAAATGCCAATGATCCGATCCATCTGTACTTTGATTAGAAGCTTGTTAATCACTAAGCAAAAAATTGTGAGACGGAGAGAATGATGCTGGATCATTGCATAAGGTCCTTGTATAGCAGAGAACTAGGTAATGAATGATCGTTACCTGAAGGGGAAAAGGAGTGGATCAGGTGCTGGACCAGCAGCACTACCAAATTAAACTCGGCCTCCCCGGACAAATTTCGTCATGGCCGATCCAAAAACAACAACTTAAATCCCAACGCTGCTTTCTGTTACTAGTGGTGTCACCCCACTCATATACAATTTACACCACTACAACCGGTCGAAGCTCTGAAAGATATTATATTTGAGATCAGACGGCCGGTAATTAACCGCAATGGCTACAAACGGATTTTCAGTCCGTTCGTTGCTCACCATCGACCCCTCGGTGGGGCACATTTTCCTCCAGCCCAGCAAGAGAATCAACGAAACCGATGATGTCTCGGAGTTTCTATGCTCCAGAGCTTATGTTGATATTATGACGTTTCTCCTGCAGCTAAACCGATCAATGTTCCCAGCTAAATTGCCAGATGACCGTGTACAGCCGTGGCCTCTGAAGTCCGAAGTAGTCGAGTTCTCCGCCCCTGTCCGGCGGCTACAGCAGTTACTGCTGAAGCTGGAAGGATTACTTCATGCGACACCACTGGTGGGTGGTGAACGGAGATTTGCCGATAAGGGTTACCGTAATTGGCAGGACAAAGTGAAGGAGAATGCATCTTCCTTCTTAGAAGAGTGTTTATCTTCGGAAATTCTACACACTCCATCATCGGACCCAGAGGGCCCAACAGCAGAGGTAGAGCTAATGGAGTACTTCCTAGGCAGCTGGGGTAGCCGGGAGCGAATGGATTATGGCACCGGACATGAACTGAGCTTTCTGGCATTCCTGGCAGCGATCTGGAAGCTAAACGGGTTTCCTAAAAATAGTCCCGGCGTAGAGGAAAGGGCGATTGTCATCGGCGTGATAGAACCGTTCGTATACTAAATCCTCTTTACATGCTAATCGAGACTGATTTATAACTGGTCTAGGTACCTGGAACTGGTGCGGGCTGTTATCAAAAAGTACAAACTGGAGCCTGCTGGCTCCCACGGCGTCTGGGGCCTGGATGATCATTCTTTCGTTCCCTATATCTTTGGCTCGGCACAATTTAGCCCAGCTATATCGGACTCGGACCTAGTGCCCGAGGTGGGCTCACTGCCCGATGCGCCGGACCCCGCAGGTGTCGCAAAAGCGAACATTGTAGAGAAAGAGCGAAGAGTGAACATGTATTTTTCCGCCGTTGGCTTCATATACGATGTTAAGCAAGGTCCATTTTGGGAGCATAGCCAAATGCTATATGATATCTCCGGTGTCCCGGCTGGCTGGGCCAAAATCAACAAGGTCAGACCAATATCTCACTTTCCATGTCTAGTGACTAATGATACTTGCAGGGTATGATCAAAATGTACAATGCCGAAGTGCTTTCCAAGTTCCCGGTTGTCCAACACTTTCGCTTTGGCTCGCTGTTTAGTTGGGATCGCGATCCGAGTGCTATTCCTCCGCCCCCCAGAGCTCATACCTTATCTGGACCAGAATCTCGGCCACGAGAGGTTCCTGGTTCTACAAGGCAAGACCCGGGCCCGGGAACGAAAGCTCCTTGGGCCACCGCCTCTCAGAGTATTCCACCGCCATCAACCGGAACTGCGGCACCGTGGGCAACTGCAAGAGCTGGCGGAGGGCCATCTACTACGTCCAGAATACCATCAGCACTTCCCGATACCTCCAGACTTCCTCCAGGTCCCATGGCCCCTACCAGAGCTCCCTGGGCGAGTTCGCAACCAGCTGGGCCGGCCCCTACTGGTGATGCCAATGATATTACTACGAAAGCTCCCTGGGCAAGATAACATGATGGCATATGGTGACGAAAAGTTGCTGCTACTTCTTGTCTATATGATATGACATATATTCCCTTATTCTTTAAGTATACATAGTCTAATGACATCTGAGATAATGTACATGATGCATAGCATTTTGCTTCCATGACAATGTGAATAAAGAACTTCAATGCAATGGGGTATCATTTTTATCACCGAACGCCAAATTTGAAAAAACCCAAGACACAACTACTCTGAATCCGAAGCATAAGCCACCAAAGCAGTGGGCGGTTCTGGTGTCTTGCTGGCGGTCTCAGTCACTTCGATTGAACGATCTTTCGATGCGGAAGATGCTTGATCCTCACTGGCCGTACTGCTTGTATTCTGGTTGTGTGTCTTGTTTGTGTCCGCCTTGTTCGGTGCAGTTTTACGCCGTTTAACATCCGGCTGCCACAGGCTTCCCTCATGGCTAAGGAAAGGATCAACGATGGCGCGGGTATTCCCAGTTAACTCGCTGCGAAACATCGCTTTGCGTTCTTCGACGACGTCCGCCGCCTTCTTCCGCTTCCCGTCCTTGGTTTTTCCAGTTGATGCACCAGTAGGCTTCTTCGTTGAAACACTCCTAGACTCGAACATCGGCCGGGTGCGCACAGCAGTAGTATCACCTCCAGGAGCGAAGTCGACCAAACCAGCCCGCAAACGATCTTCCTCTGTCTCGTCAACAATCTCAATCCCCAAGCTCATCTTATCCTTCAACGCCTCCCTGTTGGCCTCGGCACTTTCCAAAACCTTCCTCTCCGCCCGAAACGTCTTCCTCAACCGCCTCGACATCTCATACGGATCAACCCAGTCCCTCGCCTGGCGCTCTTGCAACTCCAAAATCCTCGTCCGCCCCTCATCAACCACCTTCTTATCCTCGACCTTGCCCTCCAACCGCGCAAACGGATCAACAACCTCCTCCTTCTCCCCAGGCAACTTCACCACAATCTCTCCAACCCCACCCTCCCTCCTATACTCCCCGGTATCCCTCTTCCTGCCCCCCTCCGCAACCACATACGCCGTATTCTTCGGATCCGTGCGAATCTCAATCCACCCCCCGCACGCGGGGTGTCTCATCCGGAAACTGTAAATCGGTGTAGAGTGGTAATTCCCAATCTTCTTCTTCTCGGCATTAAAGCGCACCCCTTGGCCGATGATCGTCTCGTGGGGTTTACATGTCGTGCACCAGACGGCGAAGGGCATCTCGAAGCGTACGGTCAGGGCACCGGTTGTGTGGAGGTGGCGGGCGCGCGAACCGAGGGGGTGTTTTTTGGCGAGTTGGTTGCCGCTCTTTAGACCTTCCTGGTCCGGGGGGACGTACCGTCCCATATCTAGTTTGTTGGGTTAGGTTTTTGTTTGCAGAGTGCGTTTGCGGTGGGGGTATTATCTTACTGAAGCCCTGCATTTTGGGCGTTTGCGGGTGGCGTGATGGGTTTGAAACTTGGGGGTGGTTGTTTGTATGAGTTCGTTTGGGATTGTTCGCCGGTGCTCCGGTTGGAGACCAGTCTGTCAGCCAGTGGTGGCTGAGGAAGAAGTTGAAGGATGGTGATGATTGATTGTATGCTTATCGGGGATGGCTCAAAGGCGGTATGTTGTGCAGATTAGTCATGTAGTTTATGCATGCATAAATTGAATGTTTTATGAAGGCTTATGATTGATACTTTTGGCTTCAGAACATTGATGTCTGTAATAATTTCTCGATATAAACGGAACAATATCGATTTGTCATATATACTTCGGCGATATGGCAAGAAGACTTAGTGAAGGTGGGATGTAATTGATGCTTATCACTGTCTGTCTCAGACGATATGAGACTTTGCCATTGACGTGACTCTGAATGTAGCACGTGGGAATCTTAACTTGCTTATTGTATGCTCGATTAAGTGTGCTTGTGGTCTTCATAAAGCTTTTATGTATACCTATTATTGTCGGTGTCTAACGCACTATTTATAGAGATAGGTCTTTGTCGGCATGAGTGAGAGCAAGACCCACCTACAAAGAAACTTCACTAACAACCATACTGGATACTCAACGAGATATGTATATAGGCAGACTTATATCGAGGGAACAGAGGATCCGTATACTAAGGGTCAAGTTTGAATTTCCACAGACATATCCTAATGACCAATATAGCGATTCCTAACAGAAGCACGACACCAAGAAAGCCCTAGAACAGCCAAAGAAACCACGCCATGCCCACCCACCAATCCAGCCCACCAAGCAAAAATCCCTGCCCTAAACAGAGCACCGTTAGACCATAACACTAATAGCCAGAGACCAAACGATCAGGATTCAAGACTAAAGGGGTAAAGTGACCTAATCACTCGTGTCACCCAAGCAAGGGAGAGGACTGATTGGGCATTCCACCCTGCATGCAGCCGTCGTGACAAGGATAGGATTACCTAGCCCTTACAGGGCTCCACGAATGCTGGTTTGCGGAAGCGACATCAGCGAATAGAGTTTGTTGGATGTCTTTGTTTGTACGTAGGCAGACCAGATCCCGCCTGTCGTGCCTCGGGATTCGAAAGTCGTACTTTTGTTGGGGATCGTATGTTCAGTCCAGAATTCCCGTGAATGGACATGCTCATTCCCCCCACTACCTACAATCGATTGTCCTACGGCTGTCTTTGTTTGTTCGGGGTGTGGTATATTGATTCAAGCCTCTCATGGCCGGCGATATCGAGGTGAATTCCCATAGGTCTCTGAACCTGTGTCTATATTAACCCTAAGGTGTCGTTTAGCAGGATTCATCCCCAGCCTCGGATAGCGACTGGGCCTCGGCGGATGAGGCATCGCTAGATGTGACTTCGTTGGCATCGAGTGTTCTGAACTATGAGTAGGTGCATCCTCATCCAGTCTTCATTGCGTATACATCTCCAGATAAGCACTGACAACAGCATACACAGGTACAAGGTAAGACTCGCGCAAACCAAATCACTCATGATCTCCGGTACGAAAGATAAATGAGCGCAGAATGGTCGAAGATATCACGCCTACCGCTCAGGCGCATATTTAATGGTATATGAATCGCATCCGCATCCTCGAACCAGACAAGATGGCTTAGAAGGTTCAGCCAAACGACGAGGAGGAGCAGGACCGCATGGACCTCCTCCATCATATATACGCCCTGATCCTCGATGGCGAGCTGCACATGGCGCCGATCAAGTCCGATCCGGAGCGAGTCCTCGACTTGGGAACGGGGACCGGGATCTGGGCAATGGACTTTGCTGAGTGCGTATTGATACTTCTGGAACCTTTCTTGGGTGGATATTGCTCATATACCTCCGGAATATAGTCAGTATAAATCTGCGGAAGTATTAGGTACGCTGCTGTCCGCTTGTTGAGAAACATTGATTGACCAGCATAGGAAACGATCTCAGTCCCATCCAACCGACCTGGTAAGGATTACCTTGATTGTGTTCTTCAGTCAGAGCGAACTTTGACCCCGTGAAGGATCCCCCCAAACCTCCAATTCGAAGTCGATGACTTCGAAGCAGATTGGGTCTATTCACGGCCCTTCGACTACATCCACGGTCGCGAACTAGCAGGCGCAGTCAGCAACTTCGAGAAACTCTTCCGACAAGCCTTTCGCCATCTAAAACCGGGTGGATACTTCGAGATGCAGAGCTTCCGCGTCGAGGTATACGCCGACGACGACTCCCTCAACCGAGCACCATATACCACGAAAATGTGCTCGTTGATGCAAGAAGCCAGTGTCAAGTTCGGAAAGCCAATGGCAAATATGGACGAGTGGGCGGATAGATTGACCAAGGAGGGGTTCGAGGATGTGACGTGCAGGATTATCAAAGTGCCCATTAGTCCGTGGCCGCTGGATAAAAAGCAGAAGGACATTGGGAAGTTCTTTCAGGCGCAGCAGATGCAAGGCATTCAATCGTACGTGCCGGAGTTGTTGCAAAACCTTCTGCAATGGGGCGCGGACGAGGTTGAGGTTTTGATGGCAGGGGCGAGGAAGGAGTTGTTGGATACCACAATTCATCAGTATGGGAAGTTGTATTTTGTGTATGGCAGGAAGCCAAGTCGATAGGTTTGGCTTACATGTCGGATCCATTGTTGGAGTTCTATGTGTTGTTTATTTCCATGAAGTCATGATGAGAATAATGATAGTCGATTCAAGATCTTGAGGTTGTTAGCTTGGAAACTGGTCACTCTGAACAATACAGATCGGAGGTTGAATAGGTTACTGTGAGCCCGTGCCATTTTGTATTCTATACTACCTTCTATGGGTAAATCTATGTTTTAATATCTTGAGATTCTAGATATATCCAAGATTTCGTTAAGTAGAAGAGTACTATGCAAAACAGGTCCAACCACATTCCTGCTCCACATATTCGAGTTGTTTCGAAGCAATGGAATACTACGATCGATAGACCAAAAGTATTGCTAAGTAATAGCTCCACCGGAGAAGCTCTCAAGGAATACATTCCAAGTCTAAAACTGAGGCTGTTATCTGTAAGCATCCATGGGGTTAAGAGTGGAGCTCTCGTTGCCATAAGTGGAGAGGCATCAGACAATCCCTTTAACTACTTCTGCACCTGTTTCATACTAGTTGGTTCTTACCATTCAATACTGCTGTAAGTAAGCGAGAACCTCTTGATTCATATAAAAAAACCGAGAGGCCCTATAATGGACCAAATATCACGCCCGCATCCCCGCATCCAGAACGACTCGATCTGACTTCCTAATGTCACAAGTTTGCCTTTCATTAATACTTTTTCTAAATATGATAGCTAATTTCCCACGTAAGCATCTGTAACGATATTATTGAAGCCGAGTCCCTTTATACTCGCGACGTACGCGGGTTCGCCATCATACTCGGTTCCTTGGGAATTTGCGCAGCGATTCGCCCACTGCATGGAATTTAGGCCAAAATAGGATACCGGTCTCGCAAATGCAAAATCAGCCTGATACAAGAGGATAGCTTCTGTATCCCGCTGGAAGTTTGATGATAGATATACCCACATACCCCTGTTGTGCCGTGCCGATCAGACCAATACTTTACAATGAACTATAACTACGACGTCCAAGAAGAGCAGTGGATGGCCTTGCCACTATCCAATCGAGCTGTCTCCCTCGATATTTCACGGAGCATACCTACGTGGTCTCATCCTGGGCCACTATCAGCGCCGCAGCTACAATGGTTCATGGATCCGTCAAGGCGCAGTGAAGTGCCAGAAACACCAACTCAGTGGGTTATGGATGCTTCTGCCCTTGACCACACTTTACACCCGTCAACGACATGGACAATGAACTCTTCAAGCTCCAAGGATCCCTCGATACCATGGACAATAGACTCTCCAGGCCTTGGGGACTCTACAAGCTCATCAATGCCTTGTATTATCGATACATCAGGTCTCAAATGCTTTCCTGAGCCACAGATACCAGGTCTTCTCGGGCCTCCTATTCTTCCAAGCCCCTCAGAACCTCTGACTCCAACGTGCTCATACATTCCTGACGTACCCATGGGACCTTCTCGCGACAAGCCGGTCCTTTCTTCCCCTGGAAGCAGCAGCCACCATCTAAATTCACCCCCCGAGCTCCTTTTCGTCCACACCACGCCTGCTGATTCAACCTCTCTTTCACACGCTAAGCGTCCAGTTCCCGGATACAGATCGACGGCGCGTCTCACAACCGCACAAGGCTCTCGACGACACTATCACCAACACGTCAAAAGATTCTTTTGCCACTACGAGAACTGTCCCCAGTCAGAGCCTGACCCGCAGAGCCCTAGTAAAGGAGGCTTTACCACTCGAAAGGATCGAGACAGACATGAGGCCAAGCATAAACCGGAAATCAGGTGCCACTGGCGAAATCAACAAGGCGAGCAATGCACACGGTTATTTAGCCGTATGGACAACATGAGGGATCATGTTCGAAGAATCCATCGCCGAAAGTTCTAGCGGAACGCCTTTCGCCCTGTCAATGACTCATTTAATTTTAATATTTCACCAATAAGGCGGTTTGCGCTTTCTATACTACCCAACTTTAAGAAAGCCGCTCGTTGTGAAGTCCAGATCACAGGTTCGACACATCCGAATCTGCTATTCAGTAACTGGTCTATAGGTTTCAATAGATTTTGTTTCTAAATCCGTCCAGCAATGACTATCAGCTCGTGATCCGACACTGTATGGTATTTGTTATCGGCTAGCCAACTGGCCAAGGGGCTTAGTTCTGGATCAGATCTTCTGGTGGTGCTGCATTAAAATGTTGTTTAGTCTGGGAATTCCATAGAGGGCCTGGAGCATCGAAATCCCCTAGTATAAGACACTTCCTGAGAGGGCCCTATTCTGCAACGTTGTGAGCGCGCCGATGTCTAGGGCTAGGGTCCTGCCAGCAATGCCATTCTCCTCCCCAATTATCATAGCAACTGACTATTCCAAATAAGAATTTATATACCCCCGGGCTTTGATCCAACCACAACTACACCATATCTAGAAATAAAGCCACAGATTTCCCCCTCACCTAAAGGTGTCAGTCGAGAGGTATCGCGCTGTACCGAGTGAGGGGATACATCATCTATTATCATTTCACACGGACATACCAATCCTTCCACGTGCAATCCGTGTCGCCCCCAATTCCTTCTTGCTCTACGTCTGCCACCTGATCTTGACGCTTCCTGTTGATCGTGTCCAGTGCAAAAAGACACAAGTCACAGTGGCGCAAGTCCGCAGGAAGAGTGGTCTGGGGATTGGATACGCCAGCTCATATAGACGGCGTTCGCTCCTTTCAATAAATATTCCCTATGTCTTTTCTATAACGGTGATTGCGGTGTGGGACCAAGGTGTGCACCTGGACGAAACCGGGTGGTAAAGAGATCGATTAGCGTAATGTCTTTCAGACTGGCTGTGTCTCTACCAGAAATAAACTGATGTGTACTAAAGTTGTCTAATGCGCCAGTGCACATATTTGCATGCGAACCAATACTCTGCAAGTCATGTTTGCCTTTTGACAGATCATGTTAATGATCCTTCGCCTCGGGCACTGGTCACCATTCGAATTCTAAATCCGGGACAGGAACTCGTGCTTAATGTTAAATATGATCTCTCCTTGACTTCTAAAATGGAATGAATACGAGAGAGCATGCACCAAGATCCTTATAGAAAAGCTGAATGGACATATCGGAACGATCTGTCTGAATGCAGGCGGTATCTTGAATGCGCATGCACAAGCAAATAGATTTACGATTATTGATGTCGATCCATAGCCAATACTTGCCGATTTCTAAGGCATTATTGATTAGTTATTCAATCCACGCTGCTTTATTTTTTTTTTTTTAGGCCTATCTTTTGACTCCCAGGAAACAACCTATAAAAGGCAACATAAGAGCATGAGAGTTTCTCACCATCTCAATCCACTATTACCCAGTCATAATATTCATCACCTCGCGTATTGATTTCTTCAATCAGAATGAAGATCCAGCTTCTATTGTCAGTTATGACTCTTGGTCTTGCTCTTGGCGAACCAATCCCCAAACAGGCTCTCTCGCAAAGACAGACAGACAATACCTGCCCCAAAATGAGCTGCACAGAATTTAGTAGCCGCCGTTATCGATTGTCAGAATATGTAAGTATATGGCAAAACACTAGTAACCCTTGGTGCTTGACTAATATATATACTTACAGATATCTTCCTTCTACCGTAATGCATATCATGGCAAAGTGAGCGATGACACCGAGAAACAGGTAGAGAAAATCCGCGCTGATATTAAGAAACTCGAGGCCTGCAGGTAAGTTATTATGCGTATCCTTTTACTAATTCTGTTGCTGATTATTACAGACCTAAGGATTGTGGTGCTTAGGACTTCCATTCTGCTGTACAAGCAAGGCGCCCACGCAGCTAGATATTCAATAGTTTGGCTCTCACAAGTCAATATAATCCATCTTCCTTTAATTAATTGACCACCCGTTATAGTTCTAGTTCTTTTAGCTTCCTGTTTCTTATTCCTTTTTCAAGTTAGCAAAGATCTTGAATCTCTGGCATGGGCAATGAAGATCGATGGGTATTAGTTAAGTTTTAACTACGTAGGGTATCATGCTTGCAGTCATTAGGCAGGTTCTTGGGCAGGCGTTCAGACCAGGGAGTGATTGGATATTAAGAGATATAACAAGGTAACGTTATAGAGACGCGCAAGTAGATACTAGGCATGACTTATTTGTCGATATTAGCTCAACTTTGCAGCTCATAGCCCCTCCCATGAAATAGAAACACTGCCTTTAACATCAAATAACCTCAAGACCAAGACAAACTAAAGTAGGGCGACCAAATCTGAAAAAGACAAAGCAAATTCCGGAGGCTCATAACTGGGAATAACATTGATCCAACATTTGTCAATCTGGGGATTCATCCGTCACGCCTTGAACATGATCTCCCTGTGTGAATATGCCCGATTAAAATGGTAAGCAATGGTGACGGTCATCATGACACCTATACCTTGCACATTGAGCAAGTAGTGGCTCTTCATCACTATAGCATTACTCTGGATGCCTTACTTTGACAACATAAGGTTCTGCCACTGCCGGAAGTGGTCAACTTGTAGGCAAATAGCGGTTGCATGAAAGCTTCAGGGGACGTGGAGATCTGATTATTGGTATATGTTGGAGGTTATGCGACCGTTATATTCCTTTCCCAAAGGAGCTTAAAAAAATAGAAGGTTACTCACATAGGGAACTATTTGTTGACACCAATTGGCTGGATTTCCCCGCCGTCTCCCCATCCATAGTTAGGGCTTGCTGGACATGTGCTCTACCTCGGTCGCCTTAGGGTAAAAGATGTCCAACTTCTATCTTCAAAAGTTGTAGGGAGTATCTAGTATCTATAGCCATCTGCGATGCAATATGAAGATACCACGTACATTCACTCTATGGAGTGTAGAAACTATACGAGCGCGAACCTAGTCAGGACTCAAACTGTTAGCACCAGAGTCAGCAGTCAAGAGTACGCAGAAACCAGCAAGATTTAAAGATAATCTCAGACGATGTCGCTCTTCCAAAGCAAGGTATGGTGTGATCATTATCTCTGATAGATGACATTCACATCGGCAAAATAGTGTCTAATCACGGTATGGGTAAGGAATAAGAACTAGGCATTCTGACTTACCAGCTAGATCTCGAGTAGACAACAGCACCTATCCTCAAACGTTTCGATAATAAGGAAAGGATGAGAGAGGAATGCAAGAGAGAACGAGTATGAAGTAGTAACTTGCTTGCTTTTATATCCCATCCAAGACACAGAAGCAAATAAGTCTCACGAGATATTTGTATACTCTTTGACTACTGGTTGTCATACCGAGGATCGTACTACGCAGTACGACCTATCAGGTCGAATACCAGAATGGTCGCTCCCCACGAGGCTCCAGATCGTGTAATTAACCTGGCCTACTAAGCCCTCCTTGGTGTAACGTGATTCAAGGCCAAGATGAGGCCCACTGTCAGTGGGTGCTGAGACGGACTCCCCTGGAAATCACCGGCTGTGCAGTCGCAGAATGTTACCTGAAAGCCATATTTCCAAGGCCAAGGGCCAAGAAAACATGGTCAATGCCGTTCTCTACACTTTACGGATATATGCTTATGTACAGAACTTCACAGAGTATTCAACGCAGGGTTCTTACTCCTGTAAGGTAGGTGATAACTAAATCACAGGCAAATGGCATCCTACGACCTCTTTCCAGCCATTCAAGCAGTCTACTCTGTATGCTGATCCTAAATTCGATTAACGAGTGTATACATGCGCATCTCACTATCTCAGTCCCACCTGGAGATTGCTGCTGTGGGGGAACGCTAAAACATCAGTGGGGCCCACTAAATTTATTGTGCAGTTCCGCTCTGCTCCACAGACTCCGAGCTCCACTACTGCAAGCCAAGTCGTCTAGCATCTAGCACTGCACCAATCATCCCCTCACAAGCTGGGGATGGCTCATAATGTCTCATTGTGGCTCATGCTGGATCATGATAGCTCATACGGGATCATGCTGGCTCATACGAACCACACCTTGAAGCACTTACGATACATGAGTCAGGTCTATGGAAATAAACGTGGGCTAGCTATAATTGACCATGCCATAGACAGGTAGATACCGGTTATGATATGGTAATACTATTTTCCGTCTCTTAATTCACCCTAAGTATAGGCTATTCTCAGTGAGATAACCAGGGCAGATCGACAAACTAAACAAATTGCCAGATCTAGTTAATTTACTTCAAATCTTGTAAACTGGGCTCTCATAAAGGTTAGGGATATTTGACATGCTTGCTCGTTAGGTGATCCTTTCTATCGTAGGATGGTGCTAATTTTTGGTTTACGCGAATACGACATTCAAATAAATTGTCTTCCGAGTTTACTTATGACTTCATACACGACATTATAGGCCCATATCATAGTTTGCAAAAGTTTGCATGCTATGCGTTGTTTTTATGTGTAGAGTGTAGCAGATTTGTGATGCCTTGAAAAGTTCAGTGGCCTTAATATCCTAAATCCAAGCATGGTCGTAACGCCATTCATAGTACCGGAAGATCCTTATATCAAAATGGCACATAATAAGGGTACGCAGTATAGATCTATAGAAGTATGTTACTATGGAGAGTGTGTTTGATACTTATGTTTCTGCATGTCCGGTGTCAGAATCTCTTCAAAACAACCGAGGGCCAGGCTTTGGATATGCCTTTTGAATCACACTACCAATTATAAGGTTGATTTAATAGTCTAAAAGTCTAGAAATAGACTATTAGGCAGAAAGGGTGCAGTCTACTGGATATATGAATCAATAATATGTTATAATATGGAATACAGTAGTGGAAATATAGTGTAGGAGGGTATCTAGATTAGTAGACTTGTAGATAGGTAGGCTTCCAGCGTGTATTAGAAAAAGGCGATGTCTAAAAGTAGAGATATCCAGGAAATATGTGTCAGAAGGTTGGTATCCCAAGGATCTCGGATAGGGTTGAATAGTAGTAGTATTGTATTATAGAGTATAGGCTATTCTATGCTATGTAGGTATTCAAAACCGAAGGATTCAGGGGCCCTATCCTGCGGCTGTGGATCACGTTGGCAGTATTCTAGGGAACTAGCCAAACCCCCTATATACCTCTTGCTAGCTAGGAGTTAGAAGGTATGTTGCCGCGTTGAAGCGCCCCCTAGAATAAAAACATAGCGATATAGGCGATTTCACCTCCTCTCTTCGAGCGGAGGGTCAGGCGTAGGGATGAGGGAAATCGAGCGATTTAAGCGAGGTCTCTCCCTGCATATACATTTTTTGTGACGCGCTTGACGCATATATAATGCTCTATCTTAGCACTCGCCATTTCCCAATCAGTAGCCCTGCAGCTAATACGACTCGAATGACTAGTGCCACAGCCAACCATGATCGACTCAAGGGATAAGGCTCAACATGAGACCTGATTTGACCCACTCTTACTCCGCTATCGTCCAAATGAGGAGACCCATTGATGAAAGTGGTTAAGAAAGGCTTTCTTACAGCCGTCACCGTGCATTAGAAAAGGGTCTACCTTGAGGGGGACTTATTGGCTAATTTCACAGTCGCATCCCTGTACGCTTGTCCTCCGGGGGACTTCGAAGATTCAGAAAAGGACGGAGATAAGATTTGATCATCAGCAGGTGGGAAGTCAGCAACACAGGTATATAGGAGAGGATCCAGTGCAGGATAATCCGATATCAGTTGCATCTTCCTCGAGCGTGCAAAGAAACAGCGCAGCTTTCCTCGCTGAATCCAGTTACCCTCAGATTCCCACCTCGAAGGCTCCCGAAGAAAGTATTGTGTGAAACATACAAAATGCTCAAGCAATCGACCAAGCTCATGAATACCCACGAGGATAACGACCTCATCATCTCCAGGACGGACATCGCACTATACATCACGGCCAGCGTGGCTCTAAGCGTGGCTATCTTTATATCAACCCACGTTTAAGAAGATTCCAGGGAAGCCAAAAACGAGTTTCGAGACAAGATATCTACGATGTAACAGACGCCACCATCAGCATCTCCCCCTCACGATCGATGTACCCCATTCCGGTGTGAGGGTCACAGCTTCAACGTCTTGACGAATCGACTGCGTTCCGTTTCCCCGGCGCAAGTGTGACATTTTGCATATTCATGCATGCAATCTTTGCTTTTGATTTTTGGAATTGCTCTTTGTGATCCCTGCCTTTCGGCTGTTTCCACATGTATTGGATGTCGTATTGAGTTCGGGTCTCTGTTCAATGACAGGAATATCGTGGTCTTGGTTTGGCGAAATAAGCGTAATATATTTGTTTTTCTTGTTAAGAGTTTCGTTTGTTTGCCATATATTTATTATTCATATCGAGGACTGGATATATGAAACGCATAAGCATTAGTTTCTATGGCTGTGACACATACCACGTGGACCAACAGCCCTAGAAGCACGACAGGACATTTATACTATTCAGCTCTTCGGTACTTCGAACCATTGGTCAACAGTATGGTGTTTCTGACTAAGTCTGACTGTGTGATATGCCTCGTCAAACATGACAGTGACTATGCTTTCCAATACTCTTTCACCACTGATGAGGGGAAACCCATCATTAACCTACAACAGTCTCCTCCCACACAATCAAACTAAAGTCTTTCAACATACACAGCGAGGCAATGATATATTTCCTAGTACACAACATCTCCACAGCCCAAAAAAAGCAATAAATAACAGAACCTACTCCCCCTTCGGAATCTCCCTCAGAATCCCTCTCAACCAGTCCCTCTCCCCCTCCAACTGACAAACATACAATTCCAGCGCCTCACACTCCTCCTTCACCTTCCGCAGCTCGGCCTGCACGTGGACGATCTGGTCGAGCTGTCTCTGGGTGTATGAGCGCGTAGATGGATGTCTCTTGTTGATACGGTGGGGTTTCTCATGGGTTGAGGACCTTGAGGTATCGGGGGAAGGTAGTGGGTTGGAGGAGATGTCTTGGCCTGGGTTGGGGGCCATTCTTTCTGTTTCTGGGAGGGTTGTTAATTTGTTCATTTGAGACTGTGAGGGAGGTCTAAGGGGGAAGGGATGGACTGGTACTCTTGGTTTTCTTTTCAAATTTTCTTTCTGTGGAAGTGAGTTCCGGTGGTTTATCTTCCTCGTTCCAGCATGAAGCGTTAAGTAGAGTAGGAGTATTTAAAATGAGGTTTGAATAGTCTATTTCCTGAATATCAAGACTGTAGTCTATCCCTAGATTCATTCCTCGTTAATCACATCTCCAAACATGATGACGGGCGACAGGGATCTAGTAGCCAAGTAGAGAGAGAATTAATTTCAGCCAACAGAAAAGAAATACGGAACCCATAAGTTCCAACCGGAGCAAAAATGGCCGATTTCATACGACGGTCCCGGAATGAGTCAATCATTCAGTTCCAGGCCCGGACCTGAACGAGGAGAACTCCGGCACTGAGTCATAGTCTATAAGTCGATCAGGGGCCTAAATATGGCTTATCATCTTTCATTTACATGATGACAACAGTGATACTAATACAAATCCTTATCCTACGCCCAGATTCATGAGAACATATTGGCATGAAACGTATCGATTCGTAAGGTCTAATTAAACATTAAACTAACTAAGTACCGATTTAAGTCTATATATTAAGATGGCGTATCATCCTTACTCTTCTTCACCGACACCCACTGCATACCAAGAACTCCCAGCACGGCACAGCAGGACAGCGCGACCGCCACATAAAACGTCTGATTCAAGGCCTTGTTATACGCAAACAGCACAGCCTGGTAAAGATGCTGCGGCACGAGATTGTTGATATCGGTCGCGCCGCCGGATAAAATAGCACTCGCGTCAGCCTCAGGCACGTACATGGCCAGGTTGGTTCTCAGCTGGTTGGAGAAGACGTTCTGGGCGACCGACACGAAGACAGCGGCGGATAGGTTTTCTGTGAAGATGACGACGGCGGTGCCGATGGGGATGTCTTCGAGGGGGAGCACGCATTGTGGGGCGGCGAAGGCTGTCTGCAGGCCGCTGCCCACGCCGGCGCCGACGAGGAACTGGTAGCCGATCCAGTGGGCGTGGCCGGAGTGGACTTGCAGGGTGGAGAGGAGGCCGCTGCCGACGGACATGAGGACCACGGTGAGATAGGCGAAGGGCATGTAGTAGCCGATTGCGGAGGTGAGGACACCGCCTAGTAGGGAGAAGATCACGCTGCCCAGAAGCATGGGCAGGTTCATGACCCCGGATTTGATGGCGCTGGCGCCCTTGACAGCTTGTAGCCAGATTGGGATCTGTGGTAGGGTTAGTAATGTTCGTTCGTGTCTTTGGGGGGATTAAGTGCAACTTACGTAGTATAGCAATAGGAAGAAGCCGGCTGTCACGCAGGATCCGAATAGAGCGGACCCCCAGACGTTCCGGTTGCTGAAGACACGGCTGGGGACTGTTGCACGGTCTCCGCTCTTATACTGGATGGCAGTGAATGCGATGAAGAGAAGGCCGGCTAGCACAAACAGAGCGATGATGCGGTCATTCTTCCAGGGGTAGGTGGAGCCGCCCCACTGGAGGGCGAGCAGCAGGCAGATGACACCGAGCAACAGACACGCGGTGCCTGGGAGATCCATCTGCTTGAGCTGGTTGAGGAAACCGGCCTCGCCCTTGTTGCTACCGCGGAAGGGGGCGATGAAGAAGGTAATGATGACAGCGGGAAGCACCCCAAGAGGCAGGTTAATGTAGAAACACCATCTCCAGGAGATGTTGTCCGTGAAGGCACCTCCCATCAGAGGGCCTGTGATTGACGCAATGCCGTACATGGAGCCCATCATGCCGATGAACGCCGGACGTCGGCGTGGCGGCACACAGTGAGCGATGAGCAGGAAGGAACCGTTTCCGACACCACCGCCACCGATGCCTGCAATGGCACGACCTACAATCAGAGCTGTCGAGCTAGGGGCTACGGCACAGAGCAGCGATCCCAATTCGAAAATGAACAGCGCCGTGAGGTAGACCCATTTTACGACGTAGAAGGTGAACAGCTTCCCCCAGATCAATTGGAAGGCGCAGTTCGTGAGGAGGTAGGCGCTGGCATACCAGCCTACGTCGCCGAGCGCGTGGAATTGGTCGGTAATCTTCGGGATGGCGCTCGAAATGATGGTGTTGTCGAGTCCCACGAGGAACATGGCAAGGTTCAAGCTTAGCACGATGAGAGTCAGCTTGAGTGGTCCGGGATATTGAGTCTCGTCTTGCTGGTCGCCGTTCTGAGAGTCTCTGAGGGTGTCAGTTGAATGAGACTCCTCCTTCACCAACTGAGATCCGTTGGGAGACATGTCGGAGGTTGGTTTCTCCAGCGGTTTGCTCTTCGTGAAGAAGTTCTTCATGATCGCGAGCAATTTATATAGACTTCTCGGTGTAACTGCAGAAAAAAAAGGTGATAGACGACTTTCGATATCAGTCGTCGGTTGACAAGCTCACCTCTATAGGAATCGAGGGCCTTGAGGAAGCCGGCGCTTTGACTGTCGGGTTACTTCTCAAGAGCATCTGGTATACTGGTGGTATAAATATTGACAGTATCAACCACAATTTCTATACTCAGGCCCCCAATCACATTGCAACCGGGATCCACTTGGATTCGGCCAAGCCATGAGTCAGATTCACTCATAATGATTTGGATATCATGATTGGTGCATCACTTCAAGGTTCAATCGGTCTCCCGCTTGTAGATCTGCGCTAGTCCGTAGATGGTATAGTGTCCTGTCATCTGTATTAACCTTCGTTGTTTCCCGCCCCACAAGAGCTTGTTCATTCACGACTAACCATCACAAACATATAAGAAACAGAATATTTAGAATGCCCAAGGTAACAAAGAAACGGAGCTGCCAAGCCAACATCCAACGAGTACACCACACATATCACACCTAAGTCGCTCAGAATGGAAACCAGTAGCCCGTACGGAAGCCTCTTCCGCATGTCCCGTCACGGACCAGCTCGAACCCAAGGCATAATGTTTCCGTATATTCGTCTTGAAGCAACCGCATCTAGATTACTGGTGCTTATTGAGCTCCAACAGGGAGTATCAAAACAGGCTGTGGTCTTAGATTTTGGTATTATTGCCAAGGTAGTGTGTGCGAGCTTCCAAAGCCTCTGTCATGTAACTGGCGTGGTGAATCCCACGCTTGTCGATTTCCTTTTGGCCTGACCTACTCATCTTCTTGTTCTTGTTGATCCTGTTTGATTGCTGTATTATCATTCTCTAAATACACTGTCTGGTCTCTTTATGTGCACTGGATTGCGTACGGTGTTATATCTGATTCGGATTTAGCTCTCGAGAAAACACAAGTATTGGTAATATATGCGAGTAAAGAACACATTACAACCCTAGATAACTCCCACATGTATAAGACAAAAGTGACAGACACCCTGAACCACAACATATACAAACCAACCCAACTACCTACAAAGTAGAACACCCCTGTCCAACCCCACACCCAACCCGCAAATCCGCAACGCTCTCTCCAACCCAGATCTTAACGCCCTCCCCATTGACAGGCGCCTTCCAGTCCTGCACCACAACATCCCACACACTCAGGTCCTTGCGCGTGACATCCAACGTAAGCACCTCGCTCTCCCCCGCCGCCAAGATCTTGGTCTTCTCGAACTGCCGCAGCTGTCGAGACGGCGTGTCCAGTCCCAGGCTACTGGGTAATTCGACATACAGCTGCGCAACGGCACGGCCATCCCGAGAACCCGTGTTCGTCACCTTGACCTGGACCGAAAAGGCCACGTCCCATAAGGCCGGGTTGCCTCCTTCGGCTCCGCCGGCGCGAGGCGCGGGCTTGGGCTCCGTCGTGTAGCCGTCTGGGTAGGGGTATGTCTTGGAGGAGTTGGCGGCTGCGCCGTCCGGGTTGTCGAGGTAGGGGTAGAGGTAGCGCCAGATGCGATTGAAGTTCTTGGGCCAGGCGGCTTCGGACGCGGCTGGCTTGGTGTTGGGGTATACTGGCGTAGAGCCCTTGGCGGGTCGTGCGGCCGGGTAGGCGGTGTTTAGAGGTGTGATGATGGATAGGTTGGGTTCGGTGAAGTTGAATTGGGTGTAGGAGAGGCCGTGGCCGAATGGGTAACGAGGGGTGATGTTTGCTTTCAGGAAGTGTCGGTAGTCGATGTAGAGGCCCTCGGTATAGTCGTCTTGGATTTGCCCGAATGGCTGAGCAAGTAGCCCGACGCTCTCTGGGTAGTCGGATTCACTGCGAGGGATGGTGTAGGGCAGATGGCCGCTCGGGCTGTAGTCCCCGAAAAGAATGTCGGTTAGTGACCAGCCTGCCTCCTGGCCCGGTAGGTGAGCGACGAGCACCGCTTTGACGGAGTCTAGATCGATCCATTCTTCCATCAGGATGGGTCCTACGGTATGCACCACCACGACTACGCTGGAGAACTTCTCCGCAGCGGCTTTGACGAGTTTGTCACCATTGTGCCACGCATTTAACCCTGCCAACGTACGGTCTCCTGGATTGCCGTCGACGGTGATGTAGTTCTCGCCGGAGTCCGAGTTGATGAAGACAACTGCAATGTCATCGGGGCCTGCGGAGATGCCCAATGGAAACGTGTCCGTGATGTGGAACTCGGCATTGGATGAGATATTCGCTATCGCTTCTTGCGGCGTGACGAGATAGGGCAGTCTGGAGGTCCCGCTTCCCCAGCCCATGGTGAGGACGCCTTTGTTGCAGCCTTTATCAGCGCAAGAGTTGATTCCGTCCGGATTGGTGCCGGCATCGGTGCCGAAGATCTTCAAGCTGTCATTCCGCTTCAGAGGCAGGACATTATCGTTATTCTTCAGCAGCGTGATTGCGTCTCTGGCGATCGCACGAGCCGTGATATTGTGGTTGCTCTGGACATTGACATACTGATTGACAACGCCACTCGGGGAAAACAAGGCGCCGGGATACAACGGTCCAGTCGCATCCTCGGTATTGGAGGAGAAGTTTGGTAGCGGATAGTCTTTGTCCTGCCCCATTTTGTACCATGTTGCGACGATTCGCGTGACCTGCGATTCTTCGCATTAGCCAAAGGCAAAAGTAGTCGCGTCGAGTTCCTACCATGTCGTTCAGACGCTCAACCGGGACCGAGCCATTGAGCACGGAGCGCGACAGCTCCCACGCCCAGTAACTCGTGCCCAAGAGAGGGATGGCCCCGTCCCCCGGCATGCTCATGTCCAGACCAGCCAGCGCAGACGAAACCCCACCAAGGTGAGCCAGCCAGTCGGTCATGACAAAGCCCTGGAAGCCCAGTTCGTCCTTGAGGATTCCATTGATGAGCATGCTATTCTGGCTGCAGGCGGATCTGTTCACCTACGACCTACTGAGTCAACCTGTCCGGGGTGAAGGTGCGGAGGTCAGCTTACATCGTTATACGCAATCATGACCGAACCAGCACCAGCTCTTACACTTTCGGCGAATGGCCACAGGTACAGCTCATGCATAGTCCGGTCATCGATATTGGACGAATAACCCTGCGTGACAACACTGCTCATCCGATGCTGCTCCTGTTCGTTGCCGATAAGATGCTTGAGCGAGGCAATGGCACCGGTGCTTTGCATTCCTTTGATGGTCAACGAGCCCCCAAAGGCCTGTAGACTGGGATCTGCCCCAAACCCCTCCCAGTTGCGGCCTCCCCGGGGCTTCCGCCCGATTGGGCCCACGGACGGGCCCAACAGAACGTTGATACCCTTTCCTCGCGCCTCTTCGCCAAGACCGACTCCGCGCTCGTACATCAGGTCCTTGTCAAACGTTGCCCCAACCGTGATGCCGGCCGGGAATGCCGTATTGTGGTCCGAATTGCGGACTCCGAGGGGCGAATCATGAAGGCACAGGTTAGGGATCCCAAACCGGAGAGCACTGCCCGTCTGGCCGGCACAAGGACCCATGAAGATACCCGTGCCGCTGGTGAGATTTACCTTCTCGGCCAAGGTCATGTTACTTACGACACGGTGCGCCTTCTCGTAGGCACTGGCCCATTCGGAGACCCATCCTCCATTCGGGGCCGGGTAATATGGAGGGGAGTAAGCTTCTGTAGAGGCTCGTGGTGTCACAGTCTCTGCCCCGGGGGCGGACAGAACCCCGGGGACCAAGTAAGCCCAAAGAGCCAAATAGGCCGGGAAGGCATCCATGGTAGAGTACTAGAGGCCAACAGCCGACTACCGATAAGGCGTCATTAAGTTAGGGGGGCGTATCTTTATAGGGATACGTCGGAAGCCCGCAGAGTAGGGTGGTCGGTCATGGGATCGGGATTTAAGGCTGTTGGTATCATCCACCAAGAGCAGTGTGCTGCACAGTGGTCACAATACAGGCTAAGCCAGGGTTGAAATAACGCCGGAATGCGGCGCGCAGCCCGCGCTCGCGTGCCAAGGGCATCTATTGGCTCCCCCATGTTGATCCTTGCGACACACTGAAGGACTATCGAGTAAGATGACAGCATGCCCAGAGCCAGTGGTCGTCAGGACTAGTCCAATCCGGCAACGAATCCGTGAACCTGCAGAACACCGCACCGGTGGTGGTGGGCCGTCTGGATTAGCTGCTTGTCCATTTGCCCATCCGGTAAAGATATGCACCGTAACAGGGAGTGATCATCGCAGCCAAATGTACAGTTCAAGTCGGACTTGTACATACCCCGCATAGCTGGAAAGTATAAGACTGGTCAGACGACATAAACTGGTTAATATGGTAGTAAGGTTCATAACTTGCACAATAAACACCGAGAGGGGACGATCGCTTCGGTTAAATGTTAGGTTAAACTGCGAGTCGAACAGGTCAGGGCCGTGAACAGCAAGAGTACCTGTCGATCACCTGATAAGGATCCTTCGATCGTCAGGGGGAATGACGTTCTCTGTTCTATTTTCTCTCTTGAGAGTGTATTTCCATGTTTTTCTTGAAGATGATTCTGTCGGCCTCAATATCTCTGAGAAACTTTCATGTGACCGGCCAAAGGGTGACCTGCAATAACCCTATACAGCCACGCAGTATAGCACTGACACCAAGGGTGTGATCCATCTCAACGCGCAAGAAGAAATGTTGGAAATTAAAGCACCACTAATTCCCGATTGACGAGTCTAAAAATACTTAGACGGCAAGTAATGTCTTGGTATCTAATCCTAGAAAGGCAGCGATAGTCCGACACCGATGTTTGCCGACGGAGACTGGAAAAGGAGGCATCCAAGGGCTCCGAATTCGCTGAGGAATTGATTCCGCCTATGAGCGATAACTATCCTCCGTGTTGTACCTTGTCAATTTTCTCCTATAGGCTAATGTCATGATTATTGCATCCGGAGTATTTCAAGCTCAGCTGGGTGGCGTTGACGCCCAGCCGTCTTGGCCATTTAAATCAACCGTGCCATAGGCGGGTCGAAATGGATGACTGCACTGTTTACAATACTGCATTGCCTGTCGCCGACCAACTAGCTTAATAAGAGATACAATCCGGCTATGCAACAAGGTGAACTATCATAAGTCAGTCACTCCAAATCGATCTTGAAGATCCACCGCATCCCAAATTCCTTATGATAGATATGTCGGCTTCGCAGACCAAATCCCAATCCTTTCGCTATCAATCAATCACCAGAAGTATTCCTCTCGTACGTTTATCCTGCCTCGACGACCTACAGATAGAATGAATCTCAAGTCGTGCGCTGGCTGTATGCCGGTCAGAAGTGGGCGTTTCTGAGCAAGAGACCCTGTACCTGTCTGTCCACTTTCTCCACCAAGTCCTTCGCCTTCGGCATAAGGTGACACTTGGACAGCTTGCTGCAGATTGGATGGACCAGCTCATGGCAACGGGGCTCGGGCAGTGTGGTCAATGTTTGCACCATAAAATCTATACTGAGCCCTCGGAAAGGAGGCAATGGCAGAGGGTAGAGCTCATGAACCTTCAGCTGGCGCACGAGAGTTCCGAGTACCATTGCGTCGCAGTCGTTGCAGCAATAGAGGTTGGTGTCAGGCATGAGCTCCCAGTTGATTCGCCTGAAAAGACGGTCGACTATGTCGTCGATGGTGCTCTGCCGGGAATACTCAATTTCTTCTGTTTCCATAATGTCATTAGCATCTATCCGTCGCAGTATTAGACAAGGGGATACGATAAGCGCTCACCAATTAACGCAAGCGGAATTGGAACGTCCACGGCGGAGATTGGCCCGGTGCATCGTCGGATGGCAGTACGAGTAGTCTTTTTGAACAAACCCTCCAGTTGGAAGATCCAAGCGACACCGATCCACTTAACCAATTCCTCTGAATACACTGAAGGGATATCGGCTTTGAGATTCTCAGTCCACATCTGAGCAAACGGTTCCATTGCTTCTACGCATTCATAGTGCTCCACGAGCACCGCAACCATGAACAACTGCTTGAAGGTAATAAAACGCTGCACTTTCCTAGTTTGACCATGAATGACGTCGAGCATGATGAGCAAAGCATCGACATCTTCAACGCATGCTGGGACCACGTCTTTTTCGACTGGTCTATGATCGACTGTCTCTGGGACGAGCCTCTGGCGAAAATACGATGAAGCAAGGGTCAGATGTTTGGAAGAGACACGAATCTTGAGCATCACTGATTTAGCCAGGGCGGCAGCCTGACGACTGTTACCAGCGGAGGAAGCGTGATCTAAAGTGAGCTCAGACTGGGACTGAGTTGGGCCCAGAACCGGCTCATCAATTGCCTGCACATCCGAACTAGACTCTAGAGGGAGAGTTTCGGGGGTGGAAGCTTCTAGTATACAACACAAGATTAGTGTATCTGTCAACAAAGCTCAGTCAGTCTGAGTCGATTACCCTTTTGAACCAGATCTAGATGAAGGTTCCCAGAGCATTCCTCCACGATCAGGAGCATATCTCCTTCCGGATCGATGATGTAGTCCATGGTTGTGGCTGGCGGAGTATATGGTGAGGACTAAGAATTCATCAGAGTATGTGTACGTGTTAAAGAATTCTTGCGTGTGATAGGCAACGCCAACATAATCAACCTCTTTGTATCATGTTGTGCGCATAAGCTCTCGGCGACAAGGCTAACACTCAGTGAATATTTGTTTGTTTCGCTGCCAATCCTTGATGTGATGAAAAGTGAAAGTGATAACACGTTGCTATGACGAATAAAGAAGAACAGAATGAGAAGAGTCATGAAAAATGCATCATTGGCACAGGCTTTATTTCATAAGTTCATAATCAACTATAAACATCTATCACAAGGGAAATATGTGTATGTTGGTATGTTCAAGCACAATCTCTAATGGCAAAGCAATTAGTTAAAGTATCCAGGGAAGAGCCAGTTCATCCTCTCTCTGGCTTCAGGGCTCCAGTTGGGCTGGGCAGTGCTGAGACCAAACTTGACAGAACCTTCCACGTGCTTGGCTTGGACGAGTTCGGAGTTCTTGTCAGAGGCGAGCTCATCGAGCACAGCAGTGACGAAGTGCTTAGCGTTCTCAGCGTTGGCCTTCATATTTCCCATGACCATTTCCACAGTGACATCCTCGGTAGCATCGTGCCAGCAATCATAGTCGGTGGACATGCAGATCATCTGGTAGGCAATCTCGGCCTCACGAGCCAGCTTCGCCTCTGGAAGACAAGACATGTTGATGACGCTGCCTCCCCAAGAGCGGTAGAGATTGCTCTCGGCGCGAGTGGAGAACTGAGGTCCCTCTAGAAGAGAGTCAGTAACTGATCATAATGACACCTATCATAACTACCAGATTGGACGAATTACATACCCATGCATACCAATGTGCCGCGGTCATGCAGCACAACACCTTCGCCCTCGAGGCTGTGGCCGCAAGCCCTCACAACCTTGGCAACACCCTCATCGAATGGGTCTCCGAACGGAACGTGAGCAACCACACCTCCCTCGAAGAATGTGAACGGCCGGATGCCCTTGGTACGGTCAATGACCTGGTCTGGGATCACAAAGTCGCGGGGCTTGATCTCCTCTTGCAAGCTACCGACGGCCGAGAAGGCAATGATGGTGCGGACACCGATGGAGCGCAGGGCAGCGATGTTGGCGCGGGCAGGCACCTCATGGGGCGCAATCTGATGGTGCTGGCCGTGACGACTAAGGAAAGCGACAGCGACGGTCTGCTTGTTGTGAGAGCACTGGTGGTGCAGGATGGTGATCGGGGAGGAGGGAGTGCCCCAGGGAGTCGAGATGTTCAAGGAAGCAACCTGAGTGAAACCAGGGAGTTCACGGAGACCAGTTCCACCGATGACCGCGATACGGACAGGGTCTACACGAGCGATGGGGTCAGTATCCGCTGCTCATGTCGCAGAATGAGGGGGAACGAACCCGCGTAAGTGTTAGGAAGAGAAGCCATTCTTTTGGCAAGTTGCTTAGCAGACTCGATTCTCCGGAGGGGTTTAGTTGTGAAGGTTGCGAGGGAACGGCGAAGGAGAGGGAATGAGGGCATCCAATGCAATTTGGAAATTCCTTTGGCGATAAATTCTGAGGGCGGGGTCATGTTCTCCCCCGATTGGGTAATCACGCCTTATCAGATTCCCCACGTGGGCGGTTCCTTAGGCAGCCAGGCACCAATCATTCATATTCTTTTGCAAATGCGAAAAAAGTACTCTAAAAGGTACAACGTGTATACAGGTCCAAATAACATTGGTCACGTATAAATTAGCCATGGATATCCTGTGTGAATAACACTATGCTGAATTAATGTTTGCGGTAGCGGTAACTGCGATGATCTACACCTTGCATGTATATATAAAATGGCTTACCAGAGGCTGGCAAGAACCCTGCAGCTTGAAGGCCTATTCTGTCAAGTAGGAAATATAAATATGCCCACCAAAGGTGGCATTTTCAGGCCGAAACACGGGATGAACTGGATACGATCTACTACACACATATTCTAAGCTGGCCGCCACTCATAATGATGAGGCCCTTTCTTGACCGGTCCTGGATCCTCACCGGGAACGCCTGGCTTGTAATATGCATGGGCACCGAACAAGTCCATCTGGGCTTCCATAAACTTCGTTGGTAACATCGTCCCACCTGCATATTTCAGGTATTCCAAGGTCGCAGAAATCACCGGGATGTATTGATCGAACACTGTCGAGTCAATCACAATCCGTTTGAGAGAGTCAAAGTTTTGCTTCAATTCTTGAGCGACTTCGTCGATGTCTTTCAGATTTGTATAGTGCACGTTCTTTTTGAGCAACGGTTGTAGGAGATCGGCAATAGCTTCTGACTGGATGATACAACCGCCACGCCAGATCTGGAGACATTTGCCCAGGTCGATATCCCATTTTTCGTCATCGGATGCGCGGGCAATTAGTTCGAGACCTTGACAGAAGGACGACAGGAAGCAACAGTAGACTGCTCGCCGGAGATCTTCAATGAAAAGTCGTCGGTCTTTGATGCCCTCAATGGACTTGGGCTGTGGCATCTGCAGCTTTTCCGCCACTCGCAGCCGTTCCGCACGGTTACCACTGGCGATACGCATGTAATGACCGGCTGCAATAGTCGGCGCAGAAACATGACGGTTGGCCGTCTCCATAATACACCAGTAGGGGGTTCCTTCAGTGTCGTCGTCATCTTGTACCACTTTGTCGAGCACATCATCAAGTACGTACTCAGTCTTGTCCCCGATTCCTTCTCCTTTGCCGTCGCCTTTGGGAGATTTCCTTCGGTGGCATATTTCAGCTCCAATGTCGAGGAGGAAATTGTTTCTAAGCTCGCCCTTCTGATTCCATTCATCAAAGATGTCTCCGATCTCATCATACTTGAGCCCTAGCCCGTAATGAAGAATCGACCAAGCCTCGGCAACCGCTGAAAGCATGCCACCCTCGATCCCATTGTGTACCATCTTGACGAAATGCCCCGAGCCCGCCGGGCCAACTCTGGCTACGCACGGAAGGCCAGTCTTGCGGTCCTTGGCTGCATAGCGCTCCAAGAGCGGTAATACCAGGTCCAGCGCCTTCTCATCACCACCAGGAGACAAGCTCGGTCCCCGACGAGCGGATTGATATCCGCCGGAAACACCCGTTCCAATCCAACTAACTCCGATTTCCTCGCACTCCTTCTGCCTCCTCTCCGTGCGCCGGTAGTGCTCATTTCCACCGTCGAGGATAATGTCGCCTTTCTTCAGTGTGTGTTTGATCTTACCAAGAACCGAGTCTGCGGGGTCACCATGAGTGATGGAGAAGATAAACAGCTTCCGCTCTCCCTGGCCCTCCAAGCTCTGGGTGAAGTCGCCAATGTCTTCAAACCCTTCGATCTTTCCTTGACCTTTGACATCCTTGGCCGATTCCAAGAGCTGGTCCACATTCTCTTTCTTGACGTCCCAAATGGACACGCCGAGACCGAGTTCCGAGAACGCAAAGGCCATCATGGAGCCCATGTTCCCAGCTCCCACGATACCAATGCGCTTGAACTGTTGGTGCTGATCTGTTGACGGCATTGTCGCGCTTCACGAATTGGAAAGCAAATGATCATCTAGAGAGTCAAATCTGATGTTGAAGACCAGCACTGAATTCCGCGCCTACTTGAATAGCATTGTGGCGAACAAGCTGTTCACTTGAGTCTAGGAACAAGACACTGTGATTACATCATGGCACTGGGACGTCACGATGAAATATGTCCGCTCTCTACTATGTACTTTTTGCTGCGATTTAATTTATCTCCGGCGCGTTCTGCAGTCAAGTGGAGCTCCGAACCCTAACTGGCCTCGACTCTCATCATTACATCATATGGAAAACAAGATCGTCAACTGCTAAGTTATGACTCGGACCCTATATAGCAAATATACCACAGATTAGATTACAGATACTACAGCTAGACATAGACAATCCAAAAGCCATATCCCCGACAATAAAACCAAACCACTCACCAAACCAAGACACATTACCACCCTAAAAGAAACAAACCCCCAAAATGCCCACCGATATAAACAAAATCCCCCTCTCCTACGCAACCTGCTCAATAGGCACATCCAAATCCGACACCCTCCCCCGCAAACTTGAAGTCCTCCACCAAGCGGGCTTCACCGGAATCGAGCTCGCCTTCCCGGACATCGTCGCCTACGCCCCAGCCGTGCTCGGCCACGAAGTCGCAGAAGACAATTACCCCGAGCTGGTCACCGTCTCAAAGGATATCCGCAAACAATGCGAAGCCAGGGACCTGAAGGTGATGATGTTGCAACCGTTCGCGAACTTCGAGGGCTGGCCGCGGGGATCGAGGGAGAGGGAGGATGCGTTTACGAGAGCGAAAGGGTGGATTGAGGTTATGAGGGCGGTGGGGACGGATTTACTTCAGGTATCTCTCTCTCTCCCTCTGTATCCATCTATTTGATATAAATTATGGGGTGATGATAGTGTATGTTTGAAGATACTAATGGGATGATAATAGGTCGGCTCAACAGACACACCCCTCGACAAACTCGCCGCAACCCAAGAAAACATCATCACCGATCTCCGTGAGCTCTGTGACCTCCTCGCGGCGCATAATATGCGTCTTGCGTATGAAAACTGGTGCTGGTCTACACACGCGCCCACGTGGAAAGACGTCTGGACGATCGTCCGTCTCGTCGATAGACCTAATATCGGGCTCTGTCTTGATACGTTCCAAACAGCTGGGTCTGAATGGGGTGATCCCACCACATCCACTGGGCGAATTGAGGATTTGCCCATTGAGGAGTTAGATCGACGGTTAGAGAAGAGTATGGAGGAGTTGGCGAGCACGGTTTCGGCGGAGAAGATCTTTCTGTTGCAGGTGTCGGATGCGTATAAGCCTGTGCGGCCGATTGAAGGGAAGATGGTGGATGGGGCTTGGCCAAGGGCGCGGTGGAGTCATGATTATCGGCCCAGGCCGTATGGTGGAGGGTATTTGCCTATTGAGAGGGTCGGAAGAGCGGTGCTGAGGACGGGGTTCCGGGGCTGGTTCTCCATGGAGATTTTTGATGGTGGGTCTGATGGGGAAGGGAAGGAATATGAGATGGGGGAGTATGCGCGAAGTGCTATAGAGAGCGTGCGGAGGTTTTTGGAAAAGTCGGGGGAGTAGATCTATAGATTTAGAGAGGTAGAGCTTGTGCGTGGGACGAACCCGATGAAATTCATTGACTGATGTGGTATATACCTTCGTACAATGCCCAGCGAACTTTTGTCGCGCGGAAAGATGTCATATGAACGCCAAAATACTATGCAGAAATAGACAATCCCACCAAATTAACAAACCAGATACAGATCGGGGAATACATTAACCAAAAAGACCTTCATGACACAATTTACGCGTTGCTAGGGTAGGCAACGTTGTAGGTGGGGACAAACTCCTCCTTCATGGAACGCAAGCTGACGAAGCGAGAGAGCAGGTTTCCACTGCCCGCCTTGTCGTTGGTGCCACTGGCGCGAGCACCACCGAAAGGCTGCTGGCCGACAACGGCACCGGTGCTCTTGCAGTTGATGTAGAAGTTACCGGCAGTGTTGCGGAGAGCATCGTCGGCCTGGCGGAGAGCCTCGCGGTCCTGCGCGAACACAGCTCCGGTCAGACCGTACTCGCCGGTCTGGTCGATCTTCTCGCAGATCTTGGAGAAGTCGGCCTCCGTGGCATCGTTGTAGGCATGGATGACCAGGACGGGACCGAAAAGCTCACGGGACAGGAGAGGGTGGTCGGGGTTGGAAGTGCGGTAGACGGTAGGCTGAATGTACCAGCCCTTGGAGGAGTCGTAGCTGCCACCGGCCAGGAGCTCGAGCTCAGGGTCGTTCTTGGCCTCGTCGATCACCTTCGCCAGCTTGTTGAACGAAGCCTCGTGGATGACGGGACCGCAGAAGTTGGTGAAGTCGGTCGGCTCGCCGACCTTGAGCTTCTTGGTCTCGGAGGCAACCTGCTCGAGGAACTCATCGGCGACGGAAGCGGCGACGTACGCGCGGGAAGTAGCACTGCACTTCTGTCCTTGGAACTCGAAGGCTCCACGGACGGTCTGGACCGCGGCATTGCGGATGTCGGCCGACTTGTGAATGAGATGGAAGTTCTTTCCGCCGGTTTCACCGACGATGCGAGGGTAGCTGCGGTACTTGCCCTCAGCAACGCGGTTAGCGATCTGGCCGTAGAGGCTACGGAACACGCTGGTGCTGCCAGTGAAGTGAAGGGCAGCGAACTCGGGGTGGTTGAGGACAGTGTTGGTAACCTCCTCAGCGTCACCAGGAACGAACTGAATGACATTCTTAGGGAGACCAGCCTCCAAGAGAATCTCGTGAACGAGCCAGTTGGACGCAATGGCGGAAGGAGAGGGCTTCCAGACAACGACGTTACCCATCAGAGCAGGGGCACCAGCCAGGTTGCCACCAATGGCAGTGAAGTTGAAAGGACTGATAGCATAAACGAAACCCTCCAGGGCACGGTATTCGACGCGGCTAGTTCCTGTTAGTCATTGTAAAGAAAACCCTGCAGGGGAGAAACTCACTTCCAAACGCCAGGAGCGTTGTGAACGGGCTGCTGAGCGTACAGCTCCTCGGCGTACTTGACACCGAAACGGAAGAAGTCGCACAGTTCGGCGGCGGAGTCGATCTCAGCCTGCCAGGCGTTCTTGCCCTGACCGTGCATGGTCAAGGCCATGATATCGTAGCGGTACTTGGTGGAAATCAAGTCGGCGGCCTTGAGGAAGATGCTGGCACGTTCAGCAAATGAAGTGGAAGCCCAAGACTCGCGGGCCTTAAGAGCGGCGTCGATGGCGGCCTGGACATCCGAGGCGCTGGCATGAGAGTATGTGGCCAAAGGAGCATGAGTAGCGGGGCTGGCTTGTGTGAAGGTCTCGGAGCTCTTGATCTGTGAAGTCTGTTAACGCTGATTTTCTCAAATAGATTCTCAGTGCACAACTAACCTCCTTGCCCGCAATCACCAAAGGAACATTGAAGGGGGCATTTTGCTGGTGCTTCGCCAGGGCTTCCTCGAGACCCTTGCGATCGGGAGAGCCAGGGGCATAGTGTTTCTGTGTTGAGGTTAATATCGCGAGACAAGTAATTCTAAGGGCACGAAGTCGCAACTCACGTTGGGTTCGTTGTCAATACGGGGGACCTTGAAGGTGGCGTAGGATCCCATCGCCCGGATGCTGGAGCGGGCGAAGGAGGACTTGGCCAATGGAAGGCCCCTAGCACGAAGAAGCAATGAGGACTGCATTGTGATGGTTCTCTTCTAATCAATCTCCCGTCCTAGTATAGAGGATTGATGAGCTCGAAGCAAAAGCGTTAAGAATGAATGCTGAGGAGAAGGAGAAGAGGAGAAAAGTACTGCGGGGAAGCTCTCGGATTTAGTAGCGGTGTTAGTCAGCTATGTTAACCGGCTTTCCTTTTTCTTTTCCCTTTTTTATTAGAATTTAATTACAATTAACTTTTTCTCTACTGAATACAATATTGTCCGTACCGGTACACGGCAAGGTTGCGCCTCCTCCAGCATTCCCGCGAGTACTGATACGGTCCGGTACACATTCCGGGTGGGACGACCGGGCCGGCATTGCATTTCTCTTATGAAGGATGGGCAAAATATACATATTACACCATATATTTGGAGTATTGTTTCGATTTTGCTGATTGTTGATATGACAATTTAATTATGATAACTTATTGCTATTAGTATCGGTATGCCAAAAGAACTCCAGCTACTATTGTGTCTTCGGCATTGACGAGGTTTCTTTTTCATCTCATCTTTTTTTTTTCTTCCCCGCATTTTAGGCTTGTATATGACGTAGTTGAATAGTTCCATTGCCCACGTGAGCAGTAGACCCTTGGTATTCATGTACAGTACATCGAAGTATACAGTTACACGTAACTTGTCAGTCAAGACCAAATACGAAGCCAATTCACGCAGGGTAGTCATTTGAAGAATCCAGCAAGATGAACATGAAAAATCCATGGAGTTCGCTGTCCAACTAGCACTAGAGTTGTCACTTGTGATGTGTTGGTTCAAATGACTTGTGAAGAATGTCTGGGCACGAGTATGTACATCATGCCAACACAGCATTCCTAGGCAGATTTCGAATCCTCCGTGTGCTTCAGCACCTGGTAAGAAATTGTAGACGAAAAATATGTATATAAATATAAATGAAAGGAGAAACTAGAAATAAAATAAAAATCCAGATAAAGACGAGGTCACGAGGGTGATGATGACGGTAAGAAAAACAACGTAACACTTATAGATCTTCTCCTTTATCAGCTGCGGCACAGTACATGCATGCCACGTGGCGTTGTATCGAGCGTAAGCTGTATAGTGGAATCTAGTATCTACCAGTACTGGTCCCCAAAAGATAAACACAATGTCCTACAAGTGGCTGATGCAAGACCAGAAGGTAAAGAACCTATCACAGGACTCCCATGATGCAGAGCTTATAGATCACTTGACTCAGATCGGACAATATATAAATACAGACGAACAAACACACAAACACACGCTACTTGCTGGAGCCCGGTGTATAGGCCGAGATTGCTCGTGATCTTCCAACTATACCCATAGTAGAAGTAATAAGGCATGGATCTAGACTGCGTAACCATTTCCCTGATAGCCCAATCAATATCACCAATCACTTTTAGCACTATACTATAATACATCTGGAAATTGGGGCAAACCTTCCAGAAGGTCTTTGCGATTGGGGCAGGGACATTTTCCAGGCGACTTAGTAGGTACCCTTTGTGGGGTATCTGATAACTTTACTACCCCAGGTTTACAGCTTATCCGCTGCCAAAATGATGTCGATGTTAAGAACACCTGGGGATCAAACTGCCAAATATCAATTTAGTCATCTTCATTGGTTGTGTGCGCCTATCATGCTGGATGATCAATTCAATTCTACCGTTGATGCATCGAGAAGATCTGAAAGGTTTGAAGATCATAGGACCAACAACATATAGTTCATACTCCGGAATAGAGGTTCCCAATATCCGCAACATACAACCCCTCTCGTTTAGTGGGATTGATCTAAAAAGCTTGAGGCTCATTGAAGTCTATGATTGGAACCGCGTTGTATGATATACCAACTTATTTTGTTCAAGGTGGTCCAAGTGTCGACGACTAGATGAGCTACTAGACTTGATTGGTACTAGTACAGGGAACCTCCAAGCGGTTTAACTGCAGGGCCACGATCTTAGGTAACAGATAAACCGGTTGGCGTCGGACTAGCTTACCGGCAAGGGTCGGCAGCAACTGTGAGTGGTCAGTTCACCGGCCCGGTCAAGCAGCTTATCCTCCGGTGGGGATTTTTTCCCGGCCCGTGAACCGGTCGGTGATCTTAAAGGTAATTCGCCCCTATGCAGATGGTTCATCTTCGGCACAGCTGTTCTTATCAAGACCCTCTAGAAAATTCTTGATAACACAGTATGACCCTGTATTCTGTAAATATTACCACCAAGGCCGGACAAGTTGAAGATAAGCTGTTCTGTTCAACTACGTCAGAATATGTCAACCTACAGGTCTGAAGAACGTCAATTGACTTTGACCTCCAATGGAATGTACTCCCGGAAAACTTGAGTAAGGTCAATGTAACTAGAACGTACCCCGTACTGCAGTACAGTAGTCGTCGATCTTAGTCGATCTCATACTAACCCCTTCAGTAAATGCGGCGGGTAGATCAGGGCGAAAGAAAAACAGTCCCGTGACGGTATTGGAGCGTAATACTCACCATCAGCGCCACCACGCGGACGTCACACGCCAGGTATTCTTTAGTCATTACCAACCAACAATCTTTTTGTTCTTCAGACCGGCTGCCTTTGCGGTTTTCACCGGCTAACCCCTTTCCCCGTCTATCTCTAATCATGACTTTTACTATGGTCAAACAAATGTCATGGAAAGCTACCGGTCTGAATTTTCCCCCTCATTTACGGTGGATTCCTCCGGAAGTACTTATTCATATTTCCGTACTTTTATTCCCTACTTAACCACCATCCTGCCTGCTTGACTTGTCCACCCCCATACCTCGACATTAGACAACCAGCTCTACACCTACTACCACAATGAAAGCAGCTCGTCGTCCTTTGCGCCCCCTCGCTGGCACCCCGTCCTCCGTTCTGACCGCTAGATACGTCAGCCGCACCAGCAACCCTAAGTCGTCGGTGGCGACTTCGACAACCACAACGAACAATGTGTGGCAGCAAGATCCTCAGACTCCCAAGCAAGAGTCTTCTCCTCTGGCAAAGCTTCCCATCTCGTCGGTTCTGCGCTCTCTTGTGATTCTGTCCGTCTCATCTTCTACACTTCTCCTGAAGCCATGCATCAAGACACTGTCGATGCTGGCGCATCCTAAGACTGCTGTTCTGGATGTGGCCAAGAACCCTCTGTTGAATATGCTCGTCAAACATACCATCTATAAGCAGTTCAACGCTGGCGAAAACAAGCTTGAAGTCCAGCGGTCCATTGAGGACATTAAGCGTCTTGGATACAGGGGTGTGCTTCTCGGATACGCCAAGGAAGTTCTCGTTGGAGAGAGCAACGTGGACCCGAAAGATGAGCAAGCAGCACGCGAGGAAATCCAGATGTGGCTGGATGGAACCCTGCAGACCGTTGATATGGCGCAGGAGGGAGACTTCGTGGCTCTGAAGTATGTTCTTTGTCCCAATTCTTTGTCTTGGATTTGAACGCAAACTAACTGGTATAGATTCACCGGTATGGGTGTTCAGGCGCTCGATGTCCTGCAGCGTCAGGCTGCACCAACCGAATTCATGGACCGTGCCATTCAGAAGGTCTGCGATTTGGCTATCTCGCGGAACGTACGCCTGCTCGTGGATGCGGAGGAGCAGGCTGTCCAGCCCGGTATTGAGGAATGGACCATGAAGTATCAGAAATACTGCAACTCTCAGACTCCGGGCCGTGCCATCTTTTACAACACTTACCAGGCATATCTCTGCTCCACTCCGACCACCCTTGCCAAGCACCTTGAAATCTCTCGCCAGGAAGGCTACACCCTTGGTGTCAAGCTGGTCCGTGGCGCGTATCTTAAGACTGAGCCTCGTCACTTGATCTGGTCCACCAAGGAGGACACGGACAAGTGCTACGACGGTGTTGTGGAAGCCCTTTTGACCCGGAAGTACAACTCGATGCTGAAGTCTGCCTCTGAGAAGCACCAGACTGACCTGCCATCTGTTAACGTTATCATCGCCACCCACAACCGTGACTCTGTTCGCAAGGCACATGCTCTTCGTACTGAGCAGGCGATGAAGGGAGAGAACCACGGTGTTGACCTGTCCTATGCTCAACTCCAGGGAATGGCTGACGAGGTCAGCTGCGAACTTCTGCAAGGCTTCCAGAGTCCCGAGGTGATGAAGGGTGCCTCTATGGAGTCTCCCAATGTCTTCAAGCTTTTGACCTGGGGTTCCGTCAAGGAGTGTATGGGTTTCCTGATGAGACGCGCTATTGAGAACACCGAGGCTGTTGGCCGCACCAAGGATTCCCAGCAGGCGATGTTTGAGGAGCTCAAGCGCCGGGCACGCCTGGCATTCCGCCGCAGCAACTGATTATCCTTATCTTTCTTCCATCACTCTTAGCTTTCTTTGCTTTCCTCTTATTTTTGGCGTGATCCCCAAGTTCGCATGTCGTTGGCATTTTGATTGATTCCCTCACGCTCTGTTGCTGGGCGAATTGCATATAGACGGCGTTAGCGATTCTGGTTTGGCGAACTTAATGAATGATAATGAAATTAGACACAATTGTTGTCCCTTGGTTCTTATATCATACCTTTTTTGCGAATATGTGTAGATTGGTAAGTCAATGCCGCCGGGAAATTAAGCACCCCGCAGGCTTGACTTTCCCGGCGGAATTGATCGTCCTGATAAATAAACCCCGCGCTTCCATGATTAACCCACTTGGAAACCACTCATCTTGCTTGATTTGGCGTGAATCTCGCAGTTTTTTGGTTTCATAATTGTGCAAACACCTGGGGCAATATATCCCTGTTGTGTTCGAACATTGTACAAAGACTGAACAAACCGATACAGCGTACACACCGTGACAATGTATCTGTTGCCAGAGCCAGCCGTTTCTCGGTTTTTTAGAGAGCTGAGCCGTGAACAATGTTATACACTCCTCGATGCTCTGTCTGAATCCCTCGTGGAAGTATCGTCTCAGGCGACAACTCCTGAGTCAGAGCGACTCATCCATCAACCACTCCGTACATCGATTATGACCAAAGAACAAAACATGTCGCTTTTCATGCCGGTTTCGAACACTGCAAACACAGGAATCAAGATCGTAACGCTTTCTCCGGCACAGGGCCTTACTGCAGTCATCAACATCTTCTCGCCCGAGGGCAAATTGCTAGGTTTGCTTAGCGCAACCGAAGTGACTGCCTTCCGCACCGCACTTGCGGTTATGACACTGTTTGTTCGTTGCAATTCTCTGAAGAAGGAGAACATTGTGATCTTTGGCTCGGGAAAACAGGCAGAGTGGCACGCACGACTTGCACTTCTCCTAGTCCCGGATCAAGTCCGCAGCATTACGTTGATAAACCGGGGTCGGAAAAGGCTGGAAGAGATGAAGGATATTATTGCAGAGCTGCAAGCCGCTCACCCTGGTGTAACATTTGCAACACTCGCAAAAGAGGATACACCAGACTACCAGGGACAACTGCAGGCTGCATTAGCAGCGTGCGACGTTATCTTTAGCTGTACGCCTTCTACGGAGCCTAACTTCCCCTATTCCTACCTCCAGCCGTTTAAGCAGCGATTCATCTCTCTCATTGGTTCGTACAAGCCTCATATGAAAGAGATTGATACGGAAACTCTGTTTTCGGGTGGGAACAAAATCTACGTCGACTCGAGGGAGGCATGCTTGGAAGAGTCGGGGGAGCTGATCGATGCGCATGTAAAAGAAGACCAGTTGATTGAGATTGGAGAATTATATGGGAAGCTCGGAAAATCCGAGCCGATCTCTGTCTCGGACACGCAAAATGTGGTTTTTAAATGCGTGGGCATGGGAATTATGGATCTCACTATCGGAAAGACGCTCCTGGATCTTGGAAAAGAACAGGGACTGGGGATGGAGGTCGATGGCTTCTAGATGGTGCCATTTGGGTGACATTGTGAGTGATGGCGCGTCTGGAAGGGACTCAATTCTAGTAAAGACGCCGTTCATTGTGTATAGTGAGTATCCGATTGCATCATCCAGGTGCATTTAGTAGATAAGAGAGACTGAAATATATATTCTGTACAATGGTTTATTTCAATACTAGGCGTGGTATTGGATATAATACCAGTCCCCAGATTCGGTTATCTTCTCATGCGGGGCGGTGTAATGACTGGGTAATTGTACCCGCGTGCTTATCAGAGTGGAAATTTCAATCTAACTCCCAATCGGGGGAAATTATGTCAGTAACTAACCGTACGTTTGGGTACTTTTTCTCCTTCTTTTCCCCCAGGTGACTATAGTACCGGCAGCCACTGCACCCTAAGCTTCCTCCCCCCAACACTCTCTTATTATTATTGGTATATCCTTACCATGCTCCCTCGTTTATTCTGGCCCCCTTGACCTCTTGCCCTACATTTTACCATGGACAGTGGTCTACCGACACCAGCTGGACTCGGTCAGCAGAAACGACCCCGCGTCTCCGAAGAAAACCGCAAACGAGCCGTTCGAGCGTAAGTAGCTGTCGCACGTGGTTTTTAACCCCAGTCAGTATCGGGGAATGCCTATATGTACTAACATGTCAATCCTGATGTCCAGCTGCGATGGATGTCGCCGGGTGAAGGAGAAATGTGAAGGAGGAGTACCTTGTCGCAGATGTTTGCGTTATCGCCGCCAATGCGTATTCACACACCCCGACCATGCGGAGAAGGTCGCTCGGTCTTCGTCGATCTCGTACGACCCCTACATATTTTTCTTGGCGTCTAAGCTTCAAAATACTTATAATCTATCGTCTATTTAGTCTCCTCGAACGGAATGCCGGCCTCAGTCGACAGAACCTGGTGGATACGGAACGAATTCGGTACATGGAACGGATCCTTCAGCATTATGTTCCGAACATCTCTTTTGATATTCAGTCCCTCCGTAAAACTGCCGAAGAGCTGAAACATAGACATCGCCATTCCTTCACAGATGCAAACCCTTCGGTTCGCCTTGACGAGGAGGATTTTGAGGATTTGGCTATCGACGATGAGGACTATATGGTGAAGGCTTTACCGGATAATACAACACGTGCGTGCCATTGCCCAAACTTGCATTCTTGGCTGTTAGACGCAGCTTCGTGTACTGGTTCATCTTCTAATTCGAGCGATTGTAGAATATTCCGGAGAGTTTTCCTATTTGAACTTGTCCATGAAAATCCGACAAAAGATCGATGAATGGATGAAAACAGCAGCACCAGAGGTAAAGCCACCTCTTTCGCTGGTCATACTGCCTGCTAATTCTGGAAGGCGTCTACCGAAACAGACCCATTTGAAGAGCGATGGCGTGCGACGCAGCTCCAATCGGGATCCTCCTTAGTGTCGGCATCGGTGACTTGTCTACCACCACGTTTTGTAGCCGATTTTCTCGTTCAAATATTTTTCAAATACGCGCAGACCAATAACTTCTATGTGGAAGAAGAATGGATACGAGAGAAACTGAACATTTGTTATACTAACCCATCGAGTCTCTCGTCCAATGATGCTGGCTCCGTATGCTCGATACTTATGGTCCTAGCTGTTGGGACACAGTTTGCTCATATGGAATCGGCCATTCCTGTCAATCGGCCGCCGGTCGACCTGTCGTCGATGGAAGATCATCACTTTTCGGAAGATGAAGTTGGCCTGACTTTTTATCAGTTCGCTTCGAAGCTGGTTCCAGATATCCTTGCAACAGTCTCCATCCGGAGCGTACAAGCCTGCTTATTGATCGGAACATATTTGTTACCCCTCGACACCTCGGGCCTTTGCTATACTTACTTCGGTCTAGCCCTTAAAATGGCTATCCAGAATGGCATGCACCGGAGATACCAGGGTGAAGGACTCTCCCCTCGAATGATCGAAGTCCGCAATCGAGTTTTCTGGACAGCTTACACCATTGAGAAGTGAGAAATCCCCTGCCTCGGACTCTGAGCTCCACGCTTACTGTGTTTCAGGCGTGTCAGTATTCTTCACGGGCGACCTGTATCTTTGTCAGATTCGGATGTGGATGCCGCTATGCCGGTTGATTTTCCGGGCTTGAACCTAACAGGGCAGGTCTCAAATCATACCAACATGGTGACTTTGATCACTCTAACTCTTAAGCTTGGCGAAGTTGCCAATGAGATGTGCGTATTAACTTCATCTTTTCTGCTTTAGACCTTCGCTGACGCCATGAAAAAGATCTGCACTGCGAAAATCTCGCAGGGGCCAACAGCAGGAGTGCCTTGAACGACTACTCAATTTGCGGAAGAGCCTCGTCGATTGGTGGGCTACACTGCCAGAAGAGACCAATTGTCGAGATTTGAACCCCTCAGGACCACTATTCCGCTCCAACGTTCACTTGAAACTGGATTACTGCCTGACTCGCATTTTCCTTGGGCGCCCATTTCTGTTCAGCAACTTTAAGATACTCAATGCCGCCACCACTCCTCAAGCCCAACCGTTTAAAACACCGTCAGGTGTTTCAAAGAATAGATCGACACTCATCACTGATTGTGTAGAAGCTGCCCTCGAAATCATTAATCTCTGTCAGTTACTCCGGGATGAGTCCGGTCTTGCTCGGGCATCGTTCACTGAATTCAGCTCTTGCCGTGCTGCTCTCCTTGTTATCCTTGCACAGAGTTTGACGAAGCGAACTGAAAGGTTACGCGAAGCACTTGAAAAAGGCATGGTCTTGATCAAGATCATGTCAATGGGCGTGGGATCTGCACGTTCTGCTGTTAGTGTGATTGAGACTCTCGAGAGAGCCATTAGCCGTCTCGAAGATTGGAGTGAAAGACAGGCACCGGACAATGCCGGCTCTATGGAATCAGCATATGATCGCTTCAAGAATTGGGAGATGCTCTGGAAAACTGGGCCAATGTCACCCGAGCTTGTTCCTTTCCATGAGCAATATCCGGCTGGAAGAAGCAGCATTCCTCCTGTCCCTGTTACTCCAATGACCGGCACTTCCGGTGGCAACGACCCCATGGAAGGCGACGTCGCAAATACAGAAATTACCACATTATCGGACTATTCCGCCTCCCATGCAGCTTCGTTACCTCCAATGCCTCGTTTTGGTTTCGATCATTTTGTGTCCAACTTCCCGCAAGAACTGGACGAATTTACCGCTATCCCCTGCTTTGAACCCGATGCACAGCAAAACCTCTCTAGCGACATCAACAATCCGGATACCAAGTGGATGCAATTTACCACTGACTGATTAAATCTAACTTATGGCCCTGGGTACATATTATATATTTCTTCACGATGAGTACTTAGTTGTGTTATTCGTCTTATTAAGCGTGGCGACGTCATTTTACATGCGATGCAATCGTTGAATATTTTCAGTTGATAGTAGTCGATGGATACTCTACAGTTCATACAAGATACCTAGATAGTACATGGCGAATGCTTTGTTCATTGAAGCAAAATCATGAAACGCTTGAAGTGTATTGAAACTAGACACGCAAGGCATCTAGGCGGGTATATGTTTAATCAAAAGTGACCTTCTTACCCTGGAATGCAGCCGTAACCTTCTGCTCCTTAGCCCGCTTGGCTGCCTCCCAGGAAGGATGCAGGGGCTTGTCATCCTCGGGCTTTCTCCTCTGTACAGGAGGACCACGCTGAGGACGGTCTCCACCATACTGAGGCCTCGCACCTCGTCCCTGGCCTCGCCTTCCTCTCGGGCCTTCGGAGCCATCCGTTGCACCCCGGCGCATATCCCAGCCATTATCACGACTCCTCTTTTGCTGGTTCTGTTGCTGCTTTACGTGGTTTGCTCCACTGCCGTACTTCTTTTCCCACAAGGCACGACGCGCCTGCTGACCCATTCGATTCTTCCGGCGTGGTTGTTGTCCCTCGATGTCTTCTGGTTCAGACTCCGACCCGGAAAAGTATCCACCCATGGTTAGGGAAGGCAGGAATGTTGTACTGGTAGCTGGGGCACTCAATGTCTTGCTGCTCTTGGCCTTCTTAGCCGGCGGCGAGTCCGGTGATGGAGACCGGGAGATAGACATGTCAGACGGTGCTTTTAGACTGACGCCCCCGTCGGAGCCATCATCATCACTCGCTGCACCATCTGCACCATCCTCATCCTCATCCTCCGAACCCGGCGCAAGCCTCGAATCGAATTGCGCAAAGTCTATACTCTCCGCATCGCTCATGACTTCATCTCCTTCCTCAGATTCCTCGCCTTCCTCTCCTTCCTCTTCATCGAATTTCGCAACTGCCGCAGCTATTCTAGGGTCCTCCGGTTCACTATCTGATACGGATACAGCCCGCTGTTCCGTCTTCGTCTTTGGCGCATTTTCTTTTGACCCAGCCTCCTTGCTCTTCTCCTTCTTTCCACCAGCCACGTCCTCCACCCCTAGTAGCTTTTTGATATCGGTCATGATATTCGGAAACGCATTCTTCACCGGATTGGACTTATACAATCGCGCAGTAACATTCGCCTCAGCCGTACTCCGCGGCCCCTCCGCAGAGATATTCTTCGACTCCTTAAACTGGATAAAAGCAGGCGCCTCGGAAATCCGTTTCGTCTTGAACAACTGTTTGAAAAGATACTTTTGCGCCGTAGCGGTTGGATCAAGACTCTACCATACCGATTGCAATTAGCATGCGATCAACTCAGACTTGAGTAGTATACCGCGCATAAGAACCCAAGATATAAAAGAAATACATAGAAAATGAAGATAGAGAACCACAGGACAATACAAACCTTGATAAACTCAATCTCCTCCGCGATTTTCTGCAACGCCTCGGAGCTCCCCTGCGACTTGGCGGTTTTTTCTCTCCTCGATAATTTCTGCCTCTCGAAGCCCTTGGCGACCTTCAGCGCTCGCGATAGGAGGACGACGCCCTGCTCGAACTTTTGCGTCAGGCGCATGGTTTGCACGTTGTATGTGCGCTTGGGACCAGAGTCCACGTCGGAGAGCTTGCGTTTGGGCATTTTTGGTATTGCTTTTTTTTGTTTTCTTCTTTCTTTCTTTGTCTTGCTTCGTTTTGCGAGGTATGGGGTTATTTTCGGATAAGAGGGTAAGTAGTTGGGATCTTGTTGGTTGGTGTTGTGGTGGTTTGGGCTTGAGGTGGTGGTTGATGGGGTCTTAGAATATTCTTTTTTTCTTTTTTTATGATACAGATTTATGCCCGCGCCAAGAAGTGGATTTTGCTTGTGCCGTTGCTTTCCTCTAGTATTTTTTAAACCAGGATTTTCTCACTAGTGGCCTTATCTGCCTTTATTTATATCTTATAAATCGGGGCGTAATGATTGGACGAGGGATCTGGAGCTATCGATTAAACTATTTTCGTTTTTAAGGGTTAATTGGATTTTATATGTGGTTTCAATGGTGATTGATACTTCTTGCTGTCTCTTTTCTCTTTTACTTGATGGGCTTGTGACCAAACAATTGCACTGAATTCACTCGTAGACGTATGTACATACAAACAGGAAAGGAAATACGAATACACTGCTCTATTTCTTTTCCTCCGGCTTCTCCTCGGGCTTGGGGGTAGGAAGCTTGAACTATTCCATTTAGTTAGCGAAAGTAAGTCAATTGCGAGTTCTAGCCATCTTACCGACGCGGGGGTTCTGTCCTCGCCCGGTCCAACAGGCTCCCAGGCGGCAGAGCCACCCTCGAAGTTCCGGAATGCCTGCGTAAGTTCAAGAGGCTCGATGACAATGCGCTTCTTCTCTTCGTCATATCGGAGTTCGGTATATCCGGTCAAGGGGAAGTCCTTGCGCAGAGGATGGCCGTCGAAACCGTAGTCGGTCATGATACGGCGCAGGTCGGGGTGGCCAGTGAAGAAGACACCGAACATATCGTACACTTCACGCTCGTACCAGAGAGCTCCCTCGAACAGACCAGTGACACTGGGAACCGGGGTGGCCTCATCGGCGTAGGTCTTCACACGGATACGGGAGTTGTGACGAACGCTCAGCATGTTGTAAACGACCTCAAAACGCTGGTCCTTCGTGGGGAAGTCGACGGCCGTGATATCGGAGATCTGGGTGAATTCGGCGGCGGTGTGGTACTTGAGGAAGCTCATCAATGGGATAACACCGGAGGGAGGGACGTAAACGACCAGTTCGTCCTTCCATACGGTGAACTGCTGGACGTATTTGGGCAGACAGGACATGATGTACTGGCCGTACTGGTGCAGAGCATCGGCCTTGTCCTGGTACTTGTCGGCAGGGTTGACGACGGGAGCGCGGAGAGCGCCCTCAGCTGTAGAGAGTCAGTCAATTGCAATTGGTGCCAACGTAAAGCTATCGTCCGAAGCCACACGTACGAGGACGCTGAGCCTGGCGCATATTGGGAGGCTCGGGGATCGACTCCTTCAGCAGAGGGGTCGTCGAGAAAGGACGGCACATGCGGGACGACCGCGCGGCCGAAGCCAGCGAGCGGCCGGTGCCCAACCGCATCAGGGAACGAGCAGAGGCCATTGTGGATGGCAATTGCGGGTGAGAGGCAACGGGGAGGTGGAGGGGAGACAGCGGAGATGCTCGTCATCCACTCCCAGGGAGCTTTTCCTCGAAGTTGGACGTGATGCATCACGTGCACGCTGACATAAGCCAGGCATTCTTTCCGGCGGGCTGCAAACGAAGCAAACGGGTGCAAACCCAACCAAAGCTTCACTTCTCTTTCTCTTTCGCCTCCAAGTCTCTCCTCTTCTCCCTGTTCTGGTCCGCTTCTGTTACTCTCCCCACGTTGTCGATCTCTCTTTAGATTCCCTCAGTCCTTCGTCCTCTTCTTCTTCTCTTACCTCGAGGGTTTCTTACTCTACCTTAATACGTTTTTCTTTTATATTCTTCCTCCTTCTGCCCCGGGTTGGTTGATGTGTACTGGTCTTTTAATCCGACTATCGTCTTTCTAGATTGTACCTTTCCACACACACATATTCGGCAACCATGTCAAATCGCCAACAGATCGACTCCGTCATTGATGACGACGACGAGTTCTGGTACGTGCTGCGTTGTTGGGCTGGAATATGAATAGGGTTGGGCTGACAATGACGATCTTCTGTAGCCCCCTGTGCATTGAGGAATTCGACCTGTCCGACAAGAACTTTAAGCCGTGTCCTTGTGGGTATCAGGTACGTTACCCCTCGCTCTCCCGTCATGGTGACAACGGTTGTCACCAAACGACATTCGCGACCCCCCATATGCGACTGTGCAAGGCACTGACATGAAATGACCAGATCTGCCAATTCTGTTACAACAACATCAAAACCCACAGCGAAGAAGGCCGCTGCCCCAACTGCAGACGGGTTTACGATGAGAGTACCATACAGTATAAAGTTCCCGATGCAGACGAGTAAGTGAAAGTCCCTTGCGATTTGAGACGTTGCTTTTTCGGCGGTTCTTGGCGCTAACTGCGGATCCCGCAAACTAGATTTAAAGCGGACTTGGCATTAAAGCATCGAAAGGCTGCCGCTGCGAAGAAGAAGGAGGCGGAAAAGCGCGAGATCGAGGCTTCGAGTCGGAAGAACTTGGCTGGTGTGAGGGTCGTGCAGAAGAACCTGGTCTACGTTATTGGCCTCAACCCCACCATACGCGACGAAAGTCAGCTCCTCCAGACCCTTCGCGGACGGGATTATTTCGGCCAATATGGAGAGATCGAAAAGATCGTCGTCAGCAAGGCAAAGCCCGGTGGCAACCCCAACCAAGGCATCGGCGTCTACGTTACCTACTCGAGGAAGTCGGATGCCGCAACCTGTATCGGTTCAGTGGATGGATCTGTAAACGGGGATCGTGTCTTGAGGTACGTCGCTTCTTGACTACGTGTTTGCAACACAACTGGATTATTGACTTGACTAGGGCTCAATACGGTACGACGAAATATTGCTCCTCCTTCCTGCGCAACGAGCAGTGCCATAATAGAAATTGCACCTTCCTACACGAGACGGGTGAGGATAGCGAAAGCTATAGTCGGCAGGATCTCTCCTCTATGAACACTCTTTCGAGTCAACGTCCGAATGGTGCACCTAGTGGACCCAGTCATACGATCCCCCCACACGTTGCCCGCTCTTCCGCCATGCCGCTGTCGCAACCGATGCGCCGTCAGCCCAGTAAAGACGATGGTGCCAGCAGCCGCCCTCCTGATGGGTCCGCCCTTCCTTCCTCTGCAAGTTGGGCGAATAAGGACTCGGTGATCAGCCGGACAAGGCGGGCAAGTCTTACAGCTAGTCAAGCGTCTCAGAGTCCACGACCCGCGAGTGCCAATGTTGCGACCAGTACAGAGGAACCCAAGCGTGCCGAGAAGCAACCTACCCCTGTTCAAGAACGCCGCCAAACCCCGCTGCCAGAGACCCAGTCTTCAACTCCTAGCCCTCCCTCTGAACCCCAACCGCCCGTTGACGCGGATACACCTCTATTTGAGAATTTGATCAAGGCCGTTAATTCTCCTGATTTCAAGTTTATCTTTTCGGCGGCTGGTCTGCCCGCAGATGAAGTTGCTCTCATCGAGAATCACCCTTCATTCATTGATCCTTATGGTGGCGTAAAGCGTCGGGCAATGCGGGAGAAAGCAGAGCAAGAGCGTGCAAAGCGAGATGAAGAGCTGCTTCAATCGGCAGCTGTTGAAGAAGAAACTAGGGAGAGCGGCAGCCTTCAACTTGGTGGCGAGCCGGATGAAGCCCACCCTGCGAGAGGTCGTGGTTCGCGGGAGTCACATGGTGCTATCCAGCCGCCTTCACAGCAGGGTACTACAACGAACTCGGTGGTCGGCTCCCCAGTTTCTGCGTCAAGTCATCAGTTCCATGGACTGAACCTAGCTGGCCGGAGTTTGACCCCTCTCCAACAGCAACAACTGATGCTACTCAAATCTGCTAGCAATCAACAGGCCGGCATTGTGGACCCATTGCAGGGTGGACTTGCCTCTGCTGCCTTGGACCAAGCTGCTGTTCGCCAAGGCCTTTTGCAGACCCAGATGGCACAGCTTAACGCTTTGCAGGCGCAGAACCGCCAAAACTCTCGCTTTTCCTTCACTAATGATGCTGGATCGAAGAATCTTCCCAACGCACGGATGCTAAGCCAGCAGGCTTCCCTGATGCAATCCGGGACCCCTAACCCACTTGCTGCGCCCAGTCCTCAACATGGGCTTACTAGCAGCTTCTACACCAGCGGCGTTCAGGGTCCACCTCCAGGCCTGAAGACGGCTGGCACGCCCCCCATTAGTGGAGGAGGAATGTTCGCTCAAGGTCACGGTTTTACAACAAATTCTAATCTTGGTTTGGCTGGCAGTATTGGGAAGCAGGAGGCCAACCCGGATTTGATGCGCGAGCTTCTGCGGAGCCGTAGTGGCACAAATGCTAGTGGTTTACAGGCACCGGATGCCGCTAAGCGTGAGTTCATGTTTCCTTTCCTTCAACAGCACCAAACTCCCCCTCCCCTGACTCCTGCCAATGGCCTTCTCAGCTCTTTCTATGGCTCTCAGACCGGAAACTACTCTGAGTCTGGGCCACAGAAGCAGAAGAAGAAGGGGAAGAAGCACAGACACGCTAACACTTCCTCCGGTGGAGGCGGTGTAGTAGATCTTGCGGACCCGAGTATCCTGCAGGCGAGGATGCACCAGGTGGGTGCGAATGCTGCTGCTGGGCAAGCGCTTTATGGGAGTCAGGGTCAAGGTGGGTACAATCACACTATGATGTACGGAGGCGGCTTCAACCGCTGGTGATGGTTGTTCGCCTTCTTATAATATTCTCTGTTCTCATTTCTTTCTCTGTTATTATGATGACTACCCTTTTCTATCCCCTTTATGCGAATTGTGTTTCTCCTTAACTTCACGACATGATATCATGTTTCTCTAGATGGGGGGCAGGATATGCGTTTTGTTCAGTTCTCATATTTGATTCGATGTTCAAACTTTGCGACATATTTCCACTCTGCAACGAAGCATTAAGCAATCGGCTCTGAAAAGAACAAGATTCTCGGGCTAGGCGTACCATTGGCGTTATGTTTATGCAACCTCTGTTTTTTGTTTTTTCCGTTCATAATCGTTCCTGTCCTCCAATATTCCCCGTGGATGCGAGGCCTCGGCGCATTTCATAGACACTTCGTGTCTTCTGGGCCCATATTGGTTGGCTGGACATCGTATGTCTGTTCTTTTTGCATCCAAGCTGGGTTGATATATCAGCGTCTTGGTGGCCGATTCCCTCTGGTCATGACTTTATGTACGTTAACCTCCCTGCCCTGGCTTTGTCATAACGAAGAAGGGCCCTCTATTTGAAACCAATCTCTCACAATTACTGTTCATATAGAGATCTTTATCATTTGTATTTGCCAGGTCAACATGGCCGGGCCATTTTTGTAATTAAGCTGCCTGCCCTGTCGTATCGCTTGTCTTATTCCCGTGTTGTGGAGAGCCTGCTGCCCGCTTGTTCCTTCTTAGTGTCCGATTTGCTTTAGTGTCTTCCTTGCTTCTGGTGATGTCGCTGGTTTTCTCTCGCTCCTCTGCCTACGCATTCCTCCCAACAGACCTCCTGCCATCCACACATGTTTGCAAACATATGCTAACATATGTGAACTAGTTGATGAAGAATTTCCCCCTCTCGGTGCCCCCGCAAAGGACAAGCGCCCGGTGGACAGCTTTGGATTCTTAGGTCGATCACATTTTTCTACTGAACCTCAAAGCTCCGCACGCGCCGGAACTCCAACCTTACCGCCAGGTCTTCCCTTACCTCATGCCCATCCTGCGTCTGCATTATTTCAGAGTCCATTAAATCCTTCCAGCCCGGTCTCCGCTGTCTCTCTTCCACCCGGTCTGAATGTTCCTTTCAACAGGCTTGGGACTCCTTCTCAGAGCTTCCAGGAGACCATCTCTGGCCCGCAGTCGCCGGACATGAAAAGCACACAGGATCATGGACCCATCTCAAATCGAGCTAAAAATGCTTCTGAAATATCCTTGGGGTCGCCAGTACCAAAGTCAGCTAATAAAGCTCGCTCCCAACCCAAGGATGACCTGACAGTTGCCTCTGATGATAAGTCAAGCAAGAAATCAGGGGGTATCACTGAAGAGAAGTCAGCCTCCACGACGGCAAAGGGGAAGCCTATGAAGTTGGATATCCCACTCAATACGTCTCAAGTCCTGGATAGCACCCCCTTGAAAGGCGAGCAATTGGCCCAGAGTGCCATCGGTTCTCGCCCAAATACACCATTGACTGGAGTTTCACGTGTCTCTGACTCCTCGGTTCCACGTCAACCCAGGGTTCTTCGTGTTGTTGATACTCCGAAAACTGAGACTCCCCCTCCTGCTTCAGCCACTCAATCCATATCATCCCAGCTTGCCATGGCGAAGGGACGATCGAGAAGACCCAGCGTATCTTCCATAAGCAGGCCTGATACTCCTGGTGACTTTGGATCGGAAGCTGATCTGTATACGTCGGCGTCCGTTTCTCGCGCAAACTCTCCTCCTGCATCATCTAGGATTGGCTCTGCACCTGTACGCGCCATGACTAAGAGCCAAGCCAAGAAAGAACGTAGACAGAAGGCCAAGGAGATGGAAGCCAAGAAGCATGAGGCGGTGTCTGCTATTGTTGAGGAGCCAGTGCAGGCGCCTATTATTGGAAGGAAGCGGAAGACCAAGAAGACCCCGGCAAGCAATCCTGAGTCAAATACCGCAACGCCGGACAATACCAACGAAGCCGCGAAGCCCAATACTAGTGGGAAAGAAGTTACTGACAAGGCTGATCAGCGGGCTGAAACGAAGAAGAACAAGTCGAAAGATAAGGCTGCGAAGGATACTAAGCCTAGCGTTGTCGAAGAGAAGGAGGCCCCTGCACAGAAGACCGCAGCAGAAGCGTGGCGTTCTAACAACACTATTGAGCAGTTGATCAAGGATTCGGAAGCTGCTGGTGCTCCAATCAAAGAGTTGTTCTCGGAGCGAACATCTGTCCTGCCAATACTGCTCGCTCAGCTCCACAAGGCGGGCAATCTGGATCTCCATGCCCATCCCTTGTTTAACCCACCTAATTTGGCCCAACGTGTGGACATGAAGTGCACTGCGGATGATTATGAAATCTTGAAGCAGCCTGTCGAGTTGACCGAGGAACACCGCAAAGCATTGCTGCGTGGAGAACCAGTTCGGATCAACTCTGACTCCAATTTGACTAAATATCGCTGCTTAATCACTCCTCGCGGCTGTGTTCTTCGTCATTTGGGTCCAGAGGAAGAAGAACGTTATCTTGAGCTTGAGAAACACATCGGTGCTTCCATTGATCCCTTCCCCGAGTATCCGCCGACATCAATCACGGAACCCGACGTGACAAACCGTGGTGGTGGGCTTGATGCTCTTTTTGCTACACCTGAAAACTTTAATATCTGCTGGGTCGGTGAAACGTCGGTTGGGATTTCGTCTGCATCGCACTCTGGCGATATGACTATACCTGACTGTGCAGTTCCTTCTGATACTCCTACGCCACCAAACGTTCTCTCAGCCATGGAGGCGGACAGCACTCGCAGTCACAACTGGGCTATTGCCAATACCGCTGAATTGGTAAATGCTACTGCCACTTCTGTTCGGTCCTTTGCCGCAGCCACCGCCAAGCATATGCTGGGAGCTGCAGGTGTCGTCATGGGCAATATGCCGGATCTGGATGATGTGGTTGGAATGACAGATGAGGAGCTTCGTACGTTTGCTGCCAAGTCGCAGAAGGAACTTGAATCATCGCGCAAAGACCTTGACTCCATTGACAAAAAACTCAATGCATTGGTCAAGCGGAACAAGAAGCTCGCACAGCAGGCTTTGGCCACCTCTGTTGAGGGATGAGCTGCCTTGAGGGAACTTGGGCAGGGCTATCCTTGAATCTGTAAAATAAAGACATGGGGATTTCCCTGTGGAATTGTAAACTATGTATTATTTACTGTACAAACTCATGAGCGTTGTTTTTACATGCTTGGAGTTGGGGGGCTCAAAAAGCGCATCCGTTGAAAAGACATTGTTTTGTATCCGGTTATCAAGGAAACGTGGGAAGTTACATAGAGGTTTTCAAAGTCCAGCTTTGTGGCTCTGCAATTAGCAATGGACATACATTCGTTTGTGTACCACACGCTACAACCTAATACTTCTCTTCGCTCATAGCCTTCAGGCTTACCCTAGTCACGCCTTCGGTCAAGGTTGACAATACCGATTTAAGACTCGAATCAAGGCAACAGAAGGCTTTTCCATGATTAAATTCATGCTATACAGGATATCTTGATCTATGTGCTCACAAACAGATCGCCCGACAATCTATAACCCATTGATACCATCCTTGAACTCCCGAAGGTCGTATTCTTCAGGATAAGTCTCAAGGATCCGCTTCAACTCTTTCATCTGCTCCTGCGCTTCCTCCGTCAATTCCTCATACACACCCTCAAAGGCCTCCCGAAGAGGCGGCTTCTGCTCACGCTCCGCTTCTCCAAACTCCTTCAGCACCTCCTTCCGAAGCTGCTCGCGCGTAGTACGCTCCGTATCTTCGTCCCACAACCCTTCGTTCTCGAGCCACTTCCGCAGCCGGATAATGGGGTTATCGCGCCGTTTCCAGTCTTCCACCTCTACCCGGGCACGGTACGCGAAGCTATCATCACTAGTACTATGGTGCGAGACACGGTAGCTCATTGCTTCAATAAGCACGGGCTTGCCGCCATCGGAGAGCGCAATGCGTCGTGCTTCGCGCATGGCTTCATAAACGGCGAAGATATCATTTCCGTCGACACGGATCGTGTCAATGCCGTATCCTATTCCACGGCTGGCGATGCCGTCACCCCGATATTGTTCCAGTGTGGGTGTAGAGATGGCATATCCGTTATTGCGGCAGACGAAGACCACGGGACATGACCGTGTTGCGGCGATGTTGAGGCCGGCGTGGAAGTCACCTTCACTGGCGGCGCCTTCGCCGAAGTAGCAAGTCACGATGCGTGGTGGGGTGTCGGGGTTCTGGAGAGATTCTAGTTTGAGGGCGTAAGCTGCGCCAGATGCCTGGGGGATCTGGGTTGCAAGGGGTGAAGAGATGGTGTGCTGGGAGAGGTTAGTATGTATGCGTGACTGTATACCATGCGGTAGATTAGGGTGTATCAGGGTGCTATACTCACCATGCGAGGGTAGTTGGAGCCATAATGCACCGGCATGTTACGTCCCCTGCCGTTGTCATGGCAGTTTGCAAAAAGCTGGCTCATGAAATCCTTCAAAGTGAAACCCCGTTGCTGGAAGACGCCTGTTTCGCGATACTGCGCGAATACCACGTCGTCGGGTGTTAATGCGGCGGCCGATCCGACACTGATACCTTCTTCCCCGGCAGACACCTTTTAGAGAAAGCGTTAATTCAATGTTGTCTCGTCAATTGGATCAGAATATGGGGTCACATACCATGTAGAAGCTCAGACGGCCCTGTCTTTGGGCCTCGAACATAATCACGTCCATCACACTCACTAAAAGTTATCAATAACAATTCATGATGAGAAAGCGGAGAAGGGAACCTACCAGTCAACATATTCTTGTACCACGTTAATATCTCTTCGTTTGATACTCCGGAGGGCTTCCGGTTCTTGTCCAGCAATACACCGTCGGAATCCATGACACGGTATGTAGGGATATTTGTCGTTGTGGAGGGATTGATGAACGCCATGTCGGTGGTGAATTTACTGTTCACGGCTCCAGGAAATCGGACACTAGACGTATCTTTCTATCAGCGCTGATTGCCCTTTCACACAAAACCCTGTGTTTGCAGAGAGGGGATATTTTTATCAGGTTCACATACCTGTCCGAGCCTGGCCGCTGGGAGATAGAACTACTCCATCGTTGAGGGATCCGGGATAAGACCCTGGGATTGCGAGATATGCGCCTCAGAAGATATGCCGACATTGTGGGAGTGATCTGAGAAGACAATTGTCGAGAGAACCTCAGTTGAAAAAGGACATGGGGTATTTTCTGGGGTCATTGATCTTAAGGCATCTTTCTGGGGAATGCGGAGGGAGCGGTTGGCTTCGGCTCAGAACGTCATGCCGAACCGTGCTTAGCCGATCGGTTTCATTGAGTTGATCTTGTTTGTTCATTTTGTTCTGTTTGCCCTGAATAAGGTCACCTGATCCTGTAGATGTGTATTCATTCATCTCTCTTTCAACTGTTGCATGTTGTATTGCCAGGCTCTGGTTCGGAGAGGATTATGGGTCTCGCCTCTGAGAAGGGGACGGATACCCTGCCCGACGACAATTATGAGTTAGTGTCGCCCAATTCCATCTGTACGATTGGTCTCAAGTCCAATATATACTAGTACATCCTGGACTCCACCTCGGACATATACTTGAACGGGTCAATCCGTTTCCGTACGGCTTCGGGATTCTATACCATCCAATTTCATCATCCGGTCACCTCACCGGCAGCAAGAAATTTGTTGGGATCTCTTTAGAAATGCAAGCCGACCGGGAAGACAAGATGCATTTACCTCCGGACGGCGACCTCCATGCAACCTCGACCGCCGATCAGCTTCCCCGCCGCAAGTGAGGACTCCCGCAGCCTTCTCATTCGCATCTCATTGGAAGAACTTCATGCAGCGATCGTGCTACTGTGGATACAAGCATTCTATCCCCAACCCCCACCCATGATACTTTCCCTTTTTCAACACGGTTTTGCTTCCGTCTACTCTATACCGGGATCCGAATCGTGGGAGGAGATATCGGATATCGGAGTCCTGCATGACTGGTAGAAATCTAGTGACACAAATGTTACTTAGCGAAGTATAAAGACTGACCGGTTTCCCCTCAAGCGGCCATCCTTTCTGACTAGGATCTAAGGCCAGCCTAGTAGAAACCCCGCAGTCTCGCAATGCGGTTCACAGTGAAGGCCGCGGCCCTGGTGGCATCCAGCATACCTACTGCACTGGGCCAGCATGTCCGGGATCTGAGTAATGAAAAGTGGACTCTCAGTAGCGATGCCTTGAATCATACCGTGCCCGGAAGTCTTCCATCTCACGCCCATTTGGACCTGTTGAAGGCTGGTGTAATTGGTGAGTTACTTCCCTTCATCTGAGATATCATACATGCCTCTAACATGCATCGCAGATGACCCGTAAGTGATGGTGAAGCTCTATAAAAATGATTTCACCGGATTGACTGGGCCACATCAGATATCATGGACTCAATGATTTTAATCTTCGATGGATCCCGGAGTCTAATTGGACCTACACCACTGACGGGATCAAGAACTTGTGAGTAACTGCCGTGTTGTTTGGGCTGTTTTGTTGTTCTAATTTTCACTAGACTAAAGGACGCCGAGTCTACCTGGCTCGTTTTTGATGGACTTGACACTTTCGCAACAATCGAGTTCTGTGGGAAGCACGTCGCTTCAACGAATAACCAATACCGCCAATACTCTTTCGATATCTCTCAGATTCTGAAGGGCTGCAACGAGGATCCCGTCTTGAAGATTAACTTTGGCAGTGCGCCAAACATCGTGAATGCAATTGCCGAGGATCCTAACTCACCAGGTTTGAGCACCAGAGGCATTTCCCTGTCTTTTACACAGCACTAACATGCTTCTCTAGTATGGCCCGATGGAATACAGCAGACTTATGAGTATCCGAATCGATGGTTCATGCGCAAGGAACAGTCGGATTTCGGCTGGGATTGGGGCCCTGCCTTTGCACCCGCAGGACCTTGGAAGCCTGCTTATATCGTGCAACTACCCAAGGCGCAAAATATTCATGTCTTGAATACAGACATAGATATATATCGAAAAGGACAGATCAACCATCTTCCGCCTGACCAACGTCAGCCATGGGTCGTTAATGCCAGCATCGACTTTGTGGGCTCTCTTCCGCCCAATCCGTCTATGTCTATTGAATTTAAAGACACCGATTCTGGTGAGATACTCACGTCAAAGCGGATAGGTAATGTGACTGTGTCTGGAAATTCTGTTACCGGCGTCACAGTCCTTGGTGGAGTGACTCCAAAGCTTTGGTGGCCACTGGGTCTTGGCGACCAAAATCTCTATAACATAACTGTCACTGTTACTGGCCATCAGAACGAAACTGTGGCCCATGTCACCAAGAGAACAGGCTTCCGCACGATTTTCCTCAATCAACAAAACATCACAGATACCCAGCTTGCCCAAGGCATCGCACCAGGTGCCCACTGGCATTTTGAAGTCAACGGACACGAATTTTACGCCAAAGGCTCCAATATCATCCCGCCAGATGCTTTTTGGCCTCGTGTTACAGAGGCGAGAATGGCCCGATTGTTCGATGCAGTTGTTGCTGGAAACCAGAATATGCTCCGTGTTTGGTCATCTGGCATATATCTCCACGATTTCATCTACGATTTAGCTGATGAGCGAGGCATTCTTTTATGGAGCGAGTTCGAATTCAGCGATGCTTTGTATCCGGTCGACGATGCGTTCTTAGAGAACATCGCCGCTGAAGTCGTGTACAACGTTCGCCGTGTCAACCATCATCCTTCGCTGGCATTATGGGCAGGTGGAAACGAGATCGAGTCACTGATGCTTCCGACGGTCGAAAGTAAGGCCCCTGAAGAGTATGCGAAGTATGTTGGGGAATACGAGAAACTGTATATCAGTCTCATTTTGCCTCTGGTTTACCAAAACACCCGGTCGATCACATATAGCCCTAGCAGCACAACGGAAGGCTTTATTGAGGTCGACTTGTCTGCTCCCGTACCCATGGTGGAACGATATCACAATACCACACCTGGATCCTACTATGGCGACACTGATTTCTACAACTATGACAGTAATGTCTCCTTCAACTACCATGTCTACCCAGTGGGTCGCTTCGCCAATGAATTCGGATACCACAGCATGCCTAGCCTGCAAACCTGGCAGCAAGCCGTTGACCCCGAAGATCTCCATTTCAACAGCACCACTGTCATGCTTCGGAACCATCACTACCCAGCCGGCGGCACCTTCACCGACAACTTCCACAACACATCTCTAGGCATGGGCGAAATGACAATCGCAGTGCAGCGGTACTACCCCATTCCTAACAAGCTGGACTCCGTCGCCAACTTCAGCGCCTGGTGTCACGCAACCCAACTCTTCCAAGCCGACATGTACAAATCCGAAATCCAGTTCTACCGCCGCGGTAGCGGAATGCCCGAGCGACAACTCGGCTCCCTCTACTGGCAACTGGAAGATATCTGGCAAGCGCCGTCATGGGCCGGTATCGAATACGGCGGACGATGGAAGGTCCTTCACTACGTTTCCAGAGACATTTACCAGCCCATCATCGTCTCCCCGTTCTGGAACTACACCACTGGTGACCTGGACGTCTACGTTACGTCAGATCTGTGGGAATCGGCAAAGGGCAAGGTAAACCTAACTTGGCTGGACTTATCAGGCAAGCCTCTTCCCCACAATGCAGGCACACCAGGTTCTGTTCCCTTCAGCGTGGGGGCGCTCAATACCACAAAGGTATATAGTACCAACGTTAAGAATCTTACGCTCTCCAATCCCAAGGATGCCATCCTTATTCTCTCTCTGTCGGGTGAGGGACACCTCCCCAACTCGGACGAGAAAACGACATTCACCCACCAGAACCACTTCACGCCAGTTTTCCCCAAGGACCTCGCCTTGGTGGATCCCGGACTTGAACTATCGTATGATTCCAAGTCGAAGACTTTCACAGTAGAGGCTAAATCAGGTGTCTCGTTATACACGTGGCTCGATTATCCGGCTGATGTGGTGGGGTATTTCGATGAGAATGCTTTCGTGTTGCTTCCGGGACAGAAGAAGGAAATTGGCTTTACGGTCCAAGAGGATAATACTGGTGGGAAGTGGGTGCAGGGGGTTAAGGTGCAGAGTCTGTGGAATCAGACACTTGAGAAGTAGGACGAACTTAGGCATGTAGGCACTAATTTCAGGATAAGATAATATGCGCAGCATCCATTCAATCACTCCTGAATACTGTGACGAGCATTTCGTGTGAAACATGTAGATTTAGCAGAGGTCATAATGGCCAGTGTGCTTCGCCATTTATTGTCGAAGACCTTCCCATCCACATAGTGAAACAACTCCACCGGTGGTAAATAATCGCGTCCGGCTCCAAAAAGTATGCCCTTCTGTAGAACCTTTCGATAGTTCTTGCCAGGGGACACTTTGCCCAAGATATATCCCTGACGTGTTTCCACGCGCGTCAGGACAGGAATAGAGCGTCCAACAATGGCCTCCATACCAAAAGTAATACCTTCCTTAGCGGCAGCCGGGATACCGGCCTCATCCAGCAATACGATCTGGACGTTGGGGTCATGTTGCTGGATATAAGATGTGATGTTAGGGTTGTAAGCGCCGCCGCCACACATAAAGATCTCGGTGATCTCCAGGTGCTTAGGCGCATATCGCTTGTAGTTGTCGAAGATCGCTTGAGCTGTGATGCGAGTAATCGTAGCCACAATATCGTCCGATGAAAGGCCTTGTTTCTCAGCCTTTTCAATCAATTAGAAGGCAAGTGGATCGCGGAAGACTTCTCAGCCGGTGGTTTTGGGAGGATCGAATTGGAAGTACTTGTGTTGCAGAAATTCGTGGACAAGGGCCTGGTCGACCTTTCCACTTGCACCCATCTCGCCGTCCCTATCATATTCGCGTTCACCGTTGGTATAATGCCGGACTACTGCGTCTATAAAAATGTTACCAAGGCCCGTATCGAGATTGTAGCACTGATCTATCCCGCCTTCGACATCAGAAAAAATGAAGCTAGTCATGTGGTCCATGGTACCGTGTCCTGAATGCCTCTCAAATGTATCGCCGTTCCATGTTTCACGATGGCTTCAATCATTCACCTCACTTCTGTTGGCCAATCATATACTGAGGACGACTTGAACTTGCAACAATCGCGAAAATCCACCCTCAATGTCGAGTCCAATAGGCAAATGTTCCATGAGACCCGTCCCAAGAATGAAAGGCTGAGTATGCGTTCTATGAGGGTGCCTGAGATATACATGGTTGGCCCTACGACAAGAACGATATGCGTCATCCTGAATCTGGGGTTATGCCACAAGCTTCAGAGCCATACGCCAAAAATGTCGTATTGTATAATAGAGATATAGATGATTAAACGCTCTGACGAAGCACTATTTCATAAATTACAAAGAATGGGTCGCTCTCTCCAGGAATCCATATTCTGACCCACTACCAATACCAACATACCGAGCCCCCAGCTGTTCTACATACTGCCTGTCCAGCATATTTCTCCCATCAAAAATAAACTTGGGCGGACGCATATGATCCGTAATCCGATTCCAATCCAGTCTCCCCTCTTTATCGCTTGGCGTACTTGGTGGAGACCTGGGCTCCTCGATGCTAGTATCCTTTGCCGTGGTCATTCGCACGTCGCCTGTCGGCATCGGGGTCTGAAACTCGTCCCATTCGGTTGCAATGACGACTGCATCGGCGCCATTACATGCTTCGTACGCTGATGTACTCACTTGGACAGATGCGGAATGGCTACCGGCCGCATTGACGTCTGTTAGGATGCGATCTGGCGGAACCATAGGGTCGTAAATGGAGACGAGGGCGCCTTCTTGGAGCAAGCTTTGCACGAGAGGAATGGCAGCAGAATTCTTCGTGTCCGATGTATTCTTCTTGAAGGCAAACCCTAATATCGCAATGGACTTTGCCCCGACACTCCCGTGCATAGACGAGACAATGCGCATAAAGAATCGCGACTTCTGGTACTCGTTCATCTCCACAACGGATGCCCAATAATTTGCCACGGGAGTGAGACCTAGACTGCGAGCCAAATAGACGAGACATAAGATGTCTTTCTCAAAACATCCGCCTCCCCATCCAAGGGTGCTCTTCAGCATTCCCTTTCCGATGCGAGGATCCATCCCGCAACTAGCACTCACGCTCTCAATATCTGCGCCGACCGCTTCACATATCGCACTTAACGAGTTCACGCTGCTGATTCTCTGCGCTAGCATTGCGTTGGCGGCCAGTTTAGCTAGCTCGGATGACCAACGGTCCATCGTGATTATAAGCTCGGGTGATACCCACCGGGCGTATATCGCAGCCAGCTCTTCAGCTGCTCGGCGCGACGATGGCCTTTGTTGGTGGCCGATCAGAACTTTTGTCGGATACAATAAATCTGTAATTGAGGTTCCTTCGGAGAGGAACTCAGGATTCGAAAGGACCTCGAACTGGCAGCCGGTTTTAGAATTCGATTCAAGCTGCGCTCATGGTACCATTAGCATTCCACATCCGAGCAGAAATAAGCAAGACACCCGTACCAAGTCCCGAATTTTGTCTGCTGTCCCACACGGGACGGTCGACTTCTCCACGACAATTTTGTCCGACTCTGCGGCCTGCGCTATGGTCCTGACAGCAGCCTGCGTGTTGGCCAAATCTAATGCCAGCCCTTTCCCAATGCCGTTTTCTTTGGTAGGGGTATCAATGCACAACATAATAAGTTCCGCCTCTCGGATGGCGTGATCAATATCTGTCGAGAAGATAAGATTACACTGGGTCTCTCGCTGCCGAACGCTAGATAGAACATCTTCGAGGCCTGGCTCATACAGTGGAGGGGTCGTTGTATTCCAAGCGTCAATCCGCGCCTTGTTTTTGTCCACAACAGTTACCTGGATGTCCGGACATTGATAGGCAATAACCGTGGCCAGAGGACCCCCTAGAACGTTTAGACAGGAATTCATCGCCGCATCCGGTGCCTCACTCACCCACAAACCCAGCACCAATACATGCCACCTTTCGAATCATGACGGCGAAGCTTCTGGGACTGGTAGTGGTTTGGTTCCTAGCTGAACATCCAGGGGAGAAAATTACGCTCGCTTCATTCTAGCCGTGTTCCTGGACTCGTCCATGGTCCACTCATTATATATGAGAGATCGAGATGCCCACTCGTGGCGACCCAAGGATGATGAACTCTTGCCGGATATGGTAAAGAACGCACCGTTCAAGGTTGGACCTAAGGAAACTTGCGGTTGGGATTTGCGTCGTCAATTTGTCATTGTGCAGATTGTCAGCCCGCCACTGTGTACACCGCATCAGGAAAGCCTGGGAGTTGTGACACTTGTCTACGATCGGCATTCCTCAGCCCCACTACGTCGGCACTGGGCAGCTGAGGGTTCACACTTCAGCCATACTCACTCCACTGTTGGAGGGAATCGATGTGCTCCACTTCCGAGGTTAGCTTCATGCGCGACGAGATAAAGTCTTGTCGGGGCTGATCGGGTGGGTCAGTGCAGACGATTAACCACTACTTAAGCATGCCATCCATGGCCCCTACTCGTTGGAGAGTATATGCTACATATTTAATATGACAAGTCAGGACGGCAAGCCGAGAATCCTCATCACAGGGGTAAGTCAGGAAGCCCCTACCGGTCATCTCAGAAAGGCCCCTGGCTAACGCTGACAGGCTGCGGGGTTCCTCGGGTCCAACCTTGCAGATTACCTCCTTGCGAAGGGCCATGTAGTCATTGGAATGGATAGTTTCCAAACGGGTTCTCCTCAGAACCTAGAGCACCTCAGGAGCCATCCCGACTTTACGTTTGTCAAGTAAGATAGACACCAGGGACCAAACCCCAGCTTTCTTGGTATTGACGTCCACAGTCAAGATATCCAAATGCCCCTGGCAGATGTGGGCCAGATCGATCAGATTTACAACTTAGCATGCCCAGCCAGTCCGATTCAGTATCAAAAAGACCCGGTCTCAACGCTAAGGACATGCTTTCAGGGAACACAAAATGTCCTCGAGCTAGCTATATCAAACAATGCCCGCGTCTTGCATACTAGCACATCAGGTAGGCGAACTCCCATAGCCCCTTTCGTCGCGTATGCCTAATACGTTGTGTAGAGGTATATGGTGATCCCCTAGTGCACCCCCAGCCCGAAACGTACTGGGGAAATGTCAACCCCTTTGGGAAGCGATCTTGCTATGATGAAGGGAAGAGAGTAGCAGAAGCACTGTGCTATGCCTACCAAGAACAGCACGGTGCCGATATCCGTATCGCTCGTATTTTCAACACATATGGCCCACGGATGAACGGCAGCGATGGCCGGGTCGTGTCAAACTTCATCGTCGCTGCATTGTCGGGTGAAGACATGAAGATCACCGGCGATGGATCTGCAACACGGTCTTTTCAATATGTCACGGACTGTACGGAAGGACTCTATCGCCTAATGAACAGTGGCTATAGGGATGGGCCTGTCAACATCGGAAACGATGGGGAGTTTACTATCCAGCAGCTAGCCGAGATGATAGCTGGTCTCGTGGCCGAGATGGCCAACCAGCCTAAGGTCAACATTACCTACCATCCACTCCCTGCAGATGATCCTGCCGTTCGTCGACCACAGATTTCGCTTGCCAAAGCTGTGTTGGACTGGTGCCCCACAATCCCGCTGCAAGAAGGGCTGCGAAGAACGATTGAGTGGCATATGAGTGAGCGAGCTGTGTCCTGACCTGTCTGCTTCACAGACATATGACTATTTGATACACAATATACGAAGTTGGAGTACCTATTTGCACCAGATCCCCCACCGCAAAAAGGTTCCTAATCTTCGTATCCCCTGCCAGGATTACTGGCCTGAAACCCGAGTTTAATGTGAGCTAAGGCTAACACCAAGAAGGCCACAAATGACAGGTGCAATTCCTAAATTATTAATCTGCCGAAATGAGATAGGTATAAAAAAAAAATGAAATAAAGTTAAATAAAAACAAAAACATGTACTACGGAGTACTGTTTAGGACAATCCTACTAGCCCCACAGAGAGATGTTCGTAGTCAGTTGGTTGGGTTGGGATGTCGGCAGAAGGTGAGCGGTGAAGAATCGGGCGGCAGAAAAAGCACGGTGCCGGAGACTCTCATCTGATATCCGCTCCGCGCAATATTTCTATCTCTATTTTGTATTTCAATTAACCTCAAGTGCAGGTTTTACATAACTAACACTTCATCATGTTGTCGCGATCGGTATGGAGGAATCTAGGCTATAATGCCCGTCGGAGAACAGCCATCGCCGAGGTTCCCTACCGCTGCTTTTCCTGTTCGCAGCGAGCTCAAGCGGACTCCAACAAGGCCAACCATGATGAGCGGATGACCCATTTTGGCTTTAGCAACGTTCCCGAATCGCAGAAGGAGTCTATGGGTATGCTTCTATATGCCTCTCAACCAATGGACACAAGACTGACCAAGCTACGCCGGTAATGTACAGTTGGAGCGGTCTTCAGCTCAGTGGCTTCTTCCTACGATGCTATGAACGATTTCATGTCCCTCGGGATCCATCGCCTGTGGAAAGATCATTTTGTTCGCTCCTTGAACCCTGGATCAGCGCTCCCATCACGCAACACCGACACAACAGGAAAAGGGTGGAATATCCTGGATATCGCCGGCGGGACGGGCGATATCGCGTTTCGCATGCTGGACCACGCGACTAACATTAACCACGACCATCAGACCCGTGTCACAATTGCTGATATCAATCCGGATATGCTTGCCGAGGGCAAAAAGCGGAGCATCCAGACCCCTTACTACAACACGGAGCGTTTATCTTTCATGCAGGGCAATGCCCAGCACATGCCCGACATTCCCGATAACTCAGTCGACCTCTACACGGTTGTCTTCGGCATTCGCAACTTCACCGATAAACAGGCCGCCTTACACGAAGCATTCCGGGTGTTGAAGCCCGGGGGTGTGTTCGCTTGTATGGAGTTCAGCAAGGTAGAGAACAGCGTATTCAATGCGGTCTACAAGCAGTGGAGTTTCAGTGCCATCCCCATGATCGGTCAACTGGTGGCGGGAGATCGGGACAGCTATCAGTATCTAGTGGAGAGTATCGAGAAGTTCCCCAGCCAGGAAGAATTCCGGGGTATGATTCAGAAGGCCGGTTTCATGATCCCTGGCCGGGGATTCGAGAATCTCACCGGCGGAATCGCGGCTATTCACAAGGGTATTAAGCCTATTTCCACGGCTTGAGAGTTGCATGACGGGTGAACAAAAGACAATGGGAAAAAAAAATATTTGTATAGTACTAATCTCCTAGATGGCAATGTAACAGTAACAATCAACCATTTTGTACAGGACGGGGATCTGCAAAAGCGTCAGCGCAGGTGGCGATGGTGTCATGACGGAAGCTATTGGAGCCGAGACTCGGAGGACGCACGAAAGGAGGGGATTGTTTGCCCTTGGAACGGACTCTTAGGATATTAAATCATTGGAGCGTTAGCGTGCAGTCAATCAAAGGAAGTCCGAAGTGCGCCTTAAAGCAGTATCTCCGATGTAGCGCAGCCAGTGGTTAATTAGTCAAAACTTCATGCCGAGCCCGATTCTCCTCCACTTCCCTAAATATTCCTCCCCCGCCATCGAAAATTTCAAAAACTCCTTCGCTTCCCCGGGATTTCGTTCGGGACCTCTTTTCCCAGGCCCCTCCTGGGAGAAGACGATCTGTCCTTCTTGACTCCGAAGGAGAATGGTTTCTGTGCCATGGGGCACCTTCAGCAGCAATCGCCGATAATCCCGCTATCGTCCCCCGCGGACCCCTCCGTGCCCACCATGATAAAGAAAGACCGCGTCACTCGCGATGAGCTGTCGCTTCTATCCTTGACGCCTCCAGATGTGCTGGACCCTGCATTATCCACTGTAAAGGATGGCCATACCGATGCGTCGGTATCCACCGCCATTCATGTCATTTCTACAGAGCGCGCCGCCCTAGCGCATTTGGAACATCTGTACGAAACAAATGCGTTGGCGCAAGAGAGTCTTACACGGGCTGTAAGCCAGATTACTCGCAGCGTGCGGAGTGGAGGAAAATTGGTATGCTGTGGTGTAGGGAAGAGTGGAAAGATTGCCCAGAAACTCGAAGCGACGATGAATAGCCTGGGCATCTACAGCGCATTCTTACATCCAACGGAAGCATTACATGGAGACCTGGGCATGATTAGACCGGTGAGTGTCGAATTATAACCATGATCTAGATCAACAGGTTTATTGATACTCTTATACAGCAAGATACCCTGTTGTTGATTTCGTTCTCAGGCCGCACGCCTGAGCTCCTACTCTTGCTCCCTTATATCCCCTCAACTGTCCCAATAATCGCCATAACTTCTCACCTCCACCCCTCCACATGCCCCTTATTGTCGTTCCAGCCATCCGACATGGGCATCCTGCTACCAGCACCCATTCACGAGGACGAGGAGTTATCCATCGGCGTATCCGCCCCAACGTCGTCTACGACGGTAGCCCTGTCGCTGGGAGATGCCCTGGCTATCGCCACCGCCCGACGACTACACACATCTCCAGGAAGAGGCCCAGCAGAGATCTTCAAAAGCTTCCATCCCGGCGGCGCCATCGGCGCCGCATCCAACGTCCTCACGCCAATGAGCATGTCGACCGCCTCATTCCCCTCAACGACATCAGACGACTGCGCCAGTCAACAACAGTCCGTCGCCTCGCTCCCCCAGCCAGAGGAAACGCCACGCATCGTCGACAAGCTTGTCCCCATCGACCAAATCCCCACAGTATCTACACCAACGGGCACCGTCCGTCTCCTCGACATCCTGCTCACAGCCATCCAACACCCGACCGCCAAGTCCTGGGTCCAACTGTCTCCTTCCGAAATAATCCCACCCCGACATCTGCGCGCGCTCTCGCAATCAACCTATGTAGACATGGATACGGCCGCGCTAGCCAGTCTCGGGCTCCCGTTTACCGTCTCCCGGGATGATTGGCTCTGGCTCCCCAGCTCGACCTCCGTCGACGATGCACGTCGGCTAGTTTCGGGATCGACTGCTGCGGGGTCCGTCGTAGCCGTCATGCAGGACGAGAATCCCGATGCTTGTTTGGGCTTCTTGGAAGCAGATGATCTGTGGGATGCTTGTGATTAATTAATTCTTTACCACACAAACCTGTTTATACAACTCTGGCGGTTTGGTCTTTTTTTTTTGGCCTCCGTCCAGTGCATACATTATGTGTATATGGTCTTGATGGCACATAGGTCTTTTGTCTGCGGTTATATGATGTTTATGAATAACGCCCTGTCTTTTTTTTGGATCCTTTGTTTATTCGGACTATATATAGATCTACTCGTTTTTCCACACACACACGTGGCTATAGATTTCTTTGGGTCTTGGTACCGAAAATTATGCTGGTATATAGCCTGCAATCTGACACTGACATGCATTGCGTCGTCGCTGTGCTCTCGGTCTTATCTTGAACGCTAAGCTATCTCCTTGTTCATGGCATTTTACACGTAAATATTCATGAGTTGTATAGATGTAATGGTGTCCATTTATCTTGAGAACTAGATCTACCCTGATCTATGAAGGATTTATCGGTACAGGAGTCGTGTCGGGGGTATAAAGAGAAAACCAAAAAAAAAAAAAAAAAAAAAAAAAGGAAAAAAAAAAAAAAAAAAAAAAAAAAAGAAAAAAAAAAAAAAAAAAAAAGCCAACGAAGACATTAACTCTATCGTATATTCAGCACATTATTCGTGATACTTTCCCGAGAACAGAATCTGGGTACAGCCAGATTAAGGGGGCTTTTTTTGGTTCAGGCCGCAGTTGTAGAAAGTGGGCAAGTGATTCGCCAGGCATGGACACCAGTCACCACAACTAAAAAATGTCTGGCTAAGAGTGCCCCAAGTATCCAAGGACTGCGGTGCAAGGGAGAAGAGATGAGGTGGACAGTAGCACCTCTGCACAATGAATGTGGTCGGCAGGAGAACGGGTCGCTTGTGGCTGCCATTGTAACCCCAAAGATAAGTAACAAGGGATTTTCTCATAGCGCGCAAAGCTCTCAGCAGCTGGGCCCTCTCTGCCGCGTGATAGCAGAAAGGGGCTGATCCGTACTCTTATGCGTGGCTAAAGGGGCTAACACGATTGCAAGGTCTGAGGGTATCAACCTGACTTGCTAGACTCCTGTTTCCCCTTGCCTTTGTCGGATGTGGAGTTGGTTGTCGTGCTATCGTCTCCGTACAGGCGGTGCTGTTCGATATAGCGGATGACCGGCACCGGGATTAAGTAACGGACGCTCATCTCACGTCTGAGGAAAAGACGAATCTTGGTGCTGCTGACGTCGTTCTGAATCAGCTGTTGAATCACATGGATATTGTCCTTCCAGGGCTGCAGTGCAGCAAGCGCTTCATCGATGTCCGTTCCGCTGCGTTCAACAATAAAAGACTAGAGAGCAATGTTAGCGGCGCCCATGGCTCATCCAACGTATGCAGATTGTACGTACACCATATTTGCCAAGAATGTGGTCCAAATCCTTTTCACTCCACACTCCCGGGGTCGACATGGTATGGATCAGATCAGCTCCTGCCAGAAGAGCGATACGTACGGGCTTCCGTGTGCCGTCTGCGGCTTCAATTCCCTCTCGGACAGTGTTGATCTCGTGGTCGAAATGATCGAGCACGACGGCAGTTGGTTGGTATGCCTTCTGCATTGGCTCCCATGTATCAACCATTAGCCAGTCGGAGGTTTGGTCCACTGCAAGTTGGCACATAGCGATTCTGAATCCGACAGGTTCCGGTCAGCTTGATATTTATTTTAGGGTATACATAAATCGGCGAAACAGGAAATAGAGCGGGATACGCTTGGGAAACTGATTGTGGAAACAATGTTCTTACCGATGCTCTGCAGCGGCCAAACCGGCCTTGCGATAGGCATCCGACACCGGAGAGAGATATCCGCCGATGAGTTCAAAGTTCGTGCTGAATTTGACGTAATCGGCTGCCATTTCGAACATACGCAGATGCAAGTAAGTAATGGGCGAGAAAGAACCACAAGCAACCAGTAGCAAAGGGGTCTTCTCCGGGTCATCCATCTTGCGCTTCAGGCGGAGTTCGGGGAACTGATAGTCCTCCATCGGTGCCGGAGGGATATGGGCGGGGGGCTGGTGGACATCCTCCCCAGCGGTGATGTCAGTCATGGCTGCGGGTTGGGGTAGAGATCTCAGAGCGATAAAACCGGGGGCTCAAATGGGTGTTTGTACGTAGTGCGATATAGGAAGAGGTGGATAAGGAGTACCAAAGATTCGAAAGCGATGGGAGAGAAGAAGAAGGGACTTTTGAATGGATGATGGAAGGCGACTGAACCAAAAGCCTTTCAGAAAATCATTTGCCGGCGGTTTAGTCAGACCCGCGCGGGGAAAGGAATTCGTTACCGTATTGGTATGTATCCGGCGGGGGAAAGCAAAAGAGTTGAGGAACAATCGACTAGAGGGGAAAAGCAGTACCTCGGCGACTGATCACCTCATTTCTCCAACTCTGTTCGGTACTGGTTGGTATTGATCGGAAGTAGACTGAGTACCACCTGGGAACTTACTGGTATGTATTTACCACTACAGCAGCCCAGGCAGGGTTAGGCAACTGTACGCACATCGTCACAGAGAAGTATCTGGATCTCTGGAATTAATAATAATAATACCTGGGGACTTCCAATTCTCTCACCGGGGGCCGGTCTAGATTATTTATTCCCTTTCACTGCTCGAATTTCACAACTGTTTCCAGAATTTCTCTGGCCCACAAATGGGGCATCTCCTTCAGTTTGTTGAGCACGTGAATCAACTGTAGTGGGTGCAGGTTTATCCACAATATGCCAACTCAGCTTTGTTCATAGCAAACCCTAATCATTGGATGTAATCTGATGTATCCCCTGATATTCCCTCGATTGGGGGGCATAAGTACTCAGTACTATGGTTGTCATACTTGCTGTTTGCAAAATAACTCATTCCAACTATGTCGAGAATATATACATTTTCCGAGTATAGGTTCACCTAACCACTGTCGATCCATCAAGGGTCTTCTAACCGAGCCGAGTATTGCCCTGTCGCCAGTTCGCTCCTCTACCTATCAATGAAAAAGCCATGTGAAAATATAAGCTGATGAGAACACTGCATCTTTCCCTTGCAGCTTCACTGAATAGAATGCTGTGACCATTGTAGGCATAGAATTTGGTGGATACTTCCCGTAACTGCTACCAAGTACATTCCTTGCGTGCTTCAGCTGACACAAGATGTGCACGAGGGCTTCGCAAATTTGAGAAAAATTGTTTGTTTACTACTCGGTATGATCAATGATTATATCATAGTTCTCGAGTTTTGGAAAACCCGCTCATCTATCCCCATACATGCACTCTCGTGGTATAGCGTAATCACCCTGCGAATGATAAGAGCGACATATCCTCCGCATAGTGGCACTTTGCAAAATCTTTCAGAACGTTGTTTCAAGCGTCTCGGTCCCACCTGAACTGACGGCAACTTGTGTTTGATTTTCGAGAAACCGGATTAGCCCGAAGTGACAGCTCGGCAAGGATACCGAAAAGTTTAGCCATTAAACATGACCTTCTGGCGCTTGTATGGATGAACCAATCCTGATGAGAAATTGCCAATATTTAGTTCGTTAAGACTTGCTAATAAAATGACCTGATTCAGCCCCCAGCTACATGCCGGTAACTTTGTTATTCCAAATCAACCTTGTTTGGACAGGGTAGTGGCTAGTTGCGCAGCGGGAGGGGTTGCAGTGGAATATCTCGACAACGGATACCGACACATTTGTTATTTACTCTAGTTGATGCTTATAGCGAGACCCAAAGGAAACAATATCTTCCACAACGTAGAGCCATAGGGCCGAGGAAGTGTACATGTTAATATGACCCAGTCCGTTCGGACCTTACCATTTCCGGGCATAACGTCTAGCCGAAATATTGACAATATTTGGAGTTCCACAATCTGACGGAACAGCATGGGTACAGTCTTCTATCTGAGTAAAATAGATTCCCTTAGGAACAGGGGTGAGTGTTGGCACTGGTTGGATGCAGGTGAGGCATGTTGGTGTTGGATGGAGGTCCGTCTTAGGTTTGATCGAGTAGTGTCGATGTCACCCATTGATAATAATTACAAAATATGATAACTATACATTCATGACTAAAGAAGTGGTACGGTTGGGCCCGAAAGGTTGCAAAATTGGATCTCATTATGTTGAGAATAAGGATTTCAAAAGAGATAAATAGGGGGAAAAACAAAAATTCGAATTAAAAAGGAAGAAAAGAAAGTAAGAAAGAAGTACTAGTTGTGTGATACTTCTGAATGTGATATCTACTAGTAGGAAGTACTAGTAGTACTTATTGGTGGCCGATGGGGCTGCACTCTAGACGCCTGACGCTCTCCGGAGTTGCTTCCTGAGGCCCGCGTCACCACTGCTTACCACTACCACGTCAACCCTCAACCCCCCAATTGATTCATTCCTCTTCTTCATTCCACTTTCCTTCTTCATCGCCACTACGACGTTCACGACCACTGCTTTTATCCCAGTTTTTGTCTGTTACTCATCACTAATTCATTCGGATACTTGCCCTCCTTTACTTTATATATCTTTATTCCTTTTTGGTTCTCGTTTCCAGCTGTTGTCCCCTGACTTATCTTTCCATATCCTCCCCCCCCCAAAACGGACAACCTGAAAATACGCAGTGTCACCTTCCTGCCCACGCTCGGTCAGCTACCTTCTGAGTAACGGATGGCGGGTTAAACGGTCGACAGACGAGCGAGCCCTCTTCGTCCAGCTCTGGTTAACATCAACTTATGGCCAGAACAAGGCCCAACCTTCACCGCCAGGACCCTCTTGAGGATTCATCCACTGGAGCCCCCGCCACTGCCGCCAGGTACATACCAGATCTACTTCCCTTTCTCTGCGCAGTTTGTTTCGCCTTGTGACGCTTCATATCCTGCCTCTTCCGTCGTCGTGGCCCCGCACAGTGTATGACTTTGGGGTCTGCTAGAAAGCCCGAGGTCGAGCTCTGCATCCCGACCCTGACTGCTATCTTCCCCTGATACACCGAGTCCATCGGTCATTGTGTGGAAAGACTGCTTCTCTTTACATTACTCCAACCTCTATTCTCCACCTATCTTGTCCTGTCGTTCCCATACCTACCCCTCACTTAACCTCCTATCTCCGCCGTGACTCGGGAGTGCTCAGCTTCTCATGTCCTCCAGGATTACTCGCTCAGCCGCGAGACTAGCTGCAGAACCCCCTCCGCCCGCCACCTCAGGTCCCTCTCCTGCGATTCCCGCCGCTGGTTCGGCCCCAAGTCGGAAGCGTAAAGCCCACCCACGAAGCGATCGGTCTGTGGAAGCCCCCGGACAGCCGAATCCTCCGTCACCCCCACGGAGAGCCAAGAAACAGCGGCGTGCAGCTTCCCCCCAACCGGCGGCCGCCTCTGCTCCTCCCCGCCGTGGTACCCGCAATCGTACAGTTATGTCCCAATCCGGGTGAGTTTGAGGTGCCTCGCAGCGATCCTCGAGGTTGTTGCTGATTGACGTGTTGTTTCTAGTTCATCCTCACATCCAACGGAGGAACCCTCGAGGAACCAGCCGTCACCTCCGGCATCCAGAAGAAAATCGAGCAGAAATGGGAAGGTGTCACAAGGTAAGGTTACACGGACGATGCTCGAGGCCGTTTCCGCAATCATATTCCCCTCCCCACTGGCCAAGCGACTCGGTTAACACATGGTTTCGTCAGATCGCTTTTCAGCTGCCCAATCCCCTCCACCTCGACGTCAACAGAAAAAGCGTTCATCGAGAAATAATCCAGATGTCACCATGAAAGAAGCGGATGAGGACTTGGAAAGACGTGAACGGAGTGAGGAGCGAGAGTCGTCTCCACCAAGTGATAGCAACGATGGAACTAATCATTCGGGCCTTGATGATGACGATGGAGATCTCTTTCACAATAGCCTGTTTGGCTCGCGCAGCCCCCTGGGTCTTCAGAGCACCCTACGTGCGCTGTCTGGGATGATGACGGGCATGTCATCTCGCTTGCGTGAAATCCTGTGCAATCTCAGAGCGAAGGATGATCCATCCATCCAATTAATCGCTTTACAGGAGCTTTCAGATCTCTTACTCGTATCTAATGAGGATAATCTTTCCGGCCAGTTCTCCCCCGATCCCTACGTAAAGGAATTGGTCTCGTTGATGCAGCCGAATGAATTCGGCGAAGAAAACCCTGAAATCATGCTCCTCGCATGTCGCTGCTTGGCGAACTTGATGGAGGCTCTTCGCGGCTCCGTAGCCAATGTTGTCTACGGCGGTGCTGTGCCGATTCTGTGTCAGAAGTTGCTGGACATACAGTTTATTGATCTGGCCGAACAAGCCTTGAGCGTAAGTTCGCCGCTAGACCTATTAACTCGACTTCTAAGACCTATGCTAAAAATTCCCAGACTTTGGCCAAAATATCTGTAGACTTTCCTGCCTCTATTGTTCGGGAGGGGGGCTTGACTGCTTGTTTGACATATCTCGACTTCTTCCCGACGAGTACACAGCGTACGGCGGTGACCACGGCAGCAAATTGCTGCCGTAACCTTCCACACGATTCCTTTCCTGTGGTGCGGGATGTAATGCCCACACTCCTAAATGTGCTGTCCAGCAATGACCCAAAGGTGATGGAGCAAGGCTGTTTGTGTGTCTCCCGAATTGTGGAGAGTTTCAAGCATAAGCCGGAGAAACTGGAGGAGCTTATCGAACCCGCGATGTTGAAGGCGATACTCCGTCTGCTGTTGCCAGGTACCACCAATCTAATTGGCCCGCACATTCACACCCAGTTCCTCCGCGTTCTAGCGATAGTATCCAAAGCCAGCCCCAGGCTGTCTGTAGAATTATTGAAGATGAACGTGGTCGATACTTTGTACCAAATCTTGACTGGGGTATCGCCGCCAGGAAACCTGGAAGATACCACCGTTAAGATGGACAGTGTGCTGGTGATGCAAGCCTTGATCCACCGACCTAGGGAGCAGGTCCTTGAAACGCTTAATGTGATTTGCGAGATGCTCCCTGGCGTTCCTGGCCGACATGTACCACAAACCGACGGATGGCTTAATAACCCCCTCGACAGCGATCCGTCTCTTGGCTTGAAGTCGCCGAAGGCGAAAGAGGTAGCCGAAAAGAGACGCTCTCTATTGCGAGAATGCAAAGGCGAGCTCAAGCGCTTTGCTATGATCCTACTGCCAACATTGACCGACGCCTACTCAAGCACCGTCAACCTAGAGGTCAGACAAAAGGTTCTCATCGCTCAGCTTAAGATGTTGCACCATTTAGACGCCGGTCTGGTAGAGGAAGCTTTACGATCTGTGCCATACGCCTCGTTTCTGGCGGCAATTTTATCTCAGAAAGACCATCCGTCGTTGGTCTCGTCAGCACTGCGGTGCTCTGAACTTCTCTTTCAGCGCTTGGAACATGTCTACCAGTGCCAATTCCATCGTGAAGGTGTCGTCTCGGAAATTTTCAAGCTGGCGGAAGGACCTCTGTCGGATGAGAAGCAGTCCAAGCCTTCCTCTGATTCATCCGCTGCCATGGACACCTCGAGCGATTCGCGTCGGGAAGCCGAAGATGTCGATGGCCCGGGAGACGACGATACTCATGATGACGACTACGATGAGCACGAGGATGAGCGGGACGAGAACGATGATATGTCGGAATCGGATAGCTCTTCAGCATCCGGCCAAGTGCTCTCCACGAGGATAGACAATGCCATGAAAGACCTCGTCGTCCGCGATGCTCGGACGTTTGTTGATCTCTACGAAGCCGGCCATGGGAAAGATATGCGAGAGAAAGCTATAGAAGTCTTGGCCGAATTACAAAATCTCGCCTCAAATCTAGAAGTCTGTTATCGTTCAGACGCACGTGAGGACGGCCTTGGGCTTTTCCAAAAACTGGCCTCTTACTTCGACGGCGACGCACTCGAGAGTATCACTAGCTCAGAATTACTGAACTCGGGTATCATCAAGGTGTTGCTGGATGTGTTTGGTGACTTTAACAGTTCCTCTATGCGCAAGGCTCGTGCTGCTTTTCTACAGGCATTCATGGGATCTACTATCTCGGAGAAAGCCCAAAGCCAAAGCACTGCTACGACTCCATTTAGTGTCCTGATCCAGAAGTTGCAAGACTTGCTCAGCCGGACTGAGCATTTCGAAGTGCTTACTGTCAGCCACAATTCTTTGGAAAACACGCGGAGTAATGCTGCACATATGCTTGGAAAACAGCTTAGGCTTAAGTTGGTGGCCGATGAAGACTCTGACATCCCTCGCACGTATCGAAGCATAATGGTGTCAATCCACGCCATTGCCACGTTCAAAGCCTTAGACGACTTCCTACATCCACGAATTAGTCTGTCAGATCGGCCAAAACCATCCCGCAGCAGAGAATCTTTATTCTCGCAGATTGCTAATGCCGCTCGACTTCGGGATCAGCTAGCCGGCAATGGCGAGTTCCCTGGGAGCGATATCCCATCTTTGCCACGACAGAGCACGAACAACGACAGATCCTCCCCTCCAGAAGACTCGCAACCAAATGCTCAGGAGTCATCGATCGAAGGTCAGGAACGTAGTTCGAGATCCAGGCGTTCTGGCCGACACCAGCAAACTTCAGAAGACCCTGCCCATGACGATGAGCCTTTGGAGTGCGCGGATGAGAGACACCTGAGTGAGGACGAAGAAGAAGATGACGATGGCGACGACGGAGAACTGAATGCTATTATGGATGATCTAGACGATGACCTCTCTGAAGACAATGCTCCCGACCCGACAGCGGTGAATATGGAGGTAGCCTCCTCCGGTAAGGTAACTGCTCGGAAGGAAGATGGAACACGTGTGGCCACTCCGTCTCAATCCACCCCAGCTTCTAAGGCATCGTCGTCTGCCTCTAGTGTGGCTCAGAATCCCGCTGGAAACAACTCTCTTGCCACGGCCGGCCGTCCTTTCTCCTCCTACGCCGCTGCAATGGCCTCTATCCCTTCGGACTGGCATCTGGAGTTTAGCGTGGATGGCAACCCGATTACTGGTGACACAACAATATACCGTGCTGTTCATCACAACCGGCAAGATTCAGACCCCAGCGGAAGACACGTGTGGTCTGCTGTCCATACCGTTAAATTCAGGCGCGTTCCGGGACCCCCTCCACCAGAGCCTACTGCCCTCACAACTAGTGTACCAGAGTCCGTTGCGAAGAACGCTAGCACCGAGATGCCACCCTCACTCAGCCAAGAGACAACAACTGCGTCGATACTCCAGCTACTTCGCCTTCTGCACGAAATGAATGCTACGCTGGATGATATACTCACTGAAAGCAAGGAGCTGGTCGCACTTAAACCTGAAGCCCTTGCGCAGTTTATTAATACTAAATTGACGGCCAAGCTTAACCGACAGTTGGAGGAACCCTTGATCGTAGCGAGCAGTTGCCTTCCCAGCTGGAGCGAAGATCTTGCTCGTCTCTTCCCTTTCCTGTTCCCATTTGAGACACGCCATTTGTTCCTTCAGTCGACTGCTTTTGGCTACTCGCGGGCGATGATGAGATGGCACAATTCGCAAAACGGCGACGATGGTCGTAACGATCATCGACGCGATGATCGACCGTTCCTAGGCCGTCTCCAGCGACAAAAGGTGCGTATCTCAAGAAGTCGTATCCTAGAGTCTGCTATGAAAGTCATGGAACTCTATGGCTCTTCGCCGAGCGTTCTGGAGGTGGAATATTTTGAAGAAGTTGGCACTGGGTTAGGCCCGACTCTGGAATTCTACTCCACCGTTTCAAAAGAGTTCTCAAAGAAGAAGCTCAAGATCTGGCGAGAAAACGATTGCAACGATGCCGAAGAGTTCGCGTTTGGCAAGCGAGGCCTGTTCCCTGCCCCTATGAGCGAACAGTATGCTTCTTCGGAGCCCGGGAAGAAACAGTTGCATTTGTTTAAGGTCCTCGGTAAATTTGTTGCTCGCTCGATGCTCGACTCCAGGATTATCGATGTCTCCTTCAATCCCGCATTCTTCCGGATCGCTGATAGCTCTTTCTCCGTGGCACCATCGCTGGGTACGGTAAAGGCAGTCGATCAAGACTTGGCAAATTCATTGCTTCTGTTGAAGCGCTTCGCCAATGCGAAGGCAGCAGTCGAGAACAAGGGGCTTTCAGAGCCTCAGAAGAGGGAAGCCCTACTAAATGTTGAAGTGGACGGTGTTAGGGTCGAAGATCTGAGCCTCGACTTCACCCTACCCGGCTACCCATCCATCGAGTTGATCAAAGATGGTTCTGATGTTCCGGTAACCATCGAGAATGTTGATTTGTACGTTGAGCGGGTCGTGGATATGACTTTGAGTAGCGGTGTCCAGCGTCAAGTGGAAGCTTTCCGGGAAGGATTTTCGCAGGTTTTCCCATATTCTGCTCTTCGGACCTTCACGCCTGCGGAACTTGTGATGTTGTTCGGAAGAGCAGAAGAGGACTGGTCCATTGAAAGTAAGTGCACCTAGTCTACTTGTATAAATACGGATCACTAACATGCTGGTCCTAGCACTCATGGATTCCATCAAAGCCGATCATGGCTTCAACATGGATAGTCGCAGTGTCAGGAATTTGCTCCAAACGATGAGTGAGTTGGATGCACAGCAACGTCGGGACTTCCTCCAATTTGTCACTGGTAGTCCCAAGCTCCCAATTGGAGGTAGGAAGAAAGCCCCCGCTTCATTTAATCCGAGACGGATTCTGACCAAGTATTACATCTACAGGCTTTAAGAGTCTCACTCCGATCTTTACCGTTGTTTGTCGCCCCAGCGAACCGCCATACACACCCGATGATTATCTCCCCAGCGTTATGACGTGTGTAAATTATCTGAAGTTGCCGGACTACAGCAGCTTAGATGTCCTTCGAACTCGACTGTCTGTTGCTATCCAAGAAGGACAGGGAGCATTCCACCTGTCTTAGTTTCTCACCGTCGCTCTTTAGCGGAAGCCACACAAGAAAGAAAAGGAAAACAAATCAAAAAACGGTACATTTGGTCCATTGGTACAGTATCTAGCAAAATACCCTTACATATTGATTAAGGGAGGTTATAATGACGGCATGAGTGAATCGAATCTGTTTACATCGGCCGGCTTTCTGCATTCAAAGTCCATTATTTACTTAGTCGCAGGGTATCGATTCCGGACTTTGGGGTGGAGTCATGGGGTTCATCATTTTATTCTAGATAGAAAATGGAGAATTTCAGCGCAAAATTGTTGCCCAATCTATCAGTACTCCGTTTCATCCTGTGTCCATAGTCTATATGAGGTATTATAAGTTTATTCAAAATATTGTGCCGAAGGGTATTTAAATCATATGGCGCTCTCGGCAGCCACGCCTCAATCAATCGCGATACAGAGGTACCATAGACTGTACCCAAAAACAGTCAGTCACCAACTGAGTTAGGGGCTCGAAGAGAAAGGGGAGACCATACCTCTGCAAACTTGGGCTCAACAAACAAAGCCCTAGCTTCAGCCACCGTAACGGGATCACTCTCCTCCCCAGAAGGCGGCAGCGAGCGTAAGCTCCCTTCCACCCAAGCCTTCCTCCCCTCAACATTAACCGTATCAGCCCGCAGCACGTACAGCCGATCAGGGACGGCTGGCTTCCGAAAGTCCACATTGAGGTTCGCCGTCATACCTAGTCCACTCGGAAACGACGCCGACACGCACCGCGCAAATGCCTCGTCGAACATAACGGACAACAAGCCCCCATGCACGAATCCCGGGTGCCCGCACATTTGCTTCCCGATATGGAACACTGATATCACACGTGCCGCCCACCGGCCGCTGTCCTTCAGCTTCTCAGCCGCCGTCCACATATACGGGGGAACGGTGACCTTCTCCGGGCCGGCCAGAGAGCCCGCAACGAAATGAGCGGGCCGCAGAGAAGGGTTCATGGACAGGTGAGGGCGGGTTTCCTTGTACTTTGGGTCCCGGCGGAGGGACTGCACTAGGGGCAGACGTGAGATGTGAGATTCGACCTGGGTTTGTGGTGGTGTTGTGGTGCGGAATGGGGGGATGTCCTCGACGGGCGTGGCGTTTGTTGAGGCATGGTGGTCTTGGGCTGTTGCTGAGGCGGCGATGCGCACTGTGCGCACTGGTGTTGTTTGGGGGGTTGTCGTTGCAAGAAGCTTTAGTCTGTGGGTGTAATGGAGGGATCTGGTCAAGATCGTCATTGCTGCTTTGGGGGTTGTGGCTTTTTTAGTGAGGTAGTATCGGGAGGTGGTAGTGTTCGTATGCACAATGATATTAGGGCTTTTTATAAACGCCGTAGATCTATAGAAACTTAATTTCGTTAGTGGTGTCAACTTTCATCTATGCTAGCTAAGGTTCGCCTGGACATACCTATGATAGGGGATAGTTAAGCTATTGAAGTGAATTTTGATCTCATAGAGAAGATTAGGATTCCTCGTCGCGACAAAACCCGGATAAAGATAAAAAAAAAGAAGAAAAAAACCGGAGAAAAAGAATACTAACTCCGTGGTGGAGTATGTCTACGCTAGAGGGCCCACGTGGAAGTGCCGTCATTCTTGCGACTGTCGCGAAGCCAATCCTGCATGATCGCCTTATCTTGGGATCGTACGAACTCTAGAGCTAGATCTTCAGGGTCGTGCGTGGTTTAAGGTTCATACATGGTTCTTTGGGTTCAGATAATCTACTTCACAGGGTATATCAAACTTGTTTCTTCAATAGCGGCAGATCCGGACGAGTAAACATGACATTTGCTATAGACAGTGGCCAATGAGAGTATGGGAATACTTGTGATGGCTCTAACTATCATCCCAAGGTTCCTAAGCATTCGCCTTTGCCTTGATGGTACCAGGACAGTTCTTGCTTTCGAAAACTTTGACATCTCCGAATAAGGTTAGTCGGCATGCCGAAATTTCTTTGATCGGGCTAGAGTGGGCCCCTTCGGAATCCTCCCGAGTCCTCCCCGAGTCCGATGGACGGAGTACTCAGGACTATACACTAAGTACACATAAAGTTTATAGAGCTATTGTGTGATAGTAGTGTTCAAACCTCTATGAACTAGGAAATATTTCCGAAGAGCTATTCTGTTATTTAAAGTATAAAAGTATCAACTTTAATGAATGTGTCGTCCGATTCCGGTCTCGCCGATCTGGGTGCTTTGCGTCAGTGCTTTGTCTGTTACTCAATACGGTAAATGGAAATAGCAACGTTTGATAGCTACGGAATGGGAGCCCCGCTTCATGTGCGCGCTTGTCCATTGGATCAACTGTTGGCAAATCCGGTTACTGAATGTGGGACTTGCACTGTCGTTGTACTAGTGACGAAGAAGTAGGCTGTTGCTCTTTTTGGAACATTGCTTAGCTCTCTAAGCTTTGGTGCTTCGTTCCATGTATAAGCATGTAGTCTAAAATTAAGGTTATACTCTAGTCAGGGATGTGATGTAAGTACAACTAATACTCGGAGGGTAATTATACTAATCTTGTTGTTTACCTCAGCGTTATTTACATATAGTACTGTTCGCTCGCAAGCCTGTTCTAAGGGCACTGCAGCCAGTTTTATGAGCAGTCATCGTCATCCAAGTCACTAGACAACTGGCTCACAGCACAAGTGATCACCAAAGCCCTTCAACGAAGTAGTATGAGAGGTCTCCCATGCCATTCTCCTCACCTGCCACTTGACCATTACCAAGACAACGGAAGCGATTCGCAGAGTTGTACTGAAAGTTAAAATGCTCGGCGCCGATACTGTCAAGAGATTTCTTGAAATGACTGGTTGTCCCCGCATAAGGCGCCGTGACCTGCCCCGAAGACTTGCCGTTCTTGTACCAGCTCCGGCAATTATCGGCCCACGCCGTCCGCTTAAAGTATTCTTGCGCCCATACATTGTAGTCATCGACAGCCTCTTTCTTAACTTCCATTGACCTGTGAAATTATTGGTTAATTCCGCCAACCTTACCAGTCAAGGGTGAGCTTACTTGATGTCATGCGTGGCCATGTGCTGGGCCCACCTCATGATGTAGTCGCATACGAAAGAGATTCCACCCAGAAGTGATCCATTCGAAACAGTGAAGTTTGGCCCACCAATAATGAAGTAATTGGGCATTCCATCCACTTGCACAGAGAAGAATGCCTCTGGGTTGTGCTCCCACCGCTTGTCCAGAGTAGCGTTGTCCCTCCCTGACATTTTCCATCGAGGAACAAAGGATGTGTCAAAACCAGTAGCGCAGATGATCAGATCAAACTCTTCTTCCTTTCCATCAGCCGTCTTTATTCCCTTCTCTGTGATACAGTCAATTGCTTCCCAGCACATGTGTGTGTTCGGGTTCTCAAAGGATTCCAGATACCCATCACAGGGCGTTAACCGGCGACAACCCGGGCTGAAATCTGGCTTCATTTTAGAAGCGATCGATGGGTCATGGCTATTTTTCAGTCTTTCTTGCATCTGCTCTGTGGCGATCTGGGTTGCCAGCTTATTGAAAGTGTGATCTTTCAGCATACCATAGGCGAACTCATTAACACTGAAGTTGGAGCATTAGTGATAGCCTCTAGCAAAGTCTACGAGCAATTACTGTTTCATACCTGTTTTCGAGTTCTTTGCGCATCTTGAAGAAGGCCACCGGGTCGTCTCTGAATCTCTTCTTTTCCTCTTCAGTGTATGCAAAATTTCTCCCATCCCTTGTCAACTGGCCGCTGAAGTTGGACGCAATCCATGTTGGGTTGCGGACATAGTTAACCATCTTGGCCACCTGTGAGTGCATCGCTGCGACACACTGGACACCCGAGGAGCCGTTTCCAATGACTGCTACGCGCTTGTTCTTCCATTCGTATGATTCGTCCCTAGTTGATATTAGTTTACTTTGCATGTCTCAAGCAGGTCAGGAAGGGAATACCAGGCCGCAGTGTGAACCAGTTTACCGTTAAATTCACTCATTCCTGGGATATTTGGCAACTTCCATTTGCTTTCGCATGTGGTCAGCAAGCGCCGAAAAACTGAAGAACAACTGCTTTTACCTTAATGGACCGGATGCGCTAACAAATATTTCGGCTTCATCCTCCTTGATCACACCGTTTTGCTCGACCTTCACCTTCCATTTGCCAGCTGCTTCGTCCCATGCTGCCTCTATCACCTTGGAATTGAGCTCAATATTGTCATATAGATTCCATTTGCGCGCTGTCCTCTGTATATACTCTTCGATCTCGGGGCCTGGAGCGTAAAAATGCGAATAGTTGGGGTTTGGTTCGAATAAGAACGTATAAGCATCTGGTAGTCATTCGCTCAAGGTTAGCATACTGCTTGGTGCTGAAATCTGATAAGCGCGATCTCACGGGCTGGGACATCACTAAAATAGTCCAATTGATACTGATGAGTGACTACTACTCGACGACTCTCAAAGACTAATTCTTACCAAGCAACGCCTGGGTATCGGTTCTCAAACCAGGTTCCGCCCACGTCTGCATTCTTCTCATAGATCACAAAATCCACCACATCCTCTAGTTTGAGTCCATGTTTGATTTTGTGGGCGAGGGTCAAGCCGCCGAAGCCGGCTCCTGCACAGATAATTTTGATCTTCCTGGGAGTAAAAGCGACTTCTTCCTTGACTGGAACCCAGTTCGCAGGAGTCTGGCCCTGGGCGACAAGGCCGGCCGACGTGACTGGGTGTCCGTTTGATGTGTCCTCGGGGCGTTTCATGGTGGCAATGTGTGTTGGGAAGTGTGTGGCAGGAGGATCTGCTCCACGGAGCTCCTAAGTGCTATATAATCCATTGGCATGGGAATAGGTGCCACTGCTAGTGGCAAGCACTATCCCCCCGGAGGAATTTCCGTCTTACTGTGCGCTACCGAAGTCTCACCCCAATTAATCCCAATATATTTACGACAACATGGACCTTGACCCCCACCGAACCCCCGACTCCGCTGAAGCCCGTTCGGGGCTAAGTGGCGCGTGCCTCGCGCCGGCGCGGCGCTATGCCAACCCTAATGTACGGCCTCGCACGGGGTAGTTCTGGCATTGGATGGCCCACCGCCTATGTGGAGATCACTACGTACTCCATCGTGCACGATGCAGGGGTTACTTTGGCTCTCTAACCCTGCACGATCGCTCCGGATGACCATTCAGAAAGCGTTGCTGTGCGCAAAGCATCTCTCAGTGGCGAGATTGCGATCAACATGTTATATCCCTCGCGACTAGTGCGATGGCTTCATGTCACTACTAACTAGCCGCGAGCTAGTCTCTGGACTATTGCAACTTCATCAATCTCATACGCAGGGTGGACAGGGTGCCGATCCACCGGGGTGCGGCCTTATGCGGCCATCGGCCATCCTTCTTGCAAGCCCTCGTTGTCGGAGTCCGGACGAACAGGGTTCGGAAGGATTACTGTACATTAGAAGCCCTAAAGCCAACACGCGAATGGAATCTCACCCTTGCATAACACAACAAAGTTTTTTGGTACCTTCATAGACTGGAATTTAGTGTTCTTAGCCATATATATAACGCTTCTCATGCTATTTCTCTCTTCGCTGTCCCTGGCCGAACTGCCGACTCTGACGCATCGCTGCCCATGTCTGCCTCCGGAGACTTTGGGCCAGCGCCCCCGGGCGTCGACCTCTCAGACAATCAAGATGGCTCTATGCTTGGAGCGGTCATTACCCTAATCATACTGGGGACACTGTCCGTCGTATTGCGAGTATACGCTCGGACTGAATTCAAGAAGTTCCAGTTTGCCATTGACGATTATCTGAGCTTTGCTGCCTTGGTAAGTCAGTCGCCTTCAAGGCCGAAGCCAAGCATGCGCGAGTCATAGCTCATTCTCCCCGCCATCATCTAGTTATTTGCCTACTCGCTCGGCATATGTGTGATCATTAGTGAGTTCTCTGCCACCACTTCATGAATTTCATTGCCAACGCAGCAACTGACCATGGACAGGCGTCAAATACAGAAACGGACACCATGTCCAAGCCCTCACTAAACACGAATTCACCGTCATTTGGAAACTCCTCTACGCCCACGTCATGTTATACGCCTTCTGCGTGACCTGCACCAAAACGTCCATTATCATGTTCTATAAACGCATCTTCAACCTTCGCTACTCTCTTTACTTTGCTATGTTCTTTATCCTGAGCTATTTCATAGTCATCATCGTCACAATCAACGTGGCCTGCGACCCGATCCCGTACTTTTGGGAGCAATACACCGACCCCGATACCGCTGTCGGCAGCTGCATCGATATCCCCAAGTTCTTCTTCGGAAACGGCATCGCAGCAGTCCTGATCGACATTGGGATTCTCATCATTCCGATCCCCATTACCTGGAAACTACAGATGCCGAAAAGTCAGAGGTTGGCCGTGATCGGGATTCTGTTACTGGGTAGCTTGTGAGTCGACATTCCCTTCTTCATATGGGATCAAAAAAAGAGAAAAGAAAAAAAAGCAGAAATGATAGCCGTCGCTAACTCTCTACAGCGTCTGCATCGCAGGTATCGTCCGACTCGTCTTCCTCAACCGCAACACCCACTCGGACGATGCGACCTGGACCGTTGCGCCCGTCTTCGTGTGGTCCTGCGTCGAACCCTCGATCGGCATCGTCTGCGCATGTCTCCCTACCCTATCTCCGCTTTTCCGTCGTTGGTGGTCCAGTATGGTCACCGGGAAGTCGGGAAGCGCGAGTGCGAAACAGACCGCCTCGGGGTATAACCTGAGCAGTCGGAAATCGCGACTCACGAGCCCGAGTATGACGTGGACCCATGGGGACGAGGTCGAGCTAGTGGATACGGTGATCGAGCGCAAGTCGACCTCCCTGCAACGGAAAAGAAGCGAGGGGGGCAATTCATCGCGACATTCGGGGATCCGAGTCAGAGAGGAAGTGATGATCAGCTACACGGCGGTTTGATTGGGTGGTCTACAACTTTTTCAATTCATGTATATATGACTAATTCTTTTTTAATCAATGTATGAACTTTAACGATCAATAGTTCGCGTTCGTCGCCGACACTAGCCATGAATGACGTTGACTTTGCGCGGATTTCTCTTCCGAATTGTCCGCAGTCTATCGGGATGCTCGCCTTCCAACGGCAAGATCGGCCTCCCCGACCAACCCCAACGTGTCTCCGAACAGAAAGGATCCCCAGAGCATGGCCTGACGTGCTCGCTTCCCTCACGAACTGGCGGCCCACTCGGTGGATCTGATATCCCCGTGGGGGCCAAATGCCAGCCTCCGACATGCTGAACGACTGAAGCGACCCAGACCAGGTCAATTGATTGAACTCTCATCTGCGACTAGGAACTGACCATACCAATAATCCAACCCAATTTACCCGAACGAAAATGCAGAACCCTGCTAGCCGTTCATGATTCATGAACTTATGTGTTGTCACCAGCCCACTTTACTAGCCTGTATCCACACGGAGTTGCCCCGTTTCGGAGAATGTCGTGTAGATCCACTTCGTTAACGACAGTCTCCAGCCTTTAGCCTCGAGCCGATATGGGAACCCACAGTGAACTCCTGAAACTGCCCTTCCGAGCCCTCCGAGTGTAACCTTGAAAGTTTTCAGGAACGTCGTTGGGGAAGTATGGTATGATACTAGTACCTGGGGGGGGGGGAATAAATCTCATTGTCGAGGTTAGAACTTAGGGCTCCCGATAAAACCCATCAGCGTGTGTTTCAATTCCATAGCAGATTCATAATGCGCAATCTAAAAATCATTCCCGGGAAATAAGAACCGTTTCTCGACGCGAGTCATATTATTGATTGTGACTTGCAGCATTATTCAGGGACTATCTAAGATCTATTTAACCTTAGGTTAGGATGTTCATGTCGATCAGCTGCCGGTTGTGGTCTTGGAATATGACAACCCGTCATGGCGGTCGAAGCATCGGCTAAGCTTAACACTCCGTGTCGAGTTCCATAGTTCAGTTATCTGGGCGTCGGGGTTCAGGGGTCAATGTGCTTCATGGTGGAGACTGTTCGCCACGCGGGGATGAACATTGCATGCATGGACTTATATATTCTTTTTTTGTTATTTTAAATTTTAATGTGGTAACATTGTTCAGAGAGCATGCTGTAGTGGATCTCTGGTGATCCTCAAGGGTTTTGCGCCTCCTTTCTGGTAAAGGCCTTATGATGCAGAGATGGGGTCATGGGGTCATGGAATAAACGTAACCGAGTTTTATAACTTTATGTAATGTTTTATACTAATCTCTAATTATTGAATATAGGAGGCTCATATGCTGATGTAGAAGAAAAGTGACATTGTTACAAGGTAAGACTGGAGTCTCTGAGGTAGTATCATAGTAGTTGCAGCTGTAAAAGTGAGCTAATATTAGCTTCAATCAAAAATATCAGTTCCACTGAAATAGATTTGGACTACTGAGACTATGCTTCTTCTCCTTAACTAATATACTGAATACCTCGACATATCATACCCAGAATACACATGGTGTTCATAAACAATCCATGGATATATAAGTCATCCTAGATATAACAACACAGTCGTCAGAGTATCACCGTACTTATTGATTGAATCATATTATGGATATTTATCTGTGAGACTGAAAATTCAGATTCCTTTACTCACAGCATATGTCTACATTTAGATAATTCATTGACATCAGATTAGGCATAAATAAGCCCATAAAAATAACAATTTCCGCAGAGCAACGCTTGAAACTGCACCAGCATCAAATAATGTCAAAGATGCTCCCCGTACAAAAGAGGCCTTGAAGAAAATCGAATCAAGGTTTAAGAAAGCCAATTTCTTATATTCTTGGACTGCCTCCAAAGACCTATTTCGAAGCACGGTTAACCTCTTCGAAGGATCCAAGAGAAAAGCTATACAATAAGTACTCTCTTACCAAACCACCTCACAGTCCAAACCGCCGCCTAGTGAGTAACTTCGATAACAATCTTGCCGACATGCTGCCCAGTCTCAAGCCTCCGGTAAGCCTCGCGATATTCCGCAAATGGGTAAACCCGATCAATGACAGGCCGTATTTTGTGCCTCTCCATCGCTGTAAGCATCGCCTCGAAATCCATTCGCGAGCCAATAGTGGATCCGGTTACTGTCAGGGTTCGAACAAGTATGTCAATCGGCGGAAGGCCGCCGCCGAAACCGCTTGCAAAGCCAACCAGGACAACCACGCCAGTTATCTTAGTCGACGCTGCAGACTTCACGATAGTTTTCTCTCCAGCAATGTCTAGCACCCTGTCGACGCCCTTTCCATCAGTCAGAGCAAGGATCTCGCGATCCCAGTCAGGACAGGTGCTATAGTTCACGACAGCGTCGGCACCTAGTTCCTTAAGCTTAGCGGCCTTTTCGTCCGATGACGTGATCGCGAGCACACGAGCACCGAAGACCTTCGCAAACTGCAGGGCAAAAAGCGAGACGCCCCCGGTGCCCTGGATCAGAACCGTCTGGCCCGGCTGGAGGGGCTCGATCTTGTTCAGCGCCGTCCAGGCTGTGACAGCTGCGCAGGGGAGCGAGGCCGCCTCGGTATAGGTCATGTAGTCCGGGATGGGGACGAGTGCGTCTTCATAGAAGAGCGCATATTCAGCCAACATCCCGTCGATACTGAAGCCGACGCTGTTGGAGCGATAGTCTGGGTTATATGGGCCGCCGATCCAGTTGGCGAAGCAACTAACGGTGACGCGGTCGCCTTTCTTGACTCGTGTTACGTCTTTGCCAGCTGCAACAACCTCGCCGGCACCGTCAGATACAGGGACAACGCCCTTCTTGGTCGCTGCGGGATATTCCCCCCTCAGCAGGGCCGTGTCACGGTAGTTCAGTGAGGCCGCGTGCACCCTAATCAGCACTTCATGGCGACCTGGGGTTGGTAGGGGTTCGTCACGAATTTCTGCGCTGGCTTTACTACCTGCGGTGATAATACGGACGGCTTTCATTTGTTCCATAGTTTGGAAGGCTTCAGTTCTGCTCCGGCTTGGCTTGATTGGATAAGGGATTGCGAAATAGAGGATTGAGATATGGTGACAGGGTCCAAGAGGGAAGAAGACTGTCCTGTAAATTCCTTGACTCTTTATACTTGTGAAAGATCCTAGGTTTGGTATGTTTAGGGTGGGATCTCCGGGCAGATGGTGGGTTCTCCGATGGTGACAAATCTATTGGCATCCATACTATCAGTTCTTTAACATGAAGAATAATTCAATTAATAATCCAACATAAGTCTCACTAAGTCATCTTAGCTAGGAAAAGTCAATTAAACCTGTGATAGACGATCTTACTGAGATAGAATTATCCACCGGGCCTTTATGTACATTTCATCGTAATGTCCCGGATCCGATATAGAATCGGGCCGTTGGGCACACAATATCCCCCGAACCCCGGCCATGCAATTTAAATATAGTCTTAACGGGATCCCACAATCCTCTTTAAAGATACTTATATCTAAGCCTATCTTCTACAAAGAGTATATAGTAGAGCAGCTTCATACTATTATCGTAGAGAATTATATATGTACTTCCCAATAGCGTGTTTAGCAGCAGATATATAAATTATAAAAATCGCTGAAATCGCTCGATTTCTCTTATCCCTACGCCTGATCCTCCGCTCGAAGAGATAAAATACAATCACCTATAGTGCTATGTTATTATTATTATTATTCTAGAGAGCGTGTCAACGCGTTAACTAAAATATTAGCAAAAGGTATATACGGGACTTGGCTAGCTCCCTAGAATACTGCTAATATAATCTACGGCTACATTGGGTTAGGTTCATGGGATCTAGTTTAACCGCAACCAATATATATAGAGAGAGACAGAGACATGCCAGAATGAACCAATGGATGTCTCACGGATGGCGGGAAGACCCGAAAGGGCATTGACATTTACTTTCAACAGCGACTTTGGAGGTTAGTGAGGCTATAAAGTAGAACTTTCCCTCCACCCCCATACCACCTTCTCCGAATTCATTTGTTCATGGCAACGGTCAAGATGAGCTTGGACATCATTCCTAACTGGCTTCGGATGTAGGTTTCTCTAATGATAGCAAGAAGCCTACGTTGAAACCGCACACAGTATCCTCCTAATTTCAAGCGTTGCCTCCTTTTTGCCACAGTTGCAGCGAATATGGTATACGAAGCAGTTCACCGGCCTGTCGCTCTCATATGTCCTCTGCACTGGTATCTAGCTTTCGCGTTACAGCTTAGATGCTATAGTATATAACCCTCACTTATGTGAACAAGGGATCCCCGGATATATGTCGGGTGGATAAAGTAAACTTCGATCAAGGTTCCATGAGGCATGGATTCGTATCACTTGCTGATGCACGACAGAAACAACCATTTCTGGAAAAGCATTCCAGCATGTTCTGTTCCAGGCCGCAGAAAAGTAAGTATCCAAGGATGGCGAGTCAAGAAGTCAGCCAGACCGGGATTACTGGAGTCACACAGGGCCAGGTTTGCCAGTCTGGTAAGCAGACCTGACCTATGTTACTGTCAATGAGATTTGACTACGTACTCTGTATATACATTCCAACTAAAGCAGGATTGAAGAAAGAATACATTTTGTTTCTAAAATAGGAGCCCGGCTCCCTTTTCTGCCCTATTCTAATACAGTCGCACCGGTTTATGACCCAGTAGGAGCTGCGGGTAGGTCTCTAGCATAGGGCTTGTATATGGATATGCCCATATCGTCAGTGGCGAACACAAGGATCCACATGGATAGATCCTTTGCTCGGCGATACTCGATTTTGATCATATCACTGTCTCTTATACGCTAACAATAAATACGAAGCATCGATGATATAAGCCCTGCCCTATCCCCACTATGTATCCAGATCCATCCTCTGTTTTTCACGACACACATCTTTCGTCCCAGTTGAGGTCAATCCTGAAATCCCAGTCTCCTGGACTATGGCTAATAAAAATACCATGGATGCTGATTATACCCTCAATGAAAAGCACCCAGTCAAAATTGAAAGTCTTCCAATCTCAATCCCAGAATGCCAGGCTGACATAGATGAAAACTCTGCCGAGATGGATGCAACCCTAGTAGCCGACATCTATAAGCTACTCAAAGAGGCCGAGTCCCCAGATTTCGATAGTCGATGGCGAAAAAGCCCTGACGAGGTGTTAAGTCCGTCTACCCAGCACGCGGCATGCACATATCGACGGACTCTCTGCCTCGGACTAAAATGCTTACTAGGGGAAATCACAATTCCCGATAGCCAAGTCTGGCAGGATGCAGTTACCTACTGCCGAGCAGTCATCGCAGCCCCCGAGGACTCCATCACCCGGGCCAATTCGTACTGGATCAGATCATCTTCCGACGTCAGCAAAGCACACCTGCAACGATTCGGCCCGGGGATCGTTGCCGCAGCGCGGAAGGGCAGCTCCAAGATCGTCTCCGACCACTTCCACGGAGACCGACTGAAAGTGCCCCATATCGATAAGCGACAGAGCTTCTACCGGAATGCGCAAAATACGAACCTGGGTGCGTTGTTTTATCCGTCTTCAAGCCCCCTGGCGGTTGGGGCCTTTGAATCGGGGATAATACCGTGCTCGCTGGCTATGCTGGCCTTTCTGGACCCGGAGACGGCGGTCAAAGCGGCGTCGCTTTCTGGTGTGGCCATCTCCGATGACTACGCTGCGTTCTCGCGGGATGATTGTGCGTTTCGGTTGCGGATCGTGGGCTTTGCGCTTGGATGCGCGTATGACATCGGTGGGCAGTTGGTTAATGCACTCATCGATGGGAGTATGCTGCAATGTGTCGGGACCGGTGACCAGCTCTCGCTCGACGCTGCTAGGTCATGGAGAGCCATCAGTGGCTGTACGTCACCCAACAGTGGGTATATCTTCGGCAAGGAAAGCCTGGAAGAGGGCCTTGTGATCACGGAGGTTGAAACGGCGATGCACGACTTGCTAGATTGGAGGTCCGATGTAGCGGCCGGGAACCACGAGAATGGCGTTTCGGCAGCATACGTACTGGGCTTCCAAGACCCCTTTCACGCGTATCTGGAGGCGATGTTGGAGCGAGCAACGTCTAATCCGAGGTCTGGTTGTTATGCGATTGGGGCCATAATGTATATGCACTTCACAAGTGTGAGATATGGGCCGTATGAGTATCGTGGCACACATGGGGCGCCATGCGCTGAGTGTGTTCGCATTCTGAGAAACGTGACTATTGGTGTAGGGCTGGTCTGGGCTCCAAAACCGCCTCCTAGATGTTTTGAGGACAGCGCCGGTAGCAGGAAGCTGGGGAAGATTTGGATTGATGAATTCAAGGATTGTGGTTTGGTTCAAGAAGGTCTCGGCTGGTTTCAGCATCTGGTGTCGACGGGAGAAATTCGACTTTTCGATGTCCTGAATCCGATTAATGAGGTTGATACTGGCGCCGATTGGGCCTGACAAGGTAGACTTTGTACCTGCCGTCTGTGATGGTATACCGGATCTCGAAGTTGATACGGTCACGTTTCATCTCGTACTTTATTGTTCTGATAGCATGTTTGATCTTTAGAAGAGGTACAATCGATGAAGTGCTAAAACCTGTATATAGTCCGATAATTAACAACGAAGGAAGAACTGGAGATACAAAACAAAACCAAGAACCTTAGAACACGCATTTCCTTTAGGGCCTTACCATAGCCAACACCAATCCTATCCCTCCATTCCACCACATGCTTTCCCATCTGCAAAGGAGGCTATTCGCCGAGCGTCGTCGTTTAATTGGAATAAGGTTTCAGGAACTGAGTGTTGTCGACTTAGGGTTGCAGGTAGTTATAGATGCCCGAACCGGAAACCCATCGGTCGACAGTTGCCCCAAACCTGGTCATGTTCGTTGATAGAGTCCTATCGCTGGAAATTGGCCTCACTAGTAGTTGGTGCCCAATCAGAGGGTTATCTGGGGGTTTAAGAGATTTATTCTGAATGTGTGTCTCCACTGTAACGAACTGTTGGGTTCGCTGAGCGAGACTTTGGGAGATAGCAATAAGCTGTGTTTAGAGATAAGTCGGTAGAAAGTAGTGGAGAAATATAATTAATTCATTCCATGATTGAAGAAATACATCGGCCAAGCGGAAACAGGACGATAGTATGACTTAAGACAAAAAAAATCGCCAAACTCACGCCATACAGGCCCAATCGGATGTAGAATACAGCGTGCAGAGGGAACGATTAGCATCTGACATCGAGCAGACTGATAAACCCCTCTTCAGCTGATCCAGAGAAGAAAATCCATGCCGGGGATTGTCGGCAAGCTCCTTATACGTGGACAGCAAACGCCCTAAGTTAGCCGCCAATCAATCCGGTTGTTTGCTTCCCAACTCCACCGGCTCTTTGGGTATCTACAAATGTCTCCCTACCAATAGTTACTATCGAGGGGGGGCAAACAGTATGGCAATTTCATCATCGTAGTTTCCGAAAACGACACTGCTTTATAGCGGTGGGCGTCTGCTAGTTCGAGGACTGCGGACGCTGTGGTATATTCTTGTCTGCTATTTCCTATGCGCTGCCTTCATCTATGAGAGTTTTTACAGTGATATGTATATGGACCCGCACAGTTCTTGAACAGTTGTGGGAGGGTGAAGCTTGAGATCTTTTTGGCTTGAGGTATCTTGGCTCAATGTCCTATATTGATGGGAATTTTTAACTTTAAGGTTAGGCTTTCGGTTAGCAGCCAGTTCTTCACGGGGATCGTCATAGCCTTTGGATACGTCCAAAACTGTGAAGGCACATTCGTATCGTGGGTATAAGAAACGCGCGCTGACAGAGACAGATGTGTGAGAACGTGCGAGGTCGGTTCGGGGTCTGTGGCCACGAAGCCACGGTATACATCGCGAGATGTGCGGTTGCCCTGCAGAACCAAGTGACGTGTCCGCCCAACCAGCGCCAAGACGTTTGGGACTGGCAGGAGGATAAGGATAATGAAGAGTGTCCAGCATGCAGGGGGCAAACGCCACCTGAGACACCTTGACGAGAGAGACGCGAACAGGGACGGAAAGGGAAAAAATCTGGAGTGCTGCCTCGATATGTAGTTCACGCCTGGAGCAATGAATTCCTCATGCCAGCCACTAGTTTCTGTTCCAGTCTCCCGCCCCATGTATATGAGTTGGCTCGGGCTTTTGCGGAGTCAATCCATTGCGGACGTGGAATGAAAATCCTAACACTAGAGTAAGCCGTGTAGCCCGGAAGGAATGGGTGGCGACACTCCTACCAATTGTCTCCCTGGCGGCTAGCCAGATAGACTTGATGGGGGATCTGCGCAACCTCGTCCGCGCCGAGTTCTCCACGAACGTTCAAGTCGAAGATAAACCAGCGCTTCACCGGCTTGGCCGAGTCGAAGTCTGCAGGAATGTGGACGTGGTCGTACCCAGTAGGTTGGAGCGGTGCATGGAATTCTCGGTTTAAGACTTCCTCGCAGAACGCACTCCCCAGAGTATTATGGCGTCGCTGTGGATTACCACCGATATCAGTGACACAGGCAGAGATGATGACTCGCATTGGGCTCTCCATCGTGATCTGAATCCATCAGCGTCCCAAAACAAACAGTTCCCATTTCTTTTGAAGAAGCATTCTGTGACTAGGACCTGAAGGATGATGATTTGCACTGGCAGTTACAGACGGGTCCGGATTAATTCATCACCGATCTTGTCTCATTCATTGTTTGTTTCACTTGACATGGATCAGCATCCCCAGATCAGCTCTTTTTAATCTCGCTCCGGGATCCATTCCTCTCTTTCAGCAGAATTCGATGGCGCGCTGGTGGTGTTTAAATGGCTGAACGTCAGCGAGTCATGTCCATAGTTTGTTGGTTGCAATTTGATTGGCACTAACTCTAATTAGTTTAGAAGGCTTCAGGTTTGATTCAATGCCCCTTGAAAGTTGACACTGAAGAGAAGATTGCGAGTGGGCCAGAGGGCTGTACCCTTCCCTTTTCGGCATCAACGCAAGTCACTAGTCTTCGCCAGACCCTAATAAAGTCTAGATCGATGCAAGGCAATAGTCTTCGTTGCAATGATTGGAGTATAATCATTTTGGTGGGTAAGTTATTTTGCTTCATCGCTTGTATTTTACAATATATAAGCATTGAACGGGCCATAATCTTATTTGACACTACATACTATCCAGACCACCTCGTCACCTGCAACGACAGTGTGCTATATTGCCAGCACTCTCTAGCAGAAATCTATAGCATGTGTAAAATTAATATACCTGTCTCACAGACACAGTCGATGAGATGTACGTCATTATCTGCACAGAGCTTGGTCATTTAGGAACTTCAATCCCGCCGTACGACAGAGCCACTTTATGTGACAATAGGAGATCATTCAGGAACTTCAATCCCGCCATACGAAAGAGATACTTATGTGATAATAGGAGGAGACGATGAGCTCATAACAACATACAGCCATCCCCCCTCCCGCGCAAGCATTGTACTATAAAGTATGGCAGCCCAACGCGGTCCAGCTGTCGAAAGGTGTTTCGTTGTCGTTGTAGTTCGGTGCAACTATTTACTACAAACAACCTCCAAGAAGTTAGGATGGGATTTTGGCAGGTTCTCACTCGTTCCAAGACCCAGCCAAAGTCCTCGGCCCCCGATGAAGCCTCTTCAGAAACGCGTGAGATAATTGCGACCCCAATGCCATTTGGCAAAGTCAGACCTCTGAAATAACATGACACAGGAAAGACAGAACCCCCGGCACCCAAGACAAAAAAGAAAAACCCTGAAAAGTGTTTTGACGAGTGTACAGCATGTATGTCAATCGTGGAGCGTAGTGCTACCCTGCAACCCACATGTTCCCACCGTTATTGCCGTCCCTGCATAACCAGAATGTTCGAGTGCTCCGTCAACAGCAGTGGTTGTTTCTTGCCTCCAACATGTTGTCGCAAGGTCATTCCGGTCTGGCTCGTCTCTGGATGCCTCGGGGAAGACATGACCAAACGTCTCAAAGAAAGAATGGCGGAGTATAAAGATCCTAGGAAAACATATTGTTTCAATGCGAGTTGTGCACGGTATCTTGCTCCTTCTCCCCGCCACGATCGCTCCAGGGCATGCAGTTATTGCCTGCAGAGCACTTGTACCTCTTGCAAAGGACCCTCCCACCAAGGGCGGTGTGACAGTAATGTCTCTACTGTTCGAGACAACGGAACCAAAGAATTTCTCAAGTTGGCGAAGAAGGAAAAGTGGAGGAATTGTCCCGGGTGTCACCGGATGGTGGAACGCTACGAAGGCTGCCAACATCTGTAGTGAGTCGAACCCCTTTCAGGCATTGTCTTCTCCAGTAAATGCTAATCGTTCTAAGCTGTTTGTGCGGCACTGCCCTCTGTTATAGATGTGGAAACAGATTATTGACATGCATATGTAAATTTGGACAAGCAGTGAAACCACATTGGTAAGAACGAGACATTCCATTGAGCCTCTTCCGTTCTATTTCTTCGCTTAATTCCCTACCTGTCGTGGAGTAAGTTCAAATTGATCCAATTTTCAGTGAGAAATAAGTTTTGTTCCTGGGAATTAGCCTTGTAGTCTACACAGGGACTTGAATCTGCTGACGTAGTGTATACATTCAATCGTCCTTTATGCTTTATGTACATGTCGCAATTCAGAAATCCAACGCATCCACTTGTCCTAGGAAAGAATTATTACCCTCCCCACGCAGTAGAGCCTCGATATCAACTCGTCCTGAAGTCAGATACCGCTCGCTCACACCCACATTCACTCTCTGGGAGAGTAACTGCTTCAGTTCGGCGCGCATTCCCGCCAGTTCACCCTTGGATGTGCTTCCAGCCTTCCGTTCCCGTTCCTGTCGTCCGCGTCCGCGTCCGCGCCCGCGCGCTGCGGCATTATCGAACTCCTCGCTGTCGTAGTCAACGCCTAGATCTTCTGCAGCCGTGCGGAGCCAGTTGTCCTCAGACGACACCTTCTCTTTGGCGATGTTGGAGTCAACAATCCGAGCCGCTAAAGTGACTCGTTGTTTGACACGAGATACGACCCGACGGTCTAACTCTAACGATTCGAGAGGGACCTTCTTTCGGTTGGCCATGTTTGCATGCACCTTTGCAGCGAGTCGGACCACACCGACCATTTCGTCCGGAGAGCAGATGATGACACTCTTCCCCGATGCTCCAGCACGCGCGGTACGACCGGAGCGGTGGACGTATGCGTCCGCAGTGCGAGGTGCGTGGTAATGAACTACAAAGTCAATACCCTTTATGTCGAGTCCACGCGCAGCAACGTCGGTCGCGACAAGAATGGAGCTAGGGTCTGATGATGGAGAGGAGAACCGCTCGACGGAACGAAGTCGCGCCTTTTGGGCCATGGATGAGTGAAGAGCAAGGGCTGGGAGTTGAAGGGCTTGTAAGAGCTGAGTTAGTCGTCGGACGGCGGATATGGAATTCGTGAAAACTAGAGTGCGATGCTTAGGGTGATAGAGGAGCAGTGTGTAAAGAAAGAGGTCCTGCATAAATCGTTAGGCGGAATATATGATGCGCTTGGTTTCAAACGTACCTTTTCCATAGCAGCGCACTCCACAATTCCCTCCTTAAGGTTCTCTGCCATCTGCGAAACTGGGTTCACATCAATGAATCTAGGCTTCTCCTCGCGGAAGTTAAGCTTCTGAAGAAGGTACTCCATCGACTCCTTTTGGCTCATGATATCGCCACCGGTCCACTTGCCTTTGCCCGCAAGCTTCTGCTGAAGGTCACGGTGGAACGTAGCTGAGAAAACCAGGGTCTGTCTCTCAGACCTGGGGTCAGGTTCATTATCAGATTCGTCGCTTGACTCGTCCGGGAAATCTCCATCCACGACGCGGTCAAGAGCTGCCAATATCTCGTGAGCTTCCTTGAAGTGCCCTTCACTCAGAAGCCTATCGGCCTCATCAATAACAAGGAATTTTATCGCCTGCATCTTGCGAATCAGACCTTGTCCAGTGCTGAGAACTTCCCACACTCGACCAGGTGTACCGATTACGATATCAGCGTTGGCAAGGACTCTCTGTTGCTTTTGCAAGGACAAACCACCGGTCAAAAGCGCAATCCTAGCATTGACACCTGGGGCATGGCTGACCACCTCTCCAATATGTTTCGCGAGCTGATGCGCCAGCTCTCTAGTGGGCGATAAAACAAGCGCGATCGGTGTGGTCTCGGTTTTTTCTGTATCCTTATGAGTTTTACTCCGCAGTTTTTCCAGATAGTACTCTAGAATGGGAATTCCGAAAGCCAGCGTTTTTCCAGAACCTGTCGAAGCCTTTCCGATGACATCGCGACCATCCAAGATGGGAGGGATGCAGGCCTTTTGAACAGACGTTGGCGTGGTGAACTTCATCTTTGAGATACCAGTGAGAATTTCGGGAGAGAGCCCAAGGGACTCCCAAGCAGAGACGTCCGCACCGTCGTCTTCTTCCTCATCCTGAAGGGCTGCAAACGAGAGTCCGGATTTGATGCCCTTGTCTTCCTTACTTTCGGCAGCTTTTGTTTTCTGTTCTTTCTTCACGTCCTTTGCGTTTCTCTTCTCCTTCTTCGCATTTTTGCTCTCTTTCGCCTTCGCCTTCTTATCGGTCTGGGTGGGTTCGTCTTGGGTCTCCTTCGATTCGTCCTGGGACACAGCCTGATCGTCGTCGCCGAAACCTTCCCATTCATCATCGGACTGGGCTTTCTCTTCCTCCGGCTCTTTCTTCTTCAAGATTGACTTTTTCGGTTTTCCAGCCTTTGCCTAATAGGTGTCACTAGAGATCGCTCAAAACCGCGGCGCAAAGAACATACCTTGAATTTAATCTCACCACTCCCTTCGGACCGTATGATATCAACACCCTCAATTTCTTCCAATCCAAAAAATCCACCAGCATCTTCAAGACGATCCGGCAGAGCTACCTCCTTCCAGTTGAGCTCATCCATTGCGACAATGCCATCCCAGTCGCTCTCTTCCTCGGGCGCATTGCTAGGCTTTGCGCTCTTCTTCCTTTTCTTCGCAAAGGATCCCGCACCCTTTTGGTCCCGCAGCCGTTTCTGACCCATGACGAGAACCCGGAAGCAATTATGACGATAGATGCTGTTTCTGGTTGATTGAAGAATTATTTTTCGGCGCCGAGAAGGGAAAAAGAGCGGCAGAAAAAAAGCCCTCGGCTCGCCGCCTTGGAGTCAATCTTATCGGCCGCCCGCCTCTGCCCCACGGAGAAATTCATTGAAAATCGCTCTTCTTTACCTGCCATTGGCATAGTTTCAGCCGTCGTGCAGACACCGCGAAGATGGGTAAATCCTCCAAGGACAAGCGCGATGCGTACTACCGGCTGGCCAAGGAACAAAATTGGCGTGCGCGCTCAGCGTTCAAGCTAATCCAGATCGATGAACAATTTGATCTATTCGAGCACGAGAACCCGGAGAAAGTCACACGAGTTGTGGATCTTTGCGCAGCACCGGGTAGCTGGAGTCAAGTTTTGAGTCGGGTGTTGATTAAGGGCGAGAGCTTTGGACGTAGGGCGTGGGTGGAGAAGAAAAGCAAGGAAGCGGCCGCGCTGGCGAGCGCCAACGGTGATGCGACGGACAACAACGTTGATGGAGATGCGGATATGAAGGAATTGAAACCTAGGAAGAATGTCAAGATCGTCTCCATTGATTTGCAACCGATGGCGCCGCTGGAAGGCATTACAACCCTCAAGGCAGATATCACACACCCGTCCACGATCCCTCTTCTTCTCCGCGCTTTGGACCCGGAGGCTTACGATTCCACCACATCTTCCCCTTCTTCTCTCCGCCAACCGCATCCCGTCGATCTTGTTATCTCCGATGGTGCTCCAGATGTCACTGGTCTGCACGATCTAGACATCTACATTCAGTCCCAGCTGCTCTACGCCGCCCTGAATCTCGCTCTAGGTGTTCTCCGCCCCGGAGGCAAGTTCGTGGCCAAGATCTTCCGTGGCCGTGATGTCGACCTTATCTACGCACAGCTTCGTACCGTCTTCGAGAAGGTCAGCGTCGCGAAGCCGAGAAGCAGCCGAGCAAGCAGTCTGGAAGCGTTCGTAGTCTGCGAGGGCTTCATCCCACCCTCCATCCACGGTGGCTCCATGGGCATGGAAGCCCTCAAGAACCCTCTATTCGGCGGCGCAGCAGTGGCACATACGGTGTCCGCTGATGGTAACGTCGGTGTAGAGGTGATGGATGTTGACTCTGAAGCCAAGCCCGGAGCGGAACTCACGACTACAAAGACCGTTTCCTCAACCGCACCCCACAAAGAGAACCAGGTCCGCATGCTGCATGCCGATTCCGATAGCCCTTCCGCACAAGAACCCCTCTCTCAAAAGCCCGTGACTGAGAAATTCGCCGTCGAAAACAGGTGGATTCCTCCTTTCATCGCCTGCGGTGACCTCTCTTCCTGGGATTCTGATGCGTCCTACACTCTTCCCCCTGACCATGTAAGCTTAGATCCCGTCCAGCCACCTACAGCCCCGCCGTACCGGAGAGCGCTGGAATTGAGGAAAGAAAAGGGGGGTGCCTATGGGAGGACGAAATTGGGGGCTCTCGGTCGGGCTTGAGATGTTAACATTTTCTAATTTGATTGTTTCTACAAAAATTACGTGCATGTCTTTTCATGATACATTCACGAATGTCGTTTGCTGAGAGACCAGGACCATGGATTTTACATAAATGAGGCGGTGTTTTTGGAAAAGACAAGAGATCTACGCTACAATCCACTATATAGAAGATACCCAAAGGATACAAAATATATCATTCGAAAGGGTATGCGTGTATACCAAATTCAGTATTCGGTGTGGTGCTGGAAATGTAATACAAACTGATTCTGGTAACAACTTCTGAACCACTTTTGGATCTTATAGCCAGAGGATGTTTCGAGGCTTCTCCTAAAGTGATCTTCCAATATAATCCTAGAACAATATCCCTGATACCTCACAGTACGTTGGTAGCGAAGGTAACCCTTGGCAAGTGGGGATTTAATTGTGGCGCCCAGAACCACATAGGCCCGGGCCGGAAAGACAGATCGACTAGCAGATTCTTAAGAGTACATACTATAATCAAGATCTAGGTCTCAGACGCTGTGCTGCAGCTAATATCATATTTGTACGACGTAAAATATACAGAGTATGTCTTTCCTTACAATGGTTTGATTCGGGACAAGTCAACAAGGTTAAAGGTAAGTCAGTCTATTTCTATAGATCGGGTGTTTTGATGCTAACAAGCGCTAAACCAAAACAGGATGGTCATCAACTTCATGTCAACTTCATGCACAGAGAAACTCAAAAATCAACATAGCAGCAAAATCTTTTTCATCAAGTCCTCTAGTACACCTCAAGGACGTATCTCTCCTCATCCTTGAGTTTCTCAATTTCCTTTCTAGTGTCAACCTTCTTGCCGTTTGCCTTGGCCTCGATGGCAATTGCTTCTTCCAGCACGGCGGTCACATCGGGAACCGGCCAGGTGGGACCGCAGAGGTAGAAAGATCCCTCTTCACGAATGTAAGCATCGACGATCTCAGGCAAAGTCTGGCGCATGCGATCCTGGATATAGATCTTCTCGGGCTGGTCACGGGAGAAGGCACGGCCAAGGAGGGTGATGACACCAGCCTCTTGGTAGGCCTCCCACTCCTCACCGTAGCAGTACTCTTCGCGCTGGTGACGAGAGCCCATGTACAACAGAACGGCACCGATCTCCTTGCCCTGGGCCTTCTCAAGTGCACGGTGCTGCACGAAGGCACGGAAAGGAGCAAGACCTGTACCAAGACCTGCCATGATAATAGGCTGGGTGGACTTAGGCGGCAGCTTCATCACACTGGATTTCACACTAACAGTGATGGGGGAGCCAGGTTGAAGCCTGCTGAGGTAGCGGGTGGCCAGACCAAATCGGTCACGGCCGTTGGGAGCCACCCAGTTGACGGCGACGATCATGAGCGCCACCGAGTCAGGAGTAACCTTCTGGCAGGAGGCAATAGAATATTCACGACGCTTAAGAGGGCCGACAATACGGATCAAGTCATGGAATTCAGGGTGAGCAGAGGGGTATTCAAGCAGAATGTCGGCAAAAGTGACGGTATCAACCTCGGAGCGACGCTTGAATTCCTCAGCCCCCTCGGGTCCACCCAGGGTAAGAAGGTCAGTCTTTTCCTTCTCATCAGTTGCGAATTCAGCAAGAGCCTCGTAGAAACGCTTGGGAGGGCGACCGAAGATATCAATATTCTGAGTGAGAGCCTGGAACACCGTGCGGTTCTCCAACACAGCTGGGTCCTCGCGGCTAGCCACCTCGACGATATCGTCGGCGTTCAGACCATAGAATGCGATGAAGTCAGAGACCTCCTTCACGTCATTCTCAGCGTGAACACCAAGAGCCTCACCGATGTCATACGTAAGACCAGAATCACCCAAGTCGAATTCGATGTGGAAGATATTCCGGTCATAAGTAACAGGCGTCAGGCGTCTGTTCTCCTTGACATGGACAGTAAAGGTCTTGGCAGCAGTGTCAGGTCGGAGAGCAGCCTTGGTTCCGTAGGCCTCTTTGAAAGCCAAGCCCTTTGCGGCAGTCTGCCAGTCCTTAAGCAGAGAAGCGGGCTCAGAGTCCTCCTTGTCGAAGGACACAAAGCTGTTGGGAGAGATGTCCTTGGGCAGCTGAGGAGCCTCAAAGCCTTCCTCGGGCGTTTTCCAGGCCTCGGGGATCTCGATCTGGCGAAGCAATTTATCAAGGTCCTTGCTGATGTTCTCAAGAGATTCAACATTACCAGTGATCGATCCCAGCTTCTTGATGCCGATCTCCTCCAACGAAGGAAGAGCCACTCGCAAGAAAGCGGTCTGGAGAACAACAGAGTTGAGCGACTCGTCGCCGGTAACCGAGGGGTCGACAACGTAGAGAGAGATTCCACGTTCCGCAACCTGCTGTCTGAAGGCTACAGGAAGCTTCTTCTCCAGGTCCTCATCCTTCACGCCAGGAGCGTTGATGATAAGGTTGCCGTTGTCCTGGATAGAGGCAGCAATGTCGATATCTGCAAGAAGCTTGACATCTCCAACATATGCGGTGTTGGCGGCAGTGATAGCATAGGGAGCTTCCAGGGTTTTGGCGCTCTTGCGGATATCAATGCGCACTGCACCTCCCTGGACAAGGTTGTCGTGAGTCTTGTTGGTGACCACGTTGCTTGCTGAATCGGCTGCAAGGGCCTGGGAGAGTAAGGCAGCAGCATTATCGCAGGCAGAAGTGTCGACATCCCAGAAGGTATATTCTTGGACTGCAGAGGGGTCGAGCAACTGAAGCGGCACCGACTGGCCATCAGTCTGAACGATAGGCTTTTCGGAGATAAGCTGGAATGCAGCTGCGGTGTTGATCAAGTCCCAGCGCTGGGAGCGGGCATACTTGATGTCCACACAGGTAGGGACGTTCTCACGGCCAGTAGCGAAAGTCAAAGCTGCAAGGACATCTTCATATAGGGCAGACCGGATGCCCTGCTCTTGAACAGCTTGTTCGTTGACAACCTGGCCTAGGACACCTACAGTCTTGACAGACTGAGGTAGTACACGGAGAAACTCCTCCTCCACAAATGGACGGTAAACACGAACGTTGATAACACCAACACGAACGCCATCTTTAGCCAGAGAGCGTGCAATCTGAGCAGTAAGAGATGCCTCAACGGTACCAAAAGCAACCAAAACGGAAACCGGCTCCGCGTGGCCGTGGTACTCGAAGAGACCATAGTCTGTGCCGAGTTCACCGTTAAGAGACTGGAGCAACTCCAATAGCTTTCCTTGAGTGTCAAGGTGACGGCTACGGGAATCTTCCAAGGTCTTACGGACAGCTTCATAGGTGCGAGAAAGACCCGCCTGGCTCAGAACGTCGATGACCCGGGTGGTTTCGCGTCCAACGCGAACACCATCGTAAATGTGAACAGAAGGCAAGACCGACGCGAGTAAGGTCGTAAGCAGCGCCATGTGCTGCGACTCGTGAACGGAGGCGCTGGAAACAAGACCCAATCCAAGCTCTTCAGCAAGAGAAAGGGCGGATACATAGTCGGAGACCAAGCCCTCCTCTCCGGCATAGTCGACAGCAGCAACATGCGCGGCAACAGGGCTGGCAACTGAGTACAACAGAGAGAGCTGCTCCAAGGCCGATCGCATATAAGGAAGGGTGGCAGAAGAGGCGACAATGCCCTGGGGAACATGGCGCTTCTTCAAGTCGAAGTCTTGAGAAAAGAGGTAGCCAAGGGCGATGTTACCAGCACCCTGACGAGTTTCCATTGCTTGGATGGCAGGAGTTTCGCCATTGGCATTGGATTCTTGGCTGGAGGCCCATTGCTTAAGAGCAGCATCGAGGTCGAAGGACTCTGGAGAATAAGAGAAGATCTTATCACTCAGGACATACGCCACTTGTTGGATAAGCGTCTGCGAAGTCACATAGGTCGGACCTTCGAGAGCCGACAAGACTGGGGATGAAGAAGCCATCCCGACAAAGATTCCTGTCTAGATACAGGCCAAACAAACAAGTATGAAGACGGGAAAAGAAAAGAAAGGAATGAATGACAGAGGGGGAGGCAATGGGGTAAAAAAGAGTCCCCCCATGCGCCGTCTACTATAGAAACCCCAGGGCCCCGTTGCCTATTGCGGTTAGCGTGAATTGCGTGATTCTTTCATTCTCTCTTATCGATTAGATTTTTATCGGCTTCTCCAGCGGTAAATGGCGGCAGAACTCGCCACTTCCGGCACTTCTCCGCATTATTCACGATCACGGGAGATTCTCCAATTTCTATACGGCCTGAGGCACACATATCCTGTTTGAGCCTAGTCCATTGATAATTGATAATCAGTTGTTCGTTCACTAATCAACCCGACGTCATCTTCTACTCCCTGCAGATAATTTAGCCAACTAACCTCATTCTAAACTGCAATCACAATCGCTACAGATTTATAAAGATGGCCAACACAGCCTTGATCGGATGTACCGGAATGGTGGTAAGTGCTTCATATGACCATACTTATCGCAGCAAGACACATTATCTTCCCCCTATGTAGATTGTTGCAAGTTATATCTAGTCTACCGGACACGAGTAGCGCGTCGTGGCTAACTGTCAGCTCCTTATCATTGTCGGGTCTTAAAGGGGAGCTTTATCCTCAACAGTCTTCTCGCACATCCCTCTGTCGCTCGTGTGGACACAATCTCCCGTCGCACTCCACAAGCCGCATCTGCCGCCCAGACCAAACTGACCACAATCGTATCTGACGATACGTCGCGCTGGGCCAGTGAGCTCTCCTCGCTCACTCCAACCCCATCTATCTTCTTTTCCGCGTTTGCCACTACTCGTGCAAGCGCGGGTGGTTTCGAGAACCAATATAAAATAGAACATGGCCTGAACGTCGAGATGGCACGCGCAGCACGCGATGCTGGCACTAAGGTTTACGTTCTGATCTCATCCGCCGGAGCTGATAAGAATGCATACTTCGCGTATCCCCGAATGAAAGCTGAAATTGAAGAAGATGTGAAGGCGCTAGGGTTTGAAAGAACCGTCATTCTGCGTCCTGGTCTCATTGCCGGGCAGAGAGAGGAGAGCCGACCTATGGAAGCTGCAATCCGCTGTGTTGCTGGATTTGCTGGGAAAATACACTCTGGACTGAAGAATGGATGGGCTCAGGAAGCGGACGTGATTGCACGAGCCGCGGTCAATGCAGGACTCAAGGCTTTAGAAGGGGATGTTCCTGCCGGCTCTGAGAAGGTTTGGGTCCTGGGTGGCAGCGACATCATTAAATACGGAGCTGAGTCACAGAACTGAGTGAACAAGATGGATGTATATTCTTCATAAATATCTATATGATTATATCTCATAAGTAATAATGATAGTGCTTACTGGTTATCACAGAATTTGGACTGAGCCGTGTAGTCTTGTATAAAACACAATTTATGTTAACTCCAGTATTGTGCCAAACACGGGGTATTCAGATACTATGGCCAAATATCCATTGTACAACCCTTGTCTACTTCTTCGGCTTGTTGACCTCTCTATTCTTCCGCGCCGCTCCCCTTCCACTCGTCACCTCTTTCTCTGCGTTACGGTCCGGGAGCCCCTCCTGCGTTGGTCGTGTGCCACTCACTTCAGTATTCCCCGGACTAACATTCAGCGGGTTGCTGACTTTACCCTGCTGCTGACTCTCCTTCTCAGACTCTTGGATCTCGCTCTCAGGCCTCGTCGTGTTTGGGTCGTAGGCTGATGAATGGCTAGCGACTTCATTATCTGTACCCGTTTGGGTGCCTTCATTGCGCTGAGGGTCGAGGATGTTTCGATCGTGGAATTTACTTTCTTCCTCCTTTTGCTGATGAGTTGTTTGAGGCCTCGGGGAGGCGTAGAAGGCTCGCCTGTTTTGGTTGATTGGCTGGATAAGTGGTTGTTGGGCTCGGAAGTTGGCGGTTTTGATGGGCTGGCCCAGCCGGGCAGTAATTGAGGTGAGTTGCTTGAGAATTGGCATGGTTGTGGTAGCAGCTTGATGAATATGTGTTGCTGAAGATAGGAGAATCGAGGGTACAATTTAAATAGATTGGTGATTGGTATGGAGATGAAGTTGTACTTCCTAAGGTGACATTAGCAACCAGGGATGTACTCAAGGATAGATGAGAATTACTTGATTTCTCTAACAGTAACGGAGCTCTTCGAAATGGAAAGATTATGTTGAAGAAAGAATCTGAACTTGCACTCTGGTGGGCGACCTTGTCCTTTATTCCATCGATCATATTGACGTCATTGGCCTACAGCAAGACATACATTCAGGGCATTGCTTTACCACGTGATGATGACACCACAGGGGAACTACACGGACTTGAGTGTTGAAGTATGAGGATTATTTCACAGGACGGATTAGTACTTTGAGGACGGTATCTGGCTAAGCGGGCAAGATGCTGAAGTCAAGTACATGTTCGCCAAACCCTAGCCCTTTGTCCTCTTGTACATACACGGAGGAGCAGCACAGGCGTCATTCTTTTTTCCCCCAAAAAGCGAGGGACAGAGAAAAGTGCCCATAGACCGCGAGGCTACTTTCGTATCTTTGGAAAAGGCTAAGCTGGCTGCATAGCTGCCTGAGGACTCCCTTAGACCGAAGACCGCAACGCCTTAGGGGAGGAGTAAGGCAACCATAAATTATGGAAACCCCTGACTAATTGACATCAGATAGACCTACATCTGCCACGTCAATGACCTCAGTTGAGGCGTAGCTGCCTCATTGTGATGGCACAGTGACTGTGCATATACAGCCACACTTTGCCAGTGGCCCTAGTGTAGGCTCCAATATCGTGTCGGCCGCACTTTGGCGGAAATGGTAAGGCTTGCGTTCGTTGATTCGACTACGTATAAGGATCTAGTGGGACACAGTGCAGATTCGATGGCGATCACAGAGACGTCAGCGGTCGGGCCACTGTGCCCACAAGCCCAACTCGGGTGGTATCCCCAAAAGCAATCGTACCAAAGCCCTGTGGAAGTCCGGTATCTAGTTTGGCCAGGCCTCGCGTATCAAGCAAGGGTGATACGGGCATATGCAGAGCTAAAATCCTGGAACATGAATTGCGTAGAAGGATTGCTGGCAGCTGTCAGCTTGCAGATGCGAGGAGCCGCCCTGAATCTCCTGTGTGCGGGTCAGTGGAACCCGTATTCAAGATCCCTGAAGCTAGGGATGTGCTTGACAGGGTTACTTATTAGCTGCATATATTCCTTGGCCTGCCATCGGGCTCTATTGGATACAACTCGTTGCCGAAATTTAGCATATTTTCAGCCATGGGCCAATCCGAACGCGTACGGGTCACACAGTAATGAAGGCCCTCTTACCTTAAAATTTTGAGAGCAAACCTAAGTCTTTCCATTTGTTACTCGGAAGACACATATGCGTAGATGTGCAGAGGATTCCGGCGTAACAGTACGATCACGGGACTGAAGAACCCAGCACAGTGGACCGTGCATGTGGGGGTCAGATATTCAATTTTAACGTCGTCAGATTTAATGAAATACACCTCCCTACTATAGAAAAACTAGTAAGTCCGCGGGATGGGCCAAGCTGACGGTCTCTGAGTCGAAGCAGAAACTCTCGTCGGTTGGGCAGAGCTTGTCACCACTGTGTCCTTGATCCTTGTTTCTAAATGTCAATCGCCACGACCAAGAATGGTTTAGTAATTTCCTAAATAGCACGGGGTGGGAGAGAAGGTGTGAGGGTGGCAAATGATGTTGTAGAACCAGAATCAGTCACTTCAGTAGGTGGTGTACAGTCAATCGTCAATGTTGCTTCTTCGTCACGGTAGTAAGCTAGCACCGGCGCCGCTGAGTTGGCATCAACCCCTTTCCATGGTTCCGCTGTTCGACGGCTCATTGTCCTAGCACTTAGTTCGGATGAGCCGGCAATCCTGCGTGGTAGCGAGTAGACAGCTGTGCGAAGGCGCCTTTTGGAAACACAACCTAGGATGCTCGGAAAAGTGGAGGCCCAAAGCGTTCCGCTTATTCTTTTTCCAGTGCCAGAAGGCACACATCGAAACAGTTTTGCCCATCACTCAATGAACGACGGTATGACCAAACTTTCGCCTCGAACTTCCTCCATCAGCCTCAAGAGATGAAAATTTGAGTGTTTGAGCCAGACAAGGGGCGCCACGTCAGTCTCCGAATTCTATTACAGCTGCATGGGTTCAACAGGAGGTGTACCGTACCACGGTCTGTATCTACAATGGCAGAGACAGTGGTCATATCCTATCCTATCATCCCAACCGAGGAAGCTAGACAAGTGAAGAATAACCCCTGCACCTGAGCGGGGGCGAATGCGGGATTATTCGTCTGCAGCCGTGAAAGATCAGCTGAAAAATGATCGTCTCCTAATAATTGACTTCATCATACCACTCTAAGAAAGGGTAGTTGACCAAGACCGAGATTCACGGCGCAATGAATGCCAATCGATATGTTCTAGTGACGCGTCTGTTGCCACTATGTGCAGAAACAATTAGTCGAAACGGGAACATGCGGAGGCTGCAAGACACCAATGGCCACCAAAGATAAATATCCTTGTAAACGGGGTTAGGAGACAAAATAATGGAGTGGAGAAAGTCAGGTAGGGTTGCAACCAGATGCGGATATCAAGTCTCATTGGAAGCATACCAGCAACCGAAGAGGCCAAGAAAAAAAAAGAAAAGAAAGAGAAAATGCAGTCTCACCAGAATCCATTTCATCATTAAGTAAAATGAGATATCCAGATTCTGATACCATAGCGCAAGTAAAAAAAAGCATGTGGTGTCTGGACTAATTGGTCACGAATCGTCAATGAATATTCACATAGACATGGAAAGGATGATCTCTGACAAACCATAATCATATTGCAAAACAGAAGTGATTCTATTTTGCTTGTCTATTATCTTCCCCCGCTGAGTGCGGTAGCTAGGTTACCCCTAGAATTAGAGGGGGGGAAAAAGAAAAAAAAAATAGGAAAGTAAAACAGGCCATCTGTGTAAGACGGTATGACAGCTGGCAGCAAAGTGACGGATCATGCAGAAGCTTTGACTCGGTAAGGGTGAAAGCATATGGTTCTCGAACGATGGCTTCATACGAAACACAGATGCATAGATGAAGCGGGGATGTTCATTTGAGCACCCAAGGCAGCAATGGCAGTCCAAGCCAAGCTAGGACAGCGAAACAATGATTCGCGATGAGGGATTTTCGAAAGTTCGATTTGAGGCAGCATAGATGATTTCGCCACGACAGCAGGGTGCATGCATCCATGAAGCACCGACTGATTACAATCAACCCAAAAAGGAATGTTGCGGACATCTCGTGTCTCCACTGTTGGGCAAACTTGTTGTAGCCAACCGCAAGAAGCATTCACGGGAGGTGATGCGAATGTGATGGTAGAATGCTGTGGACGATAAGCCATCACACACCAGAGGCACTGATCGACAATGAATGGGCATAGTAACAAGAATTGGCTGAGCAGTAATATAGAAGCTGTTCACGAAACATAAATAGGGCCAACGATCCTTCATCTCGATGTTATCTGGATCAATAATCGTTTCAAAGTATATCCCCTCAAACAAATCCATAAGACATAAAGTCTTGATCTTGATATAACGCGTTTCAACTTTTAGAAATCTCCATCAAAGCTCAATAGGCTTTGTTCAAGCCTAGCCTATCAAATATTCGGAGGGCGGTAGGACCACCAGGTCGAGCCAATAGAATATAAGGCAGAAGGTGAAACAGCGAATCTGCACCAGGTACCAGTGAGTTTGATCGTGACCCCGGACAAGCGTTCTCTGACTGATCTGATAGGCATGTGTTTTTACAACCAGAAGAGATATGCTTGTGGAGATTGGAGTTGGACCAATTTTGCTCACCGTTGCAATTACGAGTACCGTACTGGCGAGACGTGTGGTATGAGACTTGTTAACATGACCGAGTTTGAGTCGGCACAATGCCGTCTTTGTGAGAAGATCGAGACCAAATACCGGCGGCGAAGCGCCGAGATGGAACGGTTGAACCGGTGGAAACGGGAGGGAAGCACTCTTGTGGCCTCCATGGATCGATCACAGAAGCTCATATCGGAACTTGAGAAGGAGATCCGCCAGCTTCAGAGAGAACGTGATGACCGACGAAAAGCACTGTCTTGAACTGGCGTTTCTTATTAATAGGGGGGCTATGGCGCTGGCGAACTGGAGCTGGACTTTTTTTATTCTTTTTTAGATTCCCTTATTTGCGATTTCTTTTCAATTCAGTCCTAATTTCGGTGCAATGATTTCATGTCTCACAATCATGGGTCATTTTGCTCATGTGGCTCGTTGGCTGTGTCATCATGCTGGGTTGTTTCCAAAATGAAAACAGACCCATCTGATGATTGGAGGGAAAGTTTGGATTTGATGGGAACCTGATGTCGACTGAATATGAGACCCAATGAAGTGTCCCGAATCCCGCAAATCGTGCGTCTCGTGTGGTATCCTCAACGATCAGTTCCACTCAATAAGCGCCTATATTCTTGGTGAGCGCTTCGCCGATAAGGATAGGCAAGTAGCCCCGTATATAAGCAACTGCAAAAAATGCAAGAGGAATTGGGCAAAGAACTTGAACGAGAAGACATCCCATATTTCTCAGCTACCCAGTATAGACATCACATCCACCAGCGATTAGTGTCTGGATATCAATGCCACTGAAACAGCGTGGTTGGATTTGTTTCTAGTATGAATGTGAAGCCCCGCGTCCATTGTATGTACTCACACGGGTCTAACCGAATTCAGTTAGCTCAGTTTAGTGAGTCGGCCCTCCCGTCTCGTTTCCGAATCCGTAATAAGATGAACAGCACCGGTGAAGTGAAGTACTTCTATCATCAGTCCTTGTTCCCTTACAGCTTGAAAGGGTTGGTATATTCCTACCGATTTCCAATTTTGCCACAGAGCGTGTTCAACTCCTGGATATTATGGAATACTTCCATCAAAAGAAGAAGCCGCATACCGGCAAAACCTCATGGCGAACCGACGCAATGGCATTTGTTGTAGATGATGATGATGCCTTCATTCATAATCCTGCCGTAAGAATGGAAGTAGGAGGTGAATTGTCTCTGGACATTGCTTATATATGAGGGCTTCACGCCAACACCCTCCGCCAACAACCTCCGTACGGAGTACATTCAGCATCATCCAAGCGCCAGATGCAACCGGACATTCGAAGCTACGTGGACCATTTATCTTGATTCGGATAGCTCTGCAGCAATTTTGATCGAATTGGCATGAAGAACACGAGAGCAGACATGAGAGCTCGGGTGTCTGTTGTGCAAATTGACGTCGCCGCCTGCCACGTCACCAGTGAACAACATTAGTTACGCTTCAGAGCCGGCGGTAACTACTGGTACGTCCATGCCCATCCTCTCTGAGTCAAAGGTATGTTTCAGCGACATATGCTTTCACGGACTTATAGCTTGAATCACGATAGTCTCGGGGCTGTGGTAGATTACTGAAAGGGAGTTTTCAATGAGAACAATATGGGATTATCTTGATCGAGTAACTGAACAAGAAGCAGTCTTTCATGATTTATTTGATGTCCCCCGCCTCAGGCTCGTCATCAACTTTAGCCAGTCCATGCTGCTTCAGCAGAGCATTAATTTCGTCGGCATTCCACAGGTGGTGGTAAACCTTCCCTTCCTGAGTCTTTCCCACCGTTGCAAATTCAACTGTGAGAAGAGGAATTAGTAAATTTGTCTCAGTGGCAGTAGTGGGAAAGAGTCGGGTAAATTTTCCATGCGCCACCACTTACTCTTCTCACTGCTTAACTTTGTAGAGTCCATAGTCTTGCTCAGGACCTTGACGGCCATGGCACACGCCTCCTTCAAATCACAGTCTTCTTTGTAATCTTGTTTGAGCAGACTCTGAGCACTTGCGTTGTTTGCTCCCACGCTAGTGGCCTTCCAACCACCGTAGTTACCACTGGGGTTGCTCTGGTACAACTGGAACTCCCGAAGAGGATCGTAGCCGGCATAGATGAACGAGACACCAAATGGACGGAGACCACCATGCTGGGTGTACCCCTGCTTCAAATCGCACAGTCGACGGACCAGTTGCTCACATGGGATTTCTTCGTCGTAGGTAAGAAGATAACGCTGGGCGGCTTGTCGAGCGTAGTTGATTAGGATGTTTGCATCTGCCGTCATACCTGCCACGGCACAGATCATGTTACTACCCGGAAGATTAGCTTTTGGAGACAGCCACGAGAAAATGTCTGAAAAAAATATCATCCGTACTCATTCAGAGTGTAAAGTTTCTCCGCAGAAGTATCCTGCTCTAGCAGCTTGCTAGTCACCTTCTTCTCCGCCGCAAGAACGATTCCATCTTTGGCTAGAATTCCTAGAGCCGTGCCGGCGTGCGAAATTGCTTCGAGCGCATATTCAACCTGGTAAAGACGACCTTCGGGGGAGAAGATGGTAGTCTATCGAACAGCGTCATCGGTTAGCTAGAGCTTCCGGGCCAGGAGGATTACGGAATGAGCGTACCCTGGAATCGTATCGTCGTGACATATCGAATGTGACGTAAAAGCGGGACAACTAGAAATAGAGGAGCCTTTGTAGATGAGCGAAGGCGGAGGGAAAAGAAAGGGAGGTTGTGATGAGGAGTGGGCAAGCTGTGTAGGGTGGGTTGGGGTGAGCTCCAAGTGACAGTCAGTGACCAGGCAACTCGCCCTGCGCGTCCAGCGGCTTGCCATTTGCCAAGCTCGGGCCCACGCCTTTACCTTTAGTTTCTATGCGAAGCTCTCGACTGCCGCAAAATTGCATGCGCTTTCCGCTACAATAATAGTTGTACCAATTCTTCTATGGATATAAATATCGGGAAATTCTTGAGCCAACGATCCATCTAACCCATATTCTCGGTACATCGCGATTATAATGCTTAAGTCCACCTATACCCCTCCCCCTCCACTACCACCAGGGTGGACCGAGCATAGAGCTCCTTCGGGTGCGTCGCATCGCTATTGTCATGGAAGTTCTCTTGTCTGACCGGATATAGGCCACTTGTATTATTATAACTCGCAAACAAAACAATCCACCTACACTAGACCTCAGGCGTCCCCGGCTCAACCTCAATCGACCCCTAATGCACCCGATACCACCCACAACGCTCCCTATCTTACTCCAGATACTTTGCCTCCATTTTCCTCGACACCTTATGCACCTCATGGCTTTGGGTTTGGCACATATAGTCAAGGAACGCCTCAACATGGTCAAGATCGGGGCGGCTTTCGTGGTGGAAGAGGCTATCACGACCGCAGAAATAGAGGGCCGGAAGATAGGCCGAAATCAAAACATGCCCTACCCAGCTGTGCACCATGGGTACTCGTCAAAACCAAACTGGGAAGAAGATTCGTCCACAACCCTGAAACAAATGAAAGTTTCTGGAAAATCCCACCGGAGATATTGAAAGGAGTCGTGGAGTACGACCGTGTAGAGAGAGAGAAGAAAGAGAAGGCGGAGCGCGGTGAAGACATCGATGACGAGAGTTCCGTGCTTGAAAGAGAAACCGAGCCATCTGCTGAACAGCATCAAGAGCAGAAGGGCATTACCCCGGCTGCATATGCGGGTGAAGAGAGCGACGAATATGAGGAAGTCGAAGTCACAGATAGCGAAGGCGAAGATGAGTACCATCCTTCCAAACGGCCGAAAACGGAGGGCGACGATGGTCAACAACAACCTCTGGAGTTCACGGAAGAAGATATTGAGTATCAACTCGCCGCTATGGGCGAAGAATATGGCCTTGATCCCGGCGAATACGGTGAACCAGGCGAAGATGGCTGGGAAGAAGGTGCTGAGGGATTACCACTCACAGAAGAAGACGCAACTGCTCTGTTCCGTGACCTTCTTGATGATTATCATATTAACCCGTATGCAACCTGGGAGAAGATTATTGAAGAAGGCCGGATTATAGAGGACTCTCGTTACACCGCGCTTCCGAATATGAGGTCGCGTCGGGAAGTTTGGTCTCAGTGGAGCCGTGATCGGATCCAAGTGCTTAAGGAGCAGAAAGAGAAACAAGAGAAAAAGGACCCGCGCATCAAATATCTAGCTTTCCTTGAAACACACGCTACTCCCAAGCTATACTGGCCAGAATTCAAACGCAAGTACCGCAAAGAACCCGAAATGAAAGACACTCAACTGTCCGATAAGGATCGAGAGAAGTTCTATCGTGACTTAATGTCACGGTTAAAACAGCCGGAAAGCACACGCAAATCCGACCTCTCCGCCCTGCTGAAGTCCGTCCCTCTGCATGATTTCAATCGCTCGTCGAACCTGGAAGCTCTCCCTCCAACGATCATTACTGATATCAGATATATCTCCCTCCCTGCGAAGGTTCGCAATCCCCTTATTGAAACCTACATATCTACTTTGCCGCCGGCGCCGGAGCAGGGTGAGCATATGACTGCGGAACAACGAGAAGAGGCAGAGCGTAAGAGGATAGAGCGCGAAAAGCGTGAGAAGGCTCTGGCAGAACGTGAGAAGCAAGTGCAAGAGGACAAGCGGAAGCAGCGGGGAGACCTTGCCCGTGGGAGGAATCTTCTAAGAGAAGGAGAGGCAGAGATTGAAGAAGCTCTCAGGATAGGCAAGGCCGGGTTACGAAGCCATATAGAGGTCGAGCAAGATGCGTCAAAAGAAGGGGAAGCCCAGGAAGGGAAGTGATCTATAGGTAGTAATCATGTATAGTACAAATCCATTCAATTGCTATTGTCTGGCCAACAGCAGCCCGCCGAACCGTCACGGCTATGGGACCAATGCATTTCCTTCCAAATCTCCGGACAAATTATTGGTTCGATGTTGGTCACAGGGTGACAACAAATACTCATACCTAATAGATACAGAATAGCCAAAGCGCCCGCCTTGGAATCCAGTTATGTATGTTGACACATTAGAGAACACTTTTGTGCGACTTCGTATAGATCATGGGGTATCAATGTAATTATGAAAAGTTCAAGACCTCCCTTTGTAAGAAATGACACCTTCTCCGTTTTCCCAGTTTGATTCTTTCCGGTCTGTTACCTGAATCTCCAGTTATCCCAGTCGTCATCGTCATCGTCATCATCGTCGTCGTCATTTTCTTCATCTTCCTGGCCCTTTTCATGGCCTGACACTGTGGCGCCCGAAGCTGGACCATCCATCAAACCAACATCTTTAACCCCTGTGGCCCTCATATTTCTTAGCTCCTCACGTTTGTGCTTCAACCGTCTAACCCGCTCCTCTAGCTGTTCCATCTCGTCGAACTCGTCTTCTAAGAAGCGGGCTGCGTCTTCTCGTTCACCTTCGGCCTCGGCCTCACGACCACGGGCTATTGTGTCATTTTCTTTCTCTTGTTGTGCTGCCAGCTGCTCGGCGGAAACCGGTGCCGCTGATATCGTCGCCTGTGCGGCGACAGCGGCAGGCGCTTGTGGTGCCCGGGTTGGGGCCGCTACTTCACGCTCAAAAGCAGCCCATTCGTCTTCATCAATAGTCTTGGCTTGCTCAGTCGTGTTATTCGATGCCGCTGCTGCCTCAGATGGTTGTGCACTAGGTTGAGCGGAAATCTGCTCGGCGTCTTCGTCTGATGGGGGTTCCGGGCCAGCAGTATCTTGCTCTGAGAGTTCAATGTCTTCATCAAGGGACTGGGCACTCGGTGGCTGTACAGTACGAATATTCGCTGACTTTGGATCCGCGTTTGCGATCGCGTGTCTCATTTTCTTGCGCGTCAAGTCATCTTCAGGATCTACCTTGCGCTTCTTGGTAACACGGTTTGTTGTTGTCGTTGCTGCTCTTCCGGTCTGATTTGAGCCTTTGCGAGAAGCCAGTTCATTTCGAAGTAATGATCGAACATCCGCCATCGTTATGAAGATAAATCCCCTTTTTTTTTAATTAATGTTTGACTTCTTTCTGTTTTTTTATTAAGAGAGCCGTTGCTGATTGTGATAAGGTATTCCAAAATATCGTAGCTGGATTAGACTAGTGTTAGATGCAGGACGATCAGGAAAATGCAGTGCGCAATCTATGTGGGGATACGGAGAAGCTTTCAATGAATAAACGCGCGACGAAGAGGAACCCTGTTTGGCGTTGTGCCAAGACCTCCCCGCCGAGCCGCACCCAGGCATTCACGTGTTTTCTGACTCAGCAGGCGACCGCGACTCCGTCTTCATCTCATTCCTCTTCTGCCAACTTCATCTCCTCATCTTCCCATCGCCTCCCTGACAACTGACCTGTCGCCAAACCCATCAGAAGCTACTACGCAGTCGCTTGGTTGCCAATCTAGTATCGTCGGATTGCAAGCCATATCTATAAATCTCAGCCAGCATCAAGACAGCGCTCACGCGACCCCGCTCACGCCAAGCATTCACGCTGCGCGTGAAAGAGGAATTCATCAGAGTCAGGACACCGAAACCCGGTGTTGAAGTACTATCGCTACGCGTTGTGTCTTAAATAAATCTTTGTGGAACCAAATTTGAGAAGATAAAGTAATACCTGTGTGGACCAAGCCGCAGTGCCACTGTCCAGCGTCTTCTCCTGTGTATTACTTGAACCCTCTGATGCCGTAGAACGAGATTTGGGTGGCGCTTGTCCCAGGTTACTCTACATCGCACCGTAGAAATCTTTTGCATCTTATCATTATATATCCCCACCATGGCCGGTAAGCTCATAGTAACCACAATCTCGCGGACAGTATGTCAGTCCACATAGGAGTGGAGTGACGGTTGAAAGCAGATCCCCAACTCAGTCTGAATAGCCAGCTAACTGTGACGTCAGAAGAACCGCGACGATCAGGTCGCTCGACCAAGGGTCAGCACAAGAACCTCGATCTTATCCCTGAAACACCTGCGAAGAAGCCCAAGTCGAAAGCGCAGCCAAAGGAAAAACCGCCGAAGCCCTCCGTCGAACCAACACCTGCCCCCAGTGAAGAAGAAGAGATTATCCGATGTATATGCGGAGAATATGAAGAGGAGGAAGACGTTGAACGTGATATGATTTGCTGCGATCGCTGTTCAGCGTGGCAACATAATGACTGCATGGGTCTCACATTCGCGAAGGGCGAGGAGCCTGACGAGTACTTTTGTGAGCAGTGCAAGCCTGAAAATCATAAGGTTCTCTTAGATAAGATTGCGCGTGGTGAAAAGCCTTGGGAGGAGGCGGCTGAAAAAAGGCGCAAAGAAGCTGAGGAAAAGAAAGCATCGCGTCGCAGAAAGGGTAAAAAGGGAGGCAGAAGAGGCAGACCCAGTGAACCCAAGCCTGAGCCCAAACCCGAGCCTAAAACCGAGGCGAGCACACCCGCACGTACAGCAGCTTCGTCAACCCCAGCCCCTGCTCCTGCTCCTGTTCCTGTACCCGCCGCCGCGTCTGCTCCTCCAGCTCCTGAGGCTCCTGAGGCTTCCCCAGCACCCCCATCTGTTACACCTACCACCGAGAAAAATGGTGTCGTCCCCGATACCCGGTCGGCAAGTGCTCAAAAACGCAAGTTTGATGAACATCAGGACGTGTCTACGCCTGAACCTGTAAGTGCTCTGGGTAACACGTTCGAACAAGCTACTCGGATAACTAATCACCTTATGATTCAGACACCGAAATCGAAACAGCAGAAGGTCTCTCCCCCAGCAGATACTGTGATGTCTGGCGTGGAAGAAACCCAAGTAAAGGATGAAGCTAAGGAACAGCCTTCACGCCAAAACTCTACCGCAGAATCGGCAGTGGTTGAGGGCGTAAAGACTGTGGAAGAACTCTCTAATCCTGCTCGGAAAAGTGCGGCCAGTGCTCTGGTCAGGTTATTTGTAGATCAGGTCTCTGAAGCCCGAAGGCGAGGTTCCTTCAGCTTGTCGGATGGGAAGTCAGCGGAGGAGGTCGCACGGCAACTCGCTCTCTCAATCGAGAATGCAATGTATGAGAATTTCTGCGGAGGATCTGGAGAGACCACAGAGCAGTATAAAGCACAATTGCGGACGATCTTGTTCAACGTAAAGAAGAATCCTTCTCTACGGGATCGTCTGCTCGTAGGTAGTTTACTCCCAGATACCCTCTCTAAGATGAGCTCCCAAGACATGGCAAGTGAAGAACTGCAACAGAAGGATGCCGAGATCAAGCGCGAAGCCGAAAGGCAGCATATTATCGTGCAAGAGCAAGGGCCAAGGATCAGGCGGACCCATAAAGGCGAGGAGCTGGTTGAGGACGATAATCAGAATGTGTCCAGTGAGCCCGTGTTCTCCGCTGCTCCCCGTCGAAGCTTAGTCGATGCAGATGGCAGCCAAAGCCCAGGTCCTCAGCAGCCCGGCGAAGGCGATAACGCTCAGAAAACTGGTAACCAACAAGCGTCTGACAGCAAACTCGCCGACGGCATTTCTCACGACCAGCACTTCCCGCCTAGGGCTCACTCTCCTGGCGGCACTGAGCACGACCAAGTGTTTCCAGAGGTGGCAACCCACATTCGACAGCCACTACCGACTGGAAAGGCTCAGGCCGATGCAGAGATTGATCAGCTTTTGAAGGACGATGAACCAGAGTCGCCGCCTTATTCACCTAAGGATTATAATGACGAAGGAGCAGTTTGGCGTGGCAAGGTCATCATGAACCCCATTGCCGAGTTTTCCTCCTCGGCCAAACACGTTGGGGGTGCCGACCTCAGTGGACGAATTCCCTGGGATCAGCTCGCGCCTTCGACATTGTTAGTGGATGGCAGAATTGACATCCAACTGGCCAGCGAGTATCTCTGCAACTTGCGTTTCAGTACTTCCACAGACGTGTCAGTTATTTGTATCGGCCGGCCCGAGTTGCCAAAAGAGCAGGCAGGCTTTGATAAGCTCTTCAACTATTTCTCAGATCGCAAGAGATACGGCGTGGTGGGCAAGCATCCCCTGGCAGCCGTCAAGGATACTTATCTTATTCCCATCGAAGCTGGGTCGACTAAGAAACCCGAGTTCATTGAACTCTTAGAGAACAATACTCTGGAGGATCCAACTCCAGAACGGGTTCTTCTCGTCGTTTTTGCTGTGAAAACTTCTGAATCGAGCCCTCCGTCAGTACAGCCTTCATCGCACCATCCAAGCCAAGAGCCCATGGCTTCTGCGAGTCCGGCGACACCTCAGCAACAACAATTCATGACTCCTGGGCCACGGCCTGTGTCTCAAATCACCCCAGCACCTTCGAACTTTGATGGAACGCCACTGGCACATTCCCCATATGGTCAGCAGCAGCACCAATTTCAACACCAACATCCTCCACATGCCCCCCAATTTGCACCGTATCAGAGTCCAGCGCCACAAAATCAGGCCCCGGTCACGGGTCTTGCAGCTGCCGTCCAGGTACTGGGTACTCAGGCTAGCTCCCCAGCTATTCAACAGCTCTTGCAACAGGCGCCGAACGCGGATGTTACCCAACTGAGTGTCGTCCGTGATATCCTGTTGCGACGGCCGGAGACAGCCCTGAACTACGAAATCCTGATGCAGGAATTGGTCCAGGCTACGACGAATGGACATACTCTACAGCAGAATGCAAAGTAGATGGCTATAATACGACTGTATAGTAATCATCGGTTCTTTTTCTTAGGTTCGTTTTGGACATGGTGTCTGTGTTGTACTGCTGTTACTCTTACTGGGATGGGGAAAATGGGATATTGGGTGATCACGGGATATCTACATTTGTTTTCGCAACGAATTTTCAGCACAGCGATGGATATTTTCTTTACTCAATTCATATCTGAACTCTTGCAGACCAACTTATTCTTGTAGCTTTCTTTGCTTGTCAATGCCGTCCTATATACTCCATCCAGTATCCAATTATGAAACTCAGTTCGTGCTTTGCGCTTCCATACCACCATTACGTAGCACTAGCAACTTGCGGCTCAAGCAAGCAGACCAACTGTATTTGCAGAAGATGGCCCAGATTTGGATTTTCAAGACTAATACTTTATCCTATTAACACATATGACAATTCATAACGTCCTGATAGAAAGAATAACGCCTGCGCTATGCGAATCCAGCAGCAAAAGAAAAGAAGAGTAGTGAACAGCCACCATTATCACCACCGTCCACCACGCTTCTTGTAGCCGCCACCACCACCATACCGAGGTCCTCTACCACCACCCGAGCGGCCACCCCAGCCACCGTCCTCGTCGTCGTGATGGCGAACTGGTGGTGGTCTGCCCTTGAGCTCCTCGCTGAGTTTCTTAAACGTCTTGCGCATGTCCGAGTAACCCATGTGCATTTTACCGAAGAAATGATCCGCCAATCGACGATCATTATCGAGACGACTCAGATATGCGCCGCAAACATCGCATACCTGCAGCTTCTGGTGACCAGACGGGCCAGAGGTATCCTGCAGATTCTTCAATTCGCGCTCGCACGTTTCCTTCTGGTGTTTGGCTGTGCGGATCTTGTGCAATTCATTGTATGCCTGCGCAACGGCGCCGGTTTCGCCTAGGACGGAAATCTCAAGCAGACCGCCGTTGATCGTTTTGGTATAATCAGAGATTTGTTTGAGCTATTAAAGGTTAGCAACTGCCTTGAGTCGGCTTGGCGAAGAAGCTATCCTTACCAGATTGTTTGTCTGTCGGATTTCGTCCGGGGTCTTTTCCAACCGCCGCTGTGCGGAATCAATTCTCCGGTCACAATCATCAATGTATTTCTGCATGTCTCTCATGTAATCGAAGTCGAAGCCCCATTTTGCCTTCTCCGCCGCCGAAGCTGTCTCGTACTCCGTCTTCAGACCTTCACTATGCACCTTAGGGCAAGGGCCAAGATCTTGCTTGGTATTGGTGAAGAGATCATGCGGGCATGTGCCGACGAGATATGAGCGACAGACTTTGGCATCGGTAATAGAAAGCTGAGCGTTGCGGGAGGGAGCACCAGTGCCCATGAGCTGGTCCGCTACGAGAAGATTTCTATTAGCTAGGGTTTGAGCTGCGCCATTTTTCTTAGAGCTAGCTTACCTCCCATGAGCTGCTCGAGCAGCTTTCTCTGTTCCGCCGCCATGATGCAATGACTCCGAGAAGAGGATGTTCGTGCGAAAAGAGTGGGGATCGTACGTATATGAGAGCTGTTGCGATGAACGAAAGACGATTATTCGGCGGAGTGGCGCTAAACGCGGTCGCGGCTGCGCTTACTATAAAGGTCATCGGCCCCTTTCGGTAAGCGTCCGAGCATAGTCCAGATGTTCTACCCCATAGAACGTCAAAGCTATGGCCGAGTGACCTAAAGGAGGATTCCAATTTAATCCGATTACCAACAGCTTCGTTCAAGCCCGAAACCCGGTGCCACCTGTCCTCCTCCCTGAGCGCTGCCGATAGTACATACGTCGCGGGATCTAGGCGCTAAGTCATTCTGTCTCCATCGGCTCGGAGATCTAACACTCTACAACCCGTGCATGGCTTGATATTGGGTTGAGAGGTATTCTTACTATAGTACTTGGAAACTTTCTCATTGGCAAGCATGACGGAATGATTGTCCCTTCTCTTCTTCCTCTCTTTCTTGTCGCGTTGTCCTCGCTCACCTACGCGGCATCCGACTACCATGAGAGCCTCACCCTGCAACCATTGCCGCAGTCATCTTTATTAGCGTCCTTCAATTTCCGAAGCAATGCTTCTCAGGAGTCCTTTGACGAGCGGGATTTTCGCCACTTTCCCCGTGCGCTAGGCCAGATACTGCAACATGCTCACACCAAGGAGTTACACCTGCGATTCACTACAGGCAGATGGGATGCTGAAAGCTGGGGGTCGCGCCCCTGGAATGGGGTTAAAGAAGGAAACACGGGTGTCGAATTGTGGGCATGGATCGATGCGGCAGATGATCAAGAGTGCGTACAATGTCATTTGGAACCCTGCGCCTTGGATGCATATGCTGACGAAGATCAAGAGCGTTTGCGAAATGGATTACGTTGACCCAGTCCCTGTCTGGTTTGTTCTGCGCATCGCTCAACTTCATCGATTCAACTCGGACTACCCGACCAGTTGCATCTTTTGCTCTCGCCGGAGACCATCCAGCATCGAGTAACCTACATCTTTTGCATGGCACGCTTCCGGGCGAGGTTGTCTGCACAGAGAACCTTACACCCTTTCTGAAACTTCTACCGTGCAAAGGCAAGGCCGGAGTTGCCAGTCTGCTTGATGGACATAAGTTGTTCGATGCGGCCTGGCAGAGTATGTCGGTTGATGTACGTCCTGTGTGTTCTAGCCCCGATGATTGTCTGGTGCAAATCGAGCAAACCGTGGACATTGTGCTCGATCTTGAAAGATCAAAGCGGCCTCGAGGTGAGTCAAACGAATCTTGTCATCATTCATCAGAGCCATTAACAGGTGTTAGACAATCCAATTCCGCGACCAGTTCCTAATGATCAGCTTGCCTGCGATACATCGAAGCCATATCACTCAGATGACACCTGTTATCCTTTGGAGAAGATCGCCGAAGGCGGCTGGTCTCTAAGCGAAGTCTTTGGGCGCACTGTCAGCGGCGTTTGCCCCCTAGGCGGCAGTCAAAGCTCCGAGGAAACTATCTGCCTGCGCGTACCCCATGAGCGAGGAGTTGCTGTCTCTGAGGGGGCGGTTGAGACTCGTAAGCCGGATGGCTTCACTCGGTGTTACACGCTACAGGGCTCCAGCGCATTTGATCTGGTCATGCCAGAGCAGGAAGCTACAACCCACGTTCCTCTAGATGAGCCTGTCCTGCGTGCGGAACGGACGATCGTTGGCCACGGGGTGGAACGGGGTGGCATGCGGATCATCTTCGATAATCCGTCCGATACGGACGCGGTAGACTTCATGTATTTTGAGACCCTCCCGTGGTTCCTGCGCCCGTATGTACACACGCTGCAAGCGACAGTCACTGGGCGTGATGGGGTCCGTCGACAAGTTCCCACTTCACAGCTCATCACGGAGACCTTTTACCGCCCAGCGATTGACAGAGAACGCGGCACGCAACTAGAACTAGCTTTGTCAGTTCCAGCCGCCTCTAGCGTGACTCTGACATATGACTTCGAGAAGGCCATCTTACGGTGCAGCGAGTACCCACCGGACGCCAATCGTGGTTTCAACGTTGCCCCTGCAGTGATCAAGCTCGGTGGCCATGATAACCCGATCTACATGCGCACAACTAGCCTTCTTTTGCCGCTACCCACGCCAGACTTTAGCATGCCGTACAACGTGATCATCCTTACTAGTACGGTCATCGCTCTAGCGTTTGGCAGCATTTTCAACCTCTTGGTCCGTCGCTTCGTCTCCGCCGAAGAGGCAGCGGCACTCACATCACAGACATTAAAGGGTCGTCTGGCGGGCAAGATCGTGGCCATACGGGATCGTATAAAAGGGAAGAGCGCAAAGGTTGAATAGTCATGTCACATATAGAATCAATAATGCACATACATTCGTTATATTTTCTTCACTCTTTCCATGACATCTAACCCACGTATAGTTGCATTATAATACAAGATCTCAAGATACCACAAAAACTCCTGTAAACAAATTCATAACATCGGATCAGCACGCCCCGCCATAACCCATTCAACCAAACCTATTAATCAATCAGCACCAAACACAAATCCAAAAGAAGAGGAAACCTTGAAAGACTTACATATTCCCCAAAGTCCTCTTGGCCGTCTCCCACCCCGGCAAAGTATCCGAACCCCCCGGCTTCGTATTCATGAAACTATGATCCTCAGTCGCGCACGTCCCCTCCTGCTCCCCAAGTTCTCTATTCCTCCGATCCATATAATTCCTCTCCGCCATACTCTTCTGTTCTCTTAGACTCGAGAACTCGTCCGCAGATGACAGTGACGTCTTGATTTTGTCCTAGCCAGTCCTGTTAGCTCAACTACGTCAATGTATCACTCACCCCATTGGGTTGGGAAGTAGTGTGAGGATACGAGACATACAGAGATATGGCCCGTTCCTTCTCCACCGGTTCCACCCTTGAGGAATCCAGAGTCGCCCCAGCCTCGTCCGCCGCCGACGTTGTTGGCTGGTGTTGGCTCGACGCTGGCGCCGCCTCTTGTACCGCCAGAGGGGTGTTCGTTCATGTGGGTGTTTGCTCCGGACATTTTGCTGGTTGGTTTGGTTTGGTTTGGTGGATCTGGGGTTTAGGTTTAGTATGGATGTATGTATATATCTGTATACTTCGGGGAGGGGGGATATATATAGTTCCCGCTATGGGGGTTGGAGTATAGACTGGTGGTTTTGGGACTTACCTATATGTTGAAGTGAGACAATGTTTACGTAGAATGATAAAGAAAAGTCTCTATCGAGAAATGAACGTCTTTATAACTCGAGGATATGCCACATGGACAAGGTCCTTGTACGAAGCAAGAGAACATAATGATCTCAGTGATATCATCATGACCGCACGCTGTGCTTCTCATTGGCCGCCACAGTGCTGAGTCAGCGGGAGCTGGAGCGTTACCGGATTGAGTAGTTAGGGTACGCACCGTCTGGAAGCTTGGAAGTATACTAACTGGCCCTCGACTTGATATTACTGCAGCTGTGTGAGATGGCAATTTAGGCTACAATGAGAGTCGATGAGAAAAGCTCGTAATGGGTAAATCGATACAAGTCTATAACGGACTCATTATATATACGGCTGCAAGCAACTGGTTGGTTGACGGTGATGATGATGTGGTGATGTTGACACGATAACTGGGTGACTTTTTCTTACTGAGCTTGTCCAATACATCCGAGATCCTCAGTCTTAGCCACGATGTTGGATCCAGGGGTGAATATTTCGTTGAAGACACGCAGACATTCTATATCTCCTGAATCCAGGGTCAGGGCCAAACGGCTGTCCGATGCATCCAGAATATTCTTGATCCCCGAGATCCTGGAAGCTATACTCTACTGAGTTTTTGACTGTGGCACGATCCGCAATATCCACGGATATCCACAATCCATTGTTACGCGGGGGGCTTCGTCGTCAAGTCCTAAACCAGTTAGCGGACCACGTACAAGGAGTTCTAACCTGAAGTCGTCCTTTGACTTCCGTCGTCAATGAATGCAGTCGATACGGGACTTGAGTCCAAAGGACTAGGTCTACTAAGTATATATACTTAGTAGTAAGAGAAGTATAAACAAGTTAAGACTAGTTTTATTAAGAAAGGTAACTCTATAGCAATAATGTTAAGATTAATTATAAAAAACTATAAGTTTTAGTTATACAAAAGTAGAGTCAGCTTGCCGGAGATGAGTGATTATAGATTGCTCTGGAATTATCCTGGATTACTCCGCCGTTCATAAATACTAGTTTTAAGTCCATCACCTGCAGAGATCTGCAGGATGTATGAGACATCATGATGCATATGTAGGACATAGCTTAGAAGGATCATAGGATGCAAAGAGCGTCTTTCATTATCCAATGTGGGCGGGAAATCTTTTTAGTAAAAGGGTAAACATGGTTTAGAAGTATAGCGACTAACAATAGTTCGGGGAATAATCCGCATGCAATAACAATAGTCCTCCAAAACATGATTAAAGAAAAGTATAGACTCGTGACACTGGACATCTAGTTGTTCTCGACTTGCTCCGCCCATGTAGCACCGCTTGCAGATATCGGCGATAGGACCGCATCGAGCTTGGCCGCAGTAGAATCAGTGTCATCCGTGCTCTCCTTTTTACTACCACCAGGCAGGGAAGGGAACTCGGCTTCATTATCGATGACTGGAGCTGGGGCGGGTTTCTGACCGGTGGAGCTTGGCTCATTCGTTGCGCCTTCAGAGGGTGGAATGTCTGGTCGTGGCCCACGACCGCGTCCACGACCACCTCTGCCACCACGACCTCGGCCTCGAGGGCTGTTGTGGGGGTGATTGTTCGTCTCTTCATCCGGCTGCGAGTCTCCAAAGTCTCGTCGAGCGTATCCAGAGACACCGCCGTGCATTCCGCGTCGGTATCCACCTCTACCTCCGCGAGGGTTATAATCTTCCTCCTGCTTCTGCGAATCCCACTCCCTCCCGCCCAGAGCCTGAAGTTTTCGCTGTCGATTGCGCTCTCGTTCGTTATCCATCACACGGCGATGTTGGCGTTCCTGGCGTCGCTTCTCTTCGGCAACCTTCTCTCGTTCAAGGAAGGAGGCTTGGTCGGCTTCAGCACGAGCGTGGGCGGCAGCCTTGCGGGCAGCGTTCTCCTTCGCCGCGGCGATACGTTGAGAGAGTTCCTCCTCTGTGAGTTTTGGCTGATAAAAACAATCAGTAAATAAACCCTCACTCAATGAGAAGATAGCTGGTATACCTTTTTGATCCCACCTGTAGCACTCCGATCGCCGCGCACCGCTGGCACGCGTTGACCATTAGCCTCGGCGGAGGGTTTGGAGTCTGAGGCTGCATCGTCCTTCTTTGCTTGTTCTGTCGCTTCAGCAGACACATCCTTGGCGGGCTCTCCATTATTCTTGCTCTGGGCGGCATCATCAGCGGACTTTGTCCTTGCTCCATCACCCCGCCTTGAAGCGGAATTCTGCGATCCTTGTCTGCCACCGCGTCCCTTTCCTCTGCCACGTCCTCGCCTTTCGCCTCCACGCGACCGTGACGGGGTTTCGGTACGGGGCGGCGGGGTTTGGGTCTCTAACGATAGCGATGCGACGTTCTCTTCGAGGGCTTGAACTTCCGGCGGGACCTCTGGCGCCGCGGCCACAGGCACGATCTCATCGTCGAACAGGTCATCGGCGCCACGAGTCTGCGCAAATTCGTCCATGGCGGGGGTATCGGCAACGGGGTCGGTCATATTTCAAGATTCAATCGTGAAACGTGGGTGTTGTAAATCGTAATATATCTTGCCGATATCGAGCGGATCTGAAGGAATGCTGCACGCGCCCCCCCGCGCGGCGCAAGCAATTAGGCCAATGAGAGTGATCCGTGGGAGCTCGGGGAGGTCAGAGAGAGATGGGATCAGCGATCACGATTGTGAGCGGCGAATTTAGTCGGACTGTCCTCGGTGAGTTTGGAGAAAATACGGTGTCGCCCCAAATGGCCGGTCTTGCGCAAATTTTTGTCAGTGTGTGCTTTGTATGAATGGGCTATGAAGCCATTAAGGACCGGACTTTACCTGCCAGCCACTTTCTTTGGGTGGAACCTATGATGCGATTAGCCCCTCAGTCCCAGGGCGGTCTGGCTGGTGGACCGCGCGGGTTTGTGGAGGCTGACTTTGGGCTGCCAGGGGCTGGCCTTAGGTACAGCTGTGGCTCTTCAACAATACTTCGCCCTTGTGAGTGAATCCCACAGCCTCAAGTGTCGTTTTGTTTTGTTTTATTTCTTTTTCTTTTCCTTCTTTTTTTCGGTATCCTCTTCAAAATTTTACTTTTGAGTCTTTTAGTTCCTAGTTGGTTATATATTATATACCTTTTCATTGATCGTCTCCCTCTTTTATAAACATACAGTAATGTTCATGAAGTTGTCTGGGATCTAGATCATCTTGTATGTACTATAACCGTCTCACTACTACCACCATTCAATTGCAAAGATATATCTCCTAGTCTCAGCTACCAAGTTATATCCTGATCGAGTACCTGCCTTTCTTGCTTACTTTGCCGTTTCTCTGTTAGCTTGTCGAATCGGAGACTACCGCGAGCTCCGCCGATAACAGCACATATAAGGACGTCTTCATATTATTTGATAGTAGTTTCGCGCGAGTTTTGCAAAACGAGGTTTTATATCGTCTATGATAGGCGAATAAATAAATCATCAAGGCACAAATGCTTTGTCTATGTAATGCACATATATTTACAACACTTCAAGATTCTACACGCACTGCCACGCGTTCTCATCAGTGTAGTTCCCTGGCCCCTTGTATACATTCCGGCGAGGGTAGCGACAGTGCTTGCGGGTGTACTCCACGGCCGAGCCCGCCCCATCGGTGAACTTAGCACCACGAATCGTCTCCGGGGCGATGCCCTTCTCCACCCACTGAACCATCGCCATGAGAACGTTGTTCTCCGGGTTGGCATCGTTATAGGTCACGAGCTGGTTTCCAATGCCGTACGCGCCGTCCCCTCCACTACAATGCGCCATTCCACTGATCTGGAAGAAGCGGTAGAACTCATCCAGTTGGTCCGGAGACGTGTTCATGGTTTCCGCGACGCGCGCGTAGTACAGCTTGGAGTTCTCCGAGCTGATGAGCTGGTCCATGAGTCCGTGGTAGGTGAGGACTTTGCCGCCGGCCTTGCGGAACGCGGAGATGTCTGCGTCCCAGGTCTGCAGGTTGAATGGGTTCTGCTTCAGAGCGACGGCCGCGTCGCGCACGGTGAACTTCGTTGCGTCCCAGTTGGGGTTCTCGTAGACAACATAGCGGTACCAGTCGGTGCTGTACTTGAACGGCTGGCCGTTGTACATCATCGAAGAGGCCATTACCTCGGAGCCAGGCTGCATGCGGGGATAAAGCAAGGTGCCGTTCGCTCCATACAGCGGGGAGAAGATCTCGCGAACGGTGTGGGCTTGCTGGCCCGTTAGACACTGCGTGGTGTTTTGGCCAGGCTTGCAGATGATAGCCTCAAGGACGGGGTTGCAAAGACTGGGGTCTTCGATAATGCCGTCCTCTGCTCCGTCGATACCATCGCATTGACGCAGGATCTCCTTATGGGTGATGTTCCACAGGTCGGGGGATAGGTATGTGTCTGACCCGACTGGCCCCGTGATTGGGTAGAAGTGGGCACTCCATGACATGAGGTTGATCATGTTGAATGCCGGTGCGCCGGCCACAACACCGTCAAAGTCATTGGGGTATTGCTGAACGGATTTGAATCCCTGCCGACCACCGGTGGAGCAACCGAGGTAGTACGACTTCTTGAACCCTTCCTCGTAGAAGAGCTTGGTCAATTGCTTGCCAACCACGACACCGGTGTGGACTGAACGATGTACAAAGTCTTCGAGGACCTCGGGGTGGTGGTAGAAAGGCTCTCCAGATGTTCCGTTGTGGCCGCTGTTGGCGCCGACCGTGGCAAACCCTAGGCCGGAGGTGTACGCTAGATCATAGTACTGGATACCTGTAAGGCGTTAGTATGAAGGCGTGCCATCCCCCATCGCGGTGCCTGGTAGAACATACAGCCTGAAAGACCACCGTTGCCCGTACTCAGGAAGCGGCCAGTGTAGTTTCTGGGGAGCCACGCTTCGAGGGTGATTTCGCTGCTGTTCGAGGTTGCAACAGCCATGGCAATGCGGCACACATCCTCGGATACTACTTGAGAAGTTGTGCCGCAACTGGTTGGATTATCTGGCAAAGAAACATTGGTGCCGCCAGGCACGTAATTGACAAAATTCACCCGCACATTAGGCAGGGTTATTTTGCTTGCAAAATCCGTACACTTGTCTTGAAACGCATCTTGGCTTGCCAGAGCGGCAGAGCCCGCAGTAAGAAAGGGCAGAAGCCGACGAAGGGAAGGCATATTGGGTGTGATTGTGGTTCACGGAGACATTTTTCTCTGCCATGAGCTAGGTGACTCCATATATATAGCTGTGTCGGACATCCCGGAGACTGCTGACAGCCCGGGGCATGTTTATTGATGTTTTAAGCCGTCGGTACGTAAAGATCGGACGATATCCCGTGCCATATTTAGGGCTTTTCCGAAGTTTTGCCGGAGGAATGTACCATGGATTAGGTTAAGATAATCGGTATGTCAGAAGCTTGGTCGTGACGCGACAGACTTCTGTCGACAAGGAAAAGCCGGGATGAGGGAGGGAATTTCCAGCAGCGCTGAGTGGACAGGTCGCCGTCACCTTCAAATGAGGTCTCCACATCCCAGAGATCGTCGCATGGGGTTCCCCACAGAATGCGGAGAATTTCCCTGGTCACCCCGCGCAGGACGTTCGCTTGCCTGAAGGACTTGAGTATCGGCAGTTAAACCATCTCGGAGCCACATGAATACAGTGATCGGGCACTCTTCTCGGCATCGAGGGAACTGGACCCTAAATCCTGGTGAAATCGACTCGGCATCTCATGCAGTACATGCAGGACCTGTTCTTTTTCGTGTCACAAAAGAAAACCTGCAATATGTTCTTGCTCCTTTTAACTCGTCGTTGTCCCAAAGTTAATATATCTGCGATGGTTTAGGACCGTAGAGAGGCGATATTGCATACATGTAGGAGGAAAGTAGGGTGGCCTAGGCTCGGTCGGATCAAACCTGCATCGATCGCTGCCGAAAACCGTCTGGTTGCCGAATCTTTTTACCGCAGTCCACCGTAGTATCGATTGAGTCTAGCTCTTATTGAAAGTTTGCCTACTTAGTATAATAGAGTGTACTATAATGTATGGTGGAAGTTTAATCGACGCGACAAGTACTGAACAATGTTAACATCTTATAGAGCTTGCATGAAATCGTCATTGGATGTGCCTCGTTCGAGTGATCGCTTCGATAGATGATAACAATAATAACAATGATAATCATTAAGTAATGCAAAATAAGTCCGTGCCACCATGATCAACACTTGTAGCAGATTGCGCACGCGCATGGTGCAAGCGCTTTTGGAAACTGGCGCAAACTAAGGAACGCAGAAAAGCAAAGCTTAGATACTTGTATGAGTCATGTAGAATACGAGAGATATAGTGGAGTTTTTATTGACTTTGCCAGCATAACGGCCATGGATGCATCATAGTGTCCTCATGGCCATGAATTGGACTAAAAGTGGAACAATTAGTTGTGGGATATTAGCCATAGATGCCGGTACTTACGAGCACTAATAATAAGCAATGCTAAAGCAACTTTCACGTTGTGAGATGCTATGACACTCAGAAGAAGACCATAAAAGGTCCACGAGGAGTATGGGCTAAAAAGCGGCCTTAAAGCGGGGGAGTCTTTATAACGCGCTGATGTCTCATCGATCATCGCCTGCAAATTGGCTGCAGTTGCGGCTACCTTGTCAAGTAAAGCTTGCGAGATTTGTACGCTGGTTTGTAGTTTCTCTTGTAGCCTTGACTGGAACTCGACAGTTTCAGCTTGCTGTAACTGCGCCTTGTGTATATCTTCGGCTCTCGACTGGAGTTCTTTCAATTCTGTATCGAAAGTTCGCAGACGCTTCTGAGAGTTAGACCATTCCATTCAGTTTCAGGGCATTACCAACCTCGGATATACTCATTTCTTGCTCGGACAGGAGCCCGAATCTTCCAGAGAGCCATTCCTGAGACAGTCAACACTTATTGTTTATTTGAGGCGGGCTCACCTACTAATGAAGAATCGAATGCCTCAATATTATGAAGTAATATAGCCATATCATCTTGCAATAAGGACTCTAGTTTCGATCGAAGGTTAACGGCGAGCTCGTTGTGTGACATAGCATTCTGTTGGTGTGCCAACGCAATTTGCTCATTTGCAGACAGCACTTCGTTCAAAAGATCTTGAAAAGTGTATTGCAGCTTGCTAACCTCGGAGGATACATTTTGAATATTCTACCACTCGTTAGTTATGTTGCAGAGAAGGGCACTCGTAAAATCACCTCATCTAGAGCTGTTGCCCCAGCCTGAGCCCTTCCGAGCACCGAGGTAATAGTATTGACAACTGAAACGGCTCTGGCTTCAATATTGTAAATAGCCTTTTCAATCATAGTCTTGAAGTGCGAGCGAGTTTCTTCCATGTCGTGAACCAGCCTAGCATTCATATTTGCAATTTCACTGGCGAAAGCTCTGTGCTGTGAAGATTGAGCAGCAGCCGTCCGCAAGGCTTCTTGAAGGCCCTGATTGAGTTTGTTAGAGCCCTGGACTACTGACCTATGGAGATCCAAAAGCTCTTCCTTTTCGTTCTCAATCCTTGCGGCTTGACATATCACGAAAGCGTTCTGCCTACTGTTGCTATAAGAAGTCCACCATTGAGGTCGTGACTCCAGCGACTTGAGACAGGATTCCAACAACTGGACTGGAATCGGGTCCACACCGTTGACCGGAATTCCACGCCTCAAAGAAAATCCAAAGATTCCTTTCTTCTGTGGCGGTGGAATAGTGACCGGAAGACAGGCATTGGGGATATGGGCCCCGGCACCTTCAAGTTCGCAGATAGCGAGTCTTGCTGCATACAACGATCTCGTATGCTCTAACACTCTATAGGTCTCAGAGTCGACATTATGCGTTTTCTCCCTAACAAACTGGCAGGATGTGACAAGCCTAGATGCTGCGATGCGGTTGCAGGAAGGAGACGACCTCATTGACTCTAGCAGCTGTACTGCTTCCTTGAACACAACGTCGTGTTGTATATCTTTTGTGGTTATTAAGGAAGCCAAGTCCACTTCCTCAAATGAATTGTTTTTTTGTACTAAAAGATCTATGCTTGGCGGCTTGATTAGTATGATCCATTTCGTCTTTTTGCAGGTAACGTACCACTTGCTGAATCTTCTGAGCTGCAGAGAGCTGAGAAAAGCAGAGAGAATAGAAATAATATGGACAGCATGTGCGTAAGAAATACTATAGTTGGACGTGGGCCAGCCATCCTTTTCAATGCTTTTTTCTTGGGGCTTCGATACACTAAGTGCTAGAGAAGATGGATTGGCTGAAAGTGAAAATAGTTCTTTGTTCAACTTAACGAGATAGACGACATATATGTAAAGATGGTAGACTAAAGGCTGAAGTAATATAGTAATTGGCGATACAAGGGATCAATTGTCCTGCAGACAGAGTGAGGTGTTTGCAGTATAGATGAGTTAGAAAGAGATATACGTAAAGGGTAGGTATGATATGAGACGAGGTGGACGATAAGACATCTCAAAACGACAATACAGACACCACAGCGACTCCTTTACGAAGACTTATCACATTTTGGATCCAGATATCCCTGAGAAGCGACAGTGAGCTTGAATCGAAATCCTGATCTATACAAAGGCATGATCACGTGCGTAACATGCGCTAACTAGATCGGGAGTGCAGGGTCTCCGGCCAAAATCAAAGTCGGCATCGGAGATCCAAAGTAGTTGTCTTCCAGCAACAAACCCCAATTGTCATCATGTCGCGTTCCTTAACACAGAACTGCTTTAAGCAGATTTCCCGGGGCCCTTTGAGGCAGGGCTCACTGCCAATTTATCTCGCACCTGCGTTCTCGCACCCTCAACGGACACAACCATTTTCTACCACCTCACCAACGCAATCTCGAGTCGGCGGCGCCCCGATCTCCGTACCCCCCGAAGTCTCCCTCAAATTCATCGACTTGCCTCAGACACAAGTGAGAGGATTAGCGAAGGACATTCCGAAGACTGCAATCGAAGTTAAAGGGCCTTTGGGTATGGCACGCTCTTATGTCACCTATAGTTGAGATGAACAGCTTGACTTATGAATCCATCACAGGTGAATTGACTCTGAGCATTCCCCCATTCTTGGAAGTTGCACATGATGAAGGCCTTCGGAAAGCAACTCTCTCCGTCCAGGATTCCTCAATCGCGCATCAGCGTGCTATGTGGGGTACGTATATCACGTCAATTGTCATTCACTTGTATGTTTCTGACCGTTTTACGCCCCAGGAACCACTCGGGCACATCTACAAAACTACATCCTAGGAGTGTCGGAAGGCCATGTATGCATTCTCAGCCTGGTCGGTGTCGGTTACAGAGCTACTGTCGAATCAACGGCGACCACCGTCGAACCTGAATACCCCGGCCAGCAATTCGTCTCCCTCAAGGTTGGGTACTCCCACCCGATTGAGTTGGGTGTCCCCCAGGGTGTCAAAGCAAGTACTCCGCAGCCGACGCGTATTTTGCTTGAGGGCGTCAACAAGAACGTTGTGACGAAGTTTGCGGCTGAAATTAGAGAATGGCGTAAGCCAGAACCATACAAGGGCAAGGGTATTTTCATCAACGGAGAGACAATCAAATTGAAGGCCAAGAAAATTCGGTAGACGTGGTGTCTCTGGTTCTGGGAAGAGGAACAGTGGTTATGTTTTACTGTACATGTATATCCAAGCATATTTGGTTTCTGTTCGCGATTGGTATCTATCTTATGTACTTCTAGACGCATCTAGCGTGAGCAATTTGACAAAGTTCGTTGCAAGTTGTTTTTATCATCACAGCTTCAGGACAATCTTCACAGCACCAATGACCTGGTCTTGAAGGGCCTTGGGTGCGGCGACAACTCCCTTGTTGGCAGCCAAGGTCCGGCCCTTGCTGAAATCCAATCGCTGACCGTAGATGTCCGTTACTTGGCCGCCAGCCTCACGCACGATGAGGTCTCCAGCGGCATGATCCCAGATCTTCTCTTGGTAGTCCTTCTTCACAGGCAGACGTAGATAGATATCACCGGCACCTCTGGCAATAGAGCAGTACTTGGCCTGAGAATCCAGTCGCACGCTGGGGGCGGTAATGCCAAGGCGCTGGGCAACAGCAGCATTATCGCCCTGAGCCGAGTGGGCAGCCTCAACTCCTTCGCAAAAGACGGCCTGCGCGATGTCTGGCACTGGACGCATGGAGATAGACTTGCTCTCAGCGAGAGCGCCGTTCTTCAGAGGCCGGCTGATGGAACCGGCGCCCTTGATAGCTGAGAAAAGGACTCCGTTACCAGCACCGCTGTTCTGGTCAACACCGATTGATGCAGACATAGTATCGGAGTCATTGACAGGTAGGTTGGGGCAGCCAATTGCTCCCACCTTGACGTCACCATCCTCAATCAAGCCGAGACAGACGGCATACTGGCCACCACGCAGGAATCCCTTGGTGCCGTCGATGGGGTCCAAAGCCCAGATGCGACCCTTCGCGCCTCCCGCGCTCTTGCCCTGATCGATAATGTCCAGCATTGCTTCTTCACTTGGCAAGGGGCCACCAAGGATCTCATCGCTTTGGCTGTCATCCAGCTTGATATCCTTAACCAGTCTCCAGATTTCGGCGCTCAGTCCTTTATCCTCACGGAGGGAACTGGCCTCTTCTTCGGCGACGATCTCATCGTTGGGGAAGTTCTTGCGGATAGCCTGGATGATCAGAGCCTGGGCACCAAAGTCACCGATCGTCACGGGTGACTTGTCATCTTTCGATACGGTACCCTTTGCCTTTTCGTTGAAGACCTTCTGGGTGAGGAGGGTAGCTCGCTGGACCGCGAGTTCGGCAATGTAGCGTTCCTGTTGGTAAGACATAGTTGTGACTTGAGTATTTGAGTGTGTAGGAGTAAGTAAGTGGGGGAAGAAGGAGCTGAGACGGTGGCGGCTTTTTAGGACGATGCTGGCACCCAGTAGGAGAGTGGAGCAGAGGACTAGACGGGAGAACAACCGTCGCGGTTGGCGAATTGAGAGACGGCCTGCCGATTTCGCAGACCGGTGACCCATTGATTAGGGGGCAGAAGTACGTAAGATGCTGCCCAGCAGCAATTGAAGGGAATTGGTCCTGTACTATTCTTGAATCCCGATAGCTGCTGTGTATTGGACCGAGTGGGATGTAGCATGTGTAGAAGTCTATCGGCCAATGCGGCAGTTACCCCAACTTGTTTCACATTTTGGTGATACTTCCAGCGCCCCAGGCAACTAGGCATCCCAATGTTCCCCCGCCCTAGACCACATTAGGCTATGGCCGAGGGGCAGCGGGCAGTCACGAGATTGGTCATTACTACACAGTATCGCACGTCCCATGACGTCGAGGCAGGGACAAACAATCCTCCTCCTTTTTGTGTGTTTCTGCAAGGGCCAAAAGGCTATAACTGGCCTCAACTACTGTCGCTTTGAACCCGTCAAGTCACCGTACGTCGGACTGAATCAGCCGCGCCAAGACGAAGCGACAGCCTCCTCAACGGGTCTATTAACACGTCACTGTCCGGCTATTACTACCTCTCGTCTGGCCACTCCAACGTATCGCTAGACAACTTTCCGCTTCGGGCATTGATCTTATCGCGGGGTGATAACTGTGGAATTGGTCAGGCGAAAGGCGTTTTACTTCACTAGGCTGCACGTTAATTTATACGGGCTGGATCTACGGGTCGGTCAGGTGGTGATTGACTATTTGAGTCTTCGTCCATCGTGTGGCTGCTATCAGTCTTGAATATTTGTTTCAGAGAGTAATTAAACAAATTCTGGGAACCCCTGTGACTTGAATTCAATTCATCATGTTCCATTCGTCGGTAAGTCCAGCCTGTTGGCATGCCTGTTCTAGGGACAACCTCTAGTTGGAGTATGTCCACATGGACATATGATGTTAACATTGCGGAGCTAACACTGCTATATAGAAGCCATATTCGGCTGTATCGGTGCAGATTGAGGTTCTAACTAGTGAACAATATGATGTTGAAGACTCCAGTGGTATCGTTGATCTCATTGAAGCTGTAGTGATACAGGGCAGTGGCCCGACCGAAGCAAGTCGCGCCCTGCGTAAGAAGCTGTCAGTTATGTGTCCAACCAGTCTCGCATAGGCCCCGTCCCTAATTGGCTTCTAGTAAATATGGAAACTTGCACCGCCAACTAAGAGCTCTCACTATACTCGATTTCCTGATCCAAAATGCCGGAGACCGCTTTTTACGGGAATTTGCAGACGAACCTCTACTGGAACGTTTGCGTATCGCCGCTACGGACCCCGTTTCTGATCCTCTGGTCAAAGAAAAATGCAAGCAGCTCTTCGGACAATGGGCTGTATCGTACAAGAACACACCCGGCATGGAACGGGTGACAGCCCTCTACAGGCAATTACCGAAACGCAAACAGCCGGCCAGTCAGGCTAAAGCGAAGGTGCTTCGGGATTCTGGCACTTCTGATGAACCTCCAATGGGCCACACTGTATCTATCTCTGCGGGAAATGGCCCGGCTACAGTCCTAAGTGGCCCTAAACACAAGCATACTTCCAGCAGATCACTCAGGAAGGAGAAGAAAGAGAAGAAAGTTCGAGACAAAACCTTCAATCTGGAAAAGGAGAAGCCAGAAATGTTACAGACTCTCGCCTCTGCATCCGTCGCCAGCACGAATCTCCTCAACGCACTAAAACTAGTCAACCGAGAAACACATCGGGTGAGCGAAGACGCAGAGGTCCTCAACCGGTTTGAAACATGCAAGCAGCTCAGGCGCCAGATTCTTCGTTACATCCAACATGTAGAAAGCGAGGAATACCTGGGCAGTCTCATCCATGCCAATGAGGAACTCGTCACCGCCCTTATGGCGTTTGAAGTCTTAGACAAAAGCGTGGATTACGATAGTGATAGCGACCAGGATGTCCTTGAGTCTGGCTGGAGCCCTGACCGTGACGACCATGATCTTCAAGAGTCATTCGCGGGGCTTGTTGTCAACCCCCCCAGGCCACCTCGGCCTGCTCGGCCGATGAGCATATCAATCCCCTCGTCGTCCAAGCAGCGCGTGTATATCAGTGATAGCGAGTCCGAAAGCGAAGAAGACGATGATGAGGACAATCCATTCGGTGATCGCAATGCCATTCGTACCCCAAACAAGGAGATATCCCATCCTACCTGGTGAGAAAACCTTCGTTCCCTTCTGACTTTCCCCGCTAATTTCTTCTAGGAAAGAGGTTTAGACCCGACACTGCATGACTAAATACCATTCTTCTTTGTCCTTTTTCTCTTTCTTTCAGATTCTGATTGCAGACCTTTGCATTACATTTTAACGGAGTTACGTGCCCGATGATAATGCGATATAGGTTGATCACGACGACGCTACTACTAGCCTGGAGTATGATTTATGACAGTTAGTGGTGATAATTATTATATATTTTTTCTCTTTAATCCTTCTGTATGCTTTGACATGTACAACTAAACATTAGGAGTATTACTATACCAATAATGTGCTATTTTCTAAAGACAAAACCCTTCATGACCATAATTGTAGAGTCACTACCATAAGGAGGCAATATATCCGAACGGCCCCGGAGAACGGTAGTAACCCGCATTCTGACCTCAACATACTAGTTAGTTACCGAAGCACTATGACTAACCCCCAGCCCCCTCACTGAGGTGGTTACCGCCTCCTCAAGGGACCTATTTATTGTTACCAAACACTCATGTGGAATTGACTACACGGCCAGTCGGTGAATCCCAACCGAGCACTAGGATGTCTCCAACTCAGTCTGCTTCAAGCCTCGCGGCTCATCCTCAAGATGCTCGGGGAAGCTCTGTGTCGGAGCAAACACCGCTCCTTGCGGAACAAGGTCTCAATGTGGCCACGGAATCTCAGGAGTGCCAAGACCATCTAGTACAGGAACACACTACAAAAGAAGTGATCCTGATTATGGGAAGTGTATGGGTGGGGGTTTTTTTAGCTGCTTTAGGTATGCCTTGACAGTCGTATGTGGTAGAAACGGAAAATAGCTGACTCTACCAGACACGACTGTTGTTGCCACTTTAACTGGTCCTATTTCGTCCTCATTCCAATCATTCTCGCTCCTCTCATGGTTGGCAACCGGGTATCTCATTGCTAATGCCGCCTCCCAACCGCTGAGCGGACGGTTAACTGACATCTTCTCTCGACGTACCGGCCTGATATTCTCCAATGTCTTCTTCGCAGTTGGGAACTTGATATGCGGCTTGGCCCAAAGTGAGGGCGTCATTGTGTTAGGCCGTATTGTTGCAGGGATTGGTGGAGGTGGTATCCTTACGATTTCGGTGTTTGTCACCTCCGACTTGGTGCCTCTTAGGAAACGAGGGGTCTGGCAAGGTTTTGGCAACATCTGCTACGGAGCCGGAGGCGGACTGGGCGGCGTGTTCGGGGGATGGATCAATGACACGCTGGGATGGCGATGGGCTTTCCTAATTCAGGTCCCGTTTGTTGTAGTCTCAGGCATCCTCGTTGCAGTCAAGTTGGATCTACCTGTCAAGGAATCGGGAAAGGCTAAATTGAAGCGAGTTGATTTCCTTGGAGCGATCACGCTGGTCATCGCCCTCGTTCTCTTCCTTCTCGGGCTCAACACTGGTGGGAATCAGCTTCCATGGACGCATCCACTGGTTCTCACAGCATTTCCTCTCTCTGCCATGTTCTTGATGCTTTTCGTTTACATCGAAGCGAATATCGCGTCCGAGCCTGTGATTCCCGTTCGATTGCTTCTCAACCGGACCGTCTTTTCTGCCTGTCTTACGAACTGGTTAGATGTCATGGCAGTCTACGGGCTCATTTTTTACTTGCCACTCTTGTTCCAAGTTCAGGGCTCTTCAGCGACCGGCGCTGGCATAAAATTGATCCCCCAGGCAATCGGAACATCGCTCGGTTCGTTGGGGGCTGGGATACTCATGCGTGCAAGTGGGCGGTATAGGCTGTACAGCATGGTATCCGTGTCCCTCCTCATTGTCTCCAATGCTCTCATCTGTACTTTGACCCTCAATTCTCCTTCTTGGCAGCCTTTCATCTACTTCCTTCTTATGGGAGTTGCCTTTGGCGCCATTCTCACCATCACACTTGTGGCACTTGTTTCTGCCGTGGATCATGAACATCATGCTGTGGTCACATCGGCATCCTACGCTTTCCGCAGTACAGGAAGCACAATTGGTATCACCGTCGCTTCTGCGGTATTCCAGAACATGCTGAAGTCCGGGCTTTGGTCACGGTTTGGTGACCGGGAGGATGCGAAGGAAATGATCCCACGAATCAGGGACAGTCTTGACGAACTTCGGAAACTCCCTGCTGACTGGAAACCTGGGGTATTGGCGACGTACATGGAGTCCTTACGAGCTGTGTTCCTTACTCTACTTGGACTCACTATCTTAGGGGCATTGGCCAGTCTGGGTATGCGTGAACACAAATTGCATACGAACCTGGCACGTGCCGAATTATCGGATGCAGATTACGACGCAGAATAAAGAGGATGGTATAGATGTATAGGGTGGATCATTTGGGTTATCACCGTATAACCCGAGTATGGATAGAAAGTATGTACATACTATATACAACGGAAGAGAGCTGCTTTTGTATATGAGATCTCTTGATTGAGTTATCATTTGGACGCTAAGCCTAAAATTAACTATCATCCACTGCCGCTGCTACTTTTTTACCTACTACTGTGTTCTATCAGTATGTCTCGCAACAAGCCACTTGGTGCTGTCAGAGCGACATCATGAATCCCATTGAATGCCAGGAGCCAATTAGAACCCAGCGAGTCAAAGGACAACCTCAGACCAGGAATGCAGCACACCGCCTTCCACCAATCAACTTCGATGCCTTGCAAACGAGGCCGCCGGCGGTAGCCGTACTACAAGTTTGTCAACTGATCGGATTCCATGACTCTGTCAGCTCACTTTCCGGCTCAACCAACTCTCGGTTTCCGATCTCGAAGGCAACGAGACGGATTAGGTAGTAGTCTTTGATCTTGCGGATTCTAATCCCCCCCGCCACTGACATTAACCCTAGTCCTGCCGAGCGGAAGCCAAGTTACATCCTAACTGGTGGCGTTGAGGTCCCATCGGCGCAGAAGGACGTGGCGGCGCCCACTCGAAGAAGCGGAGCATCAAAAGACAAACTTGACGTTCGAGTTTCGCGCCCAGTTTCCGTCCTTTATACCTTGACCAACTATATAACCACACCGCTTTTCGATCTTTCCTTTGATCAGACCACCCATCCTGTAACACGTTTCGCACCAAAACCGGACACTTGCATGGATCTCGCGCTACCTTTCGTCGTTGGAGGAGTGGTTGGGCGCAAGTGAAGTGATCCATTTTTATATTACACGGCGGGTCGACTGGGCGAAATTCTGGCCAACTCTAATGCTTTTTTTCCCCTTCCAATTCTCTATCGTCGAATTGCATACACCAAAACCGTGGTTTTCCCAAATATCACCAATCAAGCTTATATCTTCAGCATACTCCTACTCTTGACGATACACACCTCTATCCTCACAACCATCGGCTCGACTGGTTGAAAATATCGATACCGATACACCTGAAACTTACGTTGCTTGGATTTATTTTCTGCTATGACAGTTGACCCCCGAGCAGATCCCTCATTCAGTGCTGTCTCAAGTGCTGTCGCAAACGCTCCTTGGCCGACTGAAATGGAGGTTGATGGAGGCGGGGAAAAAGTAGTTGAGAACAAAGAGCGTTCTACCATCACATCGCACGAACTGCCGAATGACGATGTTGTCTCGCCGGCACGCCGCCGGAAACGCTTGCTGTTGTCTACAGAAAGCGCCTTCGTCGACAATGTGCTCTCGTCCCTCGTTCAACATCCTGACATCGAGTTACGACTGATCACGGACGAACCGTCTGCGCTTCTCTCTGGTGCGAACAAAGTTCCCCACTACATGGACACGGTAGATAGTCAGACTTTTGAGAAAAAAACAGGTGCTCGGAGGTGGCTGAAGGCTAAGGCTGCAGACCTCTGCGAATGGGCGGATATGCTACTTGTTGCTCCCATAGACGCTGGAACGTTGGGATCGATGCTATATGGCCTGACCAACACATTGACACTTGCGCTTCTCCGCGGTTGGATATCATCAAAACCTGTCGTCCTAATACCGGGCATGACTGTATCAGAATGGCACCACCCATTAAATGCTAGACAGCTTAAGGAGGTAGACCAACACTGGCCTTGGGTTAGTGTGATAACGCCTGTCCTGATGAAATCCACCAATCCCGAGGAGCTCGTCCAGCTTCCTTGGGGTGGCTTAGAGGAGCTTCATGAAACTATTGAAACTACCCTAGGCCTGTCTTTTGGTCAATCTTCAACAGAACCTAATCAGTCGTCCGAAGTTCTGAAAGTTCCTTCGGGAGAGAAAGCATCGCTAAACATGGCTGCTACGACTTCACGACACCCCCCTCATCGGACCGATAAGGGCTCACGGTCGTTACCAATGGAACTGTGGTTGAATGTTTTCGAGGACCACTTGCAAGACTGGGAGATCGCAAAAGCAGTCGGTATTCCAACGAATCTTCCTGTTCCTAAGGAATGGCAAAGCCACCTTCTCAAGATGTCGGCCCCTGCCTCCCTCGAATATACAATTCTCCGGGGCTCCTTCGCAGCAATCAAGAAACGCATTGACAGCTTGCCACGGTGGAAACCGATCTCCGATCTTGCCTGTCACCTGATCTTCAAATTCTCACGAACCGATATCCTTTCATACCTAACGGAGAACCACCTTGATCTTCTATGGACAACCTCTCGCCTCACTAACCTGCCGTACCGTGCATCTGCCATTTACGGAAACCCAAACATCCTAACTTGGTGGCGTGATGCCCCCGCGCTTCCTACCAAGGAGTACATTGCCGATGCAATGGATGGTGCCTCTCGTGCTGGCTTCGTCAATGTCCTCGAATGGTGGCGTACATCCGGCCTCGAACTACGGTACACTGAGCGAGCACTCGAGTCAGCCAGCGCGGAAGGCCGTGTGTCCGTTCTAGACTGGTGGAAGAAAGCCGCCGCGAACGCACCCCCATCGGATCCCATCCCCCTCAAAGTCGGCAAATCCGTCCTCCTAGCAGCGCAATCCGGCCGCACAGCTTCCCTCGCCTGGTGGGACGCCTCCGGCATCGCTTATAGCCACGCCGAATCAGTGGCCCGCATCGCTAGCACACACGGCCACGTCCACGTGCTCGATTTCTGGTATCGACTCAAAGGCGCCAAGATGATCTTCGACTCGCAGGTCCTCGTCGGACCGACAAAGAACGGACACGACAACGTCCTCGAATGGTGGCGACAGAGCGGCCTCCGCGTCGAGTTCAAGACGTGCGATATCGAAGAGGCCCTCGAAGACGCAGACCCCGTGTCCGGTGCCGAAGAAAGGGTTCGGCGGTGGTGGGCTCGCAATGGGCTCAACCTTGGCGTCGGGACGAGCGAATGGATGAAAACGAAGGTGTTGTGATTGTACTTCTTAGGCTCCCCCCTTTTTTCTCCTTCCGTTTGTATAATGACTTGATCGGATTCCTATTGTTAGAAATACCCCCTATTTGGCTTTACGGATTACGGAGCATAACTGGTTACGCACTTGTTTATATAGGTACAGCCTATAAAATAAATTGAACCTGTCTATAATGGCTGGAGTTTTCATTCTCTGGCCTTGTTACCTACTAAGTTTCATGCGTAATGTCCTTGTGATGATTGTGTTCAGAAGTAGACAGACATGCAATTTATGTTGGTTCTTTAGCAGAATATGGTCTTTGATGCATGCTATCACAGAACAATGTTACGACCAAGTCGTGGCACACTACATTACTAGACAATATCTAGCACGCTTAGATATGTATAGGGAGTGAATATACTTCGATCTTAATTGTACAGGGCTGACTCATGTTAACATGTCCACAAATCTGACCGAGGTGAAAAGACATATGAAGAAAAGGTAGAAGAGAAAATCTTTCCTCTGGATATATCATCAATATAGGTACTTGTATTATGTTGCCTAGACGTCTGTTGCACTACAAAGCTTAGAAATGAAAAAGTCAATGAACTCAATGTGAAAATGCTGGAGAAACACTCCCAAACTTGCTCACTGCCATTTGCAAAATAAGACTCAATAGGGCTAAACAAGGGAATGGAGGTTCTTCATGTTCACTTTGGGGTTAGAGGATCAACTAATAAATAGTATTTGTCCTGTTAGTTCATTGTGACCCCAGTCTGTTAGACCAACCAGCCTGAACTCTGGGGTCCCCCCTGAACACTGGTTTCCCCAGCCCCCTTCACCGTCGAATGCTTAACCAAGTCGGCTGCGAAGCCCAGAGTCTCCTCAAGTACCGTTCGAAAATCTTCATTCTCCAGCAGCTTTTTAAGATGTTCATGGGAAATGTGCACAAGGATATCGCGGAGGCCTCTGTCGTCCTTGTGGGTACGCTGGTATGCCTCTGAGATGGCTGTAGGATAGTCGTCCATGTTCCAGCATGTCCTAGCGATGGTTTCAAACTTGTCTTTGGCCTTCTGCTTGAGCTGTGGAACCCCAAATTTGTCGGCAACTTGATATACATTGATATTGAATAGCATGGGTGAAACACGGCCAAGATTGCTACCGCTACTGTCGTACTCGAATCCGTACATGAAATGGATCATGGCCTCTATAGTGCGCGGATCATCGCTCTTGAGTTGGACCGTGCTGTCGACTGATTCCTATGTCTAGTATTAGTATATATCCACCTAGCGATGCGTCCATAGCTCTTACCGTCCAGCCTCCCTTGAACAAGCGGGAGAAATACGCAGACTGCCCACAGACAACCAGTCGATGGACTTTGAATTCTTGATCTGCTGTGCATATAGTCAGGTCGGAGAAGTCGGACGAGATGAAGAACCTATGCACTCTTTAGCTTGTGGTCACCAAGAGCAAGGTAAAAAAAGGACAGACTTCTTGATACTAGCAGATAAATCACCAACTTCTTGAACAGAACCCTCTTCGTGACAAATATTGACCTCCTTCTGTTCAATACTCGCCGATCGTAAAGCCATTTCTGCTTGTGGATCGCCCGCCTGATAATCAGGGGGTAATTGAGGCCTCTTGTTGAAACCTTTCTTTGGTATGGGGCCTGAGATGGCCTGGGGGAGTGATCAAAAAAGCAAAGAAGTACGTTTTCTGTTGATGTGAGTATAAGTAGGCTGCGCAGTCAACATGTTGTTATGTATTGGATTAACGAGCACATTCCCTGCAGCCTCGTTAGACTCGTGTTCAGATCCAAATGGTGAATCGCTGCCCGTCTTACCCCGCCATGCTTGCGGCTGTCTGGGGCTATGATAACCTGGTCTTACAGGGGGGGTCCAAAAGTATGTGACCCCCAATGTATGGACAGAGGTGGTTTTTGGAGTAGAACTCATGTTTATTGGAGTGTTGTAGCGCTTGGATGTAGTCGTCATTGGGGAGCTTGGAGATTCTGTTGGTGGAGGGTATAGGGATGTCATCTTTCCGTGGAGTGTAGGGATAGAAGGATACGATAGGCTCCCGAGGTGCTTTATGGTGGCAAGGCCTTATTTAGTTGACTATGAGCTGTGAGTTGAAGTCCTCTATTATGATGGTAGTAGTTGGATGGCTGTGATGTTTGGAATGAAGATTACAGAGCCTGGGTCGAGAGTGAGCCCTGAGGTGGTCACCTGCCTTTTGGAAGACTCAAGAAACAACAAAGATGTTCACATGACTTACAGATTAGAATCTAGGTGCAAGAATAGGAGCAGCAGAGTGGTTAATAATTAAGAAATATGCAATTTGGAATATAGTACGTAGCATGTCAGTAGCAAATAAGAGTATGTAGACAACAGCTTTCATGAGAAGCTCCACTTCGGAGGCACTAGAAGCATCTTAGATCCCTGGAAGTCATTTCAGAATCTACGTAACACTGGCTAGTCTTAGGAAAGGAGAGGGAGCAGATTGAGGAAAAGGAGTAATTGATCCATATCTTAAGCGTGGCCACCTCAGGCCATTGGAAGAAAGAAATCGGTACGATTCAATACGGTATCCATGCGGTGGTTGACGTCGGCTATACGCGCCTCATATAAAGATCGGTATCAAAATGACACCAGAATTTGTCGCCGTAGGAAATCGAATCGAATCGATCGTGAGCAACCCCTGATATGCAGGATTGAATCAAGACAAACCGTAGGAAAGTCCCCGACTTCATCAGGAAGTAGATAGTAGTCGATACCGATCCCCTTAACGGAATTAGTAGCTAAGTTAGCCCCTCTCGGGATCCCCACAATTTGATAATAAGGACAATGGGTCAGCTAAGCGCCGAGACTAGCTATACTATTGATCCATATCAACCCAAGGGCGAAAGGGGAGTTAACGTCGCCAATAAATTGGATATTCTGACATCTCATTTCACAGCGGTCCGATACCTCATTCGACTAAGTAATACAAGGACTCAAGGGACTCCCCCGACGGACAGGAAATTAATCATTTGAAACAACATGTCTTTGACGAACATCTGACTCGTAATCTGGCCGGGTCTCTTCGGGAGAACGTTGGGCTTGATTAGCTCCAACACAGCCACTCTAAAATAGATTTATGATCGACAGCAGAGAACTAGAACAATGACCCCAAATGAGACGGAGGGGTTAAATCGCGACCCGAGTGGGTCAGTCGTAGTCCTCTATCGTGGAGATGATGGAGTCGGCAAATGAAGCAGCAGAAAGGAGAAGCGAACGTCTCCCCAGTTTGGATCACAGCTGGACCAGACCAAAAGGAAAAAGGGGAGGGAAAAATGAGAAAAAAAAAAAAGGGAAAAGGAACCATGACCACAGACTCCCGTGCAGCATCACGTGGGGGGTGTCCATCACAGTTGCTTTATTAGTTGATTCCTGACGCTGGTTAGTCCATCTCTTATTTCTCAGCTGTTTCCCTTCTCCTCTCCTCTTTTTCTAACCCTTCTCATCATTTTCGTCTTCCTCGTAATCCTACATTCCCTTCCAAGGATCCTTCACTGACTGTTGCGCCATTCCCGTGCGTGCAGTTATACCGTTGTCCGTCTTACTTCTATATAACTTTTTTTATCACCCGATCAAGGTTGGAATCGTCACAATGGGTGGAGTTCGTACGTTTCAAGGAGTGCACGATTTCTGAACATGACTTTGTTAAACTAACTGGATTGCAAAGCACCGAACGCCTTCAAACAGATTAAGGAGAGCCTTAAGTCTATCTTCAAGAGAAAGAAGAAGGGCGATAAGAAGAACGCTCAGGCTGCGGAGCAAAAACCAGAGGATACCACTGCCGCTGGTGCTTCACCAGCTACTGGTGAAGCTACCACCGAAGCAACCACCACCAATGAGGCTCCGGCCGCGGAATCCCAGGGTATGTCATATCGTATAGACCCTATCACGCCGTTCCGTAATAGAAGGCTAATGATACAGATGCAGCTCCTACAGCAACGGGCCCGGCACAATCGACGCCTGGCATCTCTCCGGGTACCTCGATACCAGAGCAGCCTCATGATGAGCATGACGCACTTGCTCCGACACCCTTGCCTCAAATCCCACCCATAGAGACAACGGAATCTGCCGCTCCTGCAGAAACCCCCGCCGCCCAGCCGGCAGCTGCAGCTCCTACTGAGCCCGCCAAACGTGAGTTAGTATGATGCGATATTAGCCAGACCATGCTGACCATCATATACAGCTGAAGCTAAATAAGCCCCTTGCTCTTCAATTCTGTTTCAGTCTTGGTCCGTTTCGCCTCTCATACCCCAGCATTATTTGTGTTTTTGGTCCTGTACCCATGTTTCTTGTCGGCCGTGTGACTCGTATAATACCCCCGGTTTCTTCCTCAGCCCGTGATTTCACACTGAAGAGTGTTTGTAATACAGGCCATGCGCCGATCATCATTATCCTTCGTGTTAGTATTTGAACCGAACTGCGGCTTCATGGTGACTTAGTGTTAAATGGAATAAGAAAAAACCATTCATCTTGTGTTCAACGCCCGAATCAGATAAGGCTATTGTGAGCTACAGCAAAGACCACTGGGACGCGCATCTCTGGGAATATATTAATCACTTCCCTGCGATGAAGCATCATCCCCTTCAATAGCGGGTGTGTCCTGGCCTTGTCCCGAGGCTGCCACTGCCGCTTTAATTTCTCTTGCCTTCTGTCTACGCTTGATCTTCCTCTCCCGGTTTTTGCGATTCCGTTTCTCAGCGTCCGTTTCCTTGGCCCGCTCCGCCACTGCCAGACGCTTGCGAAGCTGGAGCCGTCGCTTTTTGCCCGGCTTCTTCCGAGACTTGGGGTCTCTGATCTGTGGCTCGGCGATGAAAACAGCGGTAGCAGTATCCTCTCGGGGTAATTTCGTTTGATGCCTTTTCCAATGAATCACACGCCACGGTAAGTGACACCCAGGCTGAGATATCCATAGTTAGCCCAAGCGTCAACCAATTGCCACTTATAGCGCATCGCACTAAATTGTGTAAGATTAATAACCTACCCAAGGAACCTTCGCCCATTCTCCCATTTGCTCTCCACTAACAGCGACCTCCTCAAATTGTTTCCGCCTCAGTGCAAGCTTCGGATCATCCTCATTCGACCCAGATAGCAACCCCGGCGCAGAAAAGTAATACTCCCATCCGCGAAACGGCTTCACGAACCCCCCATCATCAGGACCTCCAGCTCCGGGCGTCGGAGACCGTAATCGAATTCGCAACTTCTGTGTCCCTGCCGCCTCAACATCATTCTTCTTTTCCTCTGTAGCAGCGGAACCTGCATCTCGCGTAGCAGTAGCAGTAGAGTCCCGAGCCGGCGCGCTGAAAAGTCGGAATTCAAATTCTTGCTCTTCTTCCTCCTCCTCCTCCTCCTTTGCATTGGTGGCTTGGATATCTGTTTGTTCCGGTTGCTGTTCGGGCTGAATTAAGGAATCAAGGTTTAACAATTCACCTAGTCGCTCATACCCACTGGCAAGCGTATCTTCAGGTTGAGGCGAGGGAGACCGTGATGAGGACGGGGAGAGGATTTCATTGCGACGAACGCTGGTTCGATACACTATGTTAGCTGGTAGTTCGTTGCCGGTGGGGGGTAGGTTTCAGCTCCTTGGGAATCAAAGACAGAGCCTGGACGTACCGTTTCGCGTTCGGCAAGTCGAACATCTCGGCAATGTATGTGTATCGAGTAGTCGCAGTTGCTAGGCTGAGGTCTTTGTTTCGGGAAGTTTGGTGGTAGCTTGGATTGGGGCTTTGGCGAATGAGTAGTCGTCAAGGTGCTTTTGAGAAAATTGGATGAGATTGGAAAATGGCGGCGGAGGAGGAGGTTGTTGCCACGGAGTTTGTGCTGGTGCGGCCACGGTCCGGAGGTTCCACTTCTCTACTTAGGGAACTATGTCGATCTACTGGTGTGTATGACTGGTGCTTTCTTTATTTTGGGAATGATGTGTGGGACTTTGCATTTGTTTTTGGGAGGTGTAGCCTTAGTAGGGGCTTTTATGCTATAATACTGCTAGTTCTTTGGTAGTAGTGTAGGCACATGTTTGTGGCGTATGGTTGGTGTTAAAGACCGATATAGGCCACACAGGACTATGTACATGTAGTTTCATCAATGTGCTTGAGAAGTAGCTGGATTTCTCAGAAAAAATTTTGTCGTGGTCTGTATACATACTAATCCAACAATTTCCTAGTCACTAGACACAGCGACCGCCGTCGACCTGTGGAATGATTAGTACTGACCAAACGAGATGTTGAGCATCAAGTCCACCTACCTCTAGGTTCACACCGGTGATAAACTCCGCCTCGTCACTAGCAAGGAAGCTACACGCATTGGCAACATCCGCCGGGGTACTAGGACGCCCTAATGGGACGGTAGATACAAATGCCGCCCGGTTTTCCTCTGTATCTGGTTTTCCAAGAAACAAGTGCGTCCTGTATTAACAACCCAATGAGCAACATGTACCACTAGCGCATAAAAGCACAGTAAGACAGATAGATAATGCTTACAGCCCGGTACTACCAACAACGGGACAAACGCAGTTGAATCGGATCTTCTTCGGTCCATACTCAACAGCCATCGCCTTGGTAGCAGTGCTAACAGCCGCCTTGGAAGCATTGTACCAAGTTAAGCCTGGGCGCGGCCGGAGCGCAGCAGTAGAAGAAATCTGGACAAAGCATCCGGGACGGTTATTCTGCTCGAAGTACGGTACGATGACGTTCGCCGAGAGGTAGATCGATTTCACATTGACGCTCATGCACAGGTCAAAGTCGGCGTCTGTGACCTGGCCTGTGGGCTTATTGGAATAGGTTGCCCCGGCATTGTTGACTACGATGTCCAGCTGGCCATATGTGTCCAGGGTTGTCTGGAGTAATGTTTGCCATGATTCTCGGCTCGTTACGTCTGCGTGGACGAACTTGCTGTTGAGCTCTGCTGCTACCTTTTCGCCATTTTCTTTGGATATCTCTGCGATGATGACTTTGGCGCCCTCCTCGACGAACTTCTTTGCGATTCCGTGACCGAAGCCGGAGCCGGAGCCTGTGATGATGGCGACTTTACCTTCTAGTCGACCGGGCATGATTATCAGGGGGTTATAAAAGACTGGAGTATAAGTAGGTGGTGAGAATGGTATATGGCTTGGTGCTATCAGAAGATGGAAAGATGATGCTGAGGGGATTTATTCATCATGGATGAGGGGCATCTGTCTATACAGGTGCGGGGTTGGTAGTATTTTTTGGCATCGAATTGACCAGGGATCCCCGCCGGTTTGTCCTGTGACAGATACTAGTACATAGATGACGATCCCGAGGCCCCTTCTTGTGTCTGCCAATAATAATACTGCACTGAGTTCGGTTTAAACTAGAAATTTGTTCTGGCAACTTAGAAGAGTAGATCTGCCGATCTAGCAGTTGCAGTTCCGTCGTTCTCCAATGAACCATGGCAACGGAGATAACACTTATGGATGAAGCCAAGAATGTCAAGCCCTTGCTGTCATTGAGATAACTCTCCCTTTGAGAAAAGTTAGGCCCACATGGTTGACAATGCCCGATACCGAAAGGGTATATCACTCATGAGTACTAAAGTTACAGTGGAATGGAGAGGCAGGCGAAATGAACGGAAAAGGTAAGGGAAATGACATCGGAAACGCACGGACCAGCCCGATCGAATCCACCCGACCGGCCCAGGGAACTTCCGCATCCTAATTGATTCAGCCAATTCGCAGTTTCTCCAACAAAGAACAAAGTTATAATAAATCAAGGAAAATTCTCCGATTCCTATCCACCACTTCAGCATCACCGGTTGGTGCCATCGCTGCTATTCAGACTTCAGCATTCCACTCTTTTACCAACCCTGTTCGTCTTCCTCGCGCTTTCCCCGCCAGTCTCAATTGAAAGTCTTCGTCTTCCATCACCCCCCCTTCAGGCGCTTCCCGGTCTTGGATGTCTCGTGCTCCTTCGTTTCTCAACCGAGCCCCGTCAATATTGGTATAAATGGGTGTCTGTGCTTCGTGTCTGGGGGTTGGTCGTCGTCGGGACAGTCAGGATGTAAGTCTGAGAAAGACTTCAAGATTTGAAAGATAGATCATGCGATATGGTGGTGGCTGGGCTGGTCGCAAACTTCTTTTCGTCGCTAACTAATGCGCCCATAGTCTTCTGAGTCCTCCCAACGCCTCCTCGATGACGATATCTACCAGCCGGGCTATGGATATGGCGCGTTAAACAATTCCACCCAAGACAATCACCCTGATACCGGATACTTGAAGCGTGAACGAGAAGCGCTCGAAGCAATCTGCCAACGGACGTCGGAGTAAGTCGGCTTCTTCCTTGCTGGATACAACACCAGCAGACAGGCAGTCGCTTGCGCACTATGATACTAACAACTCGAAACAATACAGCTCTGTCATCGATATCTGGTCCCTCCAGCCCCAGCCTCATCTACAACCCCGAGCGACTCTCCACGGTCCCGTGTCCCCAGCCTCCTCTCGAGCCGGTACAAAAGACGATGTTCCCGTAAGAGTAACCACTACTCCCCCAGCATCAGAGGCCGGTTCTTCTGCCCAGAAACCTGGTTCTCCGAAACCAGGCGCCGTTCCAAAACACTGGGGGGAGGTGGTCATAAATCCGCGTAAGGGTAAATCGCAGCAACCCGACGATAATGCCCGTGATGTGTTTGGTGTTCTGAAGGTCACGTAATTCGGGGTTGACAACGGACGATATGATGGTTGATAACTGGGGGTTTGTGATCCTTATCTTCTTTCTCTCGCATAGGTCGCCGGTCGACGGTCGATGTCTTCCCCTCTTTCTTCTTGTCATGCACGCCTGCCGTGTCTTTGTTTCTTTCCTTTCTTTTCCCTTTCTTAAATGCCACCCATCGCCCTAGAGATTCTGTTCTAATACCCTGGCTGTATTTTCTATTTCTTTTGTTCGGTCTGCTTCGTTACTTTGGTTTAACTTTGTTTGTCTTTTGCTCTTTACGTTTCGTTCAAATATAACAACATATGCACGATCTTTTATTAATGTCAATATGTGATTTCCTTCTGTTGTCCATGCTTTTGGCTATGAACCCCCCGTGTTACATTACAACACAGGTGATAATTCAAACTTCTTAAAATAAATTCATGTTGTATTAATTGCTATAAACCTGGTGAAGCATATGGACAGCATAAACAAGACATTTCTGAAATGATATGCACAACCTAGGCGCGCGAACGTCTGCAGAGAACAACCAGAATAGCACAACAGTTGTATTTAAGTGGATTGGAAAAAGGGGAGATTTCCGACCTGCAGATGATTCATCGACACCCCAAGTTCAGCGATGCGTTGCTCATCGGTCCGACCCGCGACTCAATCTTCGTAGTCGCCGTAGTCAGTTGCGCCATGAATGTCAGAACCCGACCCTGAAAACGCCACGACCCTGAACCCCATGAAATAGTGAATAGACGAACAAGAATGACGATGCCGCTGCGAGGTAGTTACGCTCACAATGTCGAATACCGAATCCAAGAATAATCGCACGCAGACATAACCGTAAAAAAAGGAAGCTAGAGAACTGACTCAGTTACACATCGTCCATCGTACCGGCTGGTTCTTCCCCGCCGGATTCGTAGCTGCCCGCGGAACTCAGTTCATCTTCCGATTCTGTGTCTTCTCCGGCATCGTCGACGGCCTCTTTGCTAGCGTACTTTGCCACGTATTCTGTGATTATGAGTATATGGGTGCATGTCCAATGTTTTCGGTGGATAACCTACCCTTCACCTTGGCCTCATAACTCTTGGGTTCCCTCATCAGCATTGCGGCAGCTTCGCCGTTTAGTGGGTCCGATGGGTTCGGATAGCGCAGGAGTTGTGGAAGGAAGACCTCGAAGATGTTGATCATATCGTACATTGGTGACCATGTTTGGTTGATGACATCCAGGCAAACCGATCCGGAACTAGGACATCAAGATTAGTGTCCGCCTTTGAGGAACGTGAATAAAAGTGACTTACAGCTCGTCGATGTTGGGGTGGAAGATCCGATTTACGAACCCAATACTAGGGCTCTTGTAGGGGTATTGGTCGGGTAACTCGACGTGAATCTTCCAGTGGCCACCGGAGAAAGGTGCTGTGTCGCTGTAAGTGAATGGATATAGGCGCCTGGGTATACCAATACCTACTTTCCTCAGGACCCTTGAAGCGGACATAAAATTCTTGCCTGTCAAGACCCTACTGTCAATATCTAGGCCCTAGTGCTCAAATTCAGGAAAAAGACGGAACATACACTGCATGGAGTAGTCAGCATAGGGGAATCCAGTGGTAAAAGATAAGAGACACCTACTATTATCATTCACCAGAGTAACCTCATAGTCGCTCATTAACCTAAGAAACCATCAGCATACCAAAATCCATGGGTTTTTTCTTTGTATTCTTTGTAACATATGTAGTTATCCGACAGGACTGCGCGGAGGGGATGTGATAGAAACTAAAATTGGAAGGAGCGCGTACATCCTGTTCAAGAGTTAGTTATGAACCAATGGAAATCATTTGACGGTATAACGGCATACTTCATGACCTATATCGAAGGGGGGAATACATATGTTAGCCTTGCTTCCTTGCTTGAATGTAACAACCTGTGCGCCGTAATCTACTCACATCGGTCTCGATTCTCCGCTTTGGGCTACTCATTTTGCAGGGTTTATTGGTCGATTCGACGCAATCTCAAAGTTCAGGGCACTGTAAATGTGCAGATGAGGTTTCAATATCGAATTTTCGGGACTGTCGTGGTCGAAATAGTCCGCAGGCTTGAAGCGGGGAAGTAAATGAGCGAGCGGGGCAAATGGAATGGAAGGTGTAGGAAAACTTAGTCAACAATGGAAGTTGAATCTAGCAGGAAAGGAAGGGTGAGGGAGTGGTGATTGAAGAGAGAAATATAAGAACACTGTTAGAGAAAGCACAGAAAGAGGGTGTATTTAAGGAGGGGAGACTGAAAGAGCAGAGTGGCAGCGGTACTGTTAAGTAGTATGAGTGGTTGAACGATGATGGCACCATGAATGCCTGGACCCGCAGGCCGAAAATTGGTCAGTCACTCGCCGCTGGTCATGTGCCATCTGGCCGACCGCCCATGACTCAGCACGTTTCTCTCTAACTAACAAATTGTATTGTCTGTATGTAGGGCTTATAGTAGGACCTAAGGCACTAAGCAGATGCCAGCATCATGTCGCCTGCAGACGATCAGGTAGCAAAGTCATCTGGCGAGTAAATCGGGTAGATTTCGCTACGCATATAGCCCCAGAGCACATCAATCAAGACCGACTGTCTGTCACCCGTTCAAACTTTATTGGGTTTGGGTAGAAGTCCAATTTGCTATGCAAACTTGGAAGTCGGGGCGCTATCATGACACTGCAGTACCTATTTGGACTGCCGACTGTATTGGTTGGAAAGTCAAACCAAATTAGGGTTATCCATGGTAGAAATGAATAGCGTATACCGAAGAGCACTAGTGGTACTGAGTTCCAGTTTTATTGAAGAGAATCCAGCTAATGATCTGCAGACTGCGAAACAAGCCGATGGATCTCTTTTAGGGTTGACTCCGCAGGACATCACCGCTGCTGTGCGTTAATTGGGCCGACCCGAGCGACAATTGCCTGAGGCGTCCGACGTCATTTGGGTGCCCATTGGAGACAACATCAACATTTATCGCCCGTCACCGCTACTGTATCGCCTTCCATCTCACCCTGACCTTCCGCATCCTACCCGCTTTAACGACGGAAGGCTCCACTAATCAATCTGACCTGTGGTCCGTCCTTCTCCTTGGCTTTTCATCACAATGGACCCCTCATCTTCCCAAAACCCCTCTCAGGACTCGCCGAGACCGACCCAGAATGTGTCCGTCGGCTCGCGGGCGAGTCTGAGCCATCGACCCGCCAGTCGGAAGCAAAGTTCAGACTCTACACCCAATAATAGGAATACCCCCATCCCAGATGACGAACATGGGGCGGATATGCCCCTGACCATGTCCGCGTCGGTGGTGCTAACCAGCCTACCGCGTGATGCCCATCAAGCGCTGGCAGATGCTGAGGCCGTTGATAAGGGGAAAGGTAAGCATAGACCAGCTGATAAGCATAACTTCTTATGATATTTAGACTTTTTCTGCCCTTCTCAAATTTCTACCTATTGCTAAGCCATGGCTTTGTAAACGAGTTTTGCCTTTTCTAATACTTTAACAGTTACAGTCCGCTTCCAACCTCTGGCTTCTGCGCCCATACTGAAAAACAAAGTTTTCAAAATCAGTGCCTCCCAGAAGTTTGAGACTGTAGTCAAGTTCCTCAGAAAGAAGTTAGACTGCAAAGAGACGGACTCTGTCTTCTGTTATGTAAATAGCGTCTTTGCGCCGGGGCTGGACGAGGGTGTTGGAGGCTTATGGAGAGTAAGGATACGATGTTCCTTATTTTGATCGACCTTTGATGACTTTTGCCATTGAACTAACTTGGTTTGTATAGTGCTTTAAGGTTGATGATCAATTGATTGTCTCATACTCCATGACGCCTGCGTTTGGGTGACGAGTTATAATGGCCCTTGCCAACACATTGGATTACAGATATATCCAATCCAACGAACAAAGAAGGTGCAAAAGAAAGCTGACTGGTATTGAGGCTTTTCAAAGATTGAGAGAGAACAGCCAGCTGGGTTCTCCCACAGCCAAACAATCATGACAATATTGATGAGGTATCACAAAAACCATGCCGGACATGAGAAATGCAAGCTAGGATGCTTCAACATGAGGAACAAATGCAAGAATATAATCCAAAAGTACACGGAAAGGAAGATGGGATCATGGTTCACTGATCCAGCTTGTCAACCGTTTTTTCAAACTCCGCCAGCTCCTCCTTAGGAATTGGATAAGTGTACTCTTCCGAAGGGTACGCCCGGGATTTCACTTCCTCACGATATTGCTGGATACCTTTAACTGCTTCACCCCAAACGTCGGCGTACTTTTTGACAAACTTTGGGAGGAATCGGCCGGGAGGGAAATTGCCGGTCATGTCGATCTGCACAAGAACTTGTCCGGAGCAGCCATTGCCGGCGCCGATGCCAATTGTTGGAACGCGAAGTTTCTTCGTAATGATTGCAGCAATTTCAGCAGGCACTGCCTCTAGAACCATCATGAACGCACCGGCTTCCTGCACAGCCATGGCATCTTTCAAAAGTTTGAGCGCTCCGGCGGTAGATTTTCCTTGAACTCTGAATCCTCCAAGTGCATTTTGGCGTTGAGGGGTGAGGCCAATGTGACCGACGACAGGGATTCCAGCCTGCGTAATGCGTTTGATCGTCGGTGCCATCTCCTCGCCCCCTTCAAGCTTAATGCCCTGCATGCGCCCCTCCTTTATGATCCGAATCGCCGATTGAAGACCCTGCTCTGGCGACACCTCATAGGAACCCATGGGAAGATCAGCAATCTAGATAGTCACACAACGGTCAGTCAATAACCAAGCCTTGGTGTGGAATCCCAAACCACGAACCGTGAAAGCACTCTTGGCAGCCCGCGCCACGCTCCTGCAATGCAGCAGCATCTCTTCCATAACCACCTCACTCGTATCCTCCATACCCAGGGCCACCATAGCCAAACTGTCCCCAACCAGAATCATCTCCATCCCAGCAGCCTCCGCAACATATCCACTTGGAAAGTCATGGGCAGTAAGCATGGTAATCGGCTCGCCCTTCTTGTGTAGATTCCGTAATGTCTGCAAGGTCACCTTCTTCCTGGGATTTGTCGACGTAGCCCCCATCGGCGAATGAGAACTGTGTCGCACTGGATGTGCACATTGCGACGGGCCACGACTAGTCGGACTGCTCACAACGGCCAAGCAAGGCCTAACCGTAGAAAGATGCGTCGGTCGAGATACAAGGCTCCTAGAGGCAGACCGCAATGGCAGCATCAATTGAGCTGCAGTTCTAGAAGACGCCATGATAACAAGTAATATCTGTACAAGCGGCAACCGATATGTGTGAATTGAGGACGGAAGACGTCTAGATACAAGGGCGGAGATCCAGATTCGAAGTTAATTCACAAGAGGCAAAAAAAGCTAGGATCCAAAAGCGGCAAAGCCAATGCCGACTCGAGTGTATGAGAGGAATGGAGACGAATGCCGTCACTACCCGTCAGAAGGGTTACTATAAGAAACACAAAGAAATTTGCCTCTATGTACAGTGTGTCATGTATGTGCTACTGTGTAGAGAAGTAGCAGATCAATGATCAATTAGTCACAAAAAGGCTTCAATGTGAATGTTTACATCCCTCTCCAGCGGTCCCTTTCACCGAGGTATGCAGTTTATATAAAGAAAGACGTGCTGGTTTATGCAGCGTAGCCCGCAGCATCCCCAGGTTTTTGTTCCTTTCTGCCGGATGTTAGGGTTACGGTTAAGTTTTCGTTGGGTCTTTGTCCAGTTCAGTGACGTATCCTGGGTGCCGATTGGTTGGTGGCGTGCATTTAGAGACTCCGTTTGTTCTTCCGCCGGACAATCCACTTTTTCCGGACCGAGTTTCACGGGGAGGCCGAGGCTGTTCGGATAGGCTGTCCTGGAATCTTTTAACTACGAACCGGTACGCAGGTTTCAAAACATGGACCTGAATAGAATATAATTTTATTCATGGACCCGCGGACCGCATAAGCCCAGCATTAATGCTCAGGTCTAGCTTGGTCCAGCACTAATAAGAAGTGTTAGGCTATGCCAGCTAACCATACTCACAAAAAAAGAAAACTCCATCCCCAACCCAGGGCATTCGAGCCTTAAGTCATGCAACCCCATGAAGACATCCACCCCTGAGTTTAAACAACAAACGAACAAAGGAAAAGGGTGTATAAAGAAGAAGGCTCGAAAAATTAATGAACCAAATGAGTATCAATGCAATATTTCCTTCCGAGACAGCATAAGGTCTCTCAATGCGATGCATGTGCTGAATGGGGAATGCTCTCAAAAAGAAACTCCGTGTCACCTATCTCCACGCCAGTCACTCCTGTAGAAACTTATTTTTTATTTTCGTTTTTTGCCCTTGTTTGCCCTTTGTTGTCATGGTTTCCAGAAGGGTCGCTGGAAAGGCCGTTAGCTGTTATTCGTCATCAAGTCCATAGGACAACAAGGATAATGCAAGTGACAATCCAAGGACGCCGGCCAAGTGAATAATGCAATCGACGATAGCGACAATAGAAAGAAAGTTGTAAGAAAGTGTTGATGCAAAAAGGAAACCCGGTACGGGTGTAAAAATGGAGAATAAGTGACGTGAAGCCACTGTCGGTCGATGGCAGTCGCTGCTCCTAAGAGCAAGTGATAGGAGGAAAAATTGCATATACACTGCTGCTACCGAGACTCGGCCTTTCAAGCGCTCACATGGCTTTCCACTTAATTATCACCGTGTCACTGAGCTAAGACAATAATTCAGGAAGCGAATTAAACGTGGCCGAGTACCAATAGGGTTGCTTTGTATGCATACTTCGTTTCGGTTTGTAGAAGCCTAAGCACAGTAAAATATATGCTAAACATACTCATATTCATCCTTGAGTGGGCGCTGTAGCTGGAAGAGTAGCGAGTCCAATTCTGCCCAATTTGCGCTGTTGGTCGCGAACTTGCGGTGTTTTCTTGTCATAACATGCTGCAAGAGATGTTAATACCTTGCTTTCGTTCGCTCTTTGTAGTAGTGACTCACCTCTTCGAAGTCGTCAAACTTATCCCTGCAATTCTCACAATAGCCTGGCTTCGGTTCTCTCCTTCTCTCCTTCTTCTTTCGACAGTTACCTTTTCGTATACTGTTTTGCTGTTTTCCCACATCATTGCTCTCCGATTGGGTGGTTTCCTCCTCAATGACGTTTCCAAGCTTTTCAGGCGGGTCTAACTTGCTCTGCCGATTGCCTTGACTCTTCGTCATCTTCAGCGCAGCTGTAGCATCTATAGCCCGGTACGATGAAGGGCCCGTGCCGGCGGAGTATCCCCCATTGCTCTTTTCGAGGACTTTTCTCTTAAGCTCATGGACCTCTTTGCTTATGCCAGCTTTTGCGCCAGGCGCCGCAGCGGTAGAGGACACCATCTGGGAACGAATAGCAGAAGTAATATTTGATGGTTGCATACCCGACGCCGCAGGTTCGCGACCACCAGTATAAAATCGTCCACCGCGATTGAGCTGGGGGGGAACAAAGCTTTCAGAGCTTTTCTTCGGGGATAATGGTCGGGATGGCTGCATCTCCTGCATTTCTGGCTCTTTAGGCTGAGGTACAGCGTCCTCAGGAATATCTTGAGGGTTATTCTCTGTCTTAGGTACGCGATCAGCTGGTTTCTCAATGGCATACTCGGAAACATTTGTTCTTGGAGCCTGGGCCTCTTGGGTAGGGGCAGCCTTAGACGCAGCCTTTTTCTTCTCTTGTTGACGCGCCCGCTGCCTTTCTAGTTCCTTCTTTGTAGGAGGTTCATCGATAAAGGGGCATTTGCCCAGCGGAGCACTTCTAAATTGTGGCCAGACACCGTCTTGTCGTCTAACAACTTTCGGGTACTCGCGAACCATAACAGGCCTCGTCTTCTCATCCATGTCATGAACATAGACAAATGGACCTTTGAACATGACTAGATCCTTTAATACAGAGAGAGGGTTGCGGTCCGAGGAGCCGTTGAGCTCATTTTGAAGCACTTGTGAAAGGTCTGCCTCGCCTCTACCCCTAGAATGCCCACCACCGACATGGTTGTTTCGGGTCGAATGGCCACCATGACCGCCTATATCTCCATCATTGATCGTGGCGATCATCCGTTGAAGTTTCTCAATAGCCCATATTTTCATTCCCATCTGACGAGCCCTATGCAAAACGTCCATATTGCTCTGCTCACGCCGCGCGTCATTCTTGAGTGACATATGTAGGTGCGCATCAGGGTTCTTCTCGAGCAATGACGGGTTTACCGTCTGCAGAGTGCCGTCTGCAGCGGCTTGGTCGACCGATTCCGTACTGACCTCCGCCGGGCTGGCCACATCAGTTTCGGGAGGGATGGGGCGCGACGTGACAACGTGTGTTACTAAACGCGAAAAGAATTTCTCCTCACGCTACGTAATTCTGTTAGCACTACGAAAACCAACGTAGACAAGGTAATTGGGTCCAGTGACGGCCTTCGGACATTCCCTCTCTTGTAAGGGTAGTCCAAAGCCTAGCCACTATAACCGGGGAGCATCCTAGATCAACTTACAGCTCCCAATGCAAGGACTTGTCGCGAGCATTTGCTGCGTAGATCCTCCGGAATACTGTCAAAATAGAAGACAAATTGGGGGAATGCCTTCCGATAATGTCTCTGCCACTGCCGTATAGAATCGATGGTTTCCGCCGATGGTCTTTCGTGTCTAGTCCCTCGCAGTTGAGATTGTCTTTCTTTGTCCCTCACAGCAACCAGTTTCCTCTCAAAAGCACTTGGTTGAGCATTGTTCGTACGACGTGTGAACAATTTGGACTCTGCGTTCTGGAAAGTAGCAGGCCTGGAATGGGTTTGTGACCGACTATCGCCTTCTGCACCTTCAATTACCTGCTTCTTGGGTGGTGGCTGGCCGTAAGGGATATCGACGGGTGCATTTGTGGTTCGAGGGCGTTTGGCAGGCACGAGGCCTGCCCTATGGGGGGAGTTAGTAGCATTCGGCACGTTTGCGAGTGGTCGGCGAGTCGACATGTTCAAGGAGGTCCGAGGCGAAGGGGGTATGAATACTGCTGCCATATGGTAACAATACACAAAGCAGAGTAAGAGTTAGTTAGCTGTTGGTGAAGACGCCTGCAAAAGAGGGGTACTCCAGGCCGAGCACGCGATGAACTACACGTCTCGAAGGTTAAATCACCAAGACGCCATCGTTCACACGCGATAAGATGTCAATGAGGTAGGGAGCGTGGTAGTTGAAGGTTAAGACAAGACGCAGACCTGGTTCCTCTGAGAGGAGGTGATTGACAGGTATGGTCAGGTCAAAGGAACATGGGAGGGTGGAGTGGAGGTTCGAGGTGAAAAGAGGCTGTAAGTGATGGAAAGGGAAGAGCAAGAAACAGACTAAGCGTGTCAGGGAAGGTTAGTGTGGAGCCCGTACGGTACGGGCAGTTTGTTTTGGCTTCCCGGGTAGTGCGCCGGACAACAACCAACACTGGCGTCGCGCGATGCATGGTAACCTCACCCAAGTACGACCCAGTATTCGCATTGATTCAATTTTCATGGATTCACATCCCCGGTTCCTCTTTTTAACGCGCTCTTTCACGAAGGGTATATTCTCCAGCCCCCTTCAAACTCGGCATAAATAAACTCCATCGTATCTGATTTTGTCTCATCTAACTCATGATCTGAAGTGGTGATCTCATTCCCTTGTGTTGTTCCCGCGTATCACAACGTAATCTTTCGGAGGGGTTTCAAACCTTACTCAGGTCACTACAAGAGATCATCGCCGGAGAATTGAGGGGAATACTTGTGAATTTTCCAAGAGCCCTCATTCTTCTATTATTACAGCTTCTCCACCTACTGCAAGTAGTCCCTTGTTAATTTTATAGTACATTCAATATACAGTGGGTATCAATCCAGTGCGCTCCTTACTTTATCCCCGAAGAGCCTCGATATCATCGACCTGCACACATGCAATGTTAGTTCGTTGCGCATAGGACTTGCATAAATCCGGTCCATAGGAGGCAGAAGGACAGAATTTCTGATTTAGACGTGGGATCTCACCTCTTTAACTGCCTCGGTGGTTAGCACAATAGGACTGTCGTCCCCGACGCACACGCTGTCCTCAATACGGATTCCAATGCCCCGGAACTTTTCCGGCCATCTGTCGCTGTCCGGGACATAGATACCGCTTGGTGGGATTAGCTTAAAGACTAAAACAAAAGAGAAAGTGGCTTGGGTCATGACATACGGCTCGACAGTAATACATTGGCCCGCCTTCAAGTTATACCCTCGAGAATAACCCGGGCAATCATGGACGTCCAGTCCTACGTAGTGACCCAGATGATGAGGGAACAGGATGCCCATTGCCTATGAACGTCAATATCCATGTTAGGCGAGACAAAATGGTGATCTTACATTTCCTGATACATCAAAACCAAGCTGTTGGAGTTGATCTCGAAGGCCATTCTCGGCAATTGTGTGCAATTTGTCCAAGGAAACATTTGCACTCTCCCTGCAAAGGGACACGCAGGTGCGTTGCACACTTAAAACGGCATTGTACAAATCGCGCTGAGGGCCGGAGAACTCGCCATTAACGGGCCAGGTCCTTGTGATGTCAGAGACATATGTGCCCATTTCCTATCGAGCGATAAGTAGGAGTAGCAATTTATAGGAGCATTCATGTACGTACTCCACCCCCATCGACTAATACCATATCTCCGTCCCTGAATGGTCATATGTTAGACCAAACTTCGATGCCAAAAGATGAAATTCATCTTACCTCAAGACATCGTCATTCCTCGTGTAGTGGATGCTTAAAGCATTCTGTGAGGAATTAGCCTCTGTTCAGCTCAGTCACCATAGGACACATACAGAACCGCCCGCAACAACAGGCACAAAGGCGCTTGTATCGCAGCCCTTCACTTTGAAATTGTATTCCAAGAAGGAAGTCAAGTCCTTCTCCTTAGTGAATGTTTGTCTCATGGATTCAGTGAAAGCTCTTCCCGAAGCTTGTCCCACTCGGCGCATTTGCACGACTTCATCCTCACTCTTGAACACCCTCATGTCATTCAAGATGTGTCGTAATGGCCTGACCTTACTATGATCCACGACCTTCTTCAGTTGCTCAGATGTGCCGGTGGGTCCGTAAAGGTACCTATGTAAGGATGATCTGCCAGAGTTCAGGGCGGGGATGTCCGTATAGATCTCCGTAGCATCAGACAATATACGAGGCAGTATATCCCCAATGCGTTCTATATCACCTGTCTAGAATCGGAAAATTAGTCATGCCCTAAAGGATAGTAGAGAGTACGAGATGTTTACCTCATCGGCATTAAAAACATCAATCGCAGCCCGCGCGCCCGACCGGGCACCATCCCAGAGCTCAGCTTTCGGATCCTTTTCTCGTACATAGAGGTGGAAAATGTGATTATCTCCAGAGCCATCATTTGCTACAGTCATGAGCCTCACTCATATTGTCACATTTGCGGATGAAGCACTCACCGATTATAGCCAGTGCATTGGGCTCGTTAAATCCTGATCAGCGTGAGAGCGGTGAGTGCCTATCCTCCCAATAGAAACATACGACAGCCACGGACCTGTAAGATAGAAGAAGTTGGAGTCTTGTCGGTATTCATTGAAGATACCGGACGCACGATATGTCACCTCCGCAGCGCTCAACACCGCGACAGCATATTTCGGGAGTCGGTTTGCGAGTCGTGAACGGCGGTGGGCATACTCGAGCGCAGTGATTCCGGGCGTCACTTATTCTGAGTCAATATATCTCACACATTTTCCTCGCGCATGTCCTAGTATGACGATAACATATACACACGTTCACCTGGATTAAGTATATGGGGATGTGTCTCGTGCAATGGTTGTCCGAATTTAAGCTCCGCAGCGGAAATAGAACCGTATGCGCGACGAAGGGTTGGTCGTGTCTGGAACGCCGTGCGGTTGAAGCTTGTGACAGGTAAACGCGACGTGGGACAACGTAGATAACGAGGCCATTGGCGGGTGAGCAATTTGCATGTCGACATGCTTACGGGTGTGCCTTGAGAGTAACTGTTTCCAAATAGCCTGGAATTCAGGTTTATCTGGTTCAGGTAAAGTTATCGCCCAGCGATCGGTCAGAAGCTCCCACGCCCTTCCAGTGGGTCGTTAATGCCTTAGGCAGCTATATACCTCTAGACTCTCGGCGCCCTCAGCCAATCATTCTCGATTAATTTAACATCCTCTCCGCATGGACCTCCCGAGTATGGAGACAGTTTGCGATGGTCAATAACATACTAGGTATCGCGCGACAGCTTATCTCGGACGAGTGCAACACTACGGAGTAAGCACGGAGTAAGCATATGGCTTGCGTGATTATAAGAGAAAGCCATATCTGGGCAATGGCCCTAGTTCTTTTCAAACGCTAGACGGAAGGGATTTAAACCACACGGTGTATAGACTCATTCCTCAAGTTCTTTACTGTGGAAAGACAAACAAAACGCATATCTATCCTGCGATATGGGGCGAACACTGACATATCCCAAGCGGTCTTCCAACACTGTTAACCGCTACAAACATCGAGGTAAAGTTTGGATGAACGAAATATTACAACTAGGTGCCACTCTAAGACTCTTCTAGCCACTTATGACTTGAAAGCAATCCATACCATCATCAATTCGAGTCAGGTACTCCATGTGTCTTTCTCACCTGGGCCCTCTGACCCTTTCCCCGCAATTCTGCCCATGATCGGGCAGATGGGGTCGTTCGACTATCCATCGGCGGGCATTGACGAACCCTTAGACTGCTATCTTCACGGATACGTCAGTTCACGGATCATGAATTTGGCCCGGGACTCTGAGGGTGATGGATTGCCCATTTGTGTCGCCGCCAGCAGGGTGGATGGGTTAATCCTTTCCTTAACTCCAAATTCACACAGTTATAACTACCGGTCCGCCGTATTGCACGGATATGCCAAAATGGTGACTGACGAAGCCGAAAAGCTCTACGCAATGGAATTGATTACCAATTCAGTACTCTCCGATCGCTGGGAGCATTCCCGAGTACCACCAGACCGTACAGAAATGTCATCCACCGTCATCCTCAAGGTCAAAGTCGTCGATGGTAGTGGCAAGATCCGAGACGGTGGTGTCTCGGATGAAAAGAAGGATACAACGAACGATGAGGTCACCGGCCGTGTCTGGACTGGTGTTGTGCCTGTTTGGGAGACATTTGGAGAGCCCATTCCAAGTCCTGAGAACAAAGTAACAGAAGTGCCTGACTATATCACTCGGTTTGTCGCGGATAAGAATGATCGAAATCGGCGATATGCAAAGGAGGCAGTTCATATTGCACTCCCCTTTGAGGAACAGCATTAGTCCTGTTGGTTCTCATGGCTTTCCTTCCTTGCTTTTATTATATTTACGACTATATGGACGACTTATGGTAGCTAGAATTTCCAAATTTACTATATTACAAGCACTTCCTGTCTAAGTGGCATTCGGAAGCTTATGCCGAGTCAGGCAGGGCGAGCTGTGTAAGGTGGTTCATAATGAGAATAAGAAGTCTGAAAAAGATATTATTATCTCATTTTATTATAGCCCCTAATATAATTACAGTGGAAGACAAGTTACAGTAATTTATTACTATCCTACGAAGAACGTTTATGTTAAGACACAAATCGAACTATATCAGTTGCACCATCGCCCTGCAAGATATATACAGAGTATTTCAACCCGCTTTAAAATCCGTAACAAACATTGAAACTTCAAGAATGGAGAATTATTTGATATAAATATTTAAGTACGATATACATAAGTAACTATTGCTAAGGGCCAAGGTTGAGGGATATCCTGCATAAATACAATCTTACGAGGTCTGAGCTCAAGCCGTCTGATGGTTCAAATGCCACGCACTACGGGAAGGACTAACGTCATTATTTAAACATCAACATTGCATCCAAACCAATACTCATCTTTCTTTGCCCATCGTGGCCGTGTACATGTTTCTATTTTTTCTTTGATACATATATGAGTATATATTAGTATATCACCCGCTATTTCTATTACCTTTCTCGTACATCTGTTGCGGGGTACAAGAAAACGTCCGTCGCAGTCATTATCAACACCCCGCTATGGCTCCGTCAGCTATTCCCGCAGCTGATCTTAGGACATTTTCGGAGTACCTAAAAGGATGTAAACGTATACTCGCACTTCTAGGAGCTGGCATCTCAGCCTCATCGGGGCTTCCAACATTTAGAGGAGCTGGCGGTTTATGGCGAACCTACGATGCGACTGAGCTGGCGACGCCCGAAGCATTCGATGCCAATCCAGACCTTGTGTGGCAGTTTTATAATTATCGGAGACATATGGCGCTAAAAGCAGAACCGAATCGCGCACATTATGCGTTAGCAGAGCTTGCTAAAAGAAATAAGAACTTTATTACATTGTCGCAAAACGTCGACGGCAAGTCCTGACCTTCGCTACACTGCCTATCGACCTCACATGGTCAACTAATGAAATAATCTGTCTACAGGTCTCTCACAACGAGCAGATCACCCATTATCCCAGCTTCACCTTCTCCACGGTTCCCTCTTCACCGTTAAATGCACGTCTTTCTACTGCAGCTACTCCCGTGAAAACGACTTCACTGATCCAATAGTTCCTGCTCTCGCGATACCAAAGAATGCTCCAGAGCCCAAGCCATCGACGGATGATAAGACGGGCGAGGAAGCTTCGAAGTCTGTATATAATGCGTTAGGCATACCGGAAGGTGAAGAAGTTGACATTTCTGATGACCGAGTTCCACTGGCGCGGCTGAGCCCTGATGTCCTTCCACATTGCCCAGAGTGCAAAGATGGACTCCTTCGACCCGGGGTGGTGTGGTTTGGAGAGAGCTTGCCGTCACAAACCCTCAACGTGGTGGATAGCTGGATGAGGTCTGGTCCGATCGATCTGATACTAGTGATTGGTACAAGCTCCAGGGTATACCCTGCTGCAGGCTATGTTGATAAGGCTAGGGCGAGAGGCGCTAGGGTTGCGGTGGTCAACATGGATCGGAACGATGTAGGATCTTCAGGATTAAAGCCAGGTGATTGGTTCTTCAAAGGCGATGCAGGTACCATCGTTCCAGAAATTTTGAAGGAAACGATTGGGGAGATCTGATTGGCATTATGGAGAATTGTCGGTAGGATCGTCCGCCAAACTAATACACTCAATGGCTCCAGTTATAGCTTAAATATACAACTCTCAGGGCTATGTTTGCTTGTTATAGTACTCCCCCCAGTTGTTTACTATTAGAAAAAGAGGGACGACCAAATACCTACTCCATAGCAGTCCTTGATATGTAGTTCTAGCCTTTATACTTTGCTCGAAAACTTTGTAAGAGATTCACTTGTGTTGTCATTGATCATACTCAGCAAAATATCAGGCCCTGGGGCGACTGGTTGCCGGGGCAAAAGTTCTACCAAAACAAAACTAGCGCGTTAGCGCTATCGATAAATGTGGCATGGGCACTGAACAACATTCGCAGCCTCAACATCAACTTCTCTAGCAACCCCGCCCCCACTCAGTCAGCCTTGGAAATAATTATAGCTCCTTTGTTATGGCATGAACGATTCTCAAGATCTAATGACAGTATGTGTATGAAGTTATTCTAATATAAAACCCCACAGTGTGGGGAAATTCTCCGATGGCCTGAAGAGTCGTGCTAATAATTGTTCCATCCCTACGATCAGATCTAAGAATGTTTGAGAAAATCCAACATTGGTGAAACAGTACACCTTTTCTTTTCATCTCGCAGAATTCGTCATAAAATTCACAGACTACCTCGGCAGCCTACCTACATAGACACCTCAGAGGAAACCCCTCCATCAAGTATTCAAGATGGCTAAAGAAAGTGAAAACCCGTTGAATCCGATAACTCCAGGAAAGCCGAAAGATCAACCCCACCGTCACGTTTCCAATCAGCCAGAGTTTGGAAAGCCCTCACCGTTAGGCGGGGGGCGCCCTCAAAACCATCAATCCAATCACCCTTTCAACATCCCTAAACAGAACAGGCCTCGGCCGGAGCACCACAGACCTCAACAACAGCAGCGACCAGGTGCACCCTTCCATAGTCATCGGCCACCTACGACACCAGGTGTTGCAGTCTCAACTCCCAGACGCGCCGAACCCTTTGACCCTTTTAAGCCCGTTCGTCCGTCAGCCTACAACAACTCTCGGTTTTCTCGCCCTGTCAACGACGATGTTGTCGTAATCAAACGCCCGGAAAATTTCACTTTTAACACACCACGGGCCCCCAAAACCTTTTTCGCCTCGAATGCCTCTGCGGTTAAGGTGTCGAACGCATCGAAGAACCTTCGGAACTTTGTCGATCTGACTGGCGAGGGCGGCTTCACGCCCAGCTCCCGATCGCGCAATGTCGGTTTTGGGTCAATGGATGTGAACGGTTATGTTGACACAGCCAAGGCAAATGAAAATATCAAAGCTCTTCTAGAGGGAGCCTTTGAAGACGAAGATGAAAAGCAAGATTCCAAATCAAAGAACAAGAAGAAGAACAAGAACAAGAAGAATAAGGATAAAAATAAGAAGGCCGAGACACAAATCAACAAGAATAAGGAAAGCTCCGAAATAGATGATCTAGCCGCTCAATTGCAAGGGGTTACTGTTAATGAGTCCTGCACTGAAGACACCGAGGCCGATCGATCCAGCGAGGATACTACCGACAGAGAAGCAGTCGAAGAACAAACAAAGATTCAGGATAAACACGTTGTCACCGGAGACCTTGGATCGGAAAACGAAGATGGCGAAGAAGAAGAGGAGGACGAGGAAGAAGAGGAAGATGAAGATGAAGACGATGGCACAGTAGAGGGCTTAAAAGTCAAACTACTGCCCCATCAACGAGAGGGAGTGAACTGGATGCGGGACAAGGAAATTGGTAATAGCAAGACTAAGGGTGTGCTTCCGAAGGGTGGAATCCTCGCAGACGACATGGGTCTTGGAAAGACCGTTCAAGCCATAACCTTGATGCTCACAAACCGGAAACCCAAAGACGGGCGCCGGCGCATTATTGATTGTGAAGAAGACGATAACAGTGGCAATGACTCCGAAAACGATGGAGGAAAGGATACTTCGAAGCTACCCCCCGGGTTAAGCAAGTCAACTTTGGTTGTTGCTCCATTAGCATTAATCAAACAGTGGGAGGCCGAAATCGCCGACAAGGTCGAGGCATCCCATAGGCTTCGTGTATGTGTTTATCATGGGAATACTCGAACAAAAGCGACAGACAATCTTGAAGATTACGATGTTGTGATTACAACATATGGTACTCTGACGTCTGAACACGGCGCCATCGACAAAAAGAACAAGAAATCCGGTATCTTCTCCGTCTACTGGTACCGAATCATTTTGGATGAAGCCCACACTATTAAGAATCGGAATGCAAAAGCAACTCAATCTGCTTGCGCTTTAGACGCTGAGTATCGATGGTGCTTGACCGGAACTCCTATGCAGAACAATCTTGACGAGTTGCAAAGTTTGATCAAGTTCCTCCGGATCAAACCATATAACGATCTAGCAGCCTGGAAAGAACAAATTACTAAGCCCCTAGCCAATGGGCGTGGGGCCCTCGCGATCGAGCGTCTACAAGTTGTGCTGAAGGCTTTTATGAAGCGGCGCACTAAGGATGTCTTGAAACTCAATAATAACCTCAAACCCAACGAAGCAGCATCCGATGGCGGGCAGAAAAAATCATCTGGCTTCCACATCGTCAAGCGAGAGGTGATCAAGGTTTCGGCAGAGTTTACACCGGGTGAGCTGAACTTCTACAAGCGCCTCGAGCAGCGAACGGACAATAGCCTTGAAAAGATGATGGGTGGCTCTAAGCTCGACTACGCAGGCGCATTGGTACTGCTATTACGTCTCCGACAGTCCTGTAACCATCCAGACTTGGTGAAAAGCGACCTTGCTAAGGATAAAGATATTCTTCTGCAGAATGGTACCTCGGGAAGCCAACCCGCAGCCGGGAAACAGGATGATCTGGACAGTATGGCGGATCTCTTCGGTGCTCTCAGTGTTGTCTCGAAGAAGTGCGATATTTGCCAAGCCGAGTTGAGCCAAAAAGAGACAGAAGCCGGTGCTAGCAGGTGCGGTGAGTGTGAGACAGATCTGAACGTTAGTTTCGCCGGTAATCACAGCGACAAGAAAAAGCGTTATTCAGAGCGAGAAGTTGTGGACCTTACGGAATCACCCTCAAATCGGAGATCAGGGGCTCAACTTGCACGGTCCCGAAGAAATAGAAAGGTTGTCGTGGATAGCGACGATGAAGAAGACGATGGCGAATGGCTCGTCCCCGAAGATCAACGTACGGTACCAGATCTTGGAAAGGCTGGGGGATCGGATGACGAAGATGCAGAAGGAGGTGGCGATTGGCTCGGCTCAGAAGACTCTGAAACTGACTCGGACGATGAAGGTGGCCCTGAGTCGCCAACCCGCAACCGTATGGCCGCGAGAAAACAGGCTAATGAGTCGGATGAAGACGACATTTATCTTAATCCTGGCGATGATGACAACCAGGTGCTTCCTTCAACAAAGATCCGACATCTCATGAAAATCCTCAGGCGAGAGTCTGCGGACTACAAATTCATCGTATTCTCGGTCTTTACGTCAATGTTGGACAAGATTGAACCGTTCCTTCAGCGCGCGGGCATTGGATTTGCACGTTATGATGGTGGTATGCGAAATGACCTCAGAGAGGCCAGTCTGAACAAACTGAGGAACAATAGTGGGACAAGAGTCTTACTTTGTAGTTTGCGAGCTGGTGCACTGGGACTGAATCTTACGGCGGCCAGTCGGGTGGTTATTTTGGAGCCGTTCTGGAATCCTGTATGTTCTTCACCTAATGCTAACAGTCTTATGCCTACCATTGTGACTGACTCTGATCTACTTAGTTCGTTGAGGAACAAGCTATTGACCGTGTCCATCGTCTAAACCAAACTGTCGATGTCAAGATCTACAAACTTATTGTTAAGGATACAGTTGAAGAGCGAATTATTAACCTTCAAGAGCGCAAGCGTGAGCTCGCTAATGTCACCATCGAGGGCAAGACTGCTGCAGCCAAGCTTACCATGAACGACATGATGGCCCTCTTCGGCCGGGATGCGGAATCACGCTTCACAGGGGAACGTGGCAACATCGACCTTACACAATCCACACGATTATTAAGCACCGCCGATGAAAGCAACTCTTCAAATTCTCAGTCCTCTGACAGACCGAGGACGCAGGCATCACACTCCAGCTCACGCGATCGAAGCCGGCAGCCAGAGAAACGGGGAGGGCCCAGGGGCGAAGATTCGGTCTTTGGAAGACGGTGGTAAATGCACAGATCGTGTTCTGGAGCTTGAGATCCGGGACAAGGCGCATAAAGCAGACGATGCAATTTCACGATGGGGACCAATTGGATAGGGTGTTGGATATGACCAGTTTTAAAGTCTTGCTATAAGGTGTTGGATTTTATTGAGGCTTTTCTTGGCGTCCAAGTGATTAGACGTGCTTTCTGGAAACAATTATACTTTGATGAACCTCTCATTATTCTCCGGACTACCAAGTTCTTCGAAGACCTTGTTGAGTGATCGTTGCCTTCGAGTTTTGAACTTAGATTTTTGAACCAAGTCAGCGAATTAAAAACCGATGCAACATCAGCAGGCTGGACAAGAACCGAACTTAAATATAGACATTGGCATGGATACTTGGCCTGAGAAAATCTCAGAAGAAGCAATATAAGTTTGCAAAAACTTCCGATTGGTCTCTTTAGCTTTTGGAATGAAGTATTAGCTGTTCATTGTCATACCTACTTACTCAAACAAATGTCTCCACGTTGCTTCATGCAGAACTGATGTGAGATGGAGGTATACGCTGGATCTATAAAGACCATGTCAGTCCCAGTCGCTCAACGGCCAATCTGTACCATATGTGGCTCTGTCGAATGGTTCAGACATCATGCACCTCATCTTTCAGGCATTTGCATCAATCGTCGCCATGTGCCTAATTGGTACAATGGCCGATGCGACTCAATCCGATTCAAAACATGAACCATTCTCACTCGACCAGCTTGGTATCCTCGAGCGTGATGTGGCCGTCATAGGGGGTGGGTCAGCAGGCACATATGCCGCCATCCGCCTGCGACAGTTGGGCCAGAGTCTTGTTGTCATCGAGAAACAGGACAGGCTTGGAGGCCATTCAAATACTTACTTTGACCCTGCTTCTGGAACTGCAGTGCCATATGGTGTGAGAAGCTTTCACCACAAGAGCGTGGTGACGGACTACTTCTCCCACTTCAACATCTCTCTGGTCAATAAGATCTATCTTACGAACCAGAGCGAGAACGTGGACTTCACGACTGGAGAGCCCATCACCTTAAAACCCATCACCATCCCGAGCGATGACCCGGAAATAAGAATTGCAATGGAGAATTACAAGGCGCAGTTGGCCAAATATCCGTTCCTCAAAGATGAATATTATAACCTCCCTGACCCCATACCTGAGGATCTCCTTCTCCCCTTTGGAGAGTTTGCAGCCAAATACAAGATCGACGCCATTGTACGTTTTATTGCAGGGTATACTGCAGGCTTCGGAGACCACCTGCTGAAGCCCACGCTATACATTTTAAGGATGTTCTCTCTTGATTTCATCTATGAACTCCAACACGGCTTGCTCGACTATCCAATGAATGACAACAGCGTATTATACAGAGCAGCAGAGAAAGAATTGGGTGGCGACGTGCTTTACAAGAGCAGGGTCATCGGCGCCATGCGCAAACTTAGCAAGATAGACAATTCCTGCTATATCTTGGTCCAAACCCCGTCGGGACAGGAGCTGATCCACGCAAAGAAAATACTCATAGCAGTCCCACAGACGATCGAGAATCTTATACCGTTTGACCTTGATAGAACTGAAAGGGAAATCTTCGCACAGTTCACCGGCACCTTTTGGTATTCGAGTGTGATAAGAAATATATATCACAGTGCACAATCTATCCAAAACAATGCATATGACTCGCCATATAACCTTCCCATCCTTCCAGGTGTATATAACTTAATTAACACCAGTGTGCCAGGTTTGAATTGGGTATTATACGGCAGCTCCACCTTCATGCACACCGAAGACGTGAAAAAGGACATCGTGAATAGTGTCTTACGGATTCGGCACCCCAATGTCACCGTGACAGAGCCAGAAATTGTTGCATTCAGATCTCATTCTCCATACGAGCTTACTGTGCCTGTGCAGGCGATTCGGGATGGGTTTTATAGAAAGTTGGATGCGCTTCAGGGACATCGCGGGACTTATTATACCGGGGCGGCATTGACCGCACACGAGAGCCATCTCATCTGGGGCTTTACTGAGAAGCTCTTATTGAAGCATTTTGTTTGATTGGGACATGTTTGATGTGGTCTATTCTCGTGAATGATCTGTCGATCTGAGCGTGCGAACGCTGGTGTATCAGATAGTTTGTTCATGGAGTGGTCTAGTCCTTACATGTGACTTAGAACACTGGCGGGCCACGTACCCATCCTTACTTTAGTTTTTAGTTTTTTAGGGTTGGAAAGGATCTTTGATTGTACATCCAGAAGTGACTCCTTCGCATACACCACGGCCGAATCATGTAGGAGATGCATCACATCCCGAGTATCCCAACTCAAAAGTAAACCTAGAACCAAAGTCTCCAGTTTCCATTGGTCAATGATCGGCCTTGATGCTGAGACTAAGTTAAAGGCTAGATGATTTGAACTAAATTCACTTGCAGAGTAGTTCTAGGCTTGATAGGTCTCTTTCTTCCTTCTGGGGAGTGCCTGGACACTGGTTCGATTAGGTTGGTGTGGGATTTATCGTGGCTGGCAATTCTGGGCTCATTTTCCGAAGGCAAAGGGGAGAAAAAGCCAAAAAAAAAAAAAAAAAAGAAAAAAAAAGGCAAACGAGAAGGCCAAGCTGAAATCAAGGATACGCTTCGCAAGGCTAGTCGATAGGAGAGTAGTTAGATTGTAACGTCGTTAGTCAGATGTCTGCGGTGTTCATTCAGCCAGCTCGGCCGGATGAGATCTGAAATGTTTAATCGGCGTCGCAACCCCCTTACAGGGTTACTGCAGGCGAGCTGCATGCATGGAACTGAATTCTAGAAAGCTGAGAAGAAAATGACTAGAACAGGAAGAGCCACTAGAATTTGAAAAGAATGCATACCTTACATTGTACTAGTCACCGCTTCTTCGTTTTTCTTTTTTCTTTTCTTTTCTTTTTTTTTTTTCTTTTACATCTCTTCCACAGCGGCTGAGATTCAGGAGGCTTATGAGACGTCAGAAATGTAATACGAATCCCACGTCCATGAACTCCCACTCTGACTATGCATATCACTACATAAAGCTAGTGGGTTTAAATATAGAGCCCCCCCAAAGGCCCCTCTCCGTAAGATACTAAGCCCGAAATGAAGGATTTTAAATTGCGATTCACCGAATGACACTGTAATGATCAGCATCAAACTCTCTCGCGCTTTTCTCAAACCTGTCGTCAATCGGGACTGGAGACATCTGGAGAGCCAAGACGCTTCGCGTCGGAGGTGCAGCCTTATTTGTCCGGTCCCCTGCGTCTGTGAGCGTCACCAAGGTGGTTAGTCTTGTCTAGAGCTCGGAGTGCCAAATTAGATAGAATAGGATCTGCGCCGTTGGCGAGACGAAACTGGATGAGCAGCGAAATGGCGGATCCACTGCCATCGATGGGCTAAAGAGTTAAGGCGCTTTGGTGGTGGGGATTGTCGGGCCCCGCTCCAATCCCAGAGCGGATCCTTGGAGCTATGCGTTCCTTCTATTATTATTTTCATTATTTAATCGTATTATTATTATTCCCTGGCGACAATCATTTGGGGGTGTTTGGTGTCCTTTTGAATTTCTCTGTAGGGGTTATCTCTGTCTGGGGATGCGGGATTGGGGAAGGAAAGATTAGGGCACGGTATTATGTCCATCCATGGTTTGTTAAGGTTTCATTCTATCTATGTGTGACCCTGTTCGATATTAAAAATAATCCCAAATATAATTTAATATACCTCGCAGATTTTCGTCTATTCATATCTCGCTCTCTCTCGGTAACTGTTGGCCGAGCGCGTACTGTAGTCACTGTGCCTATTGACTAGTCGCAGTATAAAAAAAGAAATGAAGGATTGCGGACCAGGATCTCATGTAACTCCGGAAATCAATATTGATGATCTGCAAGATGCCTTTTAGTAACGCAGCAGGGATATCCCACCTCCATTTCGGCTGGCATTACCCCCGCCTGGTCCAATGGAAAATTCGCCGTGGGAGTTGAGAGAGTCCTTTGTCCTACGCCGGTAGGCCTTTGCACGGCAGATTCCTGTCAACGGAGAACAACGAGCAATCGTGTTCGACTATGCTCCTTCTGGTGGACTCGGAAGAGAAGCCCTGAATTCCCAATGGACACACAAGACTCCCTTATGCAGTCCATCAAAAACGTGGCGGCCACGAGACAAAGCCACGCCTGGGATATGGATTAGGTAGATATTTCCCCCAAAGTCCTTGGGACTGGTTCTCAACGTGCTCGGTCATGCCAAATTTTGTCAAAAGAAAGTGTCAAATAGCAAGTTGACAGGTCAGTCCTCGCTGGTCGGGAAATGTCGTGGGCGTGTGGGGAGGGCGGGCGAGGGATCTTTGTGAGTGATCTCTTGGGGAACAGATAACATTGTGCATGTTGGCCGATGATCAAGACTCCTAAGGATATATATACTTTTGGTTCTGGAAACCACGGAGAATTAGTAAAGCAAAGAGAAGTTGATTAACTATATATTTTTACGATCAAATATCACAAATATCGTTGGAGAGGCGGTTACGCAATGTTCAGGTGAGCCCATTCCAAATCGCCATAAGAGCGGCAAATGCTTCAGATACTCTGTTCTTGCTCCTCATCAAGGTAGTACTGAAATCGATCCTTCCTTGCATCTTTGTACGACTAGATACCCAGACATACTTCGCTTGTGTACTAGCGAAGGGAGTATGTACCTTGGGGTGACTCAGTGTTTACTATTACCATGGATAGGATGAGTTAGTATCACTACTAACTAGTACGTATATACGATTATGGTGGTATAGAACTATTTGAAAGGCGATATACTATCGGAGTTCCCCCTACTTAGTAGTAAGTGCTGCATTAGTTTGTTATTTTGTCTTCCTTCTGCACCCCATCACCATCTCCACCGATACACCCATTCTACTCCTTACGCCGCCCACTTTCTCCTTCGACGGCGTGTTTCCCTCGTGGGCCCATGCGGCACTTCTCCTGGACGTCTGGCTGGCCATCACGCCGCCACTAAGCCAGTAGTTCGACACTTAGTATCGCTATTCCTTTCCTAATTCACGTTAACCGTCCTGTTTTATCATCGCTCCTACTGAGGTTCTGATAGTACTCCCCAAAAAACCCACTCTGGAGTACAAGCATTACGACTCTTTTTCTTTCAGACCGCCTTCTCCTGGGATATTTTTGCCACTATTCGATTGGACTTTTCCGAGCAGACTAAGCCATAGCTTAATCCTGGCCCTCGGCCCCATTTGATTTCGTCTCGTAGTATTCCTTTTCGTCCCCGTGAAGAACTATTAGTCTACCTGCATTGCGCTGGGTCAGAAATGAAACAGAAGAAAGAACAAAAAAAAAAGAAAACTGGAAAGAGAAAAAGAAAACTGAAGGAAGGAAAAGAAAAGAAGAGGAGAAGCCTGGTCATGTTAATTCCCCGTATCTGGTAGTTCTTTTAAGTTTATCTATTCCAGAAACATAACACAAAAAAATAGATTTAATAATATCGGATGATTTGAATCCTCATCAATCAAGGGTCAGAAGTAAACTTTAGAATTCTCAAAGGAATATTAATCACAAGAATAAGAAAAAAGCGAAAATAAATAAATAAATAATATAGGGAAAAAGAAAAAGAACACGACCTAAACATGCGGCCCGTTCGCTTTTTCTCTGACGGAAGGCTTTAAGGTTACTAACTATCAAACTACTCCGTTTTAGGGGCTGCCGCTCTCTCTCTCACGTCGTCTTGCTTCAATCCACCAAAATCGCCTCTCCTCAGTCCTCTCTCCGCCTCACGCACGTCCTGCTTCACCTCCGAGCTTTGGACGCAGTGTCTGTCTAAGGAATTTCTCTGATTTCCGAAGCCATTGCATCTTACTGAGGGTATGTTTTATCTGCAAAATATTGTTTCCGGGCAAGTCTGGAAATTGAGCCCCTCCGCCCACGTTTCCCCGTATCATTCGGGCGCAGCAGCCTCTACATAACTTGGCGATGCTTCGTTTGCGGGCTAATACTGATGTCTCGGGAACTATAGATCTGATTCAACTAGACTCCGTCTGTTTTCTACTTAATACAGCCCCTTCACCTCGCCTCGTCATTTCGGCCGGTCCGTCTTTTCATTGCCTTCCCTCAGACTCGCCTCTCTCTTGTCTTTTCATTCCGATTCCGCCGACAGTCGAATACATAAAGCCGAACTTGTGCTACGCCGACGCATACAATAAGTACTAGGCTCGTGTGGGATGTGGTCTGAAGTTACTCCGACGAACTCTTTCTAGCCTCTGTCGTCACACAACTTTCTCAATGGGGAATTCGCAGGGGAAGCCGGTGTGCTCCACCGATGAAGGTACGTTTATGTTGCCCGCTCGTCCATTGAAACCGACAACAATGGGTTTGATTTTCTGTTCGGATATCACGCTGACAGCAGGGGGGCAACAGTCAACCTGAACCAATTCCGATTACTTCGAGTGGTCGGGAAAGGTGCTTTCGGAAAGGTTCGTATCGTGGAGAAAAAGGATACCGGGTTGACATTTGCGCTCAAATACATCCGAAAAGAAGAAGGTATGCACCTAAGGTTTTTCCGATCCATCTTGCCTTGACTGATGTATTTCTTCTGCAGTGGTTCGGTCGGAAAGTGTACGGAATATTATCCGTGAACGGAGAATGCTCGAGCATTTGAACCACCCATTCCTGTGCAACTTAAGATACAGCTTCCAAGATATAGAGTATATGTGCGTCTTGCAGCAGTCCTTTCACGCAATTTTTCCCCTCCGCCCCCACCCTTGCCATGTTGCTGATACTTAAGAAGTTATATCGTGGTGGATCTAATGAATGGTGGTGATCTACGGTTCCACATCTCAAGGAAATGCTTTACAGAAGAAGCAGTGCGCTTTTGGGCGGCTGAACTCGGGTGTGCTCTGAGATATATCCACTCGCAAGGCATCATTCATCGGGACGTGAAGCCGGACAATGTGCTCCTGGACTCCGAAGGACACGTCCACTTGGCTGATTTCGTATGTTATCCTCCTGGCCGACCTGAACCCTTGCATTGCAGTACTATAGGAAACTAACATATTGTTTTCACTGCAGAATGTGGCTTCGGACTTTCGTCCCGGAAAGCCTCTCACTAGTAAATCGGGGACCCTGGCATATCTTGCGCCCGAAGTATACGAGGGCGGCGGATACTATTGCGAAGTCGACTGGTGGTCCCTGGGTGTAACGTTCTACGAATGTATCTACAACAAGGTTTGTTGAAGCGTGTTCTGTAACCTGGATCAGAGCTAACAACCCGCAAGCGACCATTTGAAGGTCGTAGCCAGGACGTATTAAGCGAAAACATAAAGAAAGCCCAGCCGAAGTACTATGTCACTAATCCGGCAGTCTCGGTTCCATGTTTGCGAGCGATGGGTGCATTCATGGAGAAGGACCGAAGCAAACGGATTGGCGCCTCCAGTTGGGAGAGTTTTATCTCTCACCCCTTCTTCGCTGAAATCGATTTTGTAGCGCTTGAGCGCAAGGAAGTCCCGCCTGTGTTCAGGCCCTCTAGCGATAAGACAAACTTTGACGCCACATATGATCTGGAGGAGTTGCTTCTTGAGGAGGCGCCACTCGAGGCCAGAGCTCGCCGACAGAAACCACGAGCAGAATTAAGAGAAGACGCTACAGCGAAGGAAATCAGAGAAGATGAGCTTCACCGTCTGATTGAAACTATGTTCGAGCCATTTGATTACACGACCGTGACTTTCCAAGGGTACGTTATCTAGCGCAAAGTGTATATGAAATGTGAATCCCGCTAACCGGTCACAGAAATGCCGCGGAAGCTATTGCAGCGTCGAAGTGAGTGAAGGGAGAAGTATGCGCGAGAACGAACCATCCTAATTACTGACAATTACCTAGGAACCCCGAAGACTGCCTTCCCCCAACTGGCTCGACGCACTCCCGACAGTATTCGCAGACCGATTCTTCGAGAAACTCGCCTCCCTTGCGCAACAATGATGGGTCAGTGAGCCGACTGACTCAGCCTGAAACACCGTCACCCCACGGTGAGACCGTGGATCATCAGGATTCTATCCCGAACAATGCTCCTACCTCTCCCACCTCCCACCCACAGCCGCCACCCTCACCAGCCCCACAGTTCCATCGTCCATTCCATCCCCAGCCTCACCCTGCGGCCAACAATCTCCCCCCAACCAACCCCAACCCTGTGCCTGGTCGTCCGAGGGGAGCAACACGGAAAACAAGCAAAGGTGGTGGTGTGCAGATGGTGCTCGAGGAAGCAGGCAGTTGGAGTGAATTGGCTGATCAAAGCTCGACCCTCCCAGCCGAAGGTTATGATGCCGGTTCTATCAAAGGAAAATCCTCGAACAGCGGAATGCTGTCCTTCCTGAGCCGGAAGAAGGGCCGTGACAGGAGTCCAAAGCCACAGGAGCCAGGTGTTCTGGGCAAAGAAGGAGCTAGACAGATCATTAGCTGAGGAGGACATGGATCAATTTAAGTTGCAGGGGCGACATGACGCGCCTTGCCTTCCGTCGGCCTCGACTCTTGAGCCAGCCGGGCAAGCATCGGCCTGTCGAAATGGAATCCCCCTCCTCTTACAGCATTGAACAGATCGCTGACATGTTGCACCACTGGCTGGCCCAACTAAGATTGGTCGCATCATGGCGTCTAATGCAATATATCTTGCGATGTCTCGCCTGGCAATTCCGGCCGTCGCGTTTGAGATTCCGAGGTCAGGTGAACAAAATTAACAATATTGAAAATTTGGCGATACACAAAAACAAAAAACCTCTCAGCGGCAAGACTCATGAACCACTGTTCTGCTGGTTCTCTCTTCTAATCCCTCGCATTTAACATCGCCTGGCAATGCATCAACATGCCACGAAAGGGTGACTGAATTGATGACCGTGCAGTTGGCGTCTTCATGTTTTCACATTTTTGGACCCCAAGACGGTATGAGCCCTGGGCCGCGAGAGAAATATAACTTCTTTAATTTCCCTCAATTCCTTTATTCTCGTGGGTTTGGCAAAGAGCAGACCTATTCTCGATCTTCGTTCTCCCCTGTTTGTGTTGGTCTGGGTGCGGAGTTGTACAGATGGAAGTGCATATATGACCAGTTTATTATCATAATCATTACTAAGTTGACCAGCGAGACTTTACTTCTATTCTGCATGTCGACTATTGTGGATGTGCATTTTGTTTCCTGTCTTGTGTGCTTTTGATTGCTTAGATGGCGTTTACATACCCCTCCTGATGGTCATGGATTGGCAGTGGTTATGCTGTGCATAGTGGTTGAAAGATTGGAAGGGGGTTTGCATAGATATTTTTCTTCTCTTTTTTTCTTATAACTTTCTCCTGTTTCCGCCAGGATCTCAATTGGATTGGATGATTACAGTTCATTTGTAATTAATGATTTGTTTATATGTTACTATTATATTTCTGTTTGAATGTGAATAAACATTGATATACATATAGGGAACAGGGTCCATGTATGAGAGCTCGTGATCAACTGCCTTTCCTTGGTAACTGGTTCAACCTTCAATGTCACTCTTCTCCACTAATCAAATGGAACCCAAGAAACCAGGCAACCACAATCCTCTGCTCCTTACTACGGAGTACAGGTTGATCTCGCAGTTATTAATCTGAAATTCACCGCTTTGTTGCTCCGCAACTTTTCTTCTCCACCAGCGCCAAGGGGTTGGTTTCTCAGGCCGTCGGATCCATAAATAAACCATCCCTCGCGATCGGAAAATCTTCCGAACAATAACATACTACATGGTAATATGCAGCTTCCAGACTGAAACAACCATGCTGAAATGAACCAAGCATTACTTACCTGGCTCTACATATTATAATAAGCGGGCCAAGGGCCCACGTTTTTCGCTTCGATAGTAGGTAGCGACGCGCTCCCGAGTCGCCAAGTTTTGTTTACTGCGATAAGAGAGGCACATTAGAAACTTGGACCTAGCGCGGGCAACTAACTAAAGTCTGGGCTATAGAGTCGCGCTTCCCTAGTCGCATATGTATAATTGGCAATTCTTGCCCCGAGTCCACCTCTTCTGTGCGATTTCTTAACGATGATTTTAATTCCTCTCATTCCTTGATTTAACTATTCCACACACCCCTATCTTCCCATTCCTTTTGCGGCACGAATTTTCATGACGCTCTCGGGTTTGTTTGACGGTAAACGAGTGGGGCGTCCGGCATTCGCATTGTCGAATTTGCTGATCGCGCGATTGACGCATTCCGGGTAAAGTTAGAATTGCATGCCGAGTCACTCGCGCAGTCGGGACCGCTATCGCGGCGAGCGGGATCCGAGCAGACGACGTTATCGCGAGGTTTATGATGATGATGATGATGACGATGACGATTTCGATTACCATCCCCGTGAACGAAGACGATATAGGCGTGACGACTACAAGCATGATATACGAAGCCATGAATCTCCAGACTATGATGACGATTTGAATGAATATGATGTTGCTACGGAGGATCCTGCGGTGCCTCTAAGATCGCATGATGTGGAGGGAAGACGGAGAGAGAGGTCTAGGGCACGAGGTTCGCCAATTGCGTCGCCGAGCAAGAGAGACAGGAATCGCGATAGGGAGGAATACAGAAGACACAGAATCTATGGTGACGGTGGTAGTCCTACACGGGGTGCAAAGGACCGGAGGCACCGCAGTCGGGACGGCCAAGGGGAACGACCTCGCGATTTGGATAGAGAGGCGCGAAGGCAGAGGCGAAGGGAAAGGACACGCGGCGCAGCAGCAATGAAGCATAAGAGCAGTGACTCTACGAATAGTGGATCTCATCTGTTGAGTGCTGATGCGTTGGCCAAACTCCGCTCCCATTATGATGAGGAAGACCAACGGGAAAGATCTCAGGCAGAAGAACAGCATCGGACGAAGAGCAGACGCCAGCGCAAGCGTCCTGTTGTTGGCGATGAACCGCAGACTCTTGCCCCATTCCCGGAGGAGACGCCTCGCGGGCAGTCGAAAGGCAGAATCGTGTCCGGTGCTTATCTGGAAGAGGGTAGACATCCAAAAATGGAGGTTCGGCATCGCGGAGGTGGTGGTCCAGCAATGGAGGCTAGATGGGGGAAGGAGGGTAATTGGGATGGAAGTATGGAGGGTTCCGATGCACATCCACCATTCTGGAAACGGAAGAAATGGTGGATTGTCATAGGTGTTTTGATTCTCATGCTTGCTATTGTTATCCCAGTTGCTGTCGTCGTGTCTAAGAAACATGGCCACGATGATAATGACTCAGGCTCAAGCTCCTCCGTCGATAACAGCGACTCGCCATACACCTCAAGCTTGGATGGCCTAAGTCACGACAGCATTCCGGTATGTCTATTTCCATGCCAATCTATGGCTCTTTGCTAACTAGTATGCCTAGGAATATGCTCGAGGATCAATGCTGGACCCTTGGACATGGTACGACACTAGAGACTTTAACTTGACCTTTACCAACGAGACGGTCGGTGGCCTTCCTATCATGGGGCTAAACTCCACGTGGGACGACTCAACAAGTCCCAACGACAACGTGCCCCCTTTGAACGAATCCTTCCCGTATGGATCGCAACCAATTCGCGGTGTGAATCTTGGGGGATGGCTGTCAATTGAGCCCTTTATTGTCCCTTCACTCTTTGAAAGCTACTCCAGCAAGGACGGTATTATCGACGAGTATACATTGTGCAAAAAGCTCGGATCGTCCGCTGCCTCGAAGATCGAAAAGCATTACGCCGACTTCATTTCAGAACAGGATTTCGCAGACATGAGGGATGCAGGACTGGATCATGTTCGCATCCAGTTCTCTTACTGGGCGGTGACGACGTATGACGATGATCCCTATGTCGCAAAAATCTCATGGAGGTATCTCTTGCGAGCCATTGAATACTGCCGAAAGTACGGACTCCGCGTTAACCTGGACCCGCATGGCATCCCGGGTAGCCAAAATGGCTGGAACCATAGCGGCCGCGAGGGAATCATCGGCTGGTTGAATGGCACAAACGGCCAACTGAACAGACAGCGCTCTCTGGATTTCCACAACCAAATCTCGCAGTTCTTCGCGCAACCCCGCTACAAGAATGTTGTCACAATTTACGGCCTCGTCAATGAACCACTCATGCTTTCGTTACCGATTGAGGACGTATTAAATTGGACGACCGATGCCACCAAGCTGGTGCAGAAGAACGGTATTTCAGCCTATGTCACCGTCCACGATGGCTTCTTGAACTTGAGCAAATGGAAGAAAATGCTGAAGGACCGCCCGGACCGGATGTTCTTGGACACTCACCAGTACACCATCTTCAACACGGGACAACTTGTCCTCAATCACACAGACCGGGTCAAGCTCGTCTGTAATGACTGGTATAACATGATCAAAGAGATCAACACCACAGATGCAGGGTACGTTCAACTTTAAACCCCCATAACTCCCAATTCACGACCATGTCCAGTCAGCTACTAATTACGATATAAATAGCTGGGGTCCAACCATCTGTGGTGAATGGTCCCAAGCTGACACCGACTGTGCCGAATACCTCAACAACGTCGGCCGCGGTACCCGCTGGGAAGGCACTTTTGCTAGAGACGACTCAACTGTCTATTGTCCCACCGCTGACACAGGCCCAACCTGCAGCTGTGCCTCGGCCAATGCCCCTCCCGCCGATTACTCAGACGGCTATAAGAAGTTCCTTCAAACATATGCCGAAGCGCAAATGTCTGCTTTTGGAACAGCCCAGGGCTGGTTTTATTGGACCTGGCACACCGAGTCCGCTGCCCAGTGGAGTTATAAAACGGCTTGGAAGAATGGTTATATGCCGAAGAAGGCTTACGCTCCAGATTTCAAGTGTGGTGATGACATTCCGAGTTTCGGAGACTTACCGGAATTCTATTAGTCGAGTTTTTTTTGTTTCATTGTATGTTTCTAGATTTCCCCTTTTTTCTATTTTTGACCTCGGTTCGCGTTGCATACTTCTGCGTGGTGGGCTACGGTTGTATTTCATTTTGCCCATGGGACACCCACATGATTTTCTCGGTCTTCCTGTTGTATATACATGTTGATATTCTATTCTTACTGTAACAAAGGATTAGGAGGTTGTTTATAGGGTCTTTGAGTTATATAAATAGTTATTGTGCTCATGAACAGGATATAATGTGTTCAGACGGTGTATATTATACAGTAGCATTCATCGTAACGGCATGACAATAATCCCAGGAGTCAATCAATGCCCCCGGGATAACCAAACAGTAGCATCAAGCTCCCCGTTCGGTCAATCATCCTTCAAACCAGCCACCTTCATCCCACATCCCGGGCCTGTAGATATAATTGCTGCGACGTTCGTTTTCGTAGACCCCATCCAACAGATCGCCAATCCGATGCAAACCAACCGGCTTCATAATCCACCCATCGAATCCAGTGTCGATGTATATTTGTCGATCTTTCTCCTTTGAGGACGAAGAAACAACTAATATCGGTACACGCTTTTGAAGTGCCTCGCCCCTGGCAGAGGATTGTTCACTTTCCCGAATCATCTTCGTTGCGGTCAAGCCGTCAACTACTGGCATCTGTTTACTCACGCATTAGCCCGGTTGAACCTCTCGTCTATGGGAGGGAAGAAGTTACTCACTTGTAAGTCCATCAACACCGCATCGAAACAATTTGCCTTTTCTCGAAACACGGATGCACACTCTTTCCCATCCCTCGTTAGATAGACCGTATGTCCAGACATTTCTAGTCTCTTGCGCAGGATGGTGCTATTTGTGGGATCGTCTTCGGCCACTAGGATGTGCAGATTGGTTTTTGTTCGCTTGTCGGTTGGATAGCTCATGGAGCGGGAAGCTCGGAATGAATCCGGTCTGCTGGACATCTTGTGTTGTTGGTCTTTGTATGTACTTTTGCTGGATGATGATGATGATGATGATGATGATGATGATGATGATGTTATGGTGGATGGTGTCTGCTGGACCATTGCTGGGTTGAGATGGAAGTTGTTGAGAGGCCAGCTCTTCATGCAAATCCCGGATAGTCGCTAAAACGTGAAGTTATTCGAACAGCACGGGTAGAATCTGGCGTGGTCATGTATATACCCTTTATACTGAAATTGAGTTTCTAACGGAGATTGCAGGAGGTTCCGATATCCGTTGAATCTGAGGCGAGAGCCGTAGCAGCGCTGAATGGTATGCCGCGTTTCGACGGGATATATCTGAAACGAGGGTTCCATGGAACCGGATCGCCTGGTCTAGAATTCCGCTATTATTCTTTTGGTTCCTTTATTAGCTTACTTGGGTCCGTGTCAGCCTCTATCTTGGTTCCCGAAATTTAGGCTCAACAGTAAGTGGCTTTTCGAGAAGGATTTGTTGGGTCCATCCGAGTTTTGGGATATCCTGGGTTGGTAAGGTGGGTATGGAACTGGGGACACGAGTTGTTTTTTTAGGGTTGACCCTTGTTTTGAAGGGTTTATTTTCTTTTGTTTCTTTCTGCTGGGCCTAGCTCGTACAGAAGAAATGCGAGTCATACACACGAAACACCAATCTAGATAGATCTCTGCGCAAATTCGATCCGTGAAGGTTCGGGTATGCGTTCCGCTCGATCCCTGCTTCCACGATTCAAAGCCGGCTCTGACTCGGGGATATGCACGAGCAACGCTTCATGGACACCTGGAAATATGCCCGTATCGGCTTCTCTGACTCAGGGTAACCTATCGAAGTTGCATGATTTGGTCGTGACAGCGGCAGGGCATATTAACGACCCAAAGACTTAAATTTGCGGCCACTTGACACAATCAGCGTTCATATCCAGACGGGAAAACTCCACATTATATGGATCTCGAACAGATTACACTTTTTCTCTTTTTCCATTTTTGGCTCACTTTTTTTTTTTTTTTCTTATTAATTTTATTCTGCCCACTTGGACCAGCCGCTTCTTAGGCTTGTCTCAGGTACCTGGATTGCTGATTCTACGTCGGGAGCTGACCGTGCTTAAGTGAGATCTTGTTCTATATTCGATTTTGAAGGATCTCTGGCCCTGTACTACAGTTCCTTGGTCAATGGCATGTTGCTTTGCTATGCTTGACACAGCACGTCTAGTCTTCAATTGGACTGTTGTTGGGGACAAAGATTGGTACGCCGTTGTCGATGTTGATCACCATTTCACTGAATAATCTATAAACGAGATGAAGTGGCGATTAAGCGAGTACCAGAACGCATAATCGTGTGCTGTGCATTGCGCCAGCTGGGAGAGGTTGCATTGAAGTGGATTGTTGTGGGTACGAGAAAATAATCTCCTCGTGCGGAAAAACCCTTCGCGAGAGTACGTAGTAGATTGAGGTGGCGACTTGTGGAAATTGAAAAAAAAAAAGGCGACGCGGAAGGGGCGGTTGTAAATGTAGAGTAAGCTATGCGACGTGAGCAAGTGCCTCGGGCTAATGCATGTCACTCCTTTCGGGAAATCACCTTCGATCTGCGGGTTTCTTAGATCTGTGCCTAGGTGTCAGGGGTAGAGCGGATCTAGTGCGGCCTTCTTTTCTCGTGGCGAAGGATCGCGTGGTGCGGGCTTTGCTGGTCGTATTTTCATTTATGGGGGTGTTAGGGTTGAGCTCGATGTCTTGGCTCGTCAGTTCGTATTGGGACTCGGCGTTGAAGATCGTTTTTGTCAAGCGAGGTTCATATGGGGAGGTTTCTTGAATTTATGACTAAACTTGTTCAGTTCACTATCGGACCGTCGCTTTTTCAGGGTCTTTTTCAATTCGACTGGAGGTATCGATGATTGCATCTCGAAATCTAAGAATAGTAAAGGAGCTCGAAACATTCAGCGCAAGAGAAGTCCACGATACTATGCATCAAGCACGCCCAAAGCCAGACAAATACATAAGTCATGATTCGCTATAAACCAACAAGCATACTCCAAGCCAGTCCAGACATGTAAACGAGAGAGTGAACCGACATCATTCATGGATGACGAAAGGAGAACAATGACCCCCACGTCCGACCGTTTCCCCCTTTTCTAGCTCTTTCCGTTTCTGTAATCAGAGAGTTCTTCTCTATATCGTTGTGTCTTGGGTTGACCTTCAGCTTTTGGCTTCTTTCCTCAACACGACTGGTAGAGTTTTCCGAGCCCATGCCTCGTGGGACCTGAGATCTCGGGAACCTGGCTGACAAGGGGGTCTTGATGGCCTGGGTGGCTCGTCGAGCGGACCGTGTAATGACCTCGCGCATGGCCCATTGGCGTCGTTTGGCGATGATGAACAAAGTTGTCGTGCAGACTGTAGAGTGACTGGGGTCAGTAAACCGCCCTAAGTAGCATAGAGCTCGGGTTGGAGCGATGGGAGACTTGGGCAAACGGACTTCCGATGAGAACCACTAATCCTGCGATGACGCATAGCACGATCATCCCTGCTGACATTGACTTGGGGGTTGACTTGGTGCCATATTCATATCCATATCCGTCTCCTTCGACGTCGGTTATTAGTCCCTGTGCTCTTGACTGCGCCGTAAGAGTAGCGATGATAATGCAGGCGTAGGCAGTTTCCCAGGACATGTCGATGATGCCCAGTGAAATGGGAAGACAATTGGTTAAGATCTTCAAGTTCTGGTAGTGTATCTATGAACGTGAAAGTGGCTTTTCCTGTTCTGAAAGTATATATACGAGATGTATAAAGACAGTTCGGTGGAAGACACAACGGTTAAAGTCAATAGTAGTCTATATAGCAGAGCTCAAGCACAACATCGTGGGCGCTACATGAATACGAAGTAAAAGGCTGTATGACAGGTACAACCTTGTGATAGGATACCAGCAACAGTCCCAAGTCCTTGAAGGATGAGGAGGCAGATTCTACCTCACTAAGTGGTCTATACAGCTGTGCTGAAGAACCTAAATTTGGATTCACGGAGCGAATCATGTTCGCAAGAGACGACTGGGGGTGTGATGCTAATGTTGATCCTGGTGATAACCGCCCTTAGCATCGAGGCCGCAACCAATAAGAGAGACGCCCGAGGCGCCAGGAGGAGGAAACTGCAGAAGTGCCGGAGTTTCACTTTTAGCGAGATGTGATTTCAAACTCTCTTCTAGGCTGACTTCAATTGCTCCCATCAAATCAGTTTTGAGTGGCAGTCGAACGCTTTGTTGCTTGGGTTTTGCCATAGAAACCGTTTCGGCATTTGGATAGCGGATGATCGCTATAGTCAAATTGGAGGGGTATAGCCACACACGTCTGTGCGTAAATCAAGGTGAACAACATGTCTCCTCTTTTAGATCGATTCTATATGTGGTAAGCCTATGTACTGAACTTAGATTCTTTGAATCGTAGCAGTTCTAAATTTAGAGGGTGTATCTGAGCCCAAACATCGATAGAGAGTCCAATCTCAAGAGCAAGTGAATCAATACTGAGGATATGGAGTAGATCTTATTATACTGTTGGTGTAGCAAGCAAGCTCCCAGTGATTATAGATAAATGTCCTCGAACGTATACTCGACGATAGTAAAGATATGACAGGAATTGTTAGTATTAGTAGGAGATGCGCTGATGAAGCTGCCGTATCCAAGATAGGATTTCTATCACGCGTGAGAGCCATGATTCTCAGGCTGCTTGTCCTCCTTCCTAATATGACATTCCTACCCATCCAAGTACTCCTTCATCACGGGAACTGTCTTCTGGGATGCTCATGGCGAAATCACTTCCATCCACTCCCTATCTTTTCCACTCCCAAAAGGTGTCTCACCAGTCCGTTCGATCCATACTACCAGCAATTGTACTCTAGGGAAGCGGTTCATCTTTAACAAACTACCACGTTTTTGTCAATCAATTTTATTTCCTGGACATACCATTGTCTCTGATGAGTGTAGGACATGTTGTACCGTCTAACTCAACATGGGAAACGAAAGCCCTGACCCGTTAGTGGGTGACCCTTTGACTATTTCCGAGAGAGAAAGAGACAGTGAACCCAATGATATTGGAGATGATGAAGAGATGCTTCTGTTACAAATGGCTGGATCTAACACCGAACCTGTCTCGCCTAATCTTAAAGCAGTCCTAGAGCAGGGTTCAGATATAAATCGAACAGCTATCCAGAACCAACCTGCGGCATCACTTGTACAACGCCCACAGAGCTCTAGCATCGACCTGACGGCCTTCTCTTTTACCAGACCTACACAGCATGGAAAGACATTCACATTTCATCCACCAGTTAAGCAAGCTTCAGCCATTCCCCCACCTCGCAATAATAACATCATGCAAACGGAGCAAAATAGAACCAGGAAGCCCGATCGTACCATTCAAAACCACCAGTCAAAGTAAGGCAACTTTTCATTGGCTTGCATTCATTTTGCTAAAGGGAATATTCAGACACGTTGCTTCTCGGTCGAATACTATGGAAAGCAACTCGAATCGCCAAACCACAACAGCCTCTTCTTCATCTCCGGGAGCTCCTGCACAAGAGTTAGAGGCTGTGGATAGTAAAATAGAACCTGCCGCTAGAATAGACAATGTCCTTACCTCCAATGTTCATCCGTCGGAACACAGTCAAGCACAATGTGAAGGAACCGCCCTTTTTCCGTCCGTTACAAATGGTCAACTTCTATCACCGGAAAATGAGCCACAAGGTACGTGGGCCAGTTAGACTTGCCTGGTTATGCTGATATGATTCCAGCAATAAGATCAATTGCCCTCTTTAAGAGCAAGGCAGGAGGATACCTACACACTACGAATATATGTGGCACTGATCAAATCAAGATCAACGACAGATTTCCACAGTCACCCAAACAGCGCGGGGCAAAGTTGACGAAGTCATGTATTGCTGAGCGCCTAGCACACGAGGACGAGAGAAGTGTTTTACTGTCTCCTACGAATAACAAGTCAAGAGTTTCGAAGCATCGTCGAACGAGTGGAAAAAAGATCACCTCAAAACAGCCCGCCTTTGTGCTTGGTAACAGCAATGCAGCAGACCTGTCTGAGGAGGACCTAGTTCAACTCCTTTTTGCCAAGATGAAAGCCCGAGAAGACAATGACGCTGTGGCTTCCAGTGAGAAAGAACAAATGGAGGTCCATGTTTCACAGCTTATGCAAGACAATCTCGCCTTGAGAAGCCAACTCGACATCCTCAGTAATGAGATACAGCAGAAGGCTTCGGAGTCCAGAGCGTACAAAACTCAAATAGAGGCTTGGAAGGTGAAAATAGCAAAGTTCAAATACATCCTTAACGAGCTGGGTTCTGGTTACAAAGCACTTCGCGTGGAAACAATTCAGCTTAAACTGACAAGAGCATCACTAGATAAGGACAAAACGGAAATAAAAGGCACAATTGCTGATACAAGGGAGCAGCTGTTTCAAGCTTCTAGTAGTGTTGAGAAGAGTCAAAGTTATCTTGTCGAATCACAAACTTTTATCAATTCCATGAAGCAAGCTTTGAAGAACGCAGAGGAAAAGACAAGCTCTGTTCAGGAGCGTTTATCCGATGAAAAGAAAAGATCGGCCTTGTTAGAGACGTATATACAAGACAACTCACGTCTTCAGGCGAAAAGGATAGGCCTGATCAGGGCTGACCAGCTCGAAATGCTTAAAAAGCTTGATTCTGGATTTGGAACCGTGACAAAGCAAGTTGATATATCTCAAGCATCTGTACAATCAATCATGAAACAAATACGAGAAGAGTTTCAGAAATCATTTATGTGCTTGGGCGAGAACCGTTCCCAAGAAAGGTTGGACATTGAGCAGTGTAACGCGACTGTTCAAGAGTGTTCATCTCAGTAAGTTACTTATGGCTTGACATATCTGAGGAAAAGTATGGTTAATCATCTTCAGAATTAAGTCCCTCACGGAAGAGTTGACAGCGGTCATCGACAAAAACTCTAAGATGAATGGAGATAGGACACAGCTTCTAACAGAGCAGCTCGAGTCTGTTCGGGAAAATGTGGGAACTGAATCTGCCTTACTCAAACGGCTCGCTGCAAATGAAGTTACATGCATCAGCCTATATGAGAGGCTCGAAGCTTGTGCACCAAGCATCGATAAACTCCGTACTTTCTTGGAAAGTGCTCAGAAGAAAGAGAATAGCCTCGCTCAGCAACTGGAACATCTTGAAACCCGACTCTCTGAGTTGCAAACCACAGAAACAACCGAGCCTACAGCCGCAGAAATTAAAGAAAGAGCTGAACTTGAACTTAGGTTACAACAATTGTCAGATGAGCTGAGAACTACCGACGAAAGTCTCAGGAGCAGAGCGACTGAAAATGAAGAGATGAGGCTGTCATTGCTCGAAGCCGTTACGAAGGGCCAGGAAGCAGAAGCCCGCGCAAACAGGTTCGAATCAGAGACAATCGTACTACGAGACGAAGTGAAGGCCATAGAGTCCAAAATCCGCGAGGAGCTCAATAGAGCCAGCGTCATTTCTCGAGATCAACATAGAGTCAAGTATGAACAACAAATTCATGAATTGTTAAGAGAGAAGGGCGAAATGCGTAAGAGTGTTGAAAAAGTCCAGAATGAATTAATGGAGGCGCAAAAAGCACTAGTACGTGACGATGTTCGCCATTACCTGGATACTCGCTGACAATACAAAGGTTGAGAGTGAAAGAGCACATATGAAGAAGCAGAATGAAACAGAATGTTTGGTGGGCGCATGGTTGCTCCCAACACAAAGCTTTTACTGATTCCCGAAGGTATTAGCAAAAGATGAACAGATAAAGGCCCTCGAAAGCAACTGTATGGAGAAAGAAATCTCACTTGCGGAGCAAACTGCGGAGGTCGACCGACTTCGGGAGAAGGAAGCATCGATCGCAACGCAGATGTCATGCATGCAAAGACAGCTCCATGAAGCTAACGAAAAATCTGTCGGCCTTGAAAGGGAGATCATTGTGGCCAAGGAAGAGGGCAGTGTATCCTCTAAGCTGTTACAAGACAAACTTGACATACTTCAGAAAAGCCTCCTATCGAAAGAAGAAGAGTGCACAAGAATCCAGAAGGAGCTCTCAGTGGAAACATCAGCCAGGTTAAGCCTCGAGGCTGGTAAGTCGAAGGCGAAATCCGAGATACACACTTTGCTTCGGCGAGTGCAAGATTCGGAACACTGGGTGAAAAAAATTAAAGAATCACTTGATCAGGTGGATACTATATCACCAAAGGAACCCTTCTCTGAAACTTGGAACAGGCTGGTAGCGCTCCTACAGCCAGTGGGAGGGAAGAACAGCTCAGATGCTACTATATGGACTGAACCTACGGATGGGGGTACCTTTACTTGCCGCGATGCTAACGATGCCAAAAGTACATCCATAACGCCCCAGGGAAGTTGCGGGCCCTCAGAAAACGACGTTGTCCAAACTACAGAGTTTATCTATCGTACACAGAGTTTCCAGAGAAGCGTACATTCCTCTCCGGTGAATGAGGGTCTAAAAGCTAGGAGCGTCGGAGTGGCTGATGTGAAATTACCATGCATCCCGGACTCACAACAGTCGAACAGCATTGTACCATTCTCAAGCGTTCGACAACTATCCCCGGTATGCTCAATATCCGACCAAATTCCGATTGACTTTGCAGCCATGCTAGTTTCGACAACGGACGAAAATATTGTTAACGAAAAGCCTGATGACCGAGTGTATCCAAATGGGGGCTGTCCAGTGGCAGCCAGCCCTGCTGAGAAACAGGATGTCACAAGAACGGAGGACACAAAAGTACAGTCGAGAGAAAGCACTCCATTGGAAAGCAAGGACCAACATCCTGGTGCTAGCCAGCCAGTTAGCCAGCTTCCTCACATCCCGGAAGAGGTGAAAAACTCCACGGTAACACCAAAAACAGTCTCATTTGAAGCGCACAGTCCATCGAGAAGCAGAGAAAAGCGTAAGGCTCCGGACTCTGAAAACTGCCATGAGCAGAAGGATACATCGCAAATGCCGCTACCTGGCCGAACGCACCGAAGAACCTATAGTAGGAACCGGCAGACGCCTGAAGTGCGCAGCCAAGAGCAGTTCGCGCATCAGAATTACTTGTCTCCTTCAAGTAGTAAAACCTTGGACCACGAGAGCGCTGAAAGACCAGACTCCGCCATCAAAAGAGCTAGGGTCCCAACCTCACCTCAACCAAGACGCCTGACAAGAGCTGATTCTAGGTGCTTTGAGCGCAAGACAAGTCCTACAAGTCTCGCGTCTGGTAGCAGTCGGCACTCTTCTATGAATGGCAACCGCCCCAATAATCAAAGGTGGCCAACACGTGGAGGAAGAAGAACAAGAGGTAAATATGTGTTCGAGTTATCAAGGTTAGTAAGATGCGCTAAGCTCAGTAGGTGATCGCTACAGCGCTCGGTTCAACAGACAAATGTGAAGTTTGTTTTGAAACCAGACATCTTTCTTCATTATCTATATAGGTTGTACGTGGTGTCGTTACTGAGTTTCTTGAGATAATGTGCGAGGGGTGAAAGATCTCGGTAGACAGGTGGTTGCAAAGATGGTCGGATCCTAGGAATGGTATATTGAACACATTGATTGACCCAGACTGTACTGCTTTAAACGCCAGAATGCAAACCCAAAGTGATATACAGCGCAACAATATCCCGGAGTATAACAAAGTTCCAAGTATTATCCGCACTGATGTTGTCTAATGTACATGATGTATCGTTCGAATAACGGACCGAGCGACAACCGCACAACTTGGTGGACGGTACCGAGTGAAGGTTGTCTCGTAACTATGCCGGCCGACACTGCCTCGAGACCAAAGCAGACATCGCTTGTACCTCAGCTGCGTATGTGCGGTTGATCGTTTGAAGGAATCGAGAGAACATGATTTATCTCGCTCTTCCGCCCTTTGTCGCTTCCAGGAACAGCACCTTCTTCTTCACGACGGGGTCATATTTGAGCATGCTCAGGGGACGATGGGTACGAGGTCTGATCATCGTCCGGTAAAAGCCAGTCATGGCCATGGAGATGAGACGAACGGCGACGGTACGAGACTTGGCTGTTTGTATCCATTGTCAGCTCCGCACAAAATTAGGAACTTCTATCGGCGTGCGCTGGTAGCGCATCAATTCCGTGACGTGATGACAATGATATATATGTGCTTACCTTTCTTGGCCATTTTGGCGGCTCGAGTGGAAAGGAACTGGAACGTTGGGGTGTTTGGCACCTGATTTCAACAATTCGAGACCATCGGAGATGCGGCGGAGAACTTTGGATTCGCGATAGTTGCACGTGACCTCTGAAAGTGGTATAGTCGGGTATGTGGGTCTTGTTTGGCTTTCATTGTTCTGGAGCATTGCCATTGCGACCTCTCCAGACTACAAAACGTCTTGGAGGTGGATTCCTTGATTTATTATTTGTTACTACTCTCAATAATCTGTTTCTTCTCGCTAAGTGACGATGGAGCTTAATCAAGGACCTTTCAGTTCAGGTCCATCTCGGGATTTCCACAGAGCCTGTGTACTCACTGTGTGTTTGCTCGAAGTTATTGGACCATTGCTACGCCTTCGCGACATTAAATAATCTTTTTTGTTTATTTCATCGTTTGATTTTTTCGGGGTCTGGATAGGGTTAATTATTTACAGCAAATCATAATCACGCGGAAAATTCGTTACCCTGCAAGACTGCGATTACGGGTGACTAGTACATACATACAGTCCTCTTGCTATATCACCATATCCAAGAATAACCTGCTTAGACTAACTCTATCTCAAACAGAATTTGGCTCTATGAAAAATTCTCCAGCCGCCTGACCTGCAGATCACTAGTGGCTCCGCTGGGATGCTAGATATGTATAACCTACTGGGTCGATCGTCGATACAGGGCTACCCTACCAAGGACCATAGTACATCTATATATCTTATGAAAGCTTCATCTCCTCAATATGACCCATAATTCTCCTATAATTTCGTCTATTACTTCCTTCGCTCTTTCGTCGCAACTAACTTCTCACTCTTAGCACGTGTACTCCGCCCGCGTGTTCATGCCTTCAAATATCATACCCATGAGTCAGTGTTCCATACTGGCGGGTCCTGTGTGGATACATACAACCTATACCTGGTGACCCCAGCATGGTGTATACTCAAAACGGCATGGAAAACCGTCCCATGATCAGTTGCGATCATCGAAAAGCGTTGTGGGCCGTGCTAGCGGATATACATACTTCGAGCTGCTTTAGTGCCGGCTTAATCCGCGGCGGGAACTACTCTCATGCATGTTAAGTGTCCGTGTGCTTCCCTAGAGGGGGTTATTTATGCACCTTTTCTATCCTATCCGAGGGGGTTATGGGTTTTGGTAGCCCGTGTCATGTGGTCACATCTGAACGGGAGGGTTGAACCGAGACGATCTACGGGTTAGGAACTAATTGGTGTTCTTGTTTTTGGGGAAACCTTGTCGAGCGCCGATCTGGTCGGGGATATTTTGTAGATTATCTGATTTTGTTGGAGGGGGGTTTGTTGTAGTCGTCGTTGTTCTTGTTGTGGATGGATATCATGATGGTCGCTTTTGTGGGCGGTTAGGTTTGCGGGATTGTCAGGCGACTTTTGTTTATTGTTGTTCAAGGTCTGGGGATGCACCGCCACAGCTTTGAAATACAGAGGTTTTGTGTTTGATTTATTTTCACTGATATATGAATAAATCGGTGTTAGGATGTTGATTTGGACAATGCATGTCATTTTAGTGCTGATCATTCAACATCCGTCGTTTAATATAGTTCTGTGGATGGACGTTGAAGAAAAAGACAGCTTCTGACACTATCGTGGAAGTCATAGTGGCCTAACTACTGCTGTTCATCATTGTGCTAGCCTAGCGATGGCCCAATTAGATTCTTGTTATTCATGGGCCGATCCAGCCCAGAGCCATGATAGAAGGAATATGATCATCGACACTAGAAGAATCCCGCCAACAGTACCACTGGTCAATGTCAATACATATCAGCCATTATGCCCTGCATTGTTCCCTCCGTCAAGAGAGTCTGCAATACAAATTAACGTCCATCACCCAATGCCCGGTATTAGAGATTAGTCGAGATGCATCGTGTATCTTCAAAAGCAAGAAAGTAGAAAGGTCATCAGGTGTCCAACACCCTCCAACACACACACTAATGTACAACTACCGACCTAGAGAACTTATCTTAGCACCATAGTTATTCCAGGGAAGCAACCCACACGTACCACCAGATCAACGAGGAGAGTTGTTACTCCGGCTTGGTGAGCAAAGCAGCAATGCGAGCGCTACGACGTCGCTTGAAGATGAACCCGTCAGGAGACTCTGGCGAGGTCTTCCGCTCACGTTTAAACAAAACAGGCTTCTCACCATCTGCCGTCTCGTCTGTCGCGTTGTTGGACCACGCTTCATGTTCCTCTGTAGCAGGATCGTTGGTCATCTCAATCTCTCCCGTCGGTTGGATACTGTTTGCTGCTCGTTAGAAAAAAAACAGGCCCCCGAGAACTCAATGCAGGAACTAACCACTCCCCATCGTCAGACCCACTGTACGCAGTCGCCTTCTCGGTCGCTATCTCGGACTCCCCCAGACGTTCTCGATCATGGACCATCCCCGTCATCATCGACACAGGGCGATCCATGCCGACGCTTCCTTGCCATCTGGACACCTGCTCCTTCTTTTCAATAATCCCAATCTCCTGGAGCATGGACGCTTTGAGTGACGGTTCCTCTTCACTGCTGTACTGTGCGTTTTCGCCGTGGGCACGGTTCTCTTCCTCGGGTGCCGCAGTGGGGAGATGAGCCTTGAGTAAGTAAGAAGTTGTGGACATAGGAGAGGACTGGTCGACTGCCTCTGAGCCGATTGGTCGGTGGATGGTGGGGGTGAAGGGTGAGTAGGATGTTCGGAAGCGTGTTTCGAGATCTCTTTCGATGTCGGTGTAGTTCACCAGGACGTCTAGCTCGTTGTGTAGCTCGTCGGGCTCAAATCTGCCTGCCATCTTCTCTGATGATACAGGATATTTAGGGAGTGAGATGGGGTGTTCTTTGTATGCTTGGGGGTGATGTTGAGAGACGGGGTCAACGGGGAGTTGGGGCTTTCTTCTGGAGAAGACTGCTTTCAACGCATCACTGTAGACAGAAGATACAGAGGAAGGACGCTAGATAGTGACTTCAACAGAGTAAGAGGTGTTGACAGGAGATAGGTGGAGAGTCTGTTTCGTTGATAGAATATCAGGCAAGTCTGGTATAGAACGCGTTGGAGATTAGTGGTGAATTGAGCTCAAGTGAGTTCCACCAGCAACAAGAGCTCAGCACAGCAACCGACGAGATTCTACGTAGAGGAACAAATCAGGTTAATCCAAATGAGGGGAACGGTCTGGAACTTCCTGACATGGTAGGGCGGTAATCTTCTCCTTGCACTTACCCACGGATGCAGTGAATGGGAGACGACGCTCGTTCCACTGGTTTTGTTCCTTGGAAACTCAATCAGTCGAAAGATATCAAAGCTTGACTCAAGATATACAAGACCCCTCGGCGTTCCTGGTCCTGGGGTTTTGTAGGTCAGCTTTGCGGGAACTTTCTCATCTTTACACAGAGTAGCAGTAGGTTCAAACAAAGAAGAACCGTTGTAACCTACGTTGATCTTGTAACACTCAAGGGCATTTGTTGTGTTCTGACTAAGTATCATGATGGCAAATGCACGTTATGGAAGATGGTCTAGACCTGCAGAAGTATTCAACTCATCATAGGGCTATCCCCCGAATGAAAAAGCATGCGTATAGTTCCAAGTTATCAGTCTCCTTGCTCGATCAAAATTCCATCCTATCTATATGTCCTCTATCTGATTTTCTTTGAATACTTATGACACTGGAACTCCAAACTATAGAATGTAAAGACAAATATTACCACCAAATCAAGGTTGTCGTTGGATTAGTTCTCACCCAATTTATGCTCCATATGTGAAAGTTGTTGTGGTAATCACTGTCCCTAATCTATGATTCTAGTCTTATTCATTCATACTCTGGCTTTCTTCCTGATGTAGTGGTTATAATTTAATTTATTTCCAGTATTCTATATGAATCATTTGGAAGTATAGAACCAGTGTCCTGCACAGCCACAGCCCACTTGATTTACAGGCGGTCTTAACTTGCTGGGATCAGTATTGGTTAACATAACGTGCAGGATGCATTAGGTTGGAGATACACTACAAGGGAACAGCATTAAAAGATGCTATTAAGGTGGGGTTGTAACTTGTATACATGTATTGCTACTAGTAATTACCAGTGACTCACTCACTGATCGGTAGAAATCTTATGAAATCATGTTGTTTAGACGTGGTTTATCCCTTACTCTGTACCATAGGTCTACTGTATAGTTTACATACGAAGGTCATTCTGTTAAAAAAAAAATTTTTTTTTTCTTTTTTTTTTGGATGTTTTCTCCACAATCTTCATCAATACATCGAGTCATAAAGTCATAGTAAACATAGGAAAAGGTTCACCCAATCAATGTTATGCAATGTTGAGGGTGTGCGGAGAAGTACAACTAGTAAACTCCATCCAATCTCATAGGCTAAAGCCTACAGTTCGCAGAAAGTAAAAGCTCATGACTCACTCCCTGCATGCATACATTCTTCCAATCACATCAACTGAAAAGTCCAACAAACTAAACTTGCAACTTGGTTGTAAACACCACCTTTTTTTCTTCACTTTCTCGGATTTTTCCCGTTTGTTTTGGGTTTTTGGAAAGCTGTCCTTTCGAACAGTGTAGAGGTAATGTCTTCAAATTAAGATGGCTAGTTCACATAGGAAACCATTCTTTGCGAGGGAAACCCCACTGAAGACGCCAATCGGCGCGAACATCCGTACCGGTTTAGACAGTGGTCGGATGGGCACATTGTGCGTGTTATGGATTCGCGCATGAGCTGGGCCCTGCCCGGCTGAATCGTGCGTGTGTGTGCAAAGACGACAGAGATCCAATAGCACTGCCTGCAGCACGGCTATATAGTGGTCCGTAGAGGTAGTAGAGTGTAAGATAAACCAGAAACTCAACAGGCGGGAGCGCTCAACGGTGGTATTCAGTGGGTCTGTAGATCCGTGAAGACTCCCTGAAGCGTCTGCGCTCCGCTGCATCAGACTCGTACAGCGAGCCCCGGCTGGGGGAGCTCCGACTGGGGGAGCTCCGGCTAGGAGAGCTACGAGGAGAAGAGTAGACAATGACCCGACGACGCATTGCGTCACGGGGCTCGCGCTCAATGATCTCAGTGTATGAAACGGGCTGCTGTTGTGGGCTTGTCGATCGACGAGGAGGAACGGGGTAGTTCCGGTCGTAGGTGATGATAGGTGACGGTGACCGAGGGGGTTGGACAGCACCCTGTTCTTTGCGGTTCAGGCGCAGGCCATCTTCAATGGCGAGGAGCAATGCGCGGACAGCGCGGCAGTCGCGGGGGATCTTGACGAGAGTAGGCTGGTTGCGCTCACGGTCGAGGGTCGAAAACGACTTTCCGTTCTTGCTGTACAGGTAGTCGGCGACGTCGACGGCGTATTGGTGTCCACGCTCACAGAGAGAGCGGTCTTCTTTGCGCGCTCCGAGCGGATCTGCGCATCGAGTACAGTGGCTTGCATGGCGCTCAAAGGCGACCATCACGTACTCTTCGTCAGCCTCGAGCTCGCGCACGGGCAAGACGGGATCGACGACATCGATTGGGGCAGGCATGGTGGAAGAACGTCGCAATGACCGTCTTCTACCAGGAGTTGGCTGATGGACAACCGTATCTCGTATGGGGAAGAGTCGAGGTAATGTGAGGAAACGAGAAGACCTTCGGGGAGACACTGTGACGGAGTTTGACGGTATAGCTGTGGGACTGGATGGGAGTGATAGCAGAGGACAAAGAAGATCGAGGTGGTTTGGAAACAGAAGGGTTTATATTCTGTTCAGGAATAGGCAGCAAGAATTATACTAGAAGAATGTGTAGATATAAAAGTGGATAAAAGGATCATCAACCATGGGGGGTGAGCAAGATTATATACTAAAGCCTTGAAGGAGGCATCCATGTTCCAAAGCATACAATCTAAACTATTACAGTAGTCAGGATGGGTCTGCGCTATGACCGCACTGGTCACAAGAAGACTAGGGTGAACGATCAAAATAAAAATAAAAATAAAAAAAATAGTAATCCGTTATACCATGAAATTCAATACAATACGAAACTAAATCACAGTGTGGATGGTAGCCTGGCAGATGATGTGCAAGAAAGTTGTTCTGAATTTCTTCAGTGATACAGAAACTTAGGGTCCGAAGGGCGGGTGACTCGACGCTAACCTTGAACGAGGCACGAGAGTGGTTCCTAAGGCTCAAACAAGGCGCTCTCACTGGCGGGGGACCTGTGGCTGGTGCGTGCAGGCAGTGCTTTTCCCTCCATGACCATACCGGTTGATCGTGAGGATTGCAGAGGATCTAGGCCATCTGATTGGATTGTCCGTCTGAACAAGTCGGTCAATTCTCCTTTTCACCCGCATTTGCCTGGCTCCACCCTATTACCACTAGTACAACTAGGGTTAGGTGCTTGTCCAGTTCCCCTCCAAACAACCCGTCGCTTACCCAATTGAGCTGTCGGGGACACTTCAAGTCGAGTCGAGTCATCATTGCTTGTCTTTCGGAGACACGATGACGGAGGTACTAGCTGAGTACTAGTCTTGGACTCCTTCTTGACAAGGATCATTGTGGCTTTAGTGGCTTGACCTTCTCGTGTTCCCTCTGCCTGCGCCGCACTCACGACGTCAATTTCCCGCAACTGACACCACCATCATTTCCTTCCGTATTACTCTTCTGTAATACTGAAAGAGTTCGCTGCGTTACCACCCCTGGAGATGCAGCCCTGAGCCATTGCATATTTTCTGCATCTGCATACCATTAACTTTATTATATTCGTTGGCTGATACTGCTCTTCTACTCCGTGGGGTACGCATCAGCAACCGCCGAACTGTCCCTCTACGCTCATTTGCTTCGCAGCCGCTGACCACAATCGCGGATTTTTTCTGAGACAGTAGATCGTTTGGAACCATTCTGTTGGTAACCTACAATATCATGGAACTCGATTCCTTGTACCTCATCCCGTCTATTTTGGTCGCGTCGTTTCTGTTCTAAGAATAAGTTGGGACTTACCGTCCTAACACGAACGATGGATGTGATCACCGGTTGATAAGGGATCGCTAGACCTGTTCAGGGGTCGCGCCGGCTCAGCCTTAGTCTTCCAAACAGATACCTTGGAATATGGCTCAGCCTCAGCCACAGATGCCACTGGCTATTGTTGCTTCGTTTCGTCTCCCACCATTCCGGCTAAGCGCCATATTGGGCCTCACGCAATGTCAGATGCTCACCATGCAGTGGTAACCTCCCTAAAATGAATGCACTTGTTCACTTCTACTGATCAGCAAAGGGCCAAGGTTACAAAATAGAATTTCAATTTGACGCGCGCAATGACGTCTGGGCTGTTGAGTTCGTTTCACCCTATTAATCTAGGGTCGCACCTATGCGGCGACAGTTTTGTGGTCCACGATCCCCAGTACTTGTCGCGCTGACCAAAATAGAATATATCGCGACATACAATTACACCATTGAATTCTGCCTTGGCTAGCATCTCGAGAGCCATGAGAGCCTTATGACACAGATGGCCAGCGGCACGAGCGCGTAACCCGTGCTTCCTTGGAAGGAGGGGTCGAATGCTGAGGATGAGCACTGCTGCCTGTCACAATGTGACCACTGTGTCCAGTAATGGCATTGACCTGCCTGGCCGACCAGGGGTACGTCACGATCACACCAATCGCATCTTCCTCTAAGAACGTCAATGTTGGATGCAAGGCCTAGCTCTCTGAAGGCTCCAACGCCCTATTTTACCCTTTGCCACTCCTTGGGTGAACCGCTACAGCCGGCATCGGCTCCAAGCCGGTGGAGAGGCATGGGCCACTGACGGTCTACTCCATCTATACACAAGACAGAATACCAACAGCCAGCAGCACCTTCTACTGCGATATAATTCAAACTACTTCACTGCTTCAACAACTGAAGCCGGGCTAGCTCAATCGGTAGAGCGTGAGACTCTTAGTCTTCACGGTATCTCAAGGTTGCGGGTTCGACCCCCGCGTTCGGCTTAGCTTTTTGCTCTTGCGAAGAGTGCGCTTTGAAAAGTTTTTTGTGGTTCACATCGGACGGGTGACTCTTGCCACGCAGGCTCCACTTCGGATAGGATCCACATGCGGCTACAACAGCCTAGGCTGCTGTATAGACAGGCCGCCTTAATCGCATGAGCCTGTAATTCAGGCAAAATATGCTTTTGTAGTACATTTACCTAGTTGTGGTAGCGGTTCATCAAGGATTGCCTCGTCAATCCCTTGTAATGTGGGCGTGATATGACGCGACCTGTTCTATCGCAAGAACTTGTATCCAAGATATATTCCGTAACAGTCAACACTGCATCTACCATAGTTGTGCCATGAACAGCAACTTAAGTAAGCTCCCGCAAGCTTTACATGGAATGGAATAAATACACCGGGCTTAATGACACTCTCACAATCTAGTTGGGCCTCAGCTAGAGACTAGTTGCGTAACGAGTAACAAAACAAGCCATGGAACTTATCAAACGCCTAATGCGCTACAATTGTCTGTCCTATTATCACCAAGAACAACAACCACGTAAACCTAATAAACCACCCACTTGATAGAAACTAACGCCAGTACAAACCGCCCGCCCAAGTAACAAAGAAGATTAAGGCATGTTCTAGCCAAAGCCAGGTAGAAGCAACTGTCGCCAACCAGACAGCATTACCCGAGTCATCGGTGATATTTCGGTGGATCTAGTCCAGTGTTTCCAGCAGAAGTATCAGGATAATACAGAGCACTGATTCGAGGACAGGCTATCATTTGATCAGTGTCAGACACACTCTTGTGTATAAATGTTGGGGAAACCAAACTATTTAAGCTTTGACAAAGAAGTCTGACGGAGTAGGCTTCAGTTGCGTGCAGGGGCTCTTATTTGGTTTATTTATGTTAGTGCTTCAGAGGTCCGTTTGTATAGTTAGAGCGAGACATCTGAACGTACATTTAGGGGCGCATATGTTGTGCATGTCACAGGGACAGCTCTCTGGGCAGTCATTGTGTCCGGTACAGATGTTGTGACATCTATTGAGGACTCTGAACTCCTTGGGGGTAGCAGAGCTCTTATCCCGGGTGATAGCTACTGCGTTGGTCATGCTGAGAAGGGCAGCGACGGTAAGGATACTGAACAGATTCATAGTGTCGAGACCGATGTTCTTGATTGGTTATTGATAGTCTTCCAATGTTTGGCAATGCGAGAGTATTGTGAGAAGTTATAAATTTGAGAAGGGAGGGGAAAAATATTTATATTGGACAAATCTTCTAAAGCAAAGTTAATAAACACTCTACATAGTTATACTTTTCAGTCTAGCCTTTGTACTTTTGGACGATAAGTTAATTTGAAGGTTAATCACTCCGAAAGACATGCAGATCAAACTCTCTTTTGTTTGTGAATTGCGTTCCTCTAATGCATGCATCTGCAAGCGGTACCTGACTACCTCAGATTTCGATGAATAGTACTGCGATCACCACAAAGAGAATCGCGGTGGATATTCACCCAAAATCCTTGTATGCACTCAAAAAACTTTTGATCTGTTGAACCGAACTCTAGCCAAACCCTAGTGCTCTACCTGCTGAATGAGGGCTTGATGATTGCTCACAAAGACAATCCGACAAACTATCAAAGCCTCCGAACCTTAAACTAGGAATCCCTGTCTTGTGAGGTGGGCTAATGGCGGAGTGATTCCCACTGGTTGCACCTTAACAGGGTATGTTCAATAAAACAATTAGTTCATGCAATGAATCGGTCTATCCTGGTTATGTGGTAGTGGAGAATATTGTCCATTCTCGTGCTCGGAAGGTGAAGTTTGCCAATGCATGATGGAATAGTCGTTAGTAGAATTGGTCCGGTGGAATTAGCTGCTAGACAACTACACCATGTAGTGACATGACAAGAATGATGTGGTGAATGATAAGAATGTACAAGTACCCAAAACAAAACAAGATCTATGTAAAGAATTATTATTCATAGATATTTGAATATTGGGCGATCTTTGTCCTCCCTAACTAATTTGTGCTGGCGATCTGGAGTATGGCAGAAGTTCGAATGCTAATACCAGCATTGGCATTAGTATGATTAATAGCATGCAACCCACCATGAGCTTATGCGATAGATCATATGTGACCGGTGCAACCGGTTGTCCAACCGCAATTGATAATCTACTATCGGCTGTCGCGTGTTTCCCGAGATTTGTTCTTATCTCGTCTATTCCACCAACAGATACTGGCAGCTTGCCGAGTCGTTCATCACCACTGGACCCTTTGCCGAGCTGCCAATCGCCAAGGTTGCCGACGCTGTGGGGACTCTGGGGGGACGTCTCGGTTCTCGACGCTTCTCCCCGCCTTTCTCTTCCTACGTACGCCTGATCTACAATCCTGCATGTCATTCATAAATAAGAAGTGTCCGCATTTAACCCCGCACATGCTCTCACAATGTGACTTCCGTCTTCATCCTGCTCTTTTCCTCCGTCCTCAATTGATCCTCTCCCACAACCATGCAATTAACAGGTGAGAAATGTGGCCTAAAGGCCATTATCGAGAAGTATCGGCCAGACCTGAAGCCATTTGAAGAGATCTATCGCCAGTTACACAGCTCTCCCGAACTCGCCTTCCAAGAAGAGAACACATCAGCCATCGCTGCAGATCACCTCAAAAAGCTGGGCTTTGAGGTTCACACACACATTGGTGGATATGGAGTTGCCGGGGTCCTTCATAATGGCGATGGGCCAACTGTTCTCCTGCGAGCCGACATGGATGCGCTACCTCTAGAGGAAAAGACTGGTCTGCCGTACGCGAGCGACAAAATCGTCAAAGACAAAGACGGAGTAGAAAGACCATCAATGCATGCCTGTGGCCACGATACACACGTTACGAGTCTCATGGCGAGTGCTGAGCTTTTACATTCCGCTCGGAATCACTGGTCTGGTACCTTGATCTGCATTTTCCAACCAGCCGAGGAGATACTGTCCGGCGCAAAGGGGATGATTGAAGATGGGCTGTACGAAAAGATCCCCAAGCCAGACGTTGTCCTGTCGCAGCACGTTATGAAAATGAAATCGGGCACAGTCAGTATTCGCTCGGGTCGGCTGCTCACGGCTGCTGATTCGTTCGATGTGCGCATCTATGGGCGCGGTGGACACGGCTCGGCTCCTCAGACATGCGTCGATCCCATCGTTATCGGTGCAACGATTGTGACGCGCCTGCAAACTATCGTCAGCCGCGAAGTGATGCCCGGTGAACTGGCTGTTGTTAGTGTTGGAAGCATCCAAGCCGGCCATGTAGCGAACATTATCCCCGATCGGCTGGACCTGAAGCTTAACGTTCGGACATACGACCCTAAGGTCCGCGAGCGTGTTATATCCTCCGTGAAGAGAATCATCGAGGCGGAATGTCTAGCAGGAGGTGTGGACGAGAAACCTCTTGTTAAGCAGATACTTTCTGCTCCCGCAACTATCAATGACGAGGCCACGGTCAAGGCTCTTCGAAGTACATTTGGATCATATTTCGGAGAAAGCCTGGTTGAATCGGAACCAGCCACTGCAAGTGAAGACTTCTCTCTTCTTGCGACGGCGGTCGGAGCACCGTATGTCATGTGGACGTATGGTGGAGTCGACCCTAAGACGTGGGATGATGCCGTGGAGCAGGGTACCACTGATCGGCTACCTAACAATCACTCCCCGTTCTTTGCTCCAGTGATCCAACCGACTCTTGGTACTGCAATTGATGGAATCGCCCTTGGAGCATTGACTTTCCTGAAGCGGACTTAAAGTATGGCAACCCCACACCGAAAGCAAGTCAATGCGAATTGTATCGTTGCTGCGGCTGTCATTTCTACATCTGAGCACTTTTTTCTATTCTCCTGTACATAGTCTGTCGTGATATGGGACCAACTCGGTGAATATGAATCCTAAAACACAGTATTCCAAAGATGCTCGGAGACATTAATAGCAACCATTAAAGCATCGGATCTTCCTGCAAGGAGTTTCTCCAACACTCTACCGGCATCGTTGGATTCATAAGTGTTATCGAGAACAACACGCACTTCCTTGCACCGACCGGAAGGGATATTATACTAAATAACCACTAATTAGTTATACTATTAGGACTGACTAACTGTTCTTTTCCAGGAGCTCCCAATAAAAGCTCCTGCAGTCACAATGACTTCGGTGTGCAATCAAAAAGAGGAGATCATACGCATGACCGAGGGGTTGTCGCAATTTTGATGGTCCTATCCTAATAAGATGCGAAAGGATGACCACTGCGCCGGTCTCCGAAGCAATTAATGATTCTTTGTTATATTGTTGCAAAGCGGGGCTTTTGCTATCTACTATCGCATTTTAAGTCTTGCAAGGATCGGAGATGAATAAGCTCCTTAGTACGCATGCATAAGTTTAGAGTTTATAACTCACTTTGGCAGTGACGGTTCCCCGCCAACAAAATTGTACCAAATAGCATTCTTCCCGCTAGTCCCTTATGAAGGATGACGAGACGAAACACACCTCACTTGCTAGTATATATTGGCAAACAGCCAGTGTTTAGTGCTTCAAGACCCGAGTACTACCTAGGATACGGGATCCGGGTAGCAAATGCGAATATCCCGCGGTCCGCTCTCCTAGTCCCATGTGGCCGCTTCCACTATACGGTTGTTGCACAAGAAATCAATACGTGCGACTCGAGATACCATATAATATCCATTGGATAAGCTTCAAGCACATATGAGCGGCGAAGCTCACAAGATATGAATGTGGTGCTCGATGATAAGCTTACAGGAGACGCTTGACACGCTGTCAGCGATAACAAGGAGTATCGCTGCTTGCAAAGCGACCGTTCCAGCCTCCCTCCAGCGTAAGATCGACAAACAACGTACAGATAGTCGCAATTTGCCAAGACGAGTTAAGAGATTGGGAGCGCCAGAAAGATTGCCTCTTGCAGTCTCCACTTGCAAAACCGTGGATAACAACACATCGGCCAAAAGGGGGATAGCGTGTCCCATGACATCATGCCCTTGGATTGATCAATGAGATGCTTCTCCCCCTGCAGTCTTTCCAGTCCGAAGTTGCAATTCTCAGTTGCTCATTGCCAATGCCCAATCAATCGTTCTTGGGACTTTGCTGTTTGAGTGCTACTCTGGGTCCAGTTCGTACCTAGCCGAACCCATTATCCTCGGATCACATCGTTGCCCGTTCAATCCCCCTTACCTGCCACATACTAGCACCCAGTGGCAGTGTTGGGCGCTATTTATTATTATTACGCTATCGCTGGTTCAATTCTAGAACCCATCCGGTTTTTCTCATGGACTATGCTTTGTTTCCACCACTATACATTCCATAGAAAAACCACCACCAGTGCAGGATGCCCTTGAACACGGTCGCACTCGGTGTGGCCCTCACCCCTGCTGTGATCTCGACATTCATCTCTCATGTGGGTCGTCATCTACACTGGGCTTCATTCGAGCTCGTCTTCTTTCCTCGCTAGGGATGAACCAGCTAACAATGTCTTTCTTTCTAGTATTTGCACCGTAAATCACTCCATCATAAACCAAGCATTCATATCGGATACGATGAAGGTATTCACATATTCCGCGAGTTCCTCGCTTTCTCGGCCAAGCACTCCGTCGAGGACCTTCAATCCTTCACGAGCCAGAAAGTCCCCAGTCCTCACTGGGTGAGGACAGAGACGGTTACCATACCCACTCAATATTTGTCATCTGCGGCAACGGCCCTGATCGACCAATTGGGCCCCAAGGGGTTATCCCAGGTTGGAGGGAAAGAGTGGTGGCAATGGCGCGGACCAGTAGATGAATTAAAAGGCGAGTGGGTCGAAATGAGAAATGATTACAATGAAAGAACGCAGGCCAGAAAGATTCACGGAACCCATCCGAGCCAGAAACGTATTATGTTCTACGTACACGGTGGAGCGTATTATTTTGGAAGTTTAGAAACGCATCGGTACCAGATGCAGCGTCATGCCAGGAAGCTTAAGGGACGAGTGTTTGCACGGTAGGTTCTGGCTATTCTAGTTCTGTTGCGATTATGCTAATCCCAGTCTAGTGAGTTTAATGATTCCATCTTGGAGATCTGTTTATTGGAAGAGCGCTAAGTACATTTGTTGCAGCGGCATATCGTCTAGCTCCACAGTTCCCATTTCCTTGCGCTCTGCATGATTGCTTGGCTGCCTATCTTTTCCTTCTGAAGGAACACAAGCCCGAAGAGATCATATTTGCTGGAGACTCTGCCGGCGGAGGAATGGCGCTCGCGTAAGTTGAGCGCACACGGAAAAAAGCTTGCATAGCTAACCTTGAAGAAGGCTGCTATGTATTCTTCGTGATCAAGGCCTGCCTTTGCCTGCAGGAGCGATCTTGATTTCACCCTGGGTTGATCTCACCCATTCTTTTCCTAGTATAGTGAAGGATAACCCCGGTGACTACATACCGCCATACGGTTTCAAGCATAAGCCTTCTGCCGCCTGGCCGCCACCAAACTCGGATGAAATAGATGCCATCAAGAGAGGCCTCGGGAAACAGCCTGCTACCGAAAATGGCACGAAAGAGGCCATACCACCCAACGGCAGTGAGGCTCAGGAGACAGCTGTCAAGGGTTATTCGATTCACGAGAGCCCATCTGTCAAAGAATCTATGAATGCAACGGATGAGCCTGGTAACCCTAGGGTTCTCATTGATGGTAAGACCGTTGAAATCAAGGACCAAATCCAGATGTATACGACCAACCAACTCATATTTCACCCACTCGTTTCTCCTGTTCTACAACCGTCCCTGGGAGGTCTACCTCCCTTGCAGATTCTAAGCGGTGGTGGAGAAAAGCTACGAGATGAGCAGTTCTACGTTGCTCATAAAGCAGCAAATCCGACTGCTTACCCACCCAGCGATGCTTTCCTGGACGAGTACGACCCCGAGCGTGAAACGCTACACAAATACCCCGGGACCCACGTTCAACTTCAAGTTTGGGATGATCTTTGTCATGTTCCGACTACTTTGAGCTTCACTCGCCCGGCGAAATATATGTTTCGCTCAATTGCACAGTTCGGAGCATGGGCTCTCGCATGTGCTCAAGAAACAGAGATTGATATTGTGGACGACATTGACATCTCACCCATATCGTCTGATAGCTCGGAAGACCCAGACACACCCGCCAATGGGCCCCCAGCAAAGAGTTCGAAGCAGTCCGTGGCATCTGTCGGGAAGGCTGGCGATCGGCTACCTCCATTCAAAGAGCGCATGATTCGTCAAAGGGTCGACAAAAGAGGTCATATATATCATTTAGAACCCCAAGCTTCATGTCCTGTCCTTCAAATCCCAAGCTCACAAGTTGGGGCCATCAATCCTGAACTGGTCAAGAATTGGCTTGCGGAAAAAAATGAATGGGATGTAAAGTACGCCAAGGACAAGCTTCATGTCCAGCGCCAACGGGTCAAAGAGTTGGCTCAGTGCTTCCAACAAGATTTTGTGGGTGAGGTGCCCCCTCCAAGTTCACTGGCGGCGAGAAGGTCCGCTCCTGGAGTCATGCCATCTCGAGGTGACCGGAAGAGCTACCCTATGACCATGTGGAGCAATTGGGCCAGCAGGCATGACGAGAAGAGTATCCAACGGGAGCACAAGAAGGAGAAAGAGGGACAATCCAAGAAAACCAGCGTGGAGGCTGGACGTGCCGGAGCTTGCATGAAAGCAACGGAGGTTGATAAAGGTGCTTCTCCGTATAAAGAACAGGTTAGTCATGCCTACCAGATGGACATTACTGTCGATACTAATGAACATATTCAGGATACATCAGATGGGACAAAGAGCTCAGCAACCCGGACAGAGGAAGATGTCTCGCACAGGCTTATCGATAAGAGTTCGGGCCCTATGATACTCCTGCCCCCATATGATGAGAAGAAGTTTACGGAGGAAAATGCGAGCACGCAAGCACTTTTCCACGCACGAGGAACTATAACATCGCCTTCGGACCTATCCATGGCCCGAAAGCAACGACCGGTGTCCCAAGCCGGGTCAGGTACAATTCGAAGCGGCATCACATCTGACATTGCAGATGATACCAGTACTCTGGGAGACAGATCACTCGCCGTTACCAACGCCGGCGTCGATGCCGCTAGTACTCGAGCAGTACGGAATTCGGTCGGAGTCGTGGGCCTGATCAATGATGGCGACTCGACCTATCACTCTATTGATTTCCACTCTATACCGCGCGACTCGGGTGACCTTGACACCGCTTCTCTTGGTGGGAGGACGACGGAAGGAGACCTCTCTCGCACCGCTTCTCGCCCCGTTTCTCGCCCGGGAATGGCTGACCGAGAGTTTTATAAAACTGCGCAGGAGCACCCTGTGGCTAGAGATACATAAAGAAAACAGCAAAACGAAGCTTTGCATATAGGACCTCTGGACATATATGATTCGATTATGCCTGTTTTGGTTATTATGTTGATTCATTTGACCCTTCAAGATACACTTATTGCCAAGGTGATGTAAACGATTATACCTTTTATACAAACGCCCGTGGCTTTTGTTTTCATATATTTGGGAGTCTGGTTGGCCCTTGGAATATACTCTTTCTATTCATACATCCGTTTCCCAATACCCTGGTTCCGAGCCCCTTTATCCTTGTGTTATATATGATATATTGTTTTCTGAGATAGCTACAATACAGTCCTTGCGCATGTTGAACACCCACATCCATCAAGGCCTGAGCCGGGTATATAGATTCTTAATATAGTACAAAGCCTCGACCACCCCAAGGATTTTAAGTATCCCAATCACCATTCAATCCCAACCTTCCCTGCGACCTTCTCCGCAACATCTAGGAAGGCCTTTCTTCTCACGCTCCGGTCCTGACTCTCCTCCGCAACAACCGTCGGCATGCCCCGATCGGCATCCTCGCAGACCCTTGCATCAAGCGGAATATCTCCCAGGAACTCCACCCCTAACCTCTTGCATTCGGCCACAACACCCCAGTCCTCTGCTTGGTGAGAATGCTCCGATGCATCAGACTTATCACCATGCGAAAAGATCTTCGTCTGATGCCCGCACTGCGGACACGCGAAGAACGCCATATTCCTCACCATGCCCAGAACAGGGATATCCATCTTCTGAAACATCCCGTATCCCCTCACCGCATCTCGTAGAGCAATATCCTGCGGCGTGGACACGATCACCGCGCCGTCAACGATGATCTCCTGGCCAATCGTTAATTGCACGTCGCCCGTACCGGGGGGAAGATCGAGGAAGAGGACGTCGAGAGGACCCCAGGAGACGGAGTGGAGGAGCTGATGCATTGCTTTCGTGACCATTAACCCGCGCCAGGAGATGGGGGTTGTGTCCATGGGGATTGTGGAGGGGTCTTCGGGGGAAGGTGTCGGTTGCGGGAGGAGGTAGCCCATTGACATTGATTTGAGGCCGTAGTTTGTTAATGGGAGGAGACAGTTATCTGTGTTTCAGGTGGATTGTCAGTATGGCTTTTGTTGGTTTGGGAATGCGATGCGCACTTTCGTCTAGTCGGGGC